CACTATTGCAACAACGTTTCATCAGTAGGGCAAACCTAACCTGTCTCACGACGGTCTAAACCCAGTTCACGTTCCCTATTAGTGGGTGAACAATCCAACGCTTACTGAATTCTGCTTCAGTAGGATAGGAAGAGCCGACATCGAAGGGCCAAGAAGCAACGTCGCCATGAACGCTTGGCTGCTCTAGCATGTGTTCCTTCGGTGCTCAGAATTATTTCTTGCATAGACCTCTGCAAGTGTGCTATATTATAACAGTAGTGGAGCTCAAGGTAATTATTTAGCGCGCACAGGCTGCACCATTCTTATCTCCTGTAACCACTGTTACATTATATATTTGCAACATGACCCTCTAAATGTGTGGCATATGTCTCTACAGACATGCGATTTACCATACTGACTGGTTGATGGATCCTCAATATCTGCTTAAAGCTCGACGTTCGGTTCAATTTATCCTTTTTATCATAGATATAGTAGTAAACGTCGTCCTCTTGAGCAGCGGTTGTTGAGCTCTTATACTGATGTCGACCTTGACTGGCCATGGTCAACCAGTTGGTGCTGCTCAGTAAATGCTGGAAGGACTTATGCCATCCTTGGCAGGCGAGAATACAGCGAAGATCTTGCTTGCTCAAGAAGAGGCTGATGTGTTCCCTGGGCTCTGGGAGGTTGAATGGGCGGAGGGGCACCTTGGGATTGATCTGGCCAGAACAAGAGGGCGAAGAGGGCGCGGGAAGGAGGGTGGAGGTGAAGGAGAGACGTATGCAGAGAGTGAGCGCTTTATACACGGTGGAATCGATGGCTGGGCACGTTAAGATGAGGTTTGCCCTCCATAGGCGCCGCATGACAGTACTATTAGGCTTCCTACCGCCCTAAAAGCACTGTCTTGTCCTTATTCTTGCTTCCTCTGCTACATGCTTCTCAGCGGGAGCCTACTTTACGCTGTACTTTTCTTATATATCTTCTTCCATGATTATCTTGTTAATGACTCCCTCCTCCAAGGCAATCGCCCTCAAGGCATAAATACCAGCCATTCAAGAAGCTCTCTCGACAGAAAATAAACATCTCTTTTTTCCCAGGGTATGGCGGCTGTATCCGAGCTTGGAGGTGCTTCCCATGATGTCGATGCCTTTAACGAATCGGATTGGCAGGACAGGGATATCGGGATTGAAAAATAAACAGCTGCAGTAGAAGCTATGTGGCGGCCTGCTGTTCAGTGCCGCCAGCCTTTTGGCGCGATGGGGCGAATAGCCTCGAAGGCTATGTTCTTTGAGCACTGCAACATTTTGACGACTCGCGAGTAGAGTTCTGGGGTTTGTCGTTCTGCTTTAATGGTACGTCTATGAGCATCCTTGCTTTATTGCTCGACCTGCTATCACCGATGTCGGTGAATGCTGATAGACTCCTCACAGTCCAAATGGTCTTTCACAGCTGGTTATGGCCCATCAAGAGATATGCATAACCTGTGTACGTAGCTCCTGTCGGCCAAACGCTTTCCCCTCCTTCCCTTTCCTTTCCTTTCCTTCTGGTCAACCCACCCACACACTCTGTTATTCTTTATCAAGATGTAAGTTTCCCGTCCATTCAGCTTGTTCGAGTCCAGCAAGCCATAAATGACACCACCCAATAACCAATCTCCGCATTGCCGACCGAGGATTGGAGCAGCTCACAACGTTGGGGACGAACAAGACCCGCGCGACTGCGGTTTCGCGGCTGACTCTGCAGGGTACGAAGAGTCCAGTGTCTGGTGTAGTACCGGGGCCTGCAAAAAAAGGTGTTTAATATCTGACAGAACTACGCACTGGACTAGGGATGAGGGTATCCGTCATCACGAAGACGTTATTCCTATCGTCCGTAATCAACAGGACGCCCTAGTCCCATCGAGCAAGCTTCCCTCTTTTTCAGAGGGTGCGAGATCAAGACTTGATGTCCCATTCTCAGACGATGGTCTGAAGGATCCTGACCTGTAGGTCGTCCTTCATACCCCAGCTTTACATGACGAGCAATACTTGGCTGAGCCTATGTTCATCTTCGCTTTCTCTCTTTAACACATACTAGCATAAATAAACCCATCCTTGGGGTGGCGAACGAGCCTCGACCGGCGCAAGCATCTCAGACGTGAATGTATACCAGAGCTTGTTCTCCCGTTTATTTCTTTATTTGTTGTTACGGTTGCTGGCCACTCATTGGACGGCATATGGCCATTGCAGAAATGAAACAGTCCCGCCTATTTATAAGCCCGATCCAAGGTGCTAAGCAGGCTGCCTCGGGCTAGACGCAAGGGTGAGTGACAAGCAGGGTTACTCGCAGAGACTTGGCTGCTCATGCTCGCAAAAGCAGGTTCCCTAACCGCGTCTTTGTTCATTCGATCCGAATTAGAGCGGCCCCTCCCTCATACATCACAAGCTCCCTACTTTTTCAATGCGGATCCAATCCACACCACGCCTACTTACAACATCCTCCTGCTCGGCCAGACGCAAGCCAGGAAGAGCACCTTTGTTCAAGCGGTCAAAAAATATGCAGACCCAAAATCACCAAACTATTTTAACTATTTTAACTATTTCATGGGGGGGGCGACTGCCTTGGGGTTCTACAGGATCCTCTTATGTCTACTCGTTAGCTGCAGCCCTTCCGTCAATCCCATAGTCCCATCGTATTCCAACCTCTTATAGCTCTTCCTGATGCTGTACTCGAGTATCAAGGGCAGCCAGAGCAGTGTAGGATCAGATAGGAGGCGTGAGCAAGAACAGAGTAGACTAAAAGATGCTGCAACACAGACTGAAGAACTATAAACTACCTACGGATCGACAGTCTATTTATGCATTGGACAAATATCCTCGCAGGTACCGTTCTACAATTACCGGACGATGGTCCTGAGCTCCAGACGGAGTGTTACGTGCCCTCTCTAAGCAGCTACTATTTGCATACACTTGGATTGGCACCAATGGACTCCCATAAAAGCCCACACACCTTTTGACATTCACACTCAACATGGCCTGGGACCGGCATAGTTATCCCTGTCTTCTCGAGTGAACAAAGGGCTTTCCTAAAGGTGTGTTGGTGACAAGAGGGAGGTATCTGGGAGTGGATAAAAGGAGTGAGGTGAATGAGGGTATACTCTCGCCCACTCTAATGTATTGTAAACATCTGGCAGTCTTTGCTTCGCATTCGCATTGCCTTAATCTATGGATTACGAAGGTTTGAGCTGATGGGGAAAGTTGTTATTTTCTCTTACCGGCTTGGAGCAAAGAAAAATTCACCGAGTCCAGAACCCTGAGCATTTCTTCTTAGATTCGGCCGCTGCTGTTTCTGTTGCTGTCGTCGTAATTTCAGTATATCGGGTCAAAAAAAGCTGTCATATCATTGCTAACTCATGACATGCACCATCGGTTCGGCTTTAGAGAAGAAGATATCCATGTGCGGGGCAAACTAATACACTCCACTGGTAATCCTATAAACTGCCCTTCCCTCCCTTCAGTAACAATCACAGATGCAACGGACACGACCCACAGCGTTTCATTTGCACGGATAAAAGAGAACAGACTGTTTCAGGATGGTAAAAATAGTGGGACGGATCATATTGGCCATGGCTATTGGCAAGGCCTATTGGAAAGACAGGGTCTCGGCTGAAGATCGTATCCAGCAGGAGTGGAATCGCCTATTGTACAATAAAGCAGGGTCTTAATCTGTACCTCCACCCTGCATCGAACAGGGCTTTACACGTACCTCTACCCTGCATCCGCCAGGGCATTTATCCGTTCTACATACATCATTTCCGAGGACTGCGACCATGCACGCAGGTACTCATCAGCGAGCAAACCGCGGTCTCTCCCCATTTTGATTTATTAAGCAGTTTTTCCATTGCAGGTTCCAGTTATACAGCTATGGAGTGTACACCGTCCTGCACCGTCTACGTTCATGCCTAGACGAACCACTCGTCTATGGCAGAACCGCTCGCCGATGGCAAGAGTTGGGACCAGTCCATCTCGCTATATTTAACACATTTCTTCATGATTGTCAACATAACATATCGAACCCCTAGAGATGTTCAATAAGGGCTGCAACAACCCTTGACAGAGTTGGCTTGTTACGAGATGGGTAGAGAGACTTAGTGATGGACTAGAGTGGATTGCAAGACGCTATTAGATGGTACACCGCCGCCGCCTCGCGGAAGATGTTCACCTCTCTCGACCTGGACTTGTGCATCACGAAATGAAGGAAACAAGCGTGCGTGCGGCACCAAGGATCTTTAGGACTTGAATGCAAGGCGGTGTCGAGTCCAGGCCTAGTCGGATCCATTGGAACAACACTTCTCGCGCTGTACATCACTGGCGTCTCTCCTCTGCGAGTTTAGTCTATCCCCAGGCATATGTGCAATAATGGTGCGTTCGCTCAAGTATCTGGGGTGCTTTACTTTGTCGCTCATACGTTATAGCCCGAAATTCTAGTAGATCTAGAGAACCAGACACTTTTTCTCATAACGTGCATGCAAACCCTCTTCCACTTCCCGATCTCTCTCATTCTCGTCTGTTGCTGCTGACCATTGCGGACAGTGGTCGTCGGTGAAGCAAGGTGCGGAGATGGCATGAGCAGCTCAGAGGCGTTGTGCAGATCGAGGGAGGTGTACAAGTGAGCGTGCTATGGATGGGGACAAGAGGGGTGTGAGCGAGAAAAGTGATGGAGGAGCCGATCATCTCCTCTGTAAACGAGGATGATATGAGTAGAAAGACCCCATTGGCCGTGCATCGTTCAGGTTCAACGCGGCTGCTCTTATTTTTTAAGCTATTACTTATTTCTGACGCGATGCACATCGTAGCGCACAGCGGACAATACTTCAGGGTATCATTTTTATATTCTTCATATATTGTATATTCACCAACCACTACCTCTACGTTCTGTCTGTCATCTGTGATATTGCATTTAGGGATGAACAGGCTTGGGATGAGCAGGCTCGGGATGAGGCTTGCCGTGATGGCCTGGCTTGCCGTGATGGCCTGGCTTGCCGTGATGGCCTGGCTTGCCGTGATGACCTGGCTTGCCGTGATGACCTGGCTTGCCAGGGTGGCCAGGCTTGTGGTGAGGTGCAGGGCTCTTATGCTCCAAGTCGCGCTTTGCGTGAGGTTTGCCGGGATTAGGCTTCCCAGGATGGCCAGGCTCGCCGTGATGGCCAGGCTTGCCGTGATGGCCAGGCTTGCCGTGATGGCCAGGCTTGCCGTGATGGCCAGGCTTGCCGTGATGACCTGGCTTGCCAGGGTGACCAGGCTTGTGGTGAGGAGCAGGCCTCTTTTGCTCCAAGTCGCGCTTTGCGTGAGGTTTACCGGGATGGGGCTTTCCAGGATGGCCAGGCTCGCCGTGATGACCTGGCTTGCCGTGATGGCCAGGCTCGCCATGATGACCTGGCTTGCCAGGGTGGCCAGGCTCGCCGTGCTGGCCAGGCTTGTGGTGAGGAGCAGGGCTCTTATGCTCCAAGTCGCGCTTTGCGTGAGGTTTACCGGGATGGGGCTTTCCAGGATGGCCAGGCTCGCCGTGATGGCCAGGCTCGCTGTGATGACCTGGCTTGCCGTGATGGCCAGGCTTGCCAGGGTGAGGGTGGGGGTGGTGTCCAGGAATAGGGCGGATGGGGGCGGGAACAGCGCGTTCCTCAAGTGCAGAAGCAGCGACCTGAACCGTAGGGTCTGCAAAAGTTGCCTGGAACAGGGTCATGCTCACCAAGAGCGAAAGGATCACGGAAGAAGAGATGAACTTCATGGTTGTAGTGGTGGTGGTGGTGGTAAAAATGGATGTTGTAGACGCTATGTGGAGGAAAGGGACTGGGCGAGTAGATCAGGTAAGGAGATAGTGAAGAATGAAAAGGGAAGGAGGTGAATGCAACGCTTTTTATACAAAGTGTTGCGATGGCACGGCTGCTTTCTCCTTTCATAGGTATATTGATACCAAGGCGTATCCTAGCTCTCGGTACTCAATTTGAGAGTAAAAAGATGCCATTGGGAAGATACTGCTGTGGCATGTGGCCAGATATGGCCCCTTTTGTGGTCCAGAACCCTCTTCTGTATGACCTTTCTCATCGCGGTGGTCTATTGAGTGCGGACTAGACCAAAACAGGCATTCAGAGTCAAGTGGACACCGACCGCGCGTGCGCCCGAGTAATGCACAGGGCTCTGCTCCACAAAAAACTAAAAAGTAATAGCTAATGAATCCTTAACCCTTTTTGCTGCGATTTTTTCTTAAATGTCTTCTCGCAATCGATGAACTCTGAGAGCCCTGCTGCTTTTCTTTGGTAAATTGCATTTCTGGCACTGCTCTCAGCCGCTGTTGCTGCGAATTTTTAAATATAGTGTCTTATTATAGGCAACGCACAACATGCATGTTCAGCCCCGGAATTTTGTCGAGCCATGGGGATTCAGGAACAACCATCGGGCGCAACAGACAGCACCACACCGTTTCGCTCGTGCGGGTAAAAAGAAAGTCAACTTTTATTTCATAAGAATAAAAATAGAAGGACGGATTGCCTTGCCCACGACGCGACAAAGGCAGGATCTCGGCCAATCATTGGGTCCAACAAGAGTTATAAATCATACAGTGAAACAGAGGTCTACCTACACATTTACCCTGCATCAACCAGGGCATTTACCCATCCCATACCACGCTCGAGGGCTGTGGTCATTTCGGTAAGGTACTTATCAATATGTAGGCTGTAGTCTCCTCCTATTTATCTTATTATGCACCACCACACTCATTTATGGCGAAAGCTGCACAACTATCTTTAACTTAGTTCTTGGAACCCTGGCGATGGTTCAACAAGGGCAACGACAGCCCTCGATAGGGTCAGCCTATGCCAGTTGGTCGAGCGCGACGAACTATAAGGCGTTATGAGACGGTACACCATCATCAATCCTTAGGGGACGTTCACTTCTATTGACCTTGTCCTGTGCGCCAAGAAGAGAAAAAGTCGGTGTATGTGGCGTCAAGGATCTTCAGGCTACAAAGAGCGGCCGACTGGTACATGCGTGTGAAGCGTAGATCATGTTTAACTCTGTTCCGCGCACACAATGGAGGGCGTATGTTACACGAAGCGCGCGGTTCATGGGGAATCAATCGTTTCTTGCGCTGTGCATTCCTTAGCATCTTTGCCTCCGTGAGCTTAGACTGGTCACAGATGCACAACAACGGCTGCTTTATTTCGTTACATGTTTTGTGAGCTGAAATACCGGCAGACCAAGGGAAACCAGACACGCTTGCAGACGCCCTAGGGACGCGTAACCTAGCAACTCCTCGATAGCGCCCTTCACTGCTGTCCCTGTCCCTCCAGCATCAGCGGTACGACCTCCCTCTCAAACCTCGCATACTCAATCCCCGTCGCCGGATTTGTATACGTCCCCCTCTCCTCCAACCCCATCACCTGTTCCTCTCCCTCTCCCTCCACCTTCACTCCCCCTCTACACTTCTCCCTGTAGAACTTCCTCAATCCCGGGTTATTACCTCTACAGTCCAGCCTTAAAAACCTCTTCCCCTTTTTCGACACCATCTCCTCTGCAAACGCCAGGATCTTTGGCACGATCCCCAGTCCTTGAAATGACTGCTCCACCACCAATCTGTGCACATAAATCGCGTCCTTCCAACCATCGGGACCCAGAAGTGGAGACCAGAGCATGTTATCAAAGGGATCTTCGTAGTTCAATGCAAAGATCGCAGCGATGGTGGAGGTGGGAGTGTGCTCAACGACGTAGGAGTTTTGGGAGGCGATGGCCGTGGAGATGTGAAGTTGGGCGTCAGGTTTCCGGAAGGTGCCCGGGTTCCATTGGGCGAGGTTCTGGGACTCCATCCATTCTGCGGCCCGCTCGAGGATGTTGGTGTATTCTTCGAGTTCTTCGGGTTTCGTCTGTCAGCAACAAAAAATGTGAGAGATAAAAACAATGAAGTGTTGATTTAAACAGCACTGTTTTTTCGTGCGTGTTTTGCGTATATGTGTATGCATGTATACATGTATTTGCAAAGCAAAACTCGGGCGCTTACGTTGCGAATCAGAAACTCTTGTTGACGCATGGTGGAATCGAGGGGAGGTTTTTTTTTTTGTGATTGCTGATGATGATGCTTGATCAGATCTGCTTGGATCCCGTTGACTGGTTTTATAACGTTTTGTGCGAGTTGAGCTGGACTCTGACCAGGCCGAGAGCGCAGTTGGCCCTTACGCCGCCAAAGTAGCCTCTTTGACGATAAGCGCATGAGTCATGATGAGCGAGCCCCCATGGTGTTCATGATCCTTCTTGAGCTCATGCATTCCCTCCAACAGGACCCAAAGACGCCCTCAACAATTCGGTATTACAACCCTTTATTCGATTGCATGCAATGGTATGTTGGAGTATGTTGCAATGGGCGCGCTGTTCAGCTGCGTACGACTTGGATCTCAAACCTCGCGAACTCCAATCCCAACTCTCTGTTCCGTACCGTCCCCACCTCCTGCAACCCACCCTTCTCCCTACCACGACATCTCTCTCCATAAAACCGCCTCAGCCTTGCATTGCCCGCAATGCAATCCATCCTCAAATAATGCCGACCAGCCTCCTTGACCTTCTCCTCTGCGTACTCGATAACCTTTGCAGTCAGCCCAGAACCCTGAAAGGGCTTCTGAATGACTAGGCGGTGCAGGTACAACGCATCCATCCAGTCTTCCGCAAAGTCCTTCCACAAGATCTCGTCAAATGGGTCGTTGTAGTTCAGGACGAATATCCCGGCGATCTGAGAATCGATCTCAGTGTGGGAAGACGCATCCACAGGGCGATGGTCGATCATGAAACATTGCTTTGCATCAATGGCTGTCAGGATTGCGGAACGCCCGGCGGGATTGGAAAACATGCCTGGTGGCCATTGTTTGACGTTCTGATCTTCGAGCCATTGAGCAGCTGCTTCGAGGATACTAATGAAGTTGTCGAGTTCGTCTGGTCGCGTCTATTAAGAACAAGCCGGCACAATAAATCGATGGTGTAAAAGACTAAGATCATAGAGAAAAAAAATGGGACAGATTCGAAGGCGAAATGAGAATGATTCTTACATTGCGAATGGCAAAGTCGTCGAGATTCATGGGCTGATTCAGTTGCTTTTGTCGGGCGAAGGTGTGAGAAGAGGCTGCAGAGTGGAGCGGTGCCTGACTTCTGAATCAGATTCTGGTTCAAAAATAATGACCTTTTGCCACCAATTTCCTTCATTTGTCAGTCAAGCGCACTTTGTATGATCGCGCCCAGACTATCACTCCTTCGCAAAACCGCTCTTCAAACAACACAAAGTCCACCTCCTCCAACTTACCCTACTTCCTCACCGCCGTGTTTTGCTTCACGCAATTCAAAATTGAACACTGCTGCCCACGTTCATCCAGATATCTGCAAGGTCTTTCCATAGAGTTTCGCATTATGGTTCATCGTAAGCCCAGGAAGAAAGTACATTGGCGATCTGAGGATAGGCCATAATTGGTGGTGTAAGTATAGGCGGCCAAGGTCTTAGCGCACGAGCTCAACTAGGGAAATGAGCTGCTAGGCCATTGCTTAATGCTTTGTTCTCCTGTTTAGCCAATGGACGCGCAGATTCGAGAATATCGATGAAGACGTCGATCACTTTAGATCGCGTCTGATTCAAAAATTGTCGAGATGGATCGCCTGCGGATGGGAAAGTCTTTTGGGGAGAGGGCGAACCATCTGAAAATCAGAAAACCTGCCAAATTGAGGTGAGTGTTGCAACGGTGTATAAATATTATTAACTTGTACTTGTTGCTATTATGGGTTTCTATTCTTAGTCTATCGCACTCAACATTGATCAACGTCTCACACATTTTTGCCCTGGTCCTCATCCGAGACATCGAACCGCGAGTACCCCTCCGAGTTCCTTTCCTTACCGACAACAACCCGTCCGCCATTCGCAATATGTACATGTTTCGAACCAGACGGAGCCGGGAACCGGTGGCTGCCGTACACGCTATCCTTATCCTCTCCCTCCTGGGCATCTAGATAACTCTCCCTAGTCGCACTCTCCAGCTCTTTGGGTGTGGGAGAGGACTCGTTATGTGTCAGGTGTCCAAACTCGTTAAACTTGTACGGGTCCGGGTACTCAGAGGAATCTGAACGAAGCAGCTGCTGCTGACTTGTGTACCCATGCGCCGACTTCGGGCCCGGGATTGCGCCGCCAAATGACGGCGTCTTGTACCCACCAGGACTGGATGGGTCCGGGATCGTGAAGCCCTTGGAGGCATGGTTCGAAAGGTGCTTGTTGAAGTGCAGACTGGGCTTCGAACCCTCGCCGAGACTGCTGTCTTGAGCGTGGCGGCTGCTCACACCGTTGGTGCTGCTGTTCTGGTTACTCAGGCTGTCCATAGGATAGTGCGTATGGTTCTTGGACGGGTTCTTGCCATTCGTCGACGAGCCCTTAGAATCGACCGTTGATCCACTTGGCTGACGAATCGAGAGCGTCCGGAAGCAGGCCGCATAGAAGAACAGAAACGAGAACCGGAAGATGAACAGCTCTGTCATGTATGCGGACCGGCTCTTCATATTCAAGCCCATGAGGGACACGATTCTCGAGAGCAGCATCAGAACAAAGAATGAGATCATCGCCAAGTTCAGCACCGTGATCCTGACCAGCGCCGTGCGCGTCGTCTGCGATACCGCAATGCCTCGGAGGGACTTGAAGAACGTCGTCGCATAGTAGAAAATCAAAACCGCCTGGATCAGGATCACAAGTGGAGTCGCGTACATAAACCCGCGCTCCCCAATGACGCGGATGATAGGCAGCGACGGAATCAACCAACCGATACCATCCAGGAAGGACGAAATTGTGGGGACAAAGATAGTGACGTAGGAAAAGTACGCAAAGAGCTTATTGGTCTTCTTGCGCTTGATGCGATAGACCAGCATGCCCCACATCGTCATCTGGAGTCCCAACGATATGAACGGGAACAGCAGCGAGACGTAGTACACGGCATTGCGCCAGGGGACCTGGACCTTGTAGGGTGCGAACGCAATTGACAAGGGCAAGTAGATGCATCCGGGAATCAAGACCATGTATCGACGAATGTGCTGGTTATCTTGCCTGGCCTTGTAAATGAACGCGAGCACCCAGAGACCATAGACAAAGATGATTCCGGCCATGATATCGAGTCCCCGAATTACAACTTTGAACCCAATTGAGTCCCACATGCGGTTCCATGGTCCAGGATCTTGCGCGACCGTGGCCAGAAGCGCGTGGTTATTGGTTGCAAGCGTGGATGCGAGCGAGAGCACGTTGTCCGAGCCAATGAATGAGATATTGAGAAGGGTATCCTTGTTCCAGTGTTTGGCGTTAGCCAACTGGATGAAGGGAGAACCAAAGTCCTCGGTGCTCTGTGCATTACCGTCCATGACGAGGGCGCCGACCTCCGGCAGGGCCAGGGACTGCAGCTGACCGTTAAGAGATTCCAGATGGGCAAAGATCTAATCGACGAGGGGAATGACAAACGGTGATGATGTCAGAGACAATAGACATAGTATCATAATGAGCTGGTATTTCTACAATCCGCTGTCAGGGAATGCACATGGCGATGCTACTATTGAACCCATGTTATTTAACTGCGGTGGAGAGGAGGATGTGACCAAGTTCCCACATCAATGTATCTTTACGATCACCTCGGAGACCCAATCCTAGAAAATAAAACCCCGATCTCTTGAATCTTATAATTACGCGCCATCGCTCTCCTGGGCATCCCCCCCGCTGTTTCACGCACACATAGTTCTATCAGCGGGCACCATCTCTCCCGCATCACCTCGTTTTTTTTTTTTGCTCATGTTTACCATGAAGGGCAGAACAAGTTCTCGCGGCTCACACACAAAGAAAAGGAGTGGAGGATGAAAAGCGCTTGAACTTTAAAAATACAGAGAGCACCAAAATAGGCATCGACTCTAGACTTTCACTACAGGTCTACTACGGACTTGCGCTGACGAGATTTTTGTGCAACGGGTGACAGGATTACATATCATGCCCCGTTTTCTTAATATGAGCCACGCCAAATGCATGTAGGATAGGCATAGATGAAAGAACCTTGGTGCCGTTTGCCTCTGTCCATTTTATGCCCGACAGACAAAACGTGGGTGAAATGAAAACAACGATCGTGTTACCATGCAGGAGGTAGGATGGCACGTGGTAGGAAGGGAAGAGGAAGGAGGTAGGACACGGGAATGGAAATGCATGTTGACTCTTACTATGTAAAAGTGAAATAGGAATACGGGTTGGAGAGTGGGAGGATGCAAAAAAAAAAAACTTACATCGTCAAAGGTAGCGCAGTCGTCAAGCCAGTCGTATCGGAGCACGATGATGGAGTCGACAATAGGGTTCCTGGGATCAACGGCATTCAAGATGGCCTGTCCTGCAGGCGCCGCAGCTGGGTCCACACGCACGGTGCAGTCAGATTGAACCTGGCCCATAAGCAGAACACCCGAGAGCGAGTACACTTCGGCCTTGCCCTGGAAGGGGTCCCAGGTGCGGTAGTTGACGGTCGTTGTGGCGTCGATTCTGACGGCCAATGCTGCATCTGCTGTCGGGATAGTGATACAGAAAAGAGCGAGGATTGCCAGCAGAATAAAGCAGGGGCCAACTAATATGGATCGCGATCGTCGTGTGGCCATTGCACTAGACGTTAACGTTGGTTTTGCTGTTGACGAAGAGAATGGTGATGATATTACTGACGAAAAAGGTTGGTGCAAGGGGCGTATGGCTGGCTGACTAGTACTGCCTACGAGCGCGCGTATTGTTTGTTGTATGCCCCCTAGACAAATGACCATGAATCCTGTTTCCTGCGTTATGGTGCGACTGGCGAATGGTGTGTGGGTCCCACGCTGTAAATTCCAATAAGACACCCAATCGTATTCTTTTGGCTTATAGGAGGGCAGAGGTCTGACAGATGAAGAAGAGAGAATGTCGAGAGCTTAGGGGAATGCGGGTCGTAAGATATGTGGGCGAGGTGTAAGGTGGAGACGAAAGAGGAGGATGGGTATCAGCAAGGAGCGAAAAGCTTGCGGAGGGAGGGCAATGGGAGGACAAGGAGCAACAATTGGGTGTCGTGTTGTGTTGTGTTGTGTTGACAAATAAATTAAAGGTAGTCTATGCAATAGTATATGAAAAGATGCAAGATGTAGTACAAAAAAGTTTGGGCGGGGGACTTCAACGGAAGAATGGAGACGAATGAGATCTTGAGATGGAATGGGGAATGAGGACCAAGATGAGGGAATGAAGATGGACATGCAGAAAAATAGGAGAAGAGGGGAAGAGCGTGAAGAAGACGGAAGGGAAGGGTGCTGTTAAAGACAGCTCACCAATGGGTTTCGATCAGAGAAGAGCATTACCGCTTGTGGCCAAGAGAAGAAGGCAGAGATGAATTGGATAATTCAGTCCGCTCCTCGGGTATTGTAAGGTTTAATCAACGAACAAGTTAGCAGTGCGGGAGGTCAACAAACAACAACTAAAGGCACGAAACAGCGTGAAAAAAGTGGGTGTAGAATAGGAGTCTCCCATTCGACATCGACAATAGGAGCAGGCACCCTAAGAGACCGTTGGAACAGCGGACTCGTGGAAGGACACCAAGGTTTTTAATATTCAACGAAGAAGCACCTCCAAATGAGCAATTGGTGAAAGTCATCATGTTACACACGTACAAACCTGAAATGTGTGGGATAGAAGGGGTGCCAGCTCATATTCTCAGCTATTGCCGTATAGAACCATCACCCAGCGCCATGCCCGGCTCCTCTGTCCTTATGCAACCAATGCTACTTTTAGTTTGCAACTGAAGCTCGGCACAACATCAGAACAAAAAAAAAAAAAAGCACATGGTTTAAAGGCGTGCAAACAACAATACAAACAACATCTGCCGACATCCTCACGGAAGGGTCCTTACATACCATTTACTCAGTCACCCAGCTCCTACGCTCTCACCTCTACCCCCTTGATAAAAAACTCACCATGTCCCTGTCCTACGGCTGATTACTTCTCCATGAGATTTGGATGTGTTTTTGTCCGTTGTGCAATGCATGTTGCTTATGAAAATGGGTATCCTCTTCCATTTTTTTTTTTTAATTTTGGGTATCTTAGTGCAGCATTTGCAAGTAAAGAATGGCAGCGAATAAGAGACAAAAAAGGAACTATCTGCTGGGACCATGAAACCTAAGCTTACTCAGACTAGCCCGTCGGGTTATTGGGAAATGATGAAAAATGAAACTGATAATGAAAGTGAAAGTGGGAATTGGTACCATCCGTCTTTCATTTCAAGCAGCGTCCAAATGCAAGGTTCGTACATGAATAGGGACGAGGGCAATAATGGGTCACTTATTGTACTATACATGCATGCAAGGTAACACAACTGTATCCGTCGACATCGTTGATCAAGAATCAAAGGGACGAGACGTATGAAACTACACTTTCATACTCTGCCGATGGTATACTCATCTCCCATCTTGTACGATTTAAAATTCATGTAGTCTGACTATATATCACTTCCGTACCTTTGCGATCGTAGCTTTCATGAAGAGAGTTCTTCTACCAGGCTCAGTGCTCATTTTTATGGCGCCGAGATTGATAATTGTTGTATAAACCTGTCGGTGAACACCGTAATACGAGCTATTCACTGGAAATGTTTTTCGTCCATGATCACCGCTCTGCCATCGTGCATCTAGACGCTTCTTATGGTAGTTACTCCACTGGAAAGCAGGAGAGATCCTTGTTCGCAGCAAGTACTTAAGAGCATACAAACATGAACACGAGCATCACTTTTTGCCCGTACAGTTTATCGCCAGTGGAATTCTTCGACAGAGATGCACGCCACGGCGTGATCCGTCGTATGGAGGAGGAAATAAAGCCCACATTTTAACCTTCGATCCATAAAACATCTTGTCCGGAATTGGGTTACAACTTTATTCGAGAGCATTGACAGCGAAATGTTACCTTGATAGAACAGTACTCCCGCCGGCTTGCACGTCTACCTTGTGGCTGGCATGTTCATTCCTCCTTGTTTCCTCACTCCCCACTTGGGGCCTTTGAGCGTCCGACTTCTGTCTTTCCTTTCTTTTATTCTCTTTCTACCCTCCCACAGTGCCCACCTGGCTCCCGCAAACATACCGAAGATCATTCAGCACCACTGCACTATACATACACACACTACCTAGAGGGCTCACTTCACACGCTCCCTGTCTGCGGTTATCCGTCCGCCTTATATACTTCTCTCACCACTCCATCCACAAATGGCATCCCAAACAGCACATCCGTCATCCACAGACGCAGCAGCAGCAGCAACAAACGCAACTACACTTACAGTGCCAGTGCCAACGTCTGGCATTAGGAAGTTTCTCCGCTACGACAGCCTTGATCTCTCACGAGTGGTATCATCCAACGTTGTCACTGCAAATGCCCTACTGTACATCCGCTTCATTGTTGCGTTGCACCTCTCGGCTGTCTTCATCGCGACACTCTATGTTTCTGCAAGAGATAATGTCTTTTACATGGTGCCGACCACGTTCACCAACCTGAGCAATATTGGCCTTACAGCATATTATTTGGTAAGAAAGACAATGGTGATAGTGTCGCTTACATCCCAGCAGCGAACACGAGAGAGGAAACTGACCGTTCGTCTTCAATCCCTGACTCATCCGTCCGCCCACTTATCCCCTTCCTCTGTCTTAATCGATTCGCCTTGAATAGACAGCAACATACCACTCTTACAACTTTATTCGCCACAAGGACCTGCGGTCTCTGACCTCTCAGCACTGGTTCCTGAGCTCGGCACTGTTCCTGCTCTACGCCTCTGTAGTTGTCTACCACATTGTTGTCCCTGCCATTTATTGGGGCATGCTCTTTGATCCCAACAACACTATGGATACGCTCAACAAGTACGTAGATTTTTCCCATCACGGCGCCGACCTTGCCTGCATCCTGATAGAGATGATCTTCAATCGCATGGACCTACCCTGGGTCTACATGCTCGGCCCACTCAGCATGATTATCCTGTACATGTTTTTAGCATGGGTGTACTTTGCCGCGTAAGTTCCTCTATCCCTTTATTTCATTTCCCTACTTTGATGCTTTCGGGCCATCTCCTAACGTCCTATACATGACCGCTTTCCCCCCCCCCTCTTTATATACAGTCGTGGCGAATGGCTCTATGGATTCCTGGACTGGTCCAAAGGCCCTGTGGCTGCCGGATGGTATATTGGTCTTCTCTGCATCTTCGCTCTACTTTTTGTGCTCCAAAAATACATCCATCAAGGTCGTGACAGCGCACTGAAGCGTAGAAGAGCTACGGTTGCTGCTCAGGATGGCACAGGTGTGTTGGAGAACAAGCAGTATTGTAGCAGAGACGAAGAGATACAGCAGACCAAGCACCAGCAGGAGTTAGCACAGAGACCTTTGAATGATCTGAAAGAGGAGGTGTCAGAGTCGCTGGAGATGCCAGAACAGAAGCAGGAGCTTGAGCAGGGACCATAATGGAGTGCAGTACACACATATTTTCCATATTCATAATAGATTATCGTACACATAGGCATGTAAGCAAGCAATTTTAATATATCAAGAGTCCGTAACATGTGCTTGCACGGATGAGGACCATCATACACACACGTACAACAACTCATTGTCATCGAGCGAGGGCTATGTGGGTTTTAATGAGGACACAGAAGTGCAACTGAACATTACCCACAGGTGGCTAACGTCTGTGATCTGCAGTACTTCTTTTGCGGTTTACAAAAAAGTTATTCCATTACACCGAAAATCGTGTTCTACATTAATGGGCATGGCACTAAGGCTCTCCTCTCATGAAGGTGCTAGTCCAGAAATACAAGTTGGGTGAGCAATTGTCGATGGTAGACTAGGATGTTCTGGATGCGTTTCTTGTAGTCTATCATAGTGTGATTATGGTATATCAGAACTTGCCCTTCAAGGCCACTCGACCAGCTGCAGCTAGAGCTCCAAACGTTTTAGGGCAACGGCCCTTGGCGAAGTATGATCAATCGTAGCCCATTTTGAACATTGATTCAACCGTAGCAGAGAATGATCATATCAGGAACCACAACCCTAAATACCGCAGGTTACATGGCGTTTCTCATTTGGATAAAAATAACTAGTTCTGAATGGGGCGGAGGGTGGGTCACTGGGTAGGAGGGCCAAATGTTCCCTCCGCTCCTGTCACTATGTTATGTGCAATATACGAGGACTTTCGGCCGCTGCTCAGAAAACCGTATTTCTCGCTTCTTTTAATTAGTATTATGCCAGAGTTTCCGAGGGTTCATCCTTCTTTCTTTTCTCCATCCCCCTGCTCACCTAAATAAACCCCATCTTGTCTTCTCCTCTTTTTTTCCACTCTTACTCTCCTTCCATCCTACCATCCTACCCACTCCTTACCATGAAGTTCCTGAACACAATCGCCCTCATCGCCCTCGGCGCTATTGCAATCTCCTCTACCGCAGAGGCAGCTATCTCGGCCGGCTGCAACACTTACCTCACCAACTTGGCCCAGCCCTCGAACCCTCTGTCCAACTGCCGTGTCTACACCGCCCTTGGCTTCCCTAATTTGACCCATACCGCCGACCACGACACTGTCAAGCTCGAGAAGGCGTTGACGACATATTGCGCGACCCCTGCCTGCACATCAGAGCAGTATGCGGGTGTGTACAAGGATCTCCAGGCCAACTGTGCGGCCGATATGGTCGCAGAGAACCAACCAACCCTTGGTGCGACTATGTATATGTGGTAAGTTTCTTGCTGCGGGGGGGGTTTTTTTTGTGGGCTGAAATGGCTCTTGACTGCTGCCGTAATAAACTCTGGTGTTGTACCGAGGAAAGTGGAGAAGATTGTATGCAGGCAAGGCAATTAATTTAAATTTATCCTCTCAATTTAAACCAAAGGTATCTTTCTCCCGCACAGCGACAGGCGGTCTGTCTTCAGAACCCCACCAAGAACACGACCTGCGTGATCGACTCGATCAACGAGATGATCGCCCGTGCCCAGTTCCCTAACGATAACAAGAATGAGGATGACCTCTACGGATACCTCCAATACGTGACCCCAATGCTCTCGGCCAAGAGCACCAACGAGACCGGATTCTGCACGGCCTGCAACCAGGAGGTCGCAAACATTTTCTCAAATTACTACACAAAGACACCCTCGCCCTTCAATCTGAACTTTGCACAGCAGTTGAGCAGCAAGACCTTGAATGATGATCTGCAGTACCAGTACAAGACCAGCTGCAAGGTCACCCTCGGCACTGATCAGTCGGCCTTCAAGCCCACGAATGTGACCACTCCTTCTGCTGGCAGCAAGGATGGAAAGGATACCAAGGACGGAAAGGACAGTGCGGCCGTGAATGTTGGCTTCTCGTTGGCGGGCGTTGCTGCTGCGGCCATTGCCGTTGCCGGAGCATTGGCGCTTTAGATATTCATCATGTAGACGGACACTGGGCTTGTCCAAAAATAAAAAATGCAGTTACGCCCATTGCATCACGTGCAGACATGACGTCCATCTTCGCAAGAAAACCTCTCTCATTACAGCCCATCCTTACCTATCTTCTCTGACTTTCACACTTCACAGCCCTTACTTGTACTTCACTGACTATGCGCTCCATTACCCTCACATTCGCATTCGCCTTGGCATTCACATTCGTGGCCTCGGCTGCACCGGCACCAGCACCGATTCCTCAGGAGAGTAAGTCGGATACGCCTTCCCTCTCCCCCTCTCCCCCCTCCACAGCAGCGCAATCGCCAGGACCGCCCAGCATTTTTTTTTGTCTGCCGTCTAATTTTAATCACCCCTCACCACCTCATACTTTTTTTTTTTTTAACCCACGGGAGTCTGGTTCAGCATGAATACAAGCAATCATTACAACTACCTGACCTTCTTCGACTATCCCTGTGCTAGTCATATGGCGCACGCACACTCCAATTTGCTCTCAAAAATGTGTCTTGGGAAGAAGTGCACTGTTTTACTACAACTTGAGCGTATGCTCAAACCTTTTTTTTCTTCTTTTCGGATATCCTAAAAGTGAAAAAACGAAAAACACGCCAGCTGACTAAATCATTGCTGTCCTCGCTAATGGTTTTACATCTTCATGTTACGTACGTAGCACTAGAACAGACAAAGTGCCTGGATGAATGTCTGTCCCTGGAAGAAGATTGTCTCCTGAACTCAATCAGCATGAGCGGTTGTATTGTCAGCTACGACGAGTGCCACCGCGATTGTATACCCGAACCGGATTTGGGAAGCGACGATCGACGGGGCCAAGAATGGACGGAGGAGGGGGAAGAAAGGGACGATGAGTTTGAAGAGATTCCGGCACCGAAAGGAGGAGAGGATGATGAAGAGTTTGACGATGATCCATCGGATTACTAGACAGCGTGGTATCTCATATTTATTTTTCTCGTTATCGATGAAATAAATATGAACTTTGAGAACGCCTTGTGTGCCCCATGAAGAACGAACGTGAACGTAACGATGTAGAGCTACATTGATAGTCGAGAGGTCGATATACATGTACATGGTTCTGTTCAAGTTTGGCTACTTCAAGCGCGTAATGGAAGATTGGGACTACATCACCAAAGGGCCCCAGGTGAAGTCGTGCGTGCGTTAACATCTCCGGTCAAGGCTAAAATAAGAGACGGGAGAATCTTGAAGTGGATGAAATGAATGGAGCGAGGTTGAGGGATGAACGATAGTAACGATTCAGGAATCCGTTCAGAAAGCGCCACAGAAAATGTGCGCTGCGTAAATAGCAATAGAGATTAAAAGCTAATGCCCCGTTTATGGCTACTTTGCGAGTGTATATGCTTCCTGGCAAAGAGTGTATTTGCACCTTCCAACGAGCAATGGTCGGTGTGGTGTATTCATCATATTGTCTTGCTTATTGAAAGTGTCCCATTTCTCTGGATCTGCCATCACTTGGCGCCGATTCATTATTAAGAGCATAATGCCTCTGAGACTACCTTCGTTTTCACAGTTATCATTCCCACATACTTCGCAGTCGGAGGGGTCGATCCCGTATTGAGAAGATGTCGATACAACAAGAACGATCCATGCAGAGCACATGCGCTCGCCAATTTTTAGTCATCTTTCTCAGGTCGCCATAATTTTCTAAGGTTTGCAGGCCTATCTGAGAGGACGAATCGACAGCAGAGACGGTGCATCCTTTCGTGAACGTCAAGAACATGCAGTTATTCTTTCAATGTACGCGTTCATCCATGCCTCCGGCAGCCTGCTTACCGTGCTTTAAATAGAATGTGTATAATAGCATCAACATAAACCTGGAGATGTCTTCATCAGACACAAAACAGATAGGGAGAGACGCGTCGAGTCGGTCGGTACCCTTGTTTGATTATGGAACCGGCTGGCCGGCTGTATCAAAACCATAAGCTTATTTGTTTCAGTGTAAGTGCTGAGCGCATTTTTTTCTGTTGGAACATCATCCTGATTGGCTCCATGCCGTATACCCACAGCTCTCCAGCACTCTACAGAAGCTTCTTTATTTGAAGACTATATTGAATTGTTTAATAATAAATTGATTGTAAAGGGACTGGACTGTCCCTCATCCTGGCTTTTGTCCAGCTTGATCGTTCTCCTTTTCCTTTGAGATACAGCAGTAGCATCGCATGGAGACACACTACAAATTGTGGTTAAATATACCCTACCAATACCAGTGTTTACGCAACTCGTAACAACGTTGGCCATAATTTTAAGCGACTGTCGGACGTGATCCATCATGACTAGGCTTATTTGGTTCAGACTCACTGAATCCATTTGCTTTAGAATCAACCACATATGCACGCCAGTATATCAGTAGTGGGTGTTAGATAAGACTGAATCATATATATACCTTGACTCTTCAAGGACGATATCCTCAAAACAAGTTCAATGGTAGGTGGCCAGTGGAGATGAATAAATGAATGACTGTGCTTTGTTCCTTTTTCACTCTAGCACCCACCAAAAAGAGCACCCCCGAAAATGCGTTCAAGGTAGCGCATTAGCAGTTTAGTAAGAAGTGTAAAAAAGCACCCAAATTTCTGGCGTTCTCCTCGACTTGACCCTCAAATTTGAACGCATTTCTCAGTGAATTCATCCAAATATATTAAATGCAAAAATGTATTTGTGAGAATGAAACTACACGTTACTAGGTCTAATCGCTGCTGTTGTGTGCTCCGTCTCGTTCTCGAGTTGATTCTTCAGCTTCTCCAACCGCGCTGTCTCCTGCAGAAGCATCGACACCCGCTCCGACAGTACCTTCTCCAATAAAACCGTGGTTGGTGATGTTTGCTGCATATCTGAAGCGGTGGCCTCCGCTCCCTCGGATCTGCCTTCGCCGCGCGTTAATAACAAGTCCTGTTTCTCCTTGCGCAATTGCTCCACCTGCTCTTTCAATTCGTCTCTCTCCTGACAAAGCTTTTGTTTCTCCGACTGCAGATCCTCGACTTCGATCTTAACACGTGCCTTGCGCTGGTAGAGTTGCTCCATTTGGTCGTGGTACAAGTGAAGTTGGTCATGCATCTGCATAGGTGCGTGCCCATCGTCTTCCAGATACTCTGCGGTAGGAGAGGCGGGGGACAATGGCGGTCGGAGGCTGGATGACTCTGCCTGGGCCACTACGGTGTCGATACTCATAGAAGCCGCTGCTGCTGTATTCAGAGACGGCGACGTCGACAAAGTCACTGTGGCTGAGGAAGATGGGGACGTAGGAACGACTGTTGTCGTGGCAATCGACGGCGGTCGTCTGGGCTGATACAGATACTTGAAAATCCCACTCTCGCCACGCGCCGAATTATTCGCACTAGCATTCCGGCTGCCGCTACTGCTGTTATTCTCGGTCTCACTATCCGTAGATGTCCTGTGCGTGGCTCCTTTCTGCTCTACAGCCGCTCCTCCTGCTGAAGAAACTGAAGCCATAGATGGTGAAGAGCTCATCCTTGTCATGACCTCCTCGATTGTCTCCTTTAGCATGGCCCTACCCTGCTCGTTCTCCTTCTTCCGGAGGAGCGTACCTCCACGGCGAATGCCCATCATCCTGGACATGTCCCGCATCATCTTTTCTACGCCCGAGACATTATCCGCTAATTCTGAAACTGTCGCCATCTGGATTTTTGTGAACATCTCGAGTTGATCCTTGATCAGTTCCTGAATCTCCTCGGCAGTGATTGTTGCCTCTCGCGTGCCTTCCCTTGCAGTCGAAGATGATGGTAGCTGAAGCTGGTTTCGGCGATTGTGCAATAGTGGATCCTGATCAAGGTCGTCCAGGATATCAACCTGCGTGTATTCTTCCTCGCTACCACTTGCACTACCACCAATGACCACTGAATCAGCGTCGCTCGTAAGGATCGATCGAGATGGTACGTCCTTTGTTAAACTGCCGCCGGTGGCAGAGGTAGCACCAGAAGCGCTAGTGGCCGCAAAGACAATCTCTCGGAGGTTCTCAGTCTGCATGCTTGAATGTCTGACGATCCACTCTCGCAACTCCTGCAGCTCCTCCTTGACCGCCATATCCTTTGATCCGATTTCAGCCTGCGATTCTTGAATCGAAGAAATGACTTGGTTCATCTTCTCCAAGATCTCATCTCGTTGCTCGTTCGAGGAGGATTCAGAACGATCTGCCTCCTGCTGGATAAGTGTTTTCAGTTTGTCGATCGATTCGGTCCAGTCCTGTTGACCGGTTGAAGAGGTCATCTTTGGACTCATATGGCTAACGGTATCTTGTTTCTCATGTAGTTGCTCCGTATCCTTGGATTTATCACCGTGATCGCCATCGAGAAGCTCATGGACCTTGATCAATAGTTCCTTGTTGCCCTTCTCGTAGCGAGACAGTTGCTCGTCAACCATGTGGCCCAACTTGGTATCCATGTGATACAGCATCTCTGCTATCCGATCTGAAGTTCTTGCCACCATCGCGCCGTGCTGAGTATCCAGCGGATTCGCATTAACGCCGCCATTAGAGAGGGAAGATGGAATAGATGTCAAAGACAGAGACGATGAAAGGGGATGGCCTGGAGGAGATGAGGAGATTCGATCTCGGACCGTAGCAGAGTTACTGCCAGTGCTGTTGCTTGGTCGAAGAGAAGCCCTCCAAGAGGCTGGGGAGTCGATTTCCAGCGGCGAGGACAATACTGCCGCCGTTGGCTGTTGCTGAATGAATGTCAGGGAGGGTGATCTCGAGTGCGATCGAGGCGGGGTGGGTCTCTCCCCGCTGTTGCTTCTGCCGAGATTGGCGATGCGAGGTCTTGGTGGAGCCGCCCCTTGTTGATCCAAACGTCGTTGTTGCTCATCCAGCTGTCTCTTCATCTCTGAGAGTTGTTCCGATAGCTCTTCGATATGGGCAGACTGATCCTTGACGGACGGGATAACCTGTAGATCGAGTCGGTTCAGCACTTCGACCAAAGAGAGCTCATTTGTGGATGGGATCGTTGTGACTATAGCCTCCAGATTCTCTGGGCCTGAGTGTCGAAGAGTGGTTGCGTCCATATCTCTGATAGCTGTATCTACAAGCCCTTTCTCGTCGCCAATCTCCTGCAACTGAGCGCCGTCAATCACCTCTTCATCATCATCACGATTCAGTCTGGAAGAGCCCTGCAGAGCAACCAAACGACGCAGGAGGTGCATCTGCAGAGCCATCTTTTTGTCCATCTGCTCCATGTGCTCCTGGACAGCCATCATCCTTCCATCATCCACATTGCTCGCCCCGCTGCTCCTACTACGGTCGAATTCCAGGTCCTGATAGGCCATCATGCGGCATTGTGCTGTGTTCACGAACTCGAGCAGAAGCAATAGCTGATCTAATTTGGAAGCCATCTCCTGGTTTTGTTGAGAGCGCTGGCGCGAATCCATGTTATAGCCGGGATCCTGCTGGTATGCATTTGTCGCTGGAAGACGGTTCCCACCCTCATTCGCGCTATCTCCATCACCATCTTCAAAGAGTCGGGCCATTCCTGCAATCTTTGGATGCTTACCGCCATTGGCTATCGACCCACTAGTGTTGGACAAGGACCCTAAATCTCCGTCCGAGGCGCCAGCTACCAATGAACCGGATGCTGGTATCTGAAGTCGATTGTGTAGTGAGGTCGAATTGGCCCGCTGAAGGTGCTGTCGAGATCCGCTATCGACCGTGTGATAAAACGGATGTGTGCGACTAAAGGAAGAATGCACCATGGTGCTGGCAGATCGTTGTAAAAGTGAGAATCCCGTCGCTGTAGCAGAGGACCCATTGCCACTGTTATTGTGGCTATTACTGCTGTTCCCTGGTGCGCCGAGTCGTCGGTAAGATCCGCTGCCTCCTGCTCCATAAAATCCCTGCTGATTCGGCATACCATTGCCACTCTGGACCTTGGCGAGCTGCTCTGTGATTTCTGCCAGTTTCGAGCGGATTTCAGAAAGGGCCGAGATGTCTCTCTGGTGGGCGCTTGGGTCCGTTGCTGAGAGCTGCATTACATCTATTATCTCGTCCTTGAGCTCCTCAAATTCCTGCCGTTGTCCTGCGGTCGCGTCCTTAATCTCTGTCAACTTACTGACGAGCAGAGATGAAATATTGTTAAGGAGCGATGTCATCGACTGGAGAGATTCTTCCTGTTTGATAGAAAGATGGTCAAACTCTGGCAGGATGGTGTCTCGTAGCCTCTGGGTCAAATCTGTAGTCGAAACAGCATTCGTGGCGGTATTGGGCATGAGGAACGAGGATAAGGATGACGGAAGCGCCAGTGATATAGATGGTGGCGTATTAGATACGGATCCTGTCGGAGCCTTCGAGGGCGGCTCTGGTGTGGTACTGGTTACGGGCGTTGCTTTTGGAGAAGATGTATCTGTCGTATTCTTCTGTGGAACTGGCGACATTTCCCCTGGCTTGGATTCGGCTGCATCGATCTGCGCCGATGGTGTCTGTTGAAGGGGCACCATGTCGTTCAGTGGTGCTCCCTTCCTGAGCATCTCCTTGCTCTTTCGCTGAATCTGCACCAAATCCTCTCGGAAGAACGTATCCGCAGCACCTGGAAGTGGTTGGTCAGGTAAGCAAGGCGCAAAGACATAAGAGGGTAGTTTAAGAAGTCCTTTAAGCGTCTCCCTGATCTCCTCCTGGAACCGGCGCGCGCTCTCAGGGTTGTTGATATCTGCGCGCTCCAATACCCGCTTCAATCTCATTGAATGATCTTGTAAGGTCTCGAGTGTTTCCTTGTATTTGTCTTGCACCTGCAATAAATACACGCTGATACCCATTGGTGAAGAAGGTGCTGGCGGAGGAGGAGCGTGTAGGATTGCGCCCCCAACTGACATCCGTCTTTCCCTGAAGTTGGCTGGCGCCAATGTCGGTGACGTTGGTGAGGAAGTGGAAGTCGACGGCCGAGTAGCAGAGCTTGTGGCGCTAATAAACTGATCTAGAGCCAATAATACTCTCTTGATTTCAGAGCTTCTCGTGTCAAGGTTAACCGTTAGTCCAACCAGAGTCGATTTGAGCATCTTGTACGATGTTGCGTTCATTGTCGACTCGCTTGCATGGACTCTTAAACATTCAAGATGGCTGTTGACAACCTCCACAATTTGCTCCGACCCAGTCTCCAGGTGGACCCTGGCCCGCTCGATTAATTCCTGAACTGTCCTTGCAGTCTTCATAACTCGTTCCAGAAGCTGGTCCCTGACGGCATAATGCTGGTTGACGGTTACTTTGGCTGCCGCTCTCCATGCCTCGAGCTGAACCAAGAGAGACTCGGCCCTTTTTCTCTCCAGCTCCTGTTCCCTATGTGAAAGTTGCTGTTCCCTTGTCACCAGATCCTGCTGCACCAGCTGCAAGTGTTCCTCCAGCGTCGCCGTCTTCTCTGTGGGTGCTGTCCCTGAAGCCGTGTGAGCATAGTCGAAGGAATTATTACGGTGTTGGATGGTGTTCAATTTAGCCTCCAGTTTCATCAAAGAGGCGCCGACTGCTTTGGCCATAAGTGAATTGAGCGTGTCTATCCAGCCTGTCCGGTCAGACATAGTATCGGTGGCGAACCAGGTCTCTTCCTTTCGTGTGACAAGTTTGAATTCGAACCGGCCTGTAGCCTTGGCGTCCTGACCTTTGACCTGAACTTCATAGCATTCGGCCATATCAATTGTTTTGATCGGGAATAAATGCTATTTTTGTAAACATAAAATAGGGGTCTTAGCCTCGATACTAGCCTGTTCACTCCGACTGCTATTCAATAAATGTATCGACACTTACCTCATTGTCCTTGAAGAGGGTCAATACGCCTGGATTCGCGTCTCCTCGATGCCTTCCAATGGCATAACATCGCTTCCAGGTCTAGTGAAAGAGAATTGATATGAGAATTATGCCTGTTAATACATTTAGCTGACTAATGGAGTGATCTTCTATGTATTTCACATAGAACTGAATAACATACCAAAAGATTGCCTCTTCTCCAGAGCCATCCTTCTATAGCGATCTACAAGCGAATAATAAAGAAAAGCGTATTAGAAAAGCGTATTAGAAAAGCTGAACACAAGTGAACTCAAAGGATAACCCTTCGTCAACGCAGCAGTTCAGAATCCTTGTCCTACCTGCATCTGAGCTCCGCCTGATCCAAGTGCTGTTGGTGACATGGCGCCTGCCCTATCTGTCCTCTGACTTACGGGACTGAACGGTTGCTGCTGTGCATGGAATGACCGGTATTGGTTCGAAACTGGACTGTCCGTATCGCTTGGCGCACCACTCCCGCGTCTCGATCGTATAACGTCTCCCACACTACCATTCTCGTGGCTCATCATTAAGGGACCACGACGAGCAAACCGTGAGGAGCTCGAGACAGGATCTTCAGGGCCCGATGTCGACGCACTTATGCTCTGTTGGCTCTTGTTTGACTGTGACATCACAGTTGCCGCGTTGCTAAAACTAGAAGCTGTTGGCGGATGCATGCATGAACTCCTTGCACCCTGATGCATAACAGCGGTAGTCCGTGGTCCTGATTGAGAGCCTGGGCCCAATGTGTTGAAAGATGACGATAAAGCTGCCGTGGCACTGTGTGGTCGCAGAGAAGATGTAGCGGCTAAGGGGGATATTGTAGATGCGGTGGTTGGTTGTACGGAAGAGCTTGAGGGTTCTGGAGGGGATCCGTTCTGGCTGGATGTATTCCCTGAGTTGTTGGAAGGGTTCGGCGGAGGTATGTAGTTCATGATCATGGTCGGGGATATGGGCCGTGTCAGAGCTGCATAGTATGATTCTTCCTCTTCTTGCGTTAACTTTGGTAGAAGAGGCTGGTTTTGCTGTTGCTGCTGCTGGGATTGTGGTTGTTGGCTGAGGTATGGCTGATTTTTCTTGCCCAGCAGTGCACTCGTTGCTGAGTAGCCAGATCCAGGGATGGAGCTTGATCCCGCAGGAAACGTTGTGGATGCAGAGGGTGTGGCTTTGGGTTGGATCCACGAAGTGTGGCCCTTTCCCAGAGCTCCATTATTGTTGTTGCTATTTGAATTAACGCCTGTGGTAATACTGAGGTTGTTGTTGATGCTAGAAGAGGTGAGGTTCGGATGCGAAAACTGGCTGCTGTGGATGCTAATTCTGGGTGTTCGAGTGGACGATACAGTACCGCTCACGCTGTGGTTGCTGTTCAAGTATGGTCCGTTGTTGAGGATACTCCCGCTGCTAGTAAAGTTCTGGTAACTGGGTGCCAAGTTAGAACTATTCGACGTGGTGGTATCCAGGTACTGCTGCTGTACACCTAGTGCCCTGAACAGCGGTCTCCCTGCTTGCGTGGCTGGGTTTATCGTCGACGTCGCTGTTGGGTTAAGCCCAGGCGATCCATTCGCAGAGGATAGCGGGCGAGCCCCATGTCCTTGCTGTTGTTGTTGCTGTTGTTGATCGTATGGCTTCAAGTTGTTCATTGGGGGGTGTTGTAATATGCGGCTGGATATGAAGCAGCGCACTCGATTTCAGTCGGTCGTGACGACAGGGAAGTTGAAGAGAAGTAGAGGAAACAAAAGACGAACAAAATGGAGCGAGGACTGAAAATAGAGACAGAGAGTCGAGGGCTAGCGAGGTCAGGGGTAGACGGGATCGGTCAGCAGGTGGCAATCAGATCAGGTTGATTGATTCGGTTTACTGGCATCATAGACCCATTCCTCATCCGCTATAAGACATACCGCATGGGAGGGTACAAATGGTAATCCCTTTTTTATAGCAAAATGTGGGGGTCGTGTGAGCAGGAGGTGAAGCCTTGGGTGTTGATACAATGGATGATGGAATAGGGGTACGATGGATTCGGGGCATGCAGGCGGACCGCGATGTGAAGTATGTAGGCAGTAAGTAAGATGTAAAGAGGCAGGAGCTCTCTTTCTCTTTCTCTCTTTTTCCTCACCAACATGCTTATGCCAAAAGACAAGGCTACAACAGGAAGGAATATGGAATAATGAGTAATGAGGTCGTGTTATGCTTTGGGCCACAGACTTTATTGGGGGTCATTTATGGCTGTGCGTTTGAGAATCTATCCACAAGGGAGTCGTTGATATAAAAGGCGAGCGATGTCCACAAGCTTCAGGAACGGGTCCCTGGTGGCGCACAAGTGAGACTACTACGAAAATTAGTCTGTGTGAAGGAAGCGATGAGAAGAAACGGATGAGAGCAGAAGGAATGTGTATAGTATGATGGGTAAGGTAAAGGAACACGAAATACTTGAGAAGAACGTGTTGGTTGGTGGCAAAACGCGCGAGTTTAACGGTTTCATCTTCATTTATCACGGACCGTTTATTATTGACCATATATGCTGCTGTCTAAGGAACCCGCTGCGTTTTTGTGTGCGTGAAGGAGCGATCCAAGTCGGGGCGACAAGAACTAAGATCCTGGGCTTTTTCATTTCCATTGAATGGCTCCTGATTGACCCGAAGCGCAGACCAGACTAGAGGGCTAGAAGACGAGCAGGCATGCTGGATCCGGGTAGGCACATGGAAGGGAAGCGAGCCGAAGCAGTCTGAGCCTACCCTGGCCGTTGTGTCTGAGGGTCTCAATACTTCGGGCGGCAGAGGCGGGTGGGCAATTGGACCCGTTACTTGCTGAACTTTTTTCTGATCCGAGTAAGTAGGCTGGGCTGGCTCGCTTTGTGTCCCTTCCCAGCCGTTTCAAACGGCACCCAAGGAAGGATCTGAACTTCTGCATCATGTGTGTTGCGCGTGCTTGCTGGACTATATATGCTACATGCCAAGAGGAGATTATTCATAAAAAAAGTTGCCTATTGTAACAACAAGAACGAGGGCGACAGCAACGACCACAGAATAACCAACAAAGTTATGAAGCTCCCACATGCATAGACTAGTATGACGCTCGGAACCTGCACTCCCAAAAGCGCTCGCTTCTCTCGCTAAAGTGATAATAAATATGGGCGATCATTCACAGCTACTCCCTCTTCTCCTCCTTTGCCGTCATTCTCTTCTACGTCGCCTCTCTCCTTCTCTCCTCCACTTCGTCTTCCTCGCATTCCTGCGCAGAAATAGACAGTAATCTTCGCCCCGTTCCTCTGTTTCTCAAGTCCTCCCCACTCTATTTCAGTCCCCTCCTATCCAATTTATAAATCTACAATGGGTATGTAATAGATCGGCCTCAGTATCCCAGACTACTTCCTTACACTTGCACACTATGCTGCAGTACCTCACCTTGCAGCGAGAATCAAGATGGCCAACGACGATGCATCTCGTTCATTCGAAAAAGTTGCATTCCCAATCTTCCTCCCACCGATCGCAAAACATGTGTCTGTGTAATATTTCAAGTCCAACTCATCACACCTTTTTAAAATCGTAGCTGTTCCTGCTGTTGCCGCTGCCGTTCCCGCGGCGCTCTATGTGAGCTCCAAGCTGGCACTCCCCCGCGACGTCAAGTTGGCCCGCGGATTGGTCAATGCTAAGCTCAACTATCGCTCGTACGAGAAAAACGACACAGTCAACATCTCGTACCGCTTTGAAGAGACCTGCAAGAAGCACCCTAACAAGGAGGCCCTAGTCTTTGAGGGAAAGTCTTACACGTTCGCAGATATCCAGAGAGGTAAGGGGCAGTAGGCGTGTGTCAAATAGGGACGAATTTGAGCATGCGCTTTTTAAACAAAGAAACATTGGGACTTATCACTCTAAAATATAACGAACCTTGATCGAAATAGAGTCCAACAGGATCGGCAACTGGCTGTTGTCTAAGGGTGTGAAGCGCGGCGACATTGTATCGCTTCTCATGCAGAATCGTCCCGAGTTCTTGTTCTGCTGGCTCGGTATCAACAAAATCGGTGCCACGGGTGCCTTCATCAACACAAACCTCACCGGCAAACCCTTGACACACTCTTTGAAGACCGCCACGTCCTCCCTATTGATCTTGGATAACGAATTGGCACAACCAATCGCCGACGTTCTGGACGAGGTCTTGCAGATGGGATACACAATCTACTCGTACGCTGGTGAACAGGCGTCGCCGATTGATTTTGCAACGCCCGTGGATCTCAATGGTATCTCGGACGCCGCCTTGCCAAAAAGTCTGAGGAAAAAGACGACCGCTAATGACATTGCCATGCTCATCTACACCTCCGGCACCACGGGTCTTCCCAAGGCGGGGCGATTCTCGCACTCGCGCGCAAACTGTAAGTTTTTGCCACCTTGATGTCCAACATAATTTGCAATCACCCTAATGAACTTTCATTTGCGTTTTCTTTTCAGTGGCGGCCCATTTCTGGGAATCGTTTTACTACTTCTCTCCTCAGGATCGTCTCTACATTGCGCTGCCACTTTATCACAGCGCTGGAGCCGTCCTCGGCATGTGCGTCGCCTGGGTGACCGGCGCCACCGTTGTTCTTGCACGCAAGTTTTCGACTTCCTCCTTCTGGGACGAGTGCCGTGTGAACAACGTCACTGTGATCCAGTATATTGGCGAGATCTGTCGCTACCTGCTCAACGCCCCTCCTTCACCCCTCGACAAAACACACACCATCCGTATGGCGCACGGAAACGGAATGCGGCCGGACGTCTGGTCACGCTTCAGAGACCGCTTTGGCATCCCCCTGATCGGTGAGTGGTATGCCAGTACCGAGGGAACTGGTATCCTGACGAACTACAACACTGGTGAGAATGGTGTCGGTGCCATCGGATACAGAGGCAAGGTCGCCAGGACAGTGGATTGGGGCTTGAAGATCGCTAAGTTTGATGTTGTGTCCGAAGAGCTGATCCGCGACAAGAATGGACGCTGCATCGAGGTAAGGACCATTTAGAAAACGAAACAAGGCGTAAAATGACGATCTGAAATGTCGAAGGGCATATCTTTAATCGATTCCTATCACTCAATATAGTGCGCTGCGGACGAGCCTGGCGAGCTGTTGACGATTATTGACTCTTCAGACCCTACACGCGCCTTCCAGGGCTACCATCAGAACGCGAATGCCAACTCCAAAAAGGTTGTCACTGACGCTTTCAAGGTCGGCGACCGCTACTTTCGAACAGGCGATATCCTTCGTCGCGACAAGGACGGCTACTTCTACTTTGGTGATCGTGTCGGCGACACATTCCGCTGGAAGTCCGAGAATGTTTCCACGGCTGAAGTTTCAGAGGTTCTCTCGACCTACCCAGACTGCATCGAAGTCAATGTCTATGGTGTTCAAATCCCCGGACACGATGGAAGAGCGGGCATGGCAGCAATTGTTTCCAAGGACACGATGGACTGGGATAAGTTCGCCAAGTTTGCACTCAAGAATCTGCCCCGCTACTCGGTTCCTATTTTCATCCGAAAGTCACCCGCGATTGAGATCACAGGAACATTCAAGCAAAGGAAGGTCGAGCTCGTGAATGAGGGTATGGACCCCAGTAAGATCCAGGATGAGATGCTCTGGATGGATGGCCAGTCTTACAAGCCCTACAAGGCCCCAGAGTATCAGCGCGTTGTGAGCGGCAAGGCGAAGTTGTAGAAAACAGGAAAGAAAAAAATACATAAGCAGAATATATCAAATTCGATTTTCTTCCTTAGAGCGCTTATGTGATGATTAAAGGGATATACTCCCAGCCGTTTGCATTTGTTTATTTAAAGCTGTCTGATGGGCTGTGGAGTACCGAAATGTTGGATTAAGTGACCGCTCGGTGTTTAGCCTGGATGTCCGCCAAGAACTTTGCAGTCATCGCTGCAGCTTCCTCTCGGTTCTGCCTCGTGGAGATTGCATCGATCAAGAACTACGCATGAGCACGATCCTCTTTCATATGCACGTCAACCTCCACCCTGTCCTGATCTCTAGCTCTCTTGACGAACTGTTCAATCAATGGGCGAAAGTCCTCGATATCACCAATGAAGACCAGAATCTGCGGTAATTTTGCGAACGTTGTTGCGTTCAGGGGAGATACCTAGCCAATCGGGCATGCCTTGGATGTTAGAGCACATCTTCGTTACACATACTGTAACCAGCTCGAAAAAAAAAAAAAAAAAAAAAAAAAAAAAAAAAAAAAAGAGAGCACAATTCACTGTTATCGATAGATAGGAAGCCGAGCCTCGGCTGATGCTTTTCCTGAGCCTTCTTCATGATCATACGGAATGACTCTAGAATCTGCAAATTGTACCCATCGATGAATCCACCACCATGGATGTAAAATACCACAAGATCGCAGCCGTCTCCAGCCTTCACATTCATAATGTCGTCTAAACTTTTGACCTGGCCATCCTCATCCTTAATGCCTTGATATTGAAAAGGAACCCAATAGCCCTTTCAATGCATGGCCTTGAAGTCCGCGCTGACCACCAATTTCCTCCCGAAAGCTTTGGCCAAGTGGCCCCTGATGCTTATTGGTGGTTCGTTGTACGCGTTTTCCAAATACAGGAACGACTCATTTGGCACGCAGTTCTGCTGCACCAAGGCTGACCTTGGACTGTTGGTTTTTCAATCCAAGTGCGAAACCTTTGCACCGCTTCTGAAGTGACAAAAAGGCACTACTGCAATTGAGGAAGGCGACTGTACAGTTTACAGTGAGCAGCTGAGTGGGCGGCTCTTCCTGTAAGATGCATTGCAATATATTTGAGCGCGCCTCCAACTATTCACATAAAAAAAAAAAAAAAAAACGTCATGAATAGGTCCTGAACGAGACGAGACCATCGCTGCCGCTGTTAGAGAGAGGCATAGCAGGTTCAAGCAAGTGTTCGTTAGCGTACTGCCATTAAGGACCAGAGTATATTTAAGGGACGCGTCAGTAGACCAAGGTTTGGAATCAGCGGTGCAAGATGAGCTGAAGATTAATCGGGCTCAATCAGCGATGCTCCACTTCTCCACCGCCACCAAAAAAGAAAGCGCGATCTCATTGGCCAGGTTCAACAAAAAACAACACCGCCCAATTCAAAGAAAAACCCCTTACATGCATCCTGGATTCTTATGATCATCATAAGCAATGTCGGCCCAACAACTAATTACTGTACTCCAGGATCTGGTCAACGCCAGTACAATCGATAACTCATGGAACCAGGAGCTAGACGCTGTCGCGAAGCGGCTTCAGGTCGATGCCGATTTCCGGTAACGAATTGCGTGCCCAGGAAGATCAACAGATCACTTTCACAGCATCATGTGTATAGAACCGACTGATAACCGGAATATCAAACCGGAATATCATAGCATTGAAGTTGGACGACATGAAAATGTATGGAGCGATATCGCCGCTATCTTACGCAGGGTTGTCAAGGACGGATTAGACCCAAAGCAAGTCGAGCAACTCATGTTTCTGATGCGAACTATTCGTAATGCTGTTGCTGGTGTTACTGAGAATCAGGATCAAGCAAGGTATGCTCATTTGAGTATTCCTCATACTATCGATACCCGTTTTCGATTGCTGGTTGATGATGCTTGTAATTGCTTACCAGTGCTTTCCTTGCAGGACGTTCAATCTTCCGAATTTGATCCAGGAGGTCGTCTCGCAAGCTGCGCACACTCATTACGGAAATGTCGCGTGTATGGTCCAGTTGTTTCTTTAAACACCCAATACCCGCTATAATCGGACGATATTTCCATGAACATCACCATTTGACATGTATCGCAAATCGTCCTAATTAATCTTTGTAGATATCATGATGCTGCGAGCAGGAATTCAGGCTCTGTCCAATCTGTTGACGGGAAACAACGTATCGAAGGATGAAATCTGGAAATCCCTTCTCGTGAAGACACCCAGTCCGAGCTGCGACCAGAATCTTTTGAGGTGTGTGACTGACCAATACAAGGAACCACGAACTCTTAATCGATCATTGCAGGGCTGATGCTGAACTAAGATCTTTCTCCGCACATCGTCATATAGCACGTTGGCGGCCATCGAGGATGAGACGATTGTCCTTAGCACAGTTATGCTTTGTTACAATTGTATTTTTGAATCCCTTGAACGCAGGTAGGCGGTATTCCGTTATCAGCATTATGCAGGCGCTCGACCATGGTTAATAATGAAGAGTTGACATCCATATCGTTAGTGATTTATTAATTTCAACCGCTGCGGGGAGGAAGCTGCAGGCCCAACTCCTCAACGAGTCCCATGCAACAAGCAGTAAGGAGGAGCGAAAGAGTTTTGAGATGATTTACACATTTTTCAACTACCTCATTGGACAGGATTACTTCCCACAAATGTTTGAGACTATGAAATCCCAAGAACAGGACAATGAAGGGGATTACAAAATTCGATATCACGGAGAACATTTTCATGAGAAGGAGGGAGAAACCATTCCCAAGATCCAGGAGCTGGGGATTGAGGAAGTAGAAGACGAAAACGATCCTTCAAATGCCAAAAAGGACCAAGAAGGGACCAAACCTGGGGACCCCCATCTCAGTGCTGAACAGGTCATTTTACTCAAGATGATCGACTCGCGGATCTGTGCCCATCACCAGCAACAGCAAAAATTATACCAACAGCGGCAAAACTTAGACAGCCTTCCAAAAGACACGGAACCACCGGTTAGTTTGAAAACCGTCGAGTTCTTAACAGAGACCTTTGCCAAGGTTTCAACGCTGACTATCGGGGTCTTCAGGACTTTGAATCAGCCTGGCATTGGACAGTATGCCGTTGAAGATCTCGCAAACTTGTCGTCTGGGGTCATGTTACTGCTCGGTTGCTTTGCACACCTCAGTCTTTTCGAGGATGGTCATGTTAGCATTGCACAAGGAGTTCTAAGCGAGGATGACGAAGTGCTCGAGGAAACTGAGCGACCCGGTGGACTCTTGCCGATACCCGACTGGTTCAAAGCGCAGCATATGGCGATGGTTAACGGTGGGATTGTTGAAAATGCTATAGGTAAGTGCAAATCGAGGTAAAATCGTCATTTCCGGGCCGTGAAGGAGAAACAGTCTTACTCAGCCATATATATTCTTACAATTAGAATTACTGCGACAATCAGACAAGAGTCTGGCGCGAGTGACTAAGCCTGTACCCGGAGCCCCTGTGAACGCGACAACAGCAGCAACATCTGCAGCCACAGCCGCAGCCACAAATCCAGTCGCAAGCCCAGTTACGACCCAAGCATTTGAGGCCAACACAGAATCAACTCTGCTTTCCGGCACCTCAACCATGCAGGGACAGCAAGCGTTCTTTGTCGGACTGAAGCGTGACATTGTGCGACTTGTCGGTAACTTAGCCTATCGGTCTAGACATGTCCAGGATCGGATCCGGCAATGCAATGGCCTCATCGTCATCCTTAGTCAGTGCAATATCGACGATGCCAACCCATGTAAGTGCCCCCAGCATTTTCTATTAGCACAACCTCAAGGGCAACTTCGCGCTATTTTTTCAAAAGCGGAAGCGAGGGATTTGCTTGATGTTTGCTATTTGATCCCATTGATAAGGCGGTTAAAAAAATTAAGATATTCTTTTTAACGGGGAATATTCCAATATATTCGACACAGATCTTCGCGAGTATGCTATTTTGGCGATGAAGAACATCCTCGCTGGAAATCTCGAGAACCAGGCGCTGATCGAGGAACTACAGCCGATCGAGGCGGTGGACCATCCTGCTTTGCAAGAGGCTAGAGTGACAGCACACCTTGATGCGGAGACTGGACGACCGGTCCTAACGCAAAAAAAACCATAGAGCGCTATTCATTTCTGGCCGCGAAAAAGCGAGTAAAATAATAAATGGGATGCCAAGCATGTTCAACAGAGGCTACAGTTGAAGCGGAAGGGATGAACGCACCCAAGTCAGAGAAGGAGACAAGAATTCGGGTTGTCCATATAGCCCATAAAGCCCGTATTCTTATTTCCGTGTATTTTGCTGTTCATGTGAGAAAGCGAAGACATCGTACCCCATTAGAGTTTAGACCATTGGGCTGCTGTTAATTAGCCCGGCCTGAAACTCTCAACACCGGTATGCTTCCCGTTGCCTTGGGGGCTGAGAGGCGACGGAAGATCTGAGCGTAAAATAGAGCGCGTAAGGTGAGCGCCTTGTCTTTGAGGACGATCATCCCTGGCAATGCTGTCGCGATCGGCAAAGACGTGTGCCTAGGCATACGTGCTGCACGGTTTCAGTTGCGAGGTGGATAGATTGATAAAATCCCCAACTACGGCTTTTAAATTCATTGTTACGGCGTACGAGATTGAATAAATCCCTTGCTGGTTGCGCTGTTTTGGATGCATTTCTTGGCACCTGCAGGCGCAGCTTGTCGTTGGAGCTGAACACGCAACAGCCCTTTCAATGGCTAATGGCCCTACAACGCGCGCTCAACACGTCCAGGGCAGCCAATCAAATTGCTGCAAACAAACACATCGCCCAAAAGCGTCATTGCAGGCTCAGACCCAGGGTAAGCGTGGATAAAAAGCAAGGAGGGAAGAGGACAAAGACCGATACCATACTCTTCGAATCTCATTCCATTAGCCCTCTATTCAGACACCACTCTCATTCAATTGACTCCTCCCCGCCATGGACCCTAGTAATCAGCAACGCGCTCGCCTACCACCAGAATGCATCGAGCTGATTGTGCAGTACCTATGGGACGACATATCGACGTTGCACACGCTTCTCCTCTGCAACCGCGACTACTTTGTGCTCGTCGCACCAGTCCTCTACAGAGACCCATTTCGACTCGTAAACCAGCATCGAACCTGGACAAGAGAGGACAAGACCCGACGCACCGCCTATCTGATGCGTATCCTTCATGCCTGTGCCCTTACCAAACCTAGTCAGAGGGATATCCAAACAAATGACTTTGACGCCTCCAGTTCCACCTCTTCAACATTATGGACCGCGACAGAAAAGTCCTTGAATTCATCTGTCCTCGGATTGTCATTGGGAGAAGATGCTTCACAGTACGGATCAGCGCATATCAGAGCCAGCCACGGATCTCCAGCATCAGCAGACGGAATGCTCGCCACAAAGTACCTCACGCCTCTCCCGAATCCACTGACGATTGACTATCTGTTCTATTATACGCACCAGGGACAGATTCCTCAGGCATTCAGAGCCTTCCAGTTCTTGAACCCGACAGTCGATAGGTTTTCCAAGGGCAGGATGGTATTCGAGCAGGCGTTTGCGAAAGCAAGCATGACTTTGTCATTAGCGCTGTATGGGCATTTCCCCAGTCGGATTCGAGTCTTGTCAATGACGCCTTCACAATTGGGATGCATCCTCTACAAGGACTTTGGGGGCGTTGACATAGGCGCGTCGGATAAAAGACATGGCGTGGAGGCGCTCAGGATGCTGAGGCGGCTGGAGCTGGATTTTGGTGCCACCAATTCACCTATGCCGCGATGGGCGGTAATTGCTCCCTACAATGCAGGGCAGAGCAACGAAGACTGGCTAGCACAGACGGTAGATATTCCGTTGGAATTCATCCGCGAGCATCAGCAATTGTTTCCTGTATGCCCTGAAGACGAGGTATCTAGCTCAATTTGGATAGGGGATTCAGCAGAAGGAGCACCTCTGAAGGGGCCGAATAAAGGCACATTACTGCAGGAGCTTGTGGTTCGAGGGGGCCATTCGACTTGGACGCCGACTCAGCTATTGACGAACATCGAGCCACTCAAGGTGGTGGACCTCTCAGCCTGGAACTCCGACGTGCCGCATTTGGAACGGATTCCTTCTTCACGCCTGAGTTCGCTGAGAATGAACATTGCGAGGCGCCTGGAGTTCGTTGAAGTCCAACTGCCTTATCTGCAACAGTGCACGCAGCTGCAGGAGGTCTGGATGCCATGTCAAGCGGCGGATACATTCCAGTGGGCGATCAATGTGGAAAGATCTGTTGGACAGTTTGTAACCGAAACGCGACTGCGAAGAAGGGTAGCAACTGGCGTCGCCTCGACTTCAATTGATGATTCGAACCAGGCCCAAGATCAGCCGCCGCATAGATTCGATCCAGCAAAGGCGCCAAGGATGAAAAAGGTGCGACTCTATGGTGGCCCTCACGAGTTGATACCTTGTCTTGAGGACGCCGCAGATGCTTTCCGAGACACATTGGAAGAATTAGCAGGGTATGAGGACGGATACGGGCGGAGAGATGAGTACCTGAGAATGTCGATTGATTGGCCTGTTCCGCGCCTTACACATCTGGATCTGAGAGGCCGATATGTATTCTTCTTTGATCTGCGGTCTCTGCGACACTGTCCGGAGCTGAGGGTCGTCAAGTTGCTCATTGAGTCCAATATCTCATCTCCAAAATCCACGAACTGGGATCATGAGACAAGGGCTTCGAGTCGAGGGTGCGAACGGCAAGACTTCTCGGTGTTTGCGGAGATGAAACGGCTGGAGGAGTTGCAACTTCGAGGTACATCATGGGAAATGGACGATATAGCGCTGGAGACATTGATGGGGGGACCAGGCACCTTTGTCGATGAGGATGGTGTCGAGCGGCATCGAGGACATCTCCAGAACAGTTTGAGGTACTTCAGTATTCCAGATGCGCATTTACCGAGGAGAGCTGCACTGACCCGATTTATCCAGGCGATGAAGAAGCTAGAGATTATTCAATTGGGACACATGCGCGGATATATGGCTGATTCGTTGCGGGAAGCTGGTGCACCGCGTCTTTTCGTGGAGATTAGCTCTGTGGCATAGAAAGACATATTAAATGAAACTGATTTTTTGTTTGTTTGTTCCTGAATGAGTTTCAAATGCATCAATGCGAAGGTTCTCAAAAGGTGAACAACAAACCTTATTTTAACGCAGCTTGTTCTTTTCATCGTCCACAATGATGAGCCTTGCATTCATTCATCATTACAACCTTCTGAATTATGGAATCAACAAAGCCCATTATATTTGCCTGCTCCGATTTTGACTGGCGAGACCTCAACGCGGGCATCACGTCTTTGCCAACTGTACGATCGCCTGTTCTGAATAGCATTATTTCTTGACGTCGATTCAGGCCGCTTTGTAATGGAACAACTTTCCCCGGTACTTCGTCAAAAGCTCAACAACCCCACCATGCAATGGATGGATCTTCAGTAAGCTATACATTATCCTCGACTCTTATTTAAAACCAGAGGATCGCACGCCTGGTTGGCCAAATTGTCCTCAGGAACGAGTGCCTGAAAGAGTTCAGCGAGGGAGGCGGAGATGGTCAGGTCATCCGAAACGCGTTTCGAAAAGGTTCCCATAGACCCGCATATGATTCAGATCTGCCATTTGCTCGACGAGAACGGTTGGATACATTGAAGGTACCCTCGAGGAATTTGCCCAGATCGAGCGCCTGGTTCCCTCTACCCCTTGCGGTTATCGAACACAGTGATCATTGGCTCTTGATGCTGACTACGCTTTACGCTTTACACTTTACACTTTTCTTTGTTTCATTGGCCAATACGGTGGTAGCGCTATGGGATCAGACATCTTTTCGCTGCAGTGATTACGAATCCGGTTCATCGGGGTGACAATGGCCAACTCCATATCATGAGACGGATCCCTCATGAGGCGCCAGCACATGGTTGTCCCACAGATGTTTGCAGCGTGAATATTTGCAAAGGCCAGGAAATCGACCTGCTATTGAGAGCGTTTTTCCAGTATCTGGAGCCATCTCGAGTAGATAGCAATACAACACTGGGAGATGGAATCCTGGAGGTGATCTGTGTGGATGATGACCGAAATAATTACTGTCCAGCACTGCGTATGAAGCGTGCGAGCGTTCTTTACTTCGTGAGACGATGGCAGTCGTTGGAGAAGTAGCTGGCAGACGCGGATCCGGTGATCAAGGCGAGGATTGTTTTTCTGGGGCCGAGCGGGTGATATCTAGAGGGCACTCTAGCCGTAAGTAAAATGAAATGAAATCTATCGTAAAGTTTAATTTGCTGACGCCAAGAGAGTGTGGAACTGGATACGGAGGATGTCTACAGAAAGCCGTTCGTAGTCCCCAGAAGGTCGATCGGGGGAGGGGCCTAAATGGGACCGAATGAAAAAGAACCAGGCGAGGGCATGCCGCGCAGTAACGCTGTGGTATCGGGACGTAACCACCTCATCAAATAAAAATGATCACGGGCCCCTATCTTGATCAAAGGGTCAATCTGGTCCAACAGCCCTCAGGCTCAGGCACAGAGGAAAAAAGGAAAGGGGATCATGCTCAGCATCGCAACACCTTCTTTGTCCTCAATTCCTTCTTGCTTCTTTCATCGTCAGCCGCAGCGGCACTGCTGCACAACCCTGACCTCCTTCGTCCTCACCATCATCCTCACCATCTTCACCATCATCATCGTCATCGGCACTTCGCTGCTGCAGATCACTTCGCATCGCATCGCCCTTGGACGACATTGCAGTTGCGCGGATTTAGAGTTCCCTTCTCAATTATCCAACTTTCAGCTCACTGGCCCGTCTTTCTTTGCAGTTGCAGTTGCAGTTGCGCGTATAACCCACCTCTTGCACGCCTCCCTCACGAAACCCTTCAGGATATCAACACCTCTCCTCCTTATCCACCTGCTGAATATACATCATTCATTCGCCCCATCGCCCACCCAGCAATCGATCGAACCTGGCCTAACCCACTGTATCCATAACCACTCGATGGATCCGCGTCCTGTCTTCGCATCTTGATCCCCCGACGCTCCTCCCCACTCCATCAAGGCATCTCTTCTCTTTTGCTTCGATCCATCCCTTTCCAGGACTAGTCCATCCATACCCCTCATTCCCCAAGGCGCCATCAGCTCACCCCGCATAGATCTACAATGTCAAAATACCCAGGTACGCATACCTTACCTGTAGCTCATCATCCTCTTCTTCGACCCATGCACCGATACCATGTCACCTGCTCGTTATGCACCAACCGCCACAAGACTAGATGGCTCTGAAACGCGACTTCGAACTAAAAAGCATCGAATTACTAACGTGTCCTGTGTCTGTGTCTGTGTCTATGTCTATTAGGCCACCATGCTACCAGTCATCCTCGGGGTGCCTTTCCACCATATCCGACAGGATCAGGAGGCGTTCCCGTCGGACCAGGAGGCATGCCCATGAACAATGTTCCCGGGCAAGGTCCTCCGGTGCCGGGTCGCATGGGATTTCCAACAGGACGCAATATCGTGCCTCCAGGTCTCAACTACCATGGTGGCGTCAATTCCGGACCAAGTGGACCAGGAGGTTACGGCGGCGGATTTTCGAGTGCCTCGGGAATGCCCTATGGAAGCAACAACAATAATAATAATAACAATCAGATGCCATACGGACACGCATCCCAACACACGACGCCGACTCATTCGCCGTATGCCTCCTCGCCCTCATCATCGGCATATCCAAGCTCGAGCAAAAGTCACTCCCCTTCACCATTGCGGCGGTACGTCCTGCAACCACCACTAAAACAAAAGAAACTGCACAGGACCAGCGATCTGGGTAAGCAATTTTGGAGTGGCAAGATTTACGACTGGACGTCTGTGATTAAACGAAGAGATCTTCCAACAGAATAATGTCGAGCGGCAATTGTGCAGATATATTTGGAGGATGACCAAAAACAAAGCTGTGTAAGAGAACCGGTGCCTAATATCTATACATGGATTTATGCGCGATCTTAAGGTTACCCTGGTGTGTTTCCACAGAAGCCAGGACAGGAAGAGGATCAAATGACATCCAATAATGTCAAAACGGGATACATGGACAAGGGCATTATTCAGGTACTTATTCTGTGATCACTTGGATAGTGAGGACTACAGAAAGGAAAAGAACACTGTTCCTCATAACTATTATTATTTTTGGAATACAACAACAGAATGAGACGGTCTCTGCCCAGGGAATCTTGGCCGATGGACTTCAGGATCCCAAAAAGCTCCACGATCTCGGAGCGTTCATGGTGGAGGTGTTGAAAAAGAGACAAGAATCCAGCAAAATCACAGGGTAAGTCGACGCGTATTCAAAATTCACGCGGATTGCAGTGTTAGTGGACAAAAACAATACTCACTAGGAACCCCTACATATACTCCATCGCTGTAGGCCGAGTACATTCAGGCCACCCAGTCGCGCCACACTCAACGATCAAAAGAAGGAACAATGGATGGCGGATCTTTCAGGAACAGTATCACTGCGTCGACTTTCCAGAAGTGTGCCTCATGGATTCAAATCAGAGAAACTGCTGGAGACCCTGGCTCAGCGACAGGTGCCAATGATGCGTGCAACATGGTACATCAAGATCGTGGCGTTGAGTGAGATGCAGGCCCAGCGGAGTCGACCCTCGTCAACTCAGAACCAGTATTCAACCGACTGGACTTTGACCGTCAATATGTTCCTGAAGAAGCAGCTTCTGGAGATCAATCCACACTCAGTCGTCAAACCTGCTGCATCTGCACTGAACCCCGCTAGTGGCGCCCAGAACGTGAAACCATGGTCAAGCGAGGAGGCCAAGGAAAAATGGGAAGCCAAGTGGCGCTACTCAGTGATGTTGACGAAATGGCAGTACAACGAGGGGCTATTGGATCATCGGCATTTCCTGAGAGCCACAGTGGAGCAATTATCATCGCTTGGGTTCGAACAAGTCGCCCTACTGCTGAGCCTGATATCCATGTTTTTATCCGAGTACGCAAGATCAAGGCTTTTAATGAGGTTGTTAATCGAGGGGCTCTTAAGCACCCTTCAGTCCGTAAGTGAAGCGCTCAGTCATAGTCAGGAGTGTAAGCCTTTATACAAACCCATGGGTGCTTCACTGACACTGACCTTTTTATTATACCTATAGGTGCAAAGGCATCCCTCGTACAACCAACCTGTGTTTCGATATGCATACCTTGAGCTGGAACTCAAAAGGATGCTCCAGGTACAATTTCTGGTCGTCGTTTGCAACAAGCACAAAGAACCATTCAACGCAATTCTATTCAAAACTAACGTTCTTGCTATCAGTCCATATTTTTATCGACGCCAGATATGTTTGTAATACCCAAGGCATGGGCGACTCATTCGACTTTGCTGCAACAGGTGCTTCTCCATGACATTCAATCGGTCTCACACAAGCCGACAGTATTCCCGAACGTTGAGTCAGTTCTTGAGGCAAACTACAAAATGATTCGTGCCAGGGTGCAAGTCTTTACAGATTTGAATTCAAGTGGAGCAGACAATGCAAGCAAGACTGGACGGTTAGGATCCAACGTCGATGTAAGGGACAGAATATAACGGGCAACCTATATCAATGGATCTTGAGACCAGATATCTGACGAAACTCCATTCTCATGACAGATTCTTGACAAGGTGGATCATACATCGGATATGGAGCAAGTAGCGCACGAGTACTTTGCAGAAGGCACCGAGAGTTACTCGTGTTCATCAATACCGCCCTCGCCCTCAAAATCTGTTTTTTCACCAACATCGGCGTATTTCGTACGACCAGAAGCGCCCTCCCCCTCGTCCTCTCAGCGATTAGAAGGGGCCTGGAGGTCCAGGGTGAATACACTTTGTGAATGGGCCATTACCAACTCTCGCTATGGACATCACAGGATCTACCTTGCCGGAACGCTGCTCGGTATCTGGCGTGAGAGCCCTGTTCTTTCACCTCGAGTTCCTCTTCACGAGAGAACGTCGAGACTACAGGGAGCATTACTTGAATTTTTAGACTCATTCAATGGAACACACCTTCAACCAACTCATCATCTGGACCTAAACCATGGCCACCACCAACAACACAGCACCCATGGAAGCGAAGATACTTTGGAAGCTATTGCTCGACTCTTTGGCAACCTTATCCACGACCGCCTGTTCTCGTATCAGCAATACCTGCAGCGACTCATTGCAAGAGGTGATCTACAACCGAGCAAGCGTGGTCAGGAGTCGACGTTGAGGCATTTAAAGTATTTGCAATCTTTTCCGCTCCACAAGGACGCACAGGCGCATCACTTGAACCAGCGTCGAGTTGTGCTCTATGGAGTCAATGGCGAGGACGAGTATGATCGTGAATGCTTCGAAACTATTACAGCGCAGATCAAATCAAAGCTGCCACACATGTTTTCCTCAGAAGGTAATCAGCGGTCGAGAATTCAGCTTTTGTATCCAATAAGTGGGTCTACTCTGACATCCTGAAAACATCTAATCCGCTTATTAGCTGCCAATATCACTGTTCCGATTAAGGACTCGCCACAGGACGGCCAAGAATTGGCGATACCCTTGTCTGTTCAGTATATGGAGCTTATTCTGTCGGCTAGCAGATTCTGTCAGCTCCGCGTAACATCTCAGTGGCTGCTCAACGCTGTCAAATCGTATGTGGTCAAGCATATTCAGATTGGAGAGGACAACTGGAGAGTCATGACCTCGCCAGGATCGTCACTTCTGAATGTGAGGCAGTTTGCGACAGTTGTGAATGTTATGGAAGTGGCAAGCGATTTCCATTCTTTATACGATGTAGGTACCCAGGCTCCCAGCTGAGTCTTTGATCTGGATGTTGTTATTCGATGATCTGCTTACTCAATATGTAATGTTTATCATCTTCCGAAATAGACGTGTATATGGCTGTTAGATCATACATCGGACAAGGCTCTGCTGACATATGTTGTGAACGTGGCAAAGAAGCATTGCATGGTGTGGACAGCCATGGGCGTCCTCACAAAGTTCTCCCAGGCGATCCTTGCAAAGGTGTGGATAATGGATATCACAGGGGAGGGACGATTGGCCATTATGTTCTTCCGCGCACGCAGTTTCTAATGAACTCATTGGCACTTGTCTTGATTCGAATAGCACTATTCCCTCCAGTCCAAGAATGTGATCTACAAATCACTGCCTCGATACTTGGCATTGGAGGCGCATAACGTTCCAGAGGACATTCGTGCTCAGGTGAGAGGATGTGCTGTAGATACGAAATGCGACTCTATCAAAGTACCAATTCTAAGATCACCAATACATTTTTCTTTGAATAGATGGAGGCTGATCTTGTCACCTCAAAGATATCAACCTCGACAGGCGCCACCATCCCCGCACAGCTTCAGGAGCTTCAGAGCTTGCCCAAGGACCCATCCCCAACAGCTGTCTCCAATATGGCGTCGTCTCTGCATTTCAAGTACGGTGGACTGGCACATTGGCCCTTACGTCTTTTTGACGGGTGTATTGATGCGCTTCGGAAACTGGACGCCGCAGTGAAGAGCAGTAGTGCAGGATTGGATAATGCGATGAACGGTACCGGTTTCTCATCTGCGACTGCGACTCAGGAAATCGTTCGGATATCCAGACTGTATGCAGAACTCTTGGTTGAAATGGCGGAACGTGTCGGCAATGGCTGCATGAACGAGGTGGTCCTGTCTTGGTTACGCCTTCATGATGTCGATTGGATGATATCAGTCCTGGGAGCATCAACGCATGGAGACGAGGAAGCTGGAGATGAAAGCCAGCCCATTTGGTTCCTGTCATTCATGGTGCAGCTGGTGATCCAAGGCTTTTGTTCGATTGAGGTATTGGTTCAGGATATGTGTGGGGCGACACTGACCAAGTTAGCGAGTACAATACAGCAGCCCTTATCGCATATGGATACCCATGGGGATCAGCTGGACGAGATGCAACAACAACACCAGCATCAGAATGTCCCTGACGAGTCCACGTTGCGTCTTTGCATGACCATCGTTGTCTTATTAAGGTTACTGCTTCTGGAGGACGCTTTTTCGGACCCAAGAGCGAGTCACGCCTATGGAGCAAGTCATCATGGCCTTTCACTCGAGCATCATACCCACCGGCTCGGGATCCAACTGACGATCGCAGAGATCCATGCATTACAAACTCAGAGATACTCGCGACTTATGGCTATGCAGCAGCAGTTGCGGAACGAGCAGAACTCGGAGTCGGAGGGTATTTCTTCGTTCACCTCGTCTTTGATGGAGCAGCAGATGATGCTGGTGCAGTTCCAGATATGCAGAGACTTGGTCTGGGTCGAGTCGTGCCTGCCCCTGAACCACAAGGTGCTGCATGAGATCCATGAATACCGCAAAGATTGGGCCCTTTCTGCAGACTGGCTGCGCGAGAGGTGTCTGTCGAACGTTGACGGTGCCTATAAGATGTTTTTGCAGACCCGGCAAGACCAATCACAGGCAGGAGCAATTGGAAGCAGAATGCCAGGAGACAGCAAGAGCATCGGCACTAACACTCAGGACAACAAGAAGCATCTGGAAGTTGTCGACCGTAAGATGATGGAGACCTTCCAAATGTTGGTAGCGGAGAGCCATGACGGTCTGATGCTTCTGGATACCTATGGCGATGCAGCACTGACACCCAGCATGATCCAACAGAGAACATTCCGTTCTATATTCTCGCGAGTCGATCGCTGGATGTTTGATCGATGCAAGATCGAGTTTTGGTTGCTGCTGGATAATGTCATGATAGAGCGCGCAACCCGAGAAAAGCGCACTGTCGGGGACAGAAATTCCAAGGATGGCACTGCTCAGGGCTCGACTCCATCATCCGGCGCTGCATCAATAACCTCGGACGGACTAATGATGATGGAGGGCGTGACCATGACCTTGGGCACCGGAGCTTCTTCTCAGGTGACGAATTCGATGGGTCTATCAGACACAGGGGTCGATGGCGGTGGAAACGGAGCGGCGGGCGACTCACTTCAGCAGCTGATCCACATCTTTTTCCAAGAATTTGTCCTCTCGGAGACCGTGGACAAGGAGCTTCTGGGACGAATGCTTGTCGGTATGAGGAGCGATGCCGTCGAGGAGGTAATAATACGTACTTTTGGCGACGTCAGTATTTTGATCCGCCCACGTTTTGCACCTTGCATTCGCGCTAACGTATTGTTTTTGTACGAAATATAGTTTATTCGGTATGGATACGGCATCCTGGCTGGAAATCCCAACGTTTTCTTTCCCTACAACGTCATGATTCTGCAGCGACCCGTCAGCAGCGCAGACTATGTTCAGATCGCGAGCAACTTCCATTATGTGATGGAGATCCTGATGAAGGAAGGTCAACCACCACTGTCGTTGGTCACAGAGGAACTATTGTCAAGTCAGACATCTGCCGCAAGTGCAACGCCATTAGCCTCGACACCCAGTAGCTCACAGCCAACAAATACCAACAACAACATGACAGCGTCAGTATTGCAGGGTTTGGATGCTATCCAACTTGAAAATAGGATTGAATTTGCGAAGAGCCTTCTGTGGCAACTCAAAAAATTCGAGGATAGGATCCGATACTTTGACGTGATGCATGCCATCGGGTGCTCGTATGAGGAAGCGTCCAAGGTCGTGCAGGACAGCGAATCGGGAGGGAGAGACATGGAGGATTTATTGCTCAATGCGTCACTGCAGCGCCATCACTTTACCCAAAGCCATCCGCACCTGATGAACGAGAGCACGGCCCCATATCAACAACAGCAATTCCAGTCCTCTGGGGACCCGCCAATCCAGTTGGTCGATCTTCGGACATCGCTCTGCCTGAGACTTCGACTTCTGGTCCCGCTGCTGCCTGTGATCCTGCAGCATCCATCCTCAACAGCATGTGATCTGACGACCTATGTTATTCGCCTGACCAACCTCCTTGTCTCTTCAATCATTCACGGTCAGGGCTCAGAGGAACGACTGTTTGAATTCTGTCTGGACATGGTTTCGTGTTTGATGGACGAAGTCCTTCTGCTTAGTGGTGGTTTGAGTGGAGGAGGGGCAGATTCCAAGGCGATGAGAAACGATATCTTAAACCAGTTGCGAACAGGATTACCCCAGATGACCAGCTCGATTCCTACTGTTTTCGCGAGTAGGATTTTCAGAATCTTGCCTTTTCAGCAACACAACGTTTACTTCACAGGCCTCCGTACATCTGGAGATCCAGGAACGAAGGGAGCCAAGGAAATCCAGCCAAGGCCATGGGATTGGCTCGAGGACTGCGTCGGAGATGTGGATCAGAACCCCCATCAGCAGCTGCACCAACACCAGCAGCCTTCCCAAAGCCCTGCTCTTGGTTTGGGACTCTCGGATTCCGGATTATCCACCTCCACCGGACTTGTCAATGGAGACAGCAGTGGCACGGCAGGCTCTTCGTCTTCACTTTCTGGACCGTCTTTATCGACCTCCTCTTCATCCGCCAACGACAATGCGAACGACACTTCAATTTCTCTCACCCTCTTCGGCGCAAAACAGATCCGGAGGCCTACAGACAGGACAACGTACGAGACGCAGTTCAAGTTGGGTCATGGTGGCGGCGATGACGAACAAGAGTTGATCTTAGTTGAGGAGCAGCGGAGACCGTGCGAATACGATCACTCACACCAGCAGCAACTGTTGATGCTACACCACCAGCAGAAGCAGGAGCAACTAATGATGCAACAGCTGCAGCTGCATCAACAGCAGCAACAGAAACAGCAGGCTGAGGTCCTGATGGGAACAGATACTGGTCTAAGCACTGCAATGTCATCAGGCGGTAGTGCTGGTAATATGATGGACATGGACTTGTTCGGACCCGACTCATCGGAGAGGATAGCGCAATCTAGATCGGTGTCGTCTTTGTCACGACAGCAGGAGCCAGATCCGGAGCTGGAAGAAGGACAGATCTTGAACGACGAGGATTTGGATGTGAACTCGATGGCATGGGATAGCAGCTTGAATAGCGGGAGCAACAACATTCCGATTCAGCCGATTCAGCAGACGGCAGATACAGTAGCTACGGCAATCGTCATAGAGGATGGTGAAGTTGTTGAAAAGAAGGAGGAAAATCAATCAAGCGACGCAGGTGATTTACTAAAGGCGGGTATCGCTTCAGTTGCTGCAGTTACGCCTTTGGCTGTTCCTGCCACATCTACCCCAGCTGCACCAGTGACAACTGCAGCTGTAACGGCGTCTAGTAAGAAGAAGACTGCTGCAACGACGGCGACCAAGCCTGCTAAAGGAGTGGTGGCAACCACTAAGACATCCCGTGGAGGCAAGACCAACCGTGCAGGAAAGGGCATCAAAGCTACACAAGCTACTGCGGAGGCCACTGCCAGTACGACAATGACGACGACCCCAGCCTCTTCCGTCTCCTCTGCTATGTCAGCGACAACTGCAGCAGACATGGTTGCTCCTTTGATTCAGCCCATGGCGACCTCTGCATCGTTGCCTCAAGTATCTCAGCAGTCTCAACAAATAACTGGACTACCGTTTCAGACGCAGCAACAATCACAGCAGTTTCACCCATTCCCACCACAGGGCCTCCAGAACCAGATGCGGACAGTGGGAGGTATGCAGCAACCCATACCGATGTCAATTGCGTTCCCTCCGCAAGGACAGCCTGGTGGCCCCGGCGTGCTGACGAGCCATCAGCTCATGAACATTATGCGCCAAAACCAGAACGCTGCGATGGCAGCCGCTGCAGCAGCTGCTGCAAATAACCCAAACGGTGGCCCTGGGATGGGGAACATGACATCGACGACGACTATTGGAGGCATACACGTCCCGTTCTTGAATGGCCAGCAGCACCAGCAACAGCAAACGGCGCAACAGGCTCAGCAGAATCAGCAGAACCAGTTCATGGATCCGTCAGCGTTCTTGAACAATGGCAACAATGGAGGACTTGGATTTGGACCCGGAAATCCGATGAATATTCATTTAGGCCACTTGAACAATAACAACAATAACAGCGGTGGAGGAGGTAATGGAGGCAACAATGGGAATAATGGCAATACTGGTAGTAATGGCGCCGGGTGGTAGGGACAAGCAAGCAAGGAAATTGAAAGACTCTGGATCTTTTTTTTTTTTTTCTTTTTGAAGATTTTGCCTGTACATTTACAAATAGACGAGGAGGGAGAGTAGTGTCTATCGAGGTGTATATAGTAGCTTTTACCTGTAAATCATAAAAACAAATTCTTGGGTTTTTGACATGGACTTTGAGTCAAGATCGCAGATGGCAGTGTATCTCTTTTGATAACGAGAAGCTCTTTTTTGCCGACTGAATCGACTGGAGCTCTTTATAGCGCCAACATTCCTCCTATCCCTTCTTCCGTTTGGAATTTCATCAATTTATGGACGCGCTAGACCCAAGCAATTTCTGCTCTGATTCTTGCGCCAATGTTTGGAGCGAGTGAATTGCTGCAGAGATGTTCAACAAGGAAAGGTTTTCGGAGGAGAGGAAGGAGGGCATACAAAGGTTAAACGCGTCGCCTTTGGCCTAACAAAGGATGTCTATCCATCTCTTTGTTGCCTGGTCCATCTTGTGCAGAAAGCAGTGTGTGTCTCCTCCTCGTTTTTTAGTTTTTCACAGGATTCGCGTCTCCATGTCGGCCCCCTTAGAAATCATGCTGATTATTCTTCAGAGGTAAGGCTACCATTTACAATTCCGGGTCTCCCCCAGAGGGATACAGGAAAAAAAATAAAAATAAAAATAAAAAAGGCAGGAGATGGATGGCCTTGGATAATCATATATAAAGAAGGCCACATTTCCAGACTGCCCGGCACCCAAAACTCAACCGATCCCTCTCCCTTCCGCCTCAAGACCTCTAGACTCGTTAAAAAAAACAACGCGTAACAAGAACCGCCCAACAGTAAGGACAACCTTAATGAGATGCAAAAAAAGAAAGAAAAAAAAAATTTCATGTTCTTACACTAACTAACACCATCCCTTCAAAGGTCCACCACACACACCTACCTGTCCACTCGCTTATCGAACACAAACGGTCCCATTCTACCGCCAGTGCCTCCCTGGTCCTGGTCCTGGTCCTGGTCCTTGCCACCATGCTGCTCACCGTCTCGGTCGCCAGCCCTATCCCTCGCTCTAACAGTCTTGTTGAGGTTAATAACAACGATATCTGTCTAAGTGTTATCGGTGTAAGCTTATGCGATAATAATCAGAACACAGAGCCTACTCGGCACTAGCAACGCTGTAGAAAAAAAGAAAAAAAGAAAAAAAAAGAGGTGGGCCAAAGGCAGCACCAGCGTCGACACAGCACGAGCCACGGGGAAAATGAGAGAGAGCCTCTGTGGAGCAAAACCAGTCTCAAAGGAATAAAAATATTGCATTTAAACCCTATGCAGAAAAAAAGGAATTACATGTATACACCCAAAGGAGGAGGGATGCGCCAAGGCAGTATTGACGAGGATCTGGCTCGAGGGGAGTAGCCAGACAAAAGTTCAATCTCTGCCTATCAAAACGCACACCCTTATTGCATCCATTACTCCTGTAGAGCTGGTCTGCACACAGACGACCAGCATTTTATCTTGACCTTGAACGTGAAGGAAGCGTTGCAATTCCAATTCGGCTACAAGATGGCAAAACAGAGGTTTATGTTACAATGCCTGGGTGCAGATCTTTATTTAATTTCGGTTGGTTGGCTGAGGATAAATGTGCTTGTGTTCTCTCCCTCCGTCCGGACTTAGACGAGCTTCTGGTTGAGACCCCACTTCTTGAGACGGATGGACTGGATCTTGATGAATCCCTCAGAATCAACAGGGGAGAAACCACCCTGGACATCCATGGAGGACTCCTCCATATCATACAGGTTGTTGGACTTTGACGAACGTCCCTCGACAATGACGTTACCCTTGTACAACTTCAGACGAACCTCACCGTTGACGGTCTTCTGGGAGGCAGCGATGGCCGACAACAAGAACTCGGCTTCGGGGGAGAAGTACTGTCCGTTATACAAGATGTTTGAGTACTGAGGAGTGACGAACTGATCCCTCAGGTTACGGACCTGGCGATCGAGGGTCAAACCCTCAAGATCCATGTGGGCGACACGCAAGATCGTGCCAGCTGGGGTCTCGTAGCATCCACGGGACTTGATACCGATGAATCGGTTCTCGACAATGTCCAGACGTCCGATTCCGTTCTGACGGGCCAACTGGTTCAAGTAAAGGAAGATCTCGAGTCCACCCTCGACGGTCTTGTTGTCCTTCGAGTTGTTGATTACCTTCACGGGCTTACCCTGGACGAATTCGATGGTGATGCGCTCGGGGGTGTTGGGGGCATCCTCGGGATCGACAGTGAGCTTCCACATGTCCTTGGGTGGGGTCACATTGGGATCCTCGAGAATTCCGGCCTCGTATGAGATGTGGAAGAGGTTCTCATCCGTCGACCAGGGCTTGGCCGCCGTCTGGACCACGGGGATGTTCTTCTCAGTGGCGAAGGCGAGCAGGTCCTTGCGGCCCTGGAAGCGCTCGTAGAATTCTGTGGACGTAGCATGATTGCAGAGGGTGGAGATTAGGATCCTGGTTCTGCTGATGATCTCGGACAGTCACGGCCTTGACTTTGGGGAAAGCGATAGATATTGGTTCAAGCTTCGATCTGGAAACAAAATAACAGAGAGGAAGACTTACCAGGGATGCGCCAGGGGGCGATGACCTTGATATCGGGCTTGAGGGCATAGTACGCCAACTCGAAGCGGACCTGATCGTTACCCTTGCCAGTGCATCCGTGAGAGACATATTGGCAGTTCTCGCGGGCAGCAATCTCCATCTAGCACAAGAAACAAAGAACCAAAAAAACAAATAAATAAATAAATAAAGTTTTTCAGTCGCGAAAATTATGATTATCGTTTTCAGGATGACTCCCTCTTCGTCCTCTGACCAGATCAAAAGAAACAGAAAACAAGAAAAAGAAGGCTGATCTGATCTGGTCCGTCCTTTGTCGCGCGTCCGTTTCTGCCCATGGTTGAATCAACTATATTACCTGGCGACGAGCAATGACGGGGCGGGCGAGGGAAGTTCCAAGAAGGTAAACTCCCTCATAGATGGTGTTGGCCTGGACAGCGGGGTAGATCAACTCCTCGACGAATTCACGTTGAAGATCCTATTCATATCCCGATAAATAATTACACGATCTGTTAGTCAATTACCAGGCTACGACGATTGCGGAGAAAAAGAAAAAAAAAACAGTCAAGCAGCAAAGCGGAGTCAAGCGAAGGCTTGACAGAGACGAGATGGGCTTTTACCTCGACAAAGATCTTGGTGGCACCGCATCCCTTGGCCTTGACGACGGCGGCATCAAAGTCCTCCTCCTGTCCGACGTTGGCCATGTAGCACATGACCTCGTAGCCCTGCTCGATCAGCCATGCGAGAATGCAGGATGTGTCCAGTCCGCCAGAGTAGGCGAGGAGCACGCGGCCCTTTGTGGATGAGGTAGCAGCAGAAGACATGGTGGCGTGTGTGTGGTGCGTGGGTAGAAAGAGAAGGAGGGGTGCGAGAGGAGAGGCAGCAGAGACAACAAAGACGTGAAGAAAAGAAGAAGAAGAAGAAGAAGAGAAGAGAGGAGGAGAGATGGGCGGGTGTCGCTATTTATCTCAAAGGAAAAGAGGAAAAGAAGGAGGGAGGGAGGGAAGGGCGTGTGAGGAGGAGCGTGAGAGACGACGACACGGGACGAGGGGGCCAAAGGGCCGTTGCACTCGCAGGATAGGGTTCAGTGGATGCAAACCTTCCTATCCAAGACCAGTGCTGACCATCGATGAGTCTTCGGGTCGTCCAGCCGCCAATTTCCAATTTTCAAACAGAACGTGGGAAAACCCCGTCACCTTATCTACCACCTACCGATGATTCAGCCTGCATGCACAGGGTTTGTTTGTCCATGGAACTCCTTCATTCCCTCGCACGCCCCTCGCACGCCCCTCGCACGCCCCTCGCACGCCCCTCTCACACCCGGGACATCGATCGTCTCAGACACGGCCAAGCGACCTTTGTACTGCTACAACTCATCCCTACTTCCTAAACACGTTCGTACTCGTGTTGCTGTGCTGCTGATACTATTAGCTACCACCTCTTTCACGCGCGCAAAGAGTACAGCTACATCGGCACTTCCTCTCAACTAAACCTCCGCCGGTCGCTTTTGATGTGGGAAGAGGGATCCTGTGCTTTAGGTCCTTAGCTTTGAATATCAGCTAGATAATATGCTGCTTTTGTGTCCCACAATACTACACCTCCGCGCGAACTGCACGGACTCGTAAGTAACACTAGACCTCTTTGGGGTTATAGCATTCCCCATAAAAAATAAAAATAAAAAAAATGGGCACAGCCATCTTTTGCAGGGTCCCCCTCTGTGTCCACGGAAAGTGTGTGGGAACCAAGAAGAGCAACTCATTCGCTGTACTTAAGATAAACGATGCTGCACAAGAGGGAGGGGCAAACCTCACTCAGTACTATCACTAAAAAGGATCGAGAGGGTGGATAGAAATGCAATCGAACTGCTGGGGTCTCAGAACAAAGGAACTAGCTGTTGAGCACGCACGACGTCTAGTGGTGGAAGAAAGGAGAGCATAAACCCCGTCCCTATTCTTGTTGGGCGATGCGTGTGAAAGCCAACTGAGGTAGGGTATATCAAACGGATGTCGCACAGTGTGGTAGGGTAATCGATGCGTTCAACTCAGAATGGGCAAATGTTCATCAAAGAGTTTCTAGGGAGTAAAAAGGAACCAGGAGCAAATACTGCCCTGCCCCGGATTTTATTCATTCTCCCACCCACGTGGGTCTGCATTCAGTAATGCTGCCTTTAACTGAAAGCTCAGAGCCAGTTTCACCACATTACACCGCCCGCATATTAAGCGACAGAGTGCTGAAAAATGTCGCGTTTACACGTATTCGACGCCTGTTTAAAATTCAAGATTATCTGGGCATCAATCGCAGCATTGGTTTCAATCAACGGCACCATACCCTACTTTAACCGTGGTTGTTCCAAGTAAGGCTTACCCTCTTTGCAGCTATATGTATCTCCGATCGCCGGCGAGGGCATCAACATTATATAGGTACGGCCTGTATTCAACATCAAGAAGAGGAAGAATTTCCTCCCAAGAACATCTCTGCAAACATTCTGGACTTTCTCCCAGGTGAACTTGGGACTTATGCATCTTCGAGTCCTGCAAGCGTGTGCAGAATATGCCAAATCAAAGGGTACCGTCGTTATCAACAATAATTTGAATAACTTTCACCCCAACTGGCTAGTCAGGATTCCCGGGATTTGAATAACGATTACAGGGACATGCTTTCTTTCCGGATACAAATGAAGCCATGCTTTCGAAGTGCCCGAACAAAAATAGCGGCTAGACGTCTTTCCTACACTGTTGACTCAAAGTGTCGCAAGTCAATTTGGTGAGGTCACGGCGCAAGGGAGGGTGTTCCAGGTCTGAGTATTGGGCAGCCCTGACATATCTTCAAATGGCGGGTAAACGGAACGCTTGGTGATCACCCGCCTTTGAATGAGTTTTATCATCATAATAAAACAATAAAACAATAACAGACACCGCCCTTTTACGCGTACCAAATCGATCGTACCCATCCTTTATCCTTGTAAACGCAGGGGGCCCTGGCTTATTATTCAGCCTCGTCTTTATGGCTAAAGCTGGATGAGTTCAGTCAAAAGATGATAAACCACTCTTGTTCTCTGTGTGGCCTCTGTATTATCCGTGAAATTATTCCGGTTTCTTATCTGACGCTAGCGCATGAGATACCGGCTTTCGAGAAACCGACTTTTGCATCTTTTTTTTTTTTAAAAAAAAAAAAAGGAAAGAAAGACCGCAGCAATACTGTGGAAGCCGAGTAAGTCTGCCGGCTCAAAATAGTAAGTATCAAATAGAATTAAGAGTATGAAAGTCGTTCTTACAGAAGATGCAGTAACAGTGACCATGACCTGCCTACCTGTCATCTGTTGGAGAGTATGTGCAGGATGCTTGTACCTGGCCGAGTAAAGACTAGCCTGTTGCTCATGAGTACTTTACCATGTTATGAATGGGTTCTGATGGATAATGAAGAAGAAGGTCGTCGACATCCTCTTGAAAAAAAAAAAAAAAAAAAAAAAAAAAAGGGCCGATAGAGGAAGGACACTATTTCCATACACTTGTACTTCTCCCAAACAAGCAATCACGGCCGATATCCCTTCTCTGTATCACGGGCATTCCGATACTTGAGGGTTTATGTAATCGACAAGCGGCGTTTTTTTTTTCGCTTTGTCGCAGAGGGCTGTTGATAGCCTAGCTTTTTAAAGTTGTTTTTCTCTAACCGGATTGAGAATTATGACCTGTTGTTCCACAAAAAGGGCGATGGCACATTCCAGTCGATCAGAAGCGCGAACAGACCGTAGTACGCAATTAGTGAATTTTTGGTAGCACCAGTAGCAATAATAATAATAATATTACCACATCACAGCAGCAGCAGTAGTAAACAAATACACCGTTGAAACACGTCCATGCGGCCCTCAGATCATTTTGAAAAAAAACAAAACACAGAATAATTTCTGTGGAATTTATTCACGATAATAATGTGCGAGGAAATCCCCCTATCTACCAGGTCGATATCAGAATAACTAAGAGTTTGCAAGTGCTTTCCGTCTTTTTTGTTTTAACTCTTTCTCTCTCGATTTTTTCTTTCGATTTGCCACCCTCTTTCCGGATTTCGACGACCAGCCGACCAGCCGATAAAGATGTTTCCAATCCCCCCCCCCCTTTTGTCCCGCGTGCCCTTTCTTTTCTATGTCTCCCAAATCTTCCTTTTTTTTTTTCTTTACTCCGATTCCGTGAGGCAATAGAGTAAAACCTCTCCTCTCGTTAGAAAACACAACGAGGATTACGACCGTAGAATATAAAAGAACGGGTCGAAACAGTTGAAGATTTGAGTTACATTGTAGCAGCACAACAAAATAGAAGAAAAATAAAAAAGATAATAGCCCCCCCCCCCCCCTACTTTCGACCTGAACTCGCGATGTTTGATACCTGTATTAAATAAGAGCAGGCGCGGATTATAAGCACGCGCGACAGGACGAGTAATCGGCGCTAGGAGAATAGGACGAAAGAGGAAGAGGAGGAAAAGGGCTGGAATTCGCCGAACGCGCCCTTAGGGTAAAGGCCCGAAAGATCGGGCATGGGGAGAGGGAGGGAAGGATAAATTTGAATCAGAAGATAAAAAATAAAATAAAATAAAAAGGGCTGTGGACATCGGACGGCGTGTTGCGTGTAGGACGGCACGACCAGGGGTGTGACATGGTTCTCGATGTCCATAATAAATAGAAAGGTATAAAAAAATATTAAAAAAATAAGGCGTCCCTCCATGTGGTGCTGAGGGTCTAGTTGGTACGGCCTGGCGACGCGTTGAGAGGGGTGGGCGACGCGTTGAGAGGGGCGGGCGACGCGTTGAGAGGGACTGGCGACGGTGGGACGGTGGGCTGGTGGCTGGGGTTGTGTTGTCAGTAGTGCCAAGTCGTGGTTCCAGGCACACCATTTCGCTATGGCACAGATGATAAAATAATCTGGCTGGTTAGCTCCTTTTTTTTTTATTCACAGATCTGCAACCCATCAACCAAAACAGTGGCTATTTCGGTCATCTTACGTGCTGGTCCGCGATCAAGGTCTATTTGACAACAATCAATGTCGAATGGGCAACGTGGAGCCAGTTCGCGGCATCGACACGCGTCCATGAGAAGGCGCCTATATGGCTTGCCTTTTCTGATTGTATTTCAGGTGGTCAGCCGATCCACCCAAGGGCGAGATGGAATGGCAGAAAGAGAGAGAGAAGACGGGGAGAAAAGATCCCAAGGAAGAAAGGAAGAGATAGTGCCAACGTTCTATTTATTATCGATCTAAAAAAATAGGCGGGGCCCATAGGGATGGGTGAGATAGACTGAGAGTGCGTGGAGGCAGTTGAGTGGGGGTGTGAGTGTGGTGTGAGTGGGGGTGTGAGTGTGGTGTGAGTGGGGTGTGAGTGAGGTGTAAATTACCGACAAACAGGAAAGCAGAAAAGGAAGACGTACTCCCATTTCCCATCGTGCTGGGTCTCGCGTCACAGCGCGCATTTTCCGTTCGTCCGCACCCCTCAGGCACGACTATTGATTGGTGCGCCTCTTGCGATTGGCACTCAGCCACACTAGCCCGACACTGCCGCAAGCTAGTTGGTGTCAGAACGTCATTTTTTGAACCCGCAAGGGTCTTTGGGTTTTCTCCTTTTTGGTCCTCCTTTGTTCTTTCTGTTTTCAAACAAAACCAATAGAATCATTTCCATGCATCTGCCACAGCTGTTGTGGTCCATCACTTCCGCTGGGGTTTCTCCTTTTTAGTTGCTAGTTTGTTTGTTTTTTGCTTACCAGACGCTGAGGGTTTGATTATAAAAGAAACGAATTTGTCTAGTCTGTTTGACGACGAAGGAAAGGAATGTAGAAGGTGTCTTGGCGCCAAGCTCCCTTCATGCGCCTGGCTTGTATTGTACGTATGTCTTGCCATTCAGTGTCTGGTACACTGGGATCCAGACCTGCTGCTTTGGAGGCGGCCGTGGCCGCTGTAGCTGTTGTAGGTGTTGTTGTTGTTGTTGTTGTTGATGGTACATCGGCTGCGGCTGCGGCTGTCCTTGAGATTGGAGCATGGAGGGCATTGAAGGATGGTATGATGTTGGTGTAGATGGTGGTGGCGGTACCTGCTGCTGTTGCTGGTACTGCTGGCTCGCAACAACTGCTCCCGTCGCTGCTGCCGACACTGGTGATAACTGGTTAGGATACGAAGACATGCTGACTTGTGATGAAATACCAGGACGAACCGATGGTGACGGTGGTTGTGTATAGCTTGGAGTGGGAGATGCTGCAGATGAAAACGTTGGGGTGGAAGGAGGGGGAAGAGCAGTAAAACCCATTTGGCTGAATTGGTGAGATAAATCATGCTGTTGACTCGTCGCTGCAGCAGCTGCTGCTGCAACAGCATACGGATTCGAGTTATGGTTTGGCGATGCCGCGGAGGTTGACACTATATTCACTGTCGATGCAGAATTTACTGTCGAACTTGTTCCTGCTGTTGTAGCTGCTGGCCTAGTTGCTGGTACGGTTACTGTTGTGGTTACCGTTGCAGTCGACAGAGACGGTGGTGGGGGTTTATAAGAGAACTGGCTATCATCCGTTTCTTCGGGTTTGATCGCATGTGGTGCATGTGGTTGTGTGGGCACTGCTGAAAACGATAGAAAGGCATCACTACTGTGCTTTTGCTGCTGAATCTCCCCTGCCGACCCTCCATGGGCCGAAAGTCTCAGCTGCGGATTTTTTGAATGGCTCGAAGCCGCTAGTGTGGCAGGGGTAGAAGGCGTCGAAGGAATCTTGATGTCGTCCAGATTCACTTTGATGGAGTCATCAATATTGGGGACAGACACCTTGATCGTATCGTCCACCTGAAGCGGCGGTGGGCCATTACCTAACACCTTCGGAGAATTAAACTTAGGTGTTGCAGCCTGATAGTGCTGATGCTGGTAGGCCATCACAGGTGTTCCAGGATGTGCTCCCGGAGAGGAAAATGAACCGTCAGCAGCCGTGGTGTGTGCCGCAGCCAGCGTAGGCGGAGGCACTGACATAGCCACGCATGTTGGCCCAGAAGGTGGTGCTGCTGTAGAGTGGGATGGTACATAACCTGGAACGGGCGAAGGTGGCAAGGGATAAGTTGGAACTGTTGGTGAAGGCATAGACGGCAACTTTGGAGTCGGATATCCCTGTGATGATGTGGCGACGGGATAAGTGTGAGACGCTGTTGGCGTAGGATATCCTTGACTGTATGGATGAGACGCTGCCGTAGCGGCGGACATGCCTGGTGTGCTGCCTGGAGTAGCTGGTAATGGCGCTGGTGGGGCTGGGAAGGAGGTCTGTTGGGTATGATGCGATGTCTGAGGAGACAAGGGTGATGTCTGTGCAAAAACCGTCGTGGGTGTTTGGGCCGAGAGAGGGTAGCTAGCGGAAGTTATGATGGAAGTCTGTAAAGGCATTGGATAGGGCTGTGCTGAGTATTGCTGCTGCGTGGAGACGGGTAGTGGCGGATGTTGTTGCGCCGCTGGCTGCATATGATGATATTGCTGCTGCTGAGGCTGGGGCGGCTGCGATTGTGGTTGTGGTTGGGACGGGTACGGAACCCCCTGAATCACTGGTTGCTGCTGTAAAATCTGATGCTGAGCCTGTGTTTGAACATACGGCTGTATCGGTACCTGCTGATACTGCAGTTGTGGTTGCGGCTGCTGCTGAGGGGTCGCACCAACCGGTCCTTGTCCTGGTGGGAATGGTCCTGGAATATAGATATCGACTGGTTCGTAGGACGTATTACATGATGGTTAATACAACTAATCAAACTCATGTTGCGATCGTACATGTATTCATCTGTCTAGAGACTTACAGTCTACCGCGATCTTCTTAGACGATCCGTTAATGTCGATCGTGAGCAGAACCTTCAGCCTGTGAGTACACTTGATGACTTCCGTATCGACTGTTGACATCACGTTGTATGCCGGCACGCTGATCGAAAGTGTCCGCTCCACAGGGCTTGTCTGTACGGGCCAACTACCGCTCCCCTGCGAAGACTCGACCAGCGTTCTCTTCTCGTGCTTCATGCCCTTGCCTGGCGAAATGAACCAAAAGTACTCCTTGATCTTCATGTCCATACTGAGTACACGCCACCGTGCTCCAGTGCCCGGGAGAGGGTTTATCCTGACCGTGATGGGGATTACGGCTCCATGATGGAATGCTTTTCGAGGGATCTGGACCAAGTAATTCAACGCATTTTCAAAGTCGGCGGTCTGGTGGAGTGGATAGATACAGTGTGGATGTGCAGATGGTAAGGACTGGTAGATCTCGACCAGTTGATCCGCGTAGAGATCCGTTTGAAAGGCGGAACGTTTGCAGTTGGCTGTGAACAAATACTCTGTTTTCCCTGTGCTCATGGATAACGAATTGGGCAGATTGACCGGTAGCGCCAGCTGGAAGTCGTAGGTATAAGTCTGGTTTGCGTGGAGCAGGTGGAGTTTTGCGTCCGACTTTGCTAGGAATACCCAATTCTTTTCCAGGAGAGGTTTTTTGGCGGAGTAATGTACAGTCGAGCCCAGTCGATCTAATGCACCCCACAAAAAAATGGCCTCAGTCAATCATCCTTTGAAGACATGTATGTGGGCAAAAGGTGAACTTACGTTCGGACCAACTGCATGATATCTTTGCCGTAAAGGTCAGGGTAAGCGCCTTGAATGTGAGGTCGTCGCGATGATTGACAATAAGCTTTCCGTTGATGATAGGCCCCTGCGTTCCTGTCCAGGGGAACATGAGCCTCTTCGCCTTGGGGTCGCTGCTTTGGCCTATTGATATTGTCGTGACCGGCAAGGGCAGCTAGATGATATTAGAGGGGCAATACATTAAAAATGGTGGCAAAGGAGGTCGGTATCACTTACCGATGAACCCGCCCTCGAGCTCGATCCTCATGGACTTTGTCATTCTGCTGTTGTCTTTTCGACAGTAGCGAGATGAACTTGAGAGAAGACGAAGAGGGGACGGAGGGAAGGTGGGAACGTGTTGATGTTGTAAGGAAGGGAGAAAAAGCAGATGTGTGAAAGGCCAGAGCTCCCGCACTTCTTATTTTTATGGGCCTCAATTGGGTTTGAGTGTGCGCGCGTTCAAGTCATTCATGGCGCATTTGCATTCAGGGGTACGCACACTAAAATGATGGACTCAGCAGCACTGCCACAGTACGTTCGACTTTCTACTCCTCTCGGCGTCAATAATGCGCCAAAATGAACTACCTGGCCTTGTAGTCATGTTTATGTCCTAGGCATTCAATATCCTTTGACGACTATGCCATGATCAAACAAAACCATAGATTACATACACCTCAAATTCAGAAATAGAAACAAATCGCCAGACTTTATAAACGATTTTTTTTTTTTTTTTTTTTTTTTTAATAAATGAGATCCGTGTACAATGTAGGCAAGAGGAGAGAGGGACGTTTCAGTTGGCTTTTATGATAACTTCTGTATCAATTGAAGTTGGTGGAAGGATGGGTGCGCGTTGAAAAGATATTCGTAAATCCACACTTTTTTTTCCTTTACAGAGCAGAGGCACCAGTAATAATATCAACCAACTCGGAGGTAATGGCAGCCTGGCGAGTACGGTTGTAAGTCATGGTCAAACGGTCAACCATATCTCCAGCGTTCTTGGTGGCGTTCTCCATGGCATTGCGCTTAGCAGACATCTCCGAGGCGTGGCCCTCAACCAAAGCCCAGTAAATGTTGTTGGCGAACAAGAACTGGTTGTAGTTCTCCAAGACCTCTTCATCCAACTCGTAGGCAGTGAAACCCTCTGTTTAAAAACAAATATAAAAGTAATTGAGAGTCAGTGAGCTAGCAAATGGACCAATGCCTTTAAAATACACATAAGCCAGTATAAACACTTACCAGAGGACTTCAAGGCATCGATGGAATAGGTACGGATAGGGGTCGCCTCGTAGGCAATGGCCGACTCGAACTTATTGTAGACAATGCTGGCATTGTCGAACTTGATGCCAGCGGACAGGATAGTATCAGCGGCAGCGCTGGCCTCAGCAAAGGTGGGGATCGCCTTGCCGATCTGGTTGAAGGACAACTGAATGTCGGCACGGTTGGAACGCGTCATCTGATTCTTAGCCTTGTCTCCCAAAACGACGACACCAGCGTTGCTGGCATCAGAGGCTGCAATCAACTTGCGGGTGGCCTTGGCGACCGAGGAGTGGATACCACCACAAAGACCACGATCAGAGGAAGAGACAACGTACAACTGGTTGTCGTTCTCCAGAGGAACGGTGTTGGCGTTCTGGTAGATGGCTGTATATCACACGCAATTTTCAATACGTTAGCGTCGCCATACAATTCGCCGTCCTGAATCCGATTGAGTATCAAAACAGAGTATAGAACGCACCGGAAGAGGTGCTACCGTAGACGCGGGCAGTCTCCATGGCACGCTGAGCCTTGTTGACCTTGGTCGAGGCAATCATCTTCATGGACTTGGTGATCTTGCCAATGTTCTTGATGGAGTTCAAACGGATCTGAACTGTTCCACAATAATGTGCAGTAAACAATATATTAGTTGTCTGCGGGTCTGCGGGTGAACAACAACCGATCGTCAATCTGGACATATTTATAATTGTTACAACTTACTCTCACGAAGTGTTGCCATGTTGCGAGTCTGGACACCGGCGCTATGTCGGGTGTGTTGTGAAGAATCATCGCGATTAATTGTCGTGATATCGAGCAACAACAGCAACCATTGTCGCCAACAGTAATTCCAAGTAATTCCAGGTAAGGAAAGCAGAGGGGCGTTGGAGAGAAGAAATAAATAAAAAGCGTGTCGCTTCAGGGCAAACGACTTGTGGTTATATCGAATGGTTGATTCAATGATCCCGATCTCTACAAGTCCAAGGTGAATAATTGATGTAAAAATGCCAAGTCATGTCGGCTTGGATCGATCCGTTGGTAACAGAGTATGCGCTTATGCGTGCGCGTGTATTTATATTTGTTCTCCTCCAGGTGAATAAGGAGTGGATATTGCGACAAGGATGATGAAAATGACAATTTCAGTGGAAGTCAAGGTTGGCGAGAAAGAGTGAGTGGAGAGTATGGTGATTGGTAGTACCTGAGCACCGAGGCAACGGGTTGAGCACGAGTAGCGAACATGATGGCGGGAGGAGTGGATGGGGATTGAAGAGACAAAGAAGCGGGATTCAAGGAACCGATCTGATGGGCGTCTTTTCTGCCAGTAGGCGTTGGTCTGCCTGTGTCGAACCCGATACGACACGGATGAAAATAATAGATACGACGTCACGTTTATTTTTGCAGCCACTGACTTTATTTCCTAACACGTGTGGAAATATATAACTCTATGCCCCCTGCAGAATCTGCTTCGAATGCCGACGACCCTTGTCGGCAGTAGCACCAGCAGCACCAGTAACACCACGCTCGCCAAACCACTCTTCCATACACCGCTCCAACACCTTAACCCACCGCTTCGCATCCCCTTCCTGGCCCAACTCTTCGAAATAATAGCTCTTTTTGGTGGTATGAATGAAGAAGCACTTCTTGCCCTTGACCTCTGACACCACAGAGGCCGTGAACAGGATCTCTCCGCGCAGCTTGGCCTGTTTCTTGGTGGCCTTGATAATTGCTGGCGATACTGTTGCTGGTACAGATGAAGTCTTGCTATTCTTGCTGCCAGTGCTACTGCTAATGTCGTAGATGCCGTTAGTCTGATCATTTGTTGACAGGGTCGCGTTAGCCCTAGACGTAGCTGTAGCGTTTCCAGCTACAGTAGGGGCTGCACTTGTGGACGACAAGGTCGATGATGATTGAGCTGAGCCGGAGACTTGGAGCAGTCCGCTCACTGGCTCCGATACTGAAGCACTCGAGGCTTGCTTCTCAACATCAATCTTGTTATGGCCATTGGTCTGCTGAGGATAGTGGGTCGGATGAGGATGCTGGTGCTGATGAGGCGGATGCTCAAGACTTGCCCTGGCTGACCGCGTTGGTGTACGGTGCGCAGACTGAGTCTGTAAAATACCCTCTTCCTCCTGCTCGGGTAAGATGCTATCGAGCCCGAGACCATGTCCTGGAATATGCTCGCTGCAAGTGTGTTGATGGCGCAACTTGCCGCTTCCGTTTCTGGTAAGCAAGAACCCGCTGCCGGCGGTTGCCGCTTCGGTCCCTCCTATGCTTTTCCGTGGCTGAGAAGTATGATGCAAAGGCTGATGGAGGGCGTTCAATTGCTGTTGTTGATGGTTTTGGGACTCTTGCGACAGCGATGGGTGCTGATATAGACGATGAAGCTGTGGATGTGGAATGGCATCTACCTGCAGCCCTTGAAGCTGCTGTTGGACAGAGTGCTGCTGATGCTGATGCTCAAGCTGCTCCCACTGTTCGACCCTTTGCTGCTGGTGCCAGCAGCTGAAGGCATCGTTCGTGTTGCTGTTGAATAACTGCGAAAAGTAGTGATTTGAGTCATCGAAATACAGCAGCCGCGGGAAATCGGTCAAAACCAGGATACATGATCTGGAGAACAGACCCTTTCGTTTCAGCACCGGTGTTTGGTAGATGATAAGCTCTGTCGGCAGCAGGAAACTTTGCCTGAATGAATGGAATAAGAAATCAAATAGTATAGGTCAGGATGCGCACTTCCATATGAAAAGGCAATAGGTATTCATCTTGGTTGATGTCATCAAACAGGATTTACCAGGGGGACAACTCTGCCTGGAGTTCCAGCTGTGCTCGCCTAGAATAGGCCGAGATCTCGCTGGCTGTTACCGCCAAAGAGACAGTCGAGTTCTCTCTAACGATATCTCCTTTTCTAGATCCGTTATTCCTTGTAGTGCCATCCAAGCTCTCGGCTGGCTCGTGTCCCGTGTTTCCATTGTTCTTGGATTTCTTACCTAGCAGCTTCCTACTGGAAGACTGCTTAGGACTTGGTGTGAACAGAGCCACAAACGCATTCCTACTACTGCTCTTGCTCTTCGTATGCCCGTTCGAAGTCAGAGATGGCTTGGCAGGCGAGCTGACTACTGCAGAAGAGGATGTTGATTTGGACATTGCTCCATTGGACACGGACTCTGTATGGGGATGTTCAGAGCGAGCGAGCGTTGTTGATGTAGCTGCCTTTCCATTGGGTGTGGTCAGCTCTGGCAGGCTCTGCGACGTAGTTGCAACTACTGGTGCTGCTCCTGTCGATGTAGCGATATTGTGCGTGGGAGCAGTTGTAGATATCGGCGTGGCACCTGGAGGCTTTATGGGTTTGAGGACATCAGCGCCTCCATGCAATCCCTCGTCCGAATCACTCATGCTGTTTCTACCACTGTTATCAACACTGCTTCCGCTGTCGCCTAGCTCCCTGAATGGATCGACTACCATTAAGGTTTCTCCAGCACGGTTCACACCCCAGAGACATGCATCATGATCGCTTCGGAGAGGCTCAGCGTTATGAGCTGGCGTTGGTGGCAGGTATGGCATAAGTTTAGGCGCAGGCTGCTTCCAGAGTTCGTTCCACTCCACACCGTCGAAAAAGGAGTGCTGCTTCAGTTTGTCGATCGAATTGTTGGAACCCAGGCGTTCATTAGGATCAAGGACCAGCAAACGCGAAACGAGATCCATGGCAGTCTTTGGAAAACCTGCTGGGAACGAGTACTCGAGTTTGACAATTTTTTGAAACGTTTGATATTCGTTAGATCCCTTAAAAGGAGGTCTTCCTGCGAGGAGCTGGTATATAATGCAGCCCAATGCCCATAAATCGGAACTAGAAGCAAATAGTGTAAGAGAGATTCAGTAAGATTATGTCCTAGAGCAGGCCATCGGCTTATGGCATGAATATCCCTGGTACCTTTTGCATGCTGCTTTCTCCGTCAACAGTTCTGGCGACACGTATTCGGCTGTTCCTACGAATGAATTGGCCCTGTCCGATTCTGTCCCATCCTCTGATGGCTCCAGCATCTTTGCTGTTCCGAAATCTGTCAACTTGATGTACATGCGGTGGTCCAGAAGGATACTATTGCCATTGAAGCGCGATATAATGAGCAATTCAATCCCTGTCTTTACATTTGACACGGTCAGTATTGGGGTCCAGTCCTGATTAAAATGCATTCTGGCTTACTTTTCTGGCTTCAGATCCCGGTGAATGACACCCTGACCGTGGACATACTCTATGGCAGTTAGAATCTGCGCCACGTAGAAACGCGTGCAGTTTTCGTCAAAGGAGCCGAGCTATTTGTGAAACCGAAAAAGCGAGCCATAGTGATGCGAATGTTAGTGTACTGAGCAGACCAGCGTGCACGCATACTGAATTCATGAGCATTTCGAAGGAGCATCTGTACCTTCTTGATGAATGTCAATAGTTCTCCATTCTGGCACAACTCTAGGACGTAGTCTAACCAGGATTGATAGAATAATGATGTTTAACAAACTGTAGTATAGAGCAGCATGGGCAAGGATACATAAAAACGGAAAGAATGCATAGAGCGGAAGCGTTCCTGGACTGTGTAGGTTAGATAGCGCGATTTCGTAAAATACGAACAGGGAAACTGTGCATGCCCCTCAGTATCCGTTGAGAAAATACAATGTTGCCTGCTCTTAGTGCAGCCCATTTCCACGATTTCCATTTGTCAAATTCTCCTATCTCTCTCCCCTCGTGTTCTATCGATTGCAGCGCGCGATCTTGCGCTTTCAATGGATCCCATGCTGGCCTAATATTTTCTTGAAGACATGCCGAAAAAATGTATAAAATGGGATGCTCAGGGCTCATCATCCTCCTCCTCTTGCTCCTCCTCCTACTCCTGCATGCTCTATATTGCTTCTCTCTTCTCCATGGATTGAATGAGACGGGTTGATTTTGAGCAAGAATGCCTTATTTCGGGTTGCTTACATAGACTAGAGCTGTCCTGGAAGGTCGAATACAGCTTGACGACTCCTGGATGATCAAGCTTGTAAAGCGTGTTCTTTTCAATGTTGACATATTTGACCTTCTTTTCGCGTATGATGTGTCGCTTGTCGAGGACTTTGATCGCGTAGTCGCGTTTGTTCGACAAATCCACTGCCGCCACGACCTAATTGTTGCGTTTAATTGGAAGAAAATGTCAAACTTTTAGAGTAGAAAAAGGGGATGTTCAACGATCTGTCGCTTCCAGGGCACAGACCCCAACGAATCCGGTCGGTCAATTAATTAATAACATTGCTTGTTCCCTGAAAACACCATTCGTTTGGTTGTTTGCTCTGCCATCCCTACTGCCCTTTCAGAGCCCCCCCTCCGCCAATATCAAAATGTCGCAAGTTTCTCAAGACATGCAACGATCAGTGCATTTGAGTGAGGTGAATGACCAAAGAGAGCCGTTGGGCGTAAACCGGGTACAAAAGCTTTGAGAAAAGAGAAGGCAAAAAAAAAAAAAAAAAAAAAAAAAAAAAAAGCCGTTTGGCGAACAGAGAGGAAATCATGCTCGTGTCGGAGTCGTCCTGATGCATGCATCATGTCGCCGCTGATAAGAATAGTAGTCTGGCGTTTTACGTTTGAATCAATGAAGAGTAGTGCCGAATAGTGCCGAATAGTGTGATTGATTGAAGAGATAAAATATGTTGGCAGGAACAATCAAGAGCGTGCTCCAACTCCTCCCAGCATTTCGCGCGAGAGGCGTCAGAGGATCAACTGCACGCACGAAGAGTTGGACGAGGTGTACAATTCGTGGACCGGGACAAGGAGTAGAAAATGAACATGAGCGATTCTTACAGTCGAGTACGATCCTTCGCCAAGGGTCCTTCCTAGTTTGTAATCTGCCAGAGTACGCTTGCGGACGGGTATGGCTGCCGTAGTTGGTGTGGATACATTGTTAGAGTGAGTAGTATTAATTGGGAGAACGGTTGCAGTCGAACTCGAGGCGTCAGCTGGAGTTGGTGCAGGTGCAGAAGCAGGTGCAGAGGAGGAGGCGACAATAGAGGGCCTTGGGACAGGGGTTGAGGGTGTTGTCGAAGAAGTTGCCGATGCAGCTGCCGAGAAGGTTTCAGAGACGATGTCTCGAGGATCTACAGCGGGCGTTGATGCAGACATTGTTATGAGTGCGGGTGATGTAAGTGGATCAATCAGGTTTGTGTCGAGGAGGCTTGCCAAGGAAAAGATGGTGGCAGTCCAGTACAACAGGTAGGAGAAGAGAAGTCAAAGAGAGAGAAAGAGAATGAGAGGGAGAAGGAAGAAAGCAGAATGCGCGGAGGAGTATTAAAACAAATGTGAATACCGGGCGTGGATATGAAGATGAGTATGGGTACACGGGGAGATGGAAGGATGGAGAGAAGGATTGAAAGATGAAGGAGACAAAAGGAAAGGTAAAAAATGCTTCAGTAGGTGGTGCCCCTGGAATTGTCCAAAAAGAAAAGTATATATATATCTATCATCCGATCTCAGTATCCCAGTATCCCTGTAGGCCCTCCCTCTACACCAATGGCCAGATGCTGCCCAAAGAACGACTCGCACATTTCTCCAAGGGCGGCTTCCGTGCCCCAACTCCTTCTCTCTCTTGCAGCCATCGACAGAATAAAGAAAACGCGCCCATCACGTGTACGTTGCTATCTTTAGCTTCTTGTTCTTTGAGCATCTTACCCAAAAAAAAAAAACCGAATGCTTGGGGAGCATAGATGCTTCTTAGCATTATAATTGCGCACTCTGCTATGTAGGTTTGTTTGTATTTATATGTCTGCAGAAAGCGGAGTATTAGGGAAGTTGTATGAATATGTGGTCCCACATCATCACCATATGATGCTGCACCTGAAATGAAGCTATGTCGATGGATGGTCACGCTCTACATCGCCACAACAGGAAGGGTTACTTTCTGCTGGCCAACTTCCCATGCCTTCCAGATGCTCTGCTTCTGGAATCGATTGTGGAGCTGTGTCAGGAACGCCCGTCCTGCTGCGTCAATGTCCGCGTTGTTGAACGGCAGCAGCCTGCTCTTGTCGAATGATTCGGAGCTGGGCAGCCGTGACGATAGATTGACATCTCCTTGGGCTGGAGAAGATGAGGGGTCCGCTGTCTCGAATCGGTACTCGTCCCTTTCGATCTCGGGTGAAAGCGGTGAAGGCGGCGTTGGAGATGATCTGTCCATGCACCGTTCCGCCAGCTCTGAAGGATATGAGAAGCTGAGTAGACAATGCTCTGGCAGGCCCTCTATTCTCTCGTTCGGCTGCAGTTTTACTCGAGTAACGACCAACGACTGGTTTGCGAGCGCGTTTCGTCCGTCATCCTGATCCTCATCCTCCTCATCTTCGTCACAAAGAGCCTCCGAGCTCGAGCTTCCACCGCTGCTGTACCGACGGCCGTGGCCCGGCAACACGTAGTTGACAGGATAACTCAGCAGCCAGCCTGTCAGTGTCACAAGCGAGAGTCGGTCTGGTACAGCAAGAGGGCGATATATCTGCTCTGCTTGATCCCAAGACTTTATCCGGTATTGAACTTCAGGCAGAAGCACTCCCCGAATGTAGTCCTCCAAGGCCTTGTATCTATTTGCGGGCATCTGTAAGCGGTAAGAAAGCAACAATGGGAGTAAGCGTTCAGGCGTCATGCATGTTGTACATGGCATGCCTCTCGATGACTTGAGGTGTACTTACAATTTCAGGCTGGGATAGATGATAGTCGACATTGACAAAGACTCGCTGGAAGCCCTTGGTCGATCCAGAGAGGTAGTCGTAGACATCCTGCAGAAGCAATTGGCGATGAATAATAAAGACATGGTCCTCGCCAATGGCCATCAGGTCCAGATGATTGAATCTTGCAGACTATATCGGCATCAAGTGTGCACGGACAAAGGGCAAGAGATAAAGATGAGCGTTAGAGTAGATTATAATTATTACTGGTTCGGACCAGAGCATTCGGGCTCGCCGGTTGGATGAACTCATTGACGCGGTAAAGGAAGATTTGTAAAGGAAAATAGAACTGTAATTCATGAGCAAAATTCTCTCGGGCATTCTGCGCAGGAGGATGCAGCACGGATTAGAAATCATTAAGCGAAAAGGACCACTAAGATTAGCATGGAATTGGTGGAAGAATACCGTGTCTGTCTATCTTTTCTTTCGAAACTCGCTGTTGGGATGATGGTGCAATAATGTGTGCGGACCATTGCGTTGACGGATATGGTTTTGTTTGGCTTATCGATAAACGGGCTGATAGCGTCCATTCACACTCAAAACTGAGCGTGCTGCTCTGTGTGGTTGCGCTTGTGTTTATGCCTGTATTTAGGCGTAATTGAAATTAAAGATAGAGAACGAAAACAAAGGAGCCAACCTACATGGTGAAAGATGGATTGGATCCTATCGACATCGTTCTCGTTCAGGAATAATTGGTCCACTAAAGATGCAGATCTAAGGCAGGGAGAGAGCAGAGACATTGAGAGTTGTTCAGGAATGTTAGTCCCTCTGTCTTCTTCAACTACTAGAGCACCTACGCCCTTCTGCTATTGGCGCCGTTGACATCGTTAGAATTGTTGGTGTTGGTATCGCTGTTGGTGTCAGTGGTCATAAAGACCAAAAATGGTGAAGGCATGGATCTCGTCCAATTATTCAACCATGTGGGGTTTCTGTCCTTTATCTATTTTCTCCACGTCGGGGACTCTGATCATTTGTGAGGGGTACAAAAACATGTCTGGTCTGCTCTCTGCCGCAATCTCATTTCTAAAAAGCAGCTTAACATTGCCACATGGAGATACCCACACCCTTTGCAAGACATGTACTTCAAATGCCTCAGACATGCTGTTGCTGGTTCCTACCTGAGACCCGCAGCGATGCATAGAATATCTAGCATCAAGTAATAGGTAAGAAGCGGATAAAAGTTAGTCAACTAGACTAATCTACTAATGTGCAATGTAGCATAGCACCACTCGAAAAAAAGGAATAAATTAATGAGATGCAAAGTTAAGTTTGACCGACTGGATTTCTCAGTCAAAGGCTGGATGTAGTACGACTGAACTCGAAGAAGTCGATTCAGTCGGCTAAAAGGGATTCCCATTAATGAATGAAAGGCGAGTGGGGGGTTGAGGTACGGACAGCAAATCTGCTGAATGTTAACTCACTGGCCAAGTGTTGAGGCAGGGTAACGGTATATTTTCAGCTCTTTTTTTTTGGACCACAATATGTCTCGATAGTCCATATGTTATGATTGATTGTGAAGGTGTGCACTGGGCAATAGTGAGTTGTAGGCTACCGTTTGTGAGTGAGACTTGGGCAGCATGATTGATGCGCTTCTGAAGGACGAGTCGAACGACTCCAAGGGCGTCTTCAAAGTAAGATCTGTCCATATTGCTGAGTCAGGGCGACCTGAGTGAATTAATGTGATACGGAGGAAACTAGAGAATAGACAGTAGCGATAGCGGGCAGCGTCTGTGTAGCGTAGGTATTATGTCGTGGTAGGATGAAGTTAGGGAGATACAACGGGCACAATCGAGGGCGAGGATGATTGATGGTTATGATGTGGGATATTAAAGGCGTCGGGCGAGGGACGAATTGAGGAAGAAGGGACAAGCAATCAAAAAGGCTGCTCAAGGCATTAGCACCAGTGGCTTATGTGGATATCTTATTCATTTACGGGGATCAGATACAAGAATATGCAGAATAATTGAACAAGGCGTATTACAGTTAGAGAATTAGGGTTTGAGCTGGTATCCAAGGTCTGTGAGCAAATCCATCCATCTTTGTCGTGTCTTTTCAGAAAAGAACCAAGAAAACAGTAGTTGGGCTTTTTTCACCCCGCGACATGATGAGCCGGCCTCAGTTCTTAAAGTTTCTGTTTATTGAGATTTCTGCTTATCGGTGCTTATTGGCTGCAAGAAATAAGTGGCCGATAAACAGATTTATGAAATCTCGCGATCAGTTTATGGTCCATGTCATGGCACAAGCATGCGAGCCATGGTCATAACGTCCTGTCCATGGAAACAAAAAATAATGAATGCGGTGCCCATAGGGTCAGTAAAAATAACAGCCACTTCGTGTGTCTTATTCCTTGTATCCTTCCACTTTATACGGTGCAACCCAACAGCCCGTCGACCCGGCACTCGTCGCGAGAGACGGTCAAGACGCGCTATGAGGCTTGACAGGGGGCATGTGCCGACATGATAGGGGGAAGGCTGCAGAAAAATTCGTTACTGATTGGTTGTCCGCGACGATAAACTGCTTTATGAGCTGAGGGCGACTAATTGCTGTCATTCCGTTTCAGGCGCAGGCTGAAAGGGCTGTTGTAGGTGATCATTTCGTCCTCAAGAAATTTCCTCCGTCAAGACGACGAAAGCTAAAGGTAGGGTACTTGAAGGCGTCAATCTCTTCAGCCCTTGTTGGGGAAGAGAGCAAATAGCATACTTATCGAATAGGGACAAAAAAAATGGTAGAGCCGACACCAATATGGAGCAGTGGAAAGATGAACAGCGTAGCAGCGATTACTGAAGGGCAGTCACACTATGGCAAGGCACTGTGAATAAAGAAGCTGTCCTTATGCGTCACGGTACGCGTGTTGCTTGCAACACGCTATGCGTCTTTTCTTTTCTTTTTTTTTTTTTGCGGAACAATCTCTACTAAGGGTTTTTTTATCTTGGTCATCATTGATGCTCTCTATAGCTCAATGACCCCCTATTTTTGTCTTGCGCCTACATAATCATTATGGAGAGCCATGGGCTGTAGATCTTGCTCGGCCAAAGCGCACTATCCAATCCGTTCCATAACGATATAAAGATAGGCGGCTGTAGATGGAGTCAGCCAATTGACTGGCATCAACAAGAACACAGCCTAGTACGAAAGACATGACAGTTGCCTAGAATGCAGTGGGATTGCTATGTTTATAGACGTTTAGGCTCAAGGACGACAGCCGACTAACATAGAGAGCCATAATGCTACAACCCATACCCTAGAGTCAAAAAATACTGCGTGGCACGTAAGTCGTATGTGTGGCCTCGCTCAAGGCTACGATGATAGCGCAGACATTTCATGTTTTGGCAACCTAGAGAACCTGTTTCGCAGAAGACGCGTTTTCCTAAAGAAAAATAGTAGTATGACGACACTGTGCCAGGAATAGCTCAACCCAAGCTTTGCGGTTTTCCCTTGAGCATTGAAATACTATTGGCTCGTTGCCTCTTCATGTCATCGTAAGACGGTCTGAAGGGTCATAAAAGTTATGCCAAAAAAAAAATAGACAGCCGATAATCTGTAAACGTTATCCATCCTCGGTTAGTGGCGGCGTAAACATAAAATGGACGAGAGCAGTGAACCTGCGATATGATGTTCACAAACAAGAAAACTCTGGCCAAGGCACGGTGTCCCGAACAGATTATGTGGATCCCGAAAGAAAATGAAGCAGAATGGTACCCAAATACAGCAAGCATCCCAGAGACCGAAAGGAGGACAATTTTTCGGCAATCTTGTAGCACGCCAGATGGTGTCAAAGGCATGTCGCCGTTTTTCAGGCGACAATGAAGATCCATATGCATCGTAAGCCGGTGAGCCGCATAAAAAAATTGGGGGCTTTAGACGCTACCATGAAGAGCGTGTGATCAGGAGCCGAGGTCCAGCACGCCGCAGAATATCCGGGATTGTTGCTGGCGTGCTCTCGTTCTACTCTTCTAGAAATCGCAGGGCCCTTAGGATATGTTTAAAATTAAAAAAGACTTGCGGGGGCGATGGATGGATGACCAATGATAGTTCGAGTCGATGCAGTAAACATCCCAGGCAGATCGGAGCCGTGGCGTGGAGAGTCTAGTCCCTGGATCTCGTTAAGAAGTTCGCATCAAGACGATTACAGGCTAGCTGGCTGCGTTCGAGGAGTGACATGGAAGAGCTGCATGATGAGCCCTGTACGGATGCTTTGACTATGCTTACAAAAATATTGGGCCAATAAAAGATTATCTTGATTGCGAGATGGGCTTGGATGGATCAATTAGGATGTTGGGCGCCCGAGAATGAAATAAGGATAATTGGTTGAGGGAAAATGCATGGGCACGCGCAGTTGTGTTATACCAGGGACAAGGGACAGGGCGAGGTGTGTAAACAGGAGACCACGCTGCAAGGGTGAGCGTAGTACAAGTTCGTGAGTAACGTGTTTGCTATAAACAAGATGCAAATGCATTTTCTGAGCTCTATAGCAAGCAGGTTACTAAACAACACAAGTCCTTCCAGGGCTGCGGGATGCTGTCGTTAGTGGTGTTGAGGCAATGGCCAACCTTGTAAGGAACACGCACTATTGTGGTGAGCTATTTACAGCTAAGATGGCCAATGGGGGTGCTCCCTTGACCCGATTCCCATCAGATGTCGACATTTTTTTTGGTTGTCCATGGACCGTGTCAGTCGTGTAACCCGTCTCTCGAGGGTCGGTTGTCAGCACCTGAACCGAGCCTTTGCATTATGATATTTTTTATTTCTCTGGTCTGCCTTCACTTTATCACACACCCATATTTGCAATAGACAAATAGCCCTTTTACTGTCGATGAGTGGCGTGCCTGGTTACTCACAACCCCCTTCTATAACCAGAGGGATCCTCTGCGACATCCTAAGTTTAATTCAGACCCATGCATCCTCCGTTTGTTTTTGTCTCTTGGTTTGTAGATGATTGAGGACCGGGCCCTGATTGTGCACCCCACCATATTCAAAAACAAGTAAATCTCACCCAATTGGCCCACTGCTAGCCCGGACGCGCTTTTCCCTAGACTAACTCCAGGGAAAAAGCGCTGCTGTGAAAACGATGGCGATATGATATGGAATATCCATCTTCCAGCCCGTGTTGATTCAATCCAACAAAAATTCCGTAAATGATGTTTACCAGGCTAGGCGGCATTCCAGGCCCATATTTCCCTCAGATATGGTTTCGTTCTACATGCGTAACTACACGCAAGCCCACCACTGGCGCCACTTCCTCCCTTCCCCTCTTTTCTTTTCAAGCCTCTGAAAACAGTAGCTATCAGGTTGCTCTTGATTCATCATCGGTCGTTGCTGGCCCCTTGCATATTTTTCAATGTCTATCACTCGCCTAAGGACTAAATGGATCTCCGCGCTTCGCGTGTCCAACTCCAACCTCATTTCGGCCATCCATTCGAGTGCTCTGAATGTATGCAGTCGAATATTACGCTTTTAATGAAATACTCTGCAGATGAGTGCTGTGGATGAAGGGACTGCATATAGACCATAACCCGGTCTCGCACTGACGCGCCAGCCGTGGTTTGTTGATGTGCATGTACTGCTGCACTATTGCGCATGCATTGCAGACGTCCTCTGCGCCTGCAGGCACAAATGAATACTTTACTATGTCGGGTTGAGCCAGATCCGCTTAAATTACAGCGAATGCATTTCCCAGGGTATTATATAAAACATATACGCATCCACAAACATGAGAGCCATCATCAATCGCAACGCTGTATGTTTTATTCGTGTTTTGTTGGTGTGTCCATGCTGCTCAGCAGTCTAGCCTTTTTGCCGCCCTCAGTCCCTAGCTGCTGGTCAATCGCGATCTCTGCGCGGTAGAGGCATGGCATGAACCCTGGGTAACTGAACCCCTACATCGGTCGTTCAGTCTTGGTCATGTACTTCGTCTTGATCGACTCTGTGCATACTCGCCCTCCCCCAAAAACAAGAAGCTCCCCTTCCCCTCCCCCGGCTATAAAAGCAATCGTCTCGACGCGCTTTTCTCACTTTTTTTTTATCCCTTATCCACATCCTCAGCGATCTACTCCCTCTCCAGCCTTCCCTTGCAACAAGCACATCAACCACCTTCACTCATCCCTTTTTTTTTTTAAAAAAAAAATCAAGTAAACATGAAGTACTCTGGTCTCCTCATCGTCGCCTGCGTAGCCCTCTTTGCCTCCTCGGATGCCGCTCCTTTGCTCAAGAGCAACTCTGGCAAGCCCATCCCTGACTCTTACATTGTTGTCCTCAAGGAGGGACACAAGGTCAGCGACTTCGTCCCCAAGTTTGAGGCCATCGCCAAGCGCCAGAACGGTCGCGGTCGCAAGTCCACCATCGGCCGCAAGTACAACTCCATCCAGGGTTTCTCCGCCACTGTCAACTCCGCTGCCTTGAAGGAGCTCCTTGCTGCCGATGAGGTCAGCTATGTCGAGCAGGACCAGATCGTGACCATCAACGCCCTCACCCAGAACAACCCTCCCTCTTGGGGCCTTCCTCGCGTCTCGATGCGCCAAAACAACCGTGGTGCTCCCTACTACTACCAGGACCAGGCTGGTGCCGGTGTCACGGCTTATGTGATCGACACTGGTATCAACACCGCCCACACTGAATTTGGCGGTCGCGCCACCATGGGCGCTAACTTCGTCTCGGGCTCTGCCAACACTGACGAGAACGGCCACGGTACCCACGTCTCTGGTACCATCGGTGGTGCCACATATGGTGTTGCCAAGAAGGTCAAGCTGGTTGGTGTCAAGGTCCTCAACGCCCAGGGCTCTGGCTCTTACTCTGGTATTGTTGCTGGTATGGACTGGGTTGCCCAGCGCGCCGCTGGCTCCAAGGCTGTTGTCAACATGTCGCTCGGTAAGTTTCTCTCTTTCTTTCTTTCAGTACTCTTTGATTGGTACGGATAGTGGCCCCTATGGATGTTAACCTCTACACATCTTTCCGATGGTCTCTACTAGGTGGTGGCAAGTCCCAGGCTCTTGATGATGCTGTGACCCGTCTCTACAACGCTGGTGTCCCCGTTATCATCGCTGCCGGCAACGATGCCAATGCTGACGCTTGCAACGGATCTCCCTCGGGTGCCCAGGGAAGCTTCACCATTGCCGCTTCTGACATCAACGACCGCATCGCGACCTTCTCGTCCTGGGGCCAGTGCGTTGACCTCTTCGGCCCTGGTGTCGACATCACCTCTGCTTGGATCGGCTCTTCCTATGCCACCAACACTATCTCCGGTACCTCGATGGCCACTCCCCACGTTGTCGGTGTCGCCGCTCTTTACTTGAGCTCTGACTCGTCCTTGACCTCGGCTCAGTCTGTCTACAACAAGCTCCTCCAAACCTCGACCTCCAACGTCATCCAGGGTTCCCTGCGCGGTTCGCCCAACCGCCTGGTTTTCAACAGCGCCGTCTAAGAAGATTGATATGGTTTATATCTGCTTGCTGGTCATTTTCAAGCACATTATTACGAAGGATGATATTTTTGATCGTGTAGGTCCTTGGAAGTAGTTTTCTTTTTCTTCTCTTTTTCTTTTAACAATTTGCTGCTGTTGCCTGGCGCACCATCCCAGCCTTTTTATCTAGTTGCTGAGTTCTTATCTGCCTGGGGCAGAAAGGTAGCAACCATCTATCCAATAAGATACTTTAGTAATAAAACCATAGTTGAAGGACCATAAAATATGACTATTTCTACTTTTCCGGTGAATACGTTCGCGACCGGTAATTTCCTTCAGGATCAACGTTAGCTGCCAGCAGTATAAAAATGAGTTACCTTGCGATTCCTGACAAGTAATATCTGAATAGCATTAGAGCTAGTAAACAAACTGATGTTGTTATAGGTGGATTGGGATAGGATAGACAGGTAGCAAATAGCAGATAGTGAGGGTAGGGCACCTATGAAGGGTATAAATCCATCGTGAATAAACGGACTTAACGTTAAATACGAATGGGTCTCGACGCAAAGGGACAGTTAACTGGATGAAGCTACAACTGAATCAGGAACAATCTACTGCCTTAGGTTTCTATCTGACCCGAAAGACCTGTTTTCTTTTTCTTTTTCTTTTTTATTATAGTAATTTAGAACGTAGACGACCTCAACGTAAATCAGCTTCAGCTCATCTTGCCAGTAACAGAGAACAACTAGTATTATCTCTACAGAATTAACCTGAGTTTCTCAGGAACCTCATCACCCTTAGGAGTCTTTCGCTTCATGATAAGCGTTTATACATGGAGACCAACAACACTTATTGACGACTTCATGAACTTCATCGAAGCCAGCCCATGGCTGCGCATCTTTGGAGATGGACCACTTTGCCGACAAGCCCGTAGCAATTTTTACGCTTAGGGTTAAACATCTGGCATCATCATCATGTATCCAGAGAGCTTTTCTTCCAGATTGACAGCTCCACCAAGAATCGCTTTCTCCGAATGCTTTTACAATGCTGCACGCGACTCGGGAGCCTAACCGTGAGCAGTTTACTTCTGCACCAGTGCCAGAATTACAGACGAGGTCGCCCTCAGGGCCCAAATGGAGTTGACCGGCGGCAGTGACAACAACATTGTGGATTTGGATTTACGCCCCCCATTACTTTCTGGCGGCAAGAAAAATCGACCCTCTATTAAACTTTGAGACAATGCCCAAAGCCTCAACGAACAGTGTTTCCGACTTTTTTTTTTTTTTTTTTTTTTTGGGGGGGGGGGGGGGTTAGGCGTCTCGCAGCAGTGATTCAGCAGGACCTGGATCTTCTTTCCCAGGCGGATATCAGTCGATCAGGCCTTGACGATGAGGCGATTGCATTCTTTGGCTCAAAAATGTCACTTCCTGGAGGGGGGTTGAGGGTAAAGCTGCCACCCATATCTCTGCACGGACCACCGATGCGCAATTAGAGCCTCATTGCACGCCGACACTTCGGAATACTTGCTTGGAGGACTGCCGTACGGATACGGATGCTCAGGCTATTCTGTCGATCCTGAGTTCATGTCGGAACCCGAGTTCGTATCGAAACCTGAGTAGCTTCCCATGGAATGACTCCGGACCATATGATCTACTCAAGCAAGGACCCTCTCTCGCAAGTCGCGGATATGGCGGCCAATCCTGGCTGAGTATATCTGGGAATTATGGTACTCACATCCCAGTATGAGGAAACAGAGGACGCAAGGTATTGGCTGAGGAGATTTGCAAGCTGAGTCAACTGGAGTACTTGTTTGTTGCTCGCTAGGAATTGGCCGATCCCACTATCGCTGCCTGTCGCTGCCTGTCGCTGCCTGTCGCCGCCGCGACTACAACCACACCAGCTGCTGTTGCCATATCCCATGCCCTGACAGGCGAGATTTCATCAAACGATGTCGGCGAGAACACCAACTCGATTATGGCCGGTGAGAACTCTCCAGTTGATGAAGTAATGGATGCCAAGGAACAGATTCTGGCAGAAGCATTGAAGCGTCTCCATGTTCTTCAACGTCTATGCATGTTAGATACGACCAATCTCAGCAAATACTTTTACGAGTCCCAACGCGAGGAGCTCCACGCCGTCACCCCTACGTTGCGAGATGTGCGTCTTTACTAGTGCGGGCCAAAGAGTCAGGGAGGCTTTGTTGGGTTGTAACATTTTTTTTTTTTCTGTTTTTTGAATGAGTGGTGTACTCCAGTAGACTATACCATATTCCGTGCAACACAACTTTTTGTGTGTGCTTAGCATGTACATACATGTATTAAACCAACGATATATTGCAATGTATTTATATTGTTATTTCCCGTACCTGCATGAACATGAAACTAGCGGCGATCATTTTGCTTACCTCCTTTGTATTACTGGTTTTCAGTCTCACAAAAGAAATTCCCTTCCATGTCGTACTTTTAAAAGTTTGTTTTAGAAGTATGGGCATGAGATCCATAATAATATGCGTGAAGCCCTCCCCATATTATGGGTGTTCTTTACTGGAACCCTGGGTATGAGATCTAGGAGGGGAAGAGGAGTAAAGGGCTTAACCAGACCCTTGCAGGATCTATTATGGAAACCTTCTTCCACTTCTAAACAATGTAGTTCGTGGGCACAATCTTGCTGTCGCGCTCAGAAAAAAAAAAACGCGTACCTTTACACTACCTCCATGGTACTAATGTTGCTCAAGGTTCTCCGCACGTCCGTAATGAAAGATGTACCGCGATGACACTAGTCATTATTGAAGGCCGGTATCACACTGTTGCCGGATATACAGCTCTCAGGGGTGGAAGTATGGGCGGCAGGATTATTCAAGTACCTCTGTCATTGTACTTCGATCTCTTCCCCATTGCCTTTCCTGCTTGTCGCGATGAGAACTGTCTTTGCGCATGGCCGTGCTTTTGAGATATGGGTTCCTAAACTTTTTTTTCTTTGTCAGGCAATGGACCTGGGATTCCTTTGAGAGGTTCGGTATGCCTCAGAGACCTGGGTGTGGCATACACAGCAGGACAGGCTGCAAGTAAGACAGAGGGTTTTGGCCAAGCCCATGCGGAGTGTCAAGGTACATCCGTGAAATATATTCGCGATATGATATATATTCCATTCCTAGAAGGCGCAATGAGGATGCAAGCGAGTCGAGAACCGTTTTTCCCATCAATTAGAAAGATATGCGCGCATATCATTTTCGTTCACAGCAAAGGGGGGGAAGGAGGAGGGGACATGGGTATGTCCCTGGGGGCCATGGTGGGTACGATTATTTTGTGTAACCCACATTGAAATGAGAACGCGGCGCACGAGGATTTTGATAGGACCAGACTCTTCCCACTGGAGTCCCGGTCTCGAATGTCACCATGCGAGGGTACGACTCAGACGTAAATTGATATGAGCTCTAATTGCAAGCTGCAACTGAGAGGGCATGGCAAGGGCTGCGCCGGGGTATTGGGAGACAAGCGAGCAGCAACCAAGGGACGAAAGGATGGCCAAAGCCTGTTGTGCTTAGTCCATGTTTCGTCTCTTGTTTCCTGTAACATGTACCTCTTCTGTCCCAAATGAGGTGCTCTCACAAATTAAAGGGAAATATATGGCTCGCTGCATTATAAGGTGAATAATAACCCTGGTAATATGTTCTTTCTGTCGACGTTGACCCTCAAGCTTATTAGTCTGCCTGGTGACTATTTCTCAGGGCCTAGGGAGGAAAGACCAGGCGGCCAGAAGGCATATACTTTATCCCTGACTTGGGTTGCTCTGTTCAGACCCAGGTAGACTATATAGTTCATGCGTCCTGCTTAGTTTATTGCTCTCAGTCTGATCTCTCCGCTCGACCCTTGCGCATCATGTTTACCAGGGTCGGTTGTACCACTGTCCACAATAACATTACAGTATATTGCAAAAGCATCCAGGATATGCCCTGGGGGCAGTGCACCTAATGGTGTGTACATACTTCATGCTCTTTACCCTGACCCTCGTCTCATCTTCTCTGACAAAATCGTTGTACTCACATACCGCCCATACCGATTTCCTGCTCTGCAGCCGTTTTACTCTCAGAGTGAGCCTGGACCAACAACGTCTAACGACACGCTTCTATTGCACGCACCGTCCATGGACCTTCTTCGTTGTTTGGCTACAGGAATGCCCAACCCAATCTTGACACAATTACAGCACAGTCTTTCAGTATAAAAGGAGCCGCAACCATCCTCCACTTTTTCTTCCTCAGACCTTCACACTTCCACTTCTTTACTCTTCCCATCAGGCAACTAACCCCACACAGCTTTAACAGCACTTCAAGAATCGGAAACCCCACATCCTCAATAGCCCAAAACCTTACGATCAACTTCCAATTATCACTATCATGAAGTACCTCTCCCTCTTCGTCGTCGCCTGCTTGGCTTTGTCCTCTTCGTCGACTGACGCCGCCGCTCCCTTCATCTCCAACGGCTCTGGCACCACCGCCATCCCCGGCTCGTACATCGTCGTCCTCAAGGACAACCACAACGCCACCTTATTCCAGACCAAGTTCGACAATATGGCTGCCCGTGTCCAGAACGCCCGCGGTGGTCGTCGCCCCAAGATGAGCCGCAAGTTCTCGACCATCCCCGGCTTCACCGTCACTAGCAACCGCAACACCGTGACCGAGCTCCTCAACATGGACGAGGTCGCTTACATCGAGCAGGATGCCCTCTTCACCATCCAGGCTTCTCAGGCCAACCCTCCCTCCTGGGGCCTTCCTCGCGTCTCCACGCGTAACGTCTTGAAGTCCCTGATTAACTATGTCTACCCCAACGCCGCCGGTGCTGGTGTCACTGCCTATGTTGTTGACACCGGTATTAACGTTGCCCACTCCGACTTTGGCGGCCGTGCCAAGATGGGCGCCAATTTCATTCAGGGTTCCCCCAACACGGATGAGAACGGTCACGGTACCCACGTCTCTGGTACCATCGGAGGCACCAGATTCGGTGTTGCTAAGAAGGTCAATCTGGTTGGTGTCAAGGTCCTCAACGCTCAGGGCTCTGGTTCTACCTCTGGCATTGTCGCTGCCATGGACTGGATCATCACCGTCAACAAGGGCAAGAAGGCCGTCGTGAACATGTCTCTCGGCGGTGGTGGCTCCAAGGCCTTGAACGACGCTGCCGGTCGTCTGTACAAGGCCAACATCCCCGTTATCGTCGCTGCTGGCAACGACGGTAACCTTGACGCCTGCAACGGTTCTCCCTCGGGTGCCCCAGCGGCATTCACTGTCGCCGCCTCGGATGTCAGGGACACCATTGCCTCCTTCTCGTCCTGGGGCAAGTGCGTTGAGATCTTTGGACCTGGTGTCCAGATCACCTCCGCCTGGATCGGTTCCAAGACTGCCACGAACACCATCTCCGGAACCTCGATGGCCACCCCTCACGTCGTCGGTGTTGCTGCCCTGTACCTGAGCAACGACGCCAAACTCAAGACCGCTCAGCAGGTCTATAACAAACTGACCTCGACCGCTACCAAGAACGCTATCAAGGGCAACTTGCGCGGCACCCCCAACCTCTTGGTCTTCAACGGTGCCGAAAAGTAAATGTATTTTTTTTTGTACACAAATGTATCATCAATCCCCCCCCCTTCTTCATGACCTCACCAAAAAGAAAAAACCAAAAAGTCAAAAACCAAGCGTACCACTCATGAAGACGAAACGTCTCTCTAGACAAAAACACAATGAAATCAATAAAATGAAAAGAAATTGTCATCAAGAACTGAAAATGAATGGGATATATTTGATCCGTGTGCAGAGAGCTCGAATCCTGGGTATAATGAAAAGTATAATATTGTACCCGGTTAGCTTTGTATGCAAATGTGGTTCAGTCTACGGGTGTACCTTGTCAGCAATTTCAACCGCCTTCATATCGGAACCGCGGCTGCTGCTCTACCGCTCAAACGACCCGGTTTTCTTTATGCTTCGCCCATAGTTTAGGACTAAACGTATCTTCATTTTATTTTTTAAGAGGATTTCGTGTATGAATTCAACATGCATTTGTCTAATGCTTTTATTCTGGTCCACAATCCATGGGAGTCTCCTTGAGATCAACCCAACTCAGCCTCGGCAGTCTCTGTTTCAACCCCCGAAGGTGCGACCCTTGGACATACTCACTCAAATTAATCAACTGCAGTTTGTGAAGACACAAAAGTTCGCTCTGGATCGCATTCAGGGCCTTATCCACGCTGCGCTGCCGTCTATGAACCAGTTACTCTTCCTCAGCTAATCTTCGTTGAGCATCCGCACCGGCAGCTATTATCGCCGGTGTGGCTGGCAATGGTAGTATTTTGCGAGACAGATACAGTTCCTCTAGATGCTCCAGCCGCATGATCTGAGAATAAAGGGTCCCTGGGATGACCTCATCCGTCTTCTCTGCATACTGGATGCACAACACCTTTAGTCCGCGACAAACCCATCCCGGCTCGAGCATCCGTCCTGGCATGGGCCCGATCCATCCCGTGCCATGTGTATCATCTCCAGGGCTCGACATTTCGCCATAGTCGTATAACAGCGAGGGAACAACGCTCTGCAAGTCTTGAACCTCGAGGACAGGATCGACGTACGTGCCCACCATTTCCTCCCTAAATGTGAAATCCAATGACTGGAAACGCTCCAGACCGGGGCATGACCGGAGAATGATCTCCAGCATGAAGTTCTCAATACCAATGCGGTTTGCAAGAGATATTTTTCGAAGAGTCATACGGTGGTACTGGACCAACGCGCTTGCTGCCTCCGAATTGAAATCTCTTCCAGGAGGCAATATAAAACACTCTAGCCCACCAAATCCTTGCTCTCGCTCTCTTTCTTGCCCGAGTTCCTTTCCCACTACGATGATAGCATCGGCACAAGCCTCGAAGATACCTCTCCATTGTCGGTTTAGCCTGCCGTTCATCTCCGTAAAAGTCAAAGACTTCAGGTTCCACTGATATCCTCTGATCACTGCGCACAGACCGATCGGACACCACTGACGAAGACATCTCTGGTAAGGCAAGCCGTTCTATTTTGGAACACGCGCTCAGAAGCGGTAGTAGCATGGTTAGCTAGCCCCAAATGAATCTGCTGTTGGACAAGTCGAGCTCCTTGAACATCATCTCCGAAAATACATCAGGAGGGAAGAAAAAGGCCCTCGTCTGGAATCCATGTGGGCATGAGGGCCTCATAAAGTATGCATCGCAAGACTGACCTCTCCAATCAAGTGCAGTGGCATAGCAGCTGGTAGAGAAGGTAGCGTCGGATGCAGCGTCGAGGATTGTTGATGGTAAGATCCTTAAGCGAACGGCGGCTACCAACGACTTCAGTGCACCGCATAGCAAGGTCTTTTGTGAATTTGAGGAATCGGATTTCCAGGGCTCGCAAGCAAGGACTAGCCTCTACAACGTTCAGCAGAGGGCGGATAAAGAAACATTTGTTGACAAGCTGTGTGGATGAGTTAGCGCCCGGATAACGGTGAGGTTTCTGAAAAAGTACGTGTACCGAATTGAAGGACGGTTGATATTGTCAAGATGGGTTCGTCCAGGTCGTACGCAAGGTTAGTGACTTCTCTGTCCTGATGTTTTTGATCCTCCTACCACGATGCTTGCACAAACTGGAATACAGATGCGTAGTAGGTCGTCCAGGGCATTGGCCGCTTTCCATGACGATCGGCTCAATTTTTTTCGGTGTGACATTGTTGGCGCGTGCAGGGCTGTGCGTATTCTCCTATCAAGGATCAATCGCGCAAAAAGGAGACAGCGATCGCCATGCCAAAACCCACACCGTCCACCACTGCGTCTTCAAATTTCTCCCCATAGCGCCCTAAGATTGACGACTGGATACTGAACCATTTGTGACAAAGTACCACGGCCCTTTATCGTCAAATACCATCAGGTTTATTCGTAGCCATTAATCGAAACCTTCGCGCTGAGAAACTTCGGTCGATCCGGTGGTGCTCGTCCGACTCCAATGACTCTCTAACCCTGCTACAGATGGGCAAAAATAGCCTACATGTAATATAGGAGTGTGTTTGTACCATAAGTCTCTGGCTATTTTGCTCAGCGACTTCCTACTATATAAAGTCAATCCTTTGTCCTTGTTCTCCTTGATCTCTTTCAAAAGAAGGTACAGCAGTCCTCCTTAGGTGTTGCCTGCGGATTCCTCTGTTCCCGCTCTCGAATGCACCCTCTTCTTCTTCTTCTTCTTGATCGCCCTCGTGCTTCTGATGTTACTGGTGTTACTGCCTCTTAACCAAAGCTGCGACACCAAGGCGCTTCTGGAAACAGAGCAGACGAATTCTTATATTTTGTTGATGGGTAGAAACACAGGAGGATTATTGGGGACAATGTAACACATAGGTCTGGCCACCTTTTAATGAGGTCCCCTTCAAACCGAGATGTTTCGTCCCTATCATCTCCACGTTCTCCACCCTTCGACTTCTCACCGTCGGAGTAGTCCTTGTCCGGCTCCTTTTTGACCTGGGGAGCAGCGTCATTGTTGATAAAAAAAAATGCATATCAGTACCAAGCATCAAGTTTGGCGCACGAATCAACTACAGGATGCAGATCAGACTTACGGTATAAAACGCGGACTGGCTCTAGACTGAAGGAAAGTGAATTAAAATCAAGAATGTATGCAGAATGAGGTGCTCTTTGGATCACTTGAATCCCATGTACGCGTCAGGTCTACTTGGACATGAATACTCACATACGATTTCATGAAACCAACTGGACTGAAACTGCTGCCAAAAGACAGTTAACGGAGCCTGTTCGGCACTGCTTTCTTTTTTTCATGTTTTAAACACCTCTCGTAGGAGGAGGGCAGCGAGAGGATGGGCGTCATGAAGTTCAGCATCATCTTCACCAAACTTAGACACAGTGCGATCGATTATAGAAACAGTTTCGCGTTGAACAGGAATAACTACAGAACCTCCCAGTGAAGCGACACACCGCCAGTTCTCATCATCTCACACTAATCGATGTTAAGTATTATCCAACGTGAATCTGGAGCTGCTTCAGTCACTATGGATCTATTTTGCATACCAATGTCTTTAATTTCATGTAGTTTGTAATGGCCGAGACTAAGAAACAAGACATACATACATGAGGCATGTAGGGCGGCAATAGGAAGTGGCTCCTCGAATAAAGAAGGCGCAATAGCATATGAGAAGAATAAGTTCGCTATCCAAGCTGAAATCGACAGACTTCTCATCTCTCCATCTTTCCGCGGGTTGAATAGAGGCAGAACGCTGTAAGTTCCAAAAACAACATTGCGGCCTACTGTTTCGCCTATCTCGCCTCTCTAGCAGAGACTTCGGTGAAAAATGCAACGGCCGCTAAAATTCGGTCCCGTCCCCAGGAACAACCAAGCCACTACGGATGGTCCGGCCGATCGTTTGATCGCCCTTCACCGTTGGGCCTGATCCTAGTCATCCACTCACTCATACCCAGCACTCGTCTTACTCTCCCCTCTTTTCTTCTTCCCTTCTTCCATTCATAATGCAAGCCGCCGCTGCCTCGACTCTCCGTGTCGCCTCGCGCCGTCACTTCTCCAGCTCGGCTGTTGCTCGTGCTGAGCAGGCTGTCGTCCCTCCTGTGGTCACCTACAAGCGTCCCGTCGGCGGATTCCGTGGAGGGTAATGCATCAGGAACACAGAGCATTACAAAGACATATGGATGTCATGGAAGTGAAACGCGCAAGAATGCCAGGATCTACAGGACGACCAACTTTCGCTTGGATCACAGGCGATCAAACACCATTCTCTTTATTCAGGAACATGAACAAGATTCGCCCCCATATTTTTAGGCTACTTGAGCAGGACAGTGACACTTTTGACGACACTGCACAGACTCCATTGCATCAAGTGGAAGCAATAGACTCCAGAAACATAGCTCGACATTCGTCGCGGGTTACTGCTGGCTGCACGGCTATTGTCGCGTGTTATTGACAAAAGCATCATAGCATGTGTGTACCTGGATCAGCGATCGAGGCGACAGGAGAACGCGAGATCGCTACAGTGGAACCAATTGACTGATTTCATATCAAGGATTCGAGTCTTAATGACAGACAATTAATAACGGAACATTATTTATTCCTCGCGTGTTCTATGCATATAGTATTCTCGGATTCTTGCTTGGTGCCACGGTAGCTGGAGGTGCTGGTTACTACTACCTTTTGGAGGAATACCAGACTGCATCTAGCTTGTTGTTGAGCAGTGTCGAGGACTTGCATGCCTCTACTAACAAGGTACAGTCGAGATTCTGCTTTTTTTACGCCGTAGCGAGCGCAGATCTCTTCTCAAATGGACGCAAAAGGCTCGAGTATTGATCTGACGCCGCAATATTCTTGTGCTGTGCTACCTTGTTAGGTCCGCGATTATGCCAAGAAGATCGAGTCGGTCGAGGCTGAGCTCAAGGCTTTGCGCACCAAGGCTGCAACTGTAGAACAGCTGAGCGAGCTTAAGGGCGAGGTCAAGAAGGTATACGACGCCCTGAACATTGAACACCTTGAGCTCAAGTCGCACGTGTGGGGACTCGAGATGGATCTCCAGAAGGTCCAGCAGCAGTCCAAGAGCGTTTAAACCACGGCTGGAGAAAAGCATAGAAGGACGACGAAAGGAATCGCAAATACACCCTCGACTAAGGGCGATATATAAACCCATATGATACACATCTCACTCCCATCATATGACTTTTCAGAACTTGTGCGCAACAAGTAGACATGGACATGGAAGAGCTTCTCGCTTCTTGACAATAGTATTGCCTCCTCTAGCGGTTGACTCCTTTCATCGCGTCAATTGATACGCGTAATCACACGCTGGCGGATCGATCAAACGAGGCGTATACCAAGTTATGCCAGACTGATCAACTCATCGTTCATCGCAATGTGCAATGAGCAGCAAGTTCTTAGTATACTTGTAGTCCCCATGACCGCCGCTGCTTGACCCGCTACTCCAGCACTCCCTACTCTTCCATCCTTCCTTGCTCCGTTCTCTCTCTCTCTTTTTTTTTCATCTTTTCATCTTTTCATCTTTTCTCTTCATCAGAGCTTAAATGAAATGGATCTTTTGCCACCAATTCATGCAACTCTGTCTTTCTTTCTCTCCACCTCCTTTCCTCATCATACCCAGTATACAAAAAACACAGATCTACTAACAAGAGGTGACGCATTCGATCGCGGAATTACGGCATCATGAAAGGCCACCCATCCTGCTGAGCTGTTCAGACAAAGCCCCCAGCGACTCTGCTTGTTGCTGGATAGCACCCCTTTCCCAGCATTAAGGTTTCCATGTGTCCCGATTTAAGGTTCCGCTTCGTGCGCGATTTGTTCACAAAAGGACTGTCCTCCACTTTTCCTTTCCTTTTCTTCTTCACCTCCATTCCCCCACCAACAACTACCAGAAGAGTTACCAGAAGAGCTACCAAAAAAGCTACCAGAAACGTTTGGAAAAGTGTTTGAGTTCCTTGAACTATTTTCCTGACTTGCGTGTCTTCCTATTCTCTCTCCTTTGATCTACTCACATTCCTTCTTCCGGCTCCCTTTCAGCTTAGTCCTTTCTTTACCATCGTTGCTTTAACACCATGGCCTCTATTAGCATGGGATCAGCCGACCCCGGAAGTAAGGACCAGACTTTTCGTCCCACTGACTCCCCAACTTTGCTTTCATCCCATTTCATGGATGATGACCTTAACTTTACTCCGTTTGACGTCTTCACTGACGATCCGTACACTACCTTGTTCTGCACCGGAGAGACCGATGTTGAGCCAAGGTACGCCTTTGATGTGGAGGAAGAGAGCACCGATGTCGAGAGCTCATGCTTTGACTTTGACGATGTGAATTCTCTCGCGCACTACGCGAACTATTTACGTATCAAGTCAACTCCTTATGTTGCCTGTGGGCAACAGGTCGATCGTATAGACAACGAGGAGATGTTCAGCAGCTATACTCATGTGTACTCACGCTGTGCGAGTCCCACCCCAGCGAGCCTTGTACACAGTCCACATCCGCCGCCTCTGCCTTTCGTCACCGACCTGGACTTGGACAGTCCCATCGAGATCCATGGCCGCGTGTTTTCCAGCCTCCGTGAGCATATCTTCGACATCGATCACGGATCTCTGATGTTCCTCGGTCTTGACTCTGAGTTCGATGCCCCCTATGTGCCCCATGACTTCGAGCAGTTTGACGGCGACATAGAAGACTTTGAAGTGGACGGTGACGGTGAAGACGAGTTAGCTCTGAGTGAGGACGGCAGCCAGGAGGAGGAGGAGGAGAAGGAGGACGAGGTGGGTGAGGAGGATGAGGAGACCACCATGGATATGGAGGAGGATGAGGAGGACGAGGATGATGACGATGACGACGACGACACGGTGGTCGCAGACGATGAAGATTTCTTCATCGTGCCACCGCCCTCTATCCTGTTCTCGGTACAGGATATCCCCTCCCCAGCGACTACCATCGATGAGGATGAGTTCTAGGGTATGTTGCCATCCCTCCCGCTCTTCTGTACTTTATATTATATTTAACCCACTCGAATAAAGAGCGATGAATCAAGCAACAGAAATTGTTCCTTTGCATGTCATGTGCTGGGCACCATCCTGCCAAGCTGAAGCGATCTTGCTTGGTCTGGATACCCCAGGTCATCAGCCTTCCTATTTGAAACGTGTTGAAGTCGCGTTTAGATTAAGTGGACTTCCTTTCGTGAGGTCCGTGACCAAAAAATTATTTTTATCTCTGGATTGTATGGCTGTCTTTTCCTCAGTCTACAAGGGGTATCTCGACTGCATCGATTAATGGCGAGTTGAGTCTTCTCAGCCTTGGCTTTGGCCTCAACCTCCCCTTGCCTGTCCCAGGGTACTGGCATGACGTTGGGGTTATGCGAAGGCGACAAGATCCAGCTTTTTCGAATTGGAACCCTGATAGATGCAAGCCCATTGTTTACCCGATTTAGATTTATTTTTTTATCTTTCTTCCTGACACGCGACCTCACAGGACAGCTGCGGCACAGTTCAGGAACACACTGAGGATCACGCCAAGGAAACGATGGCAATGGATTCCGGCATCCATGATTCTGAGGATTCTGAATTCGATCTCAAATCTCTTCGCATCCGCAAGATCTTTACATTGATCTTCATTCACGACAAGGAGCATCAGCAGGTATCGACCGTTAAACTCCACGCCTTTTTTTTTTTTTTTTTCTCCTCGTGTCTCCGCTGCTCCGATCAACTTATTTCCCCATATTTTGTTGTTACTACCCCTCTTCATAGCTTCTGCTCGGTCAAAAGCAGCGAGGTGCACTTCTCGGTCAATGGAACGGATTTGGTGGCAAAGTCGAGCAGGGTTTGGAATCAATCATTGAATCTGCTGCCCGCGAATTGCAAGAGGAAGCCTTTCTCACTGCGTCTCTCTTTCCAATCGGGTTCATCCAATGGGTCGTGTCTTCCAGTGAAGAGACGACGTACCGGGACGTCATGGTCGTGTTCAAGGCCCATTCAATCAATACAATTACTCAACCATTGTCAGAATCTGGTTCGTCAGGAGCATCAAGTTCAATTGAACAAGAGACATCGAAGCCTCGCAGGATCACAGAGTTCAAGGCGAGCGATGAGATGGCGCCAGCCTGGTGGGATATTGATCGTCTGCCCTGGGAAGATATGCGGATCAATCATAAAGTCTGGTATCCATTTATGCTGGCGGATCTACCCTATAGGGGCGTCTACTGGTATGAGATGACGCGTATCAGTGCTGCCGAGAGTGCCGAGAATGCTCAGCGAGAGAATGCGCAAGAGATCTGGGTCGAGGACCTTGATAAGAGGCGCTTTGAATTTGGGGTCCAATCGATCTCGAAGAATGCAGAGTCGGATGACCTGAAGTTTTATGCCGATTGCCTTGGGATTCAGGGAACGTGCTATACTACGACAGTGGTTGGAAGGCAGGAGAAGCAGAGCTCAAATGCAAAAGTCGATCCAATGCTAAGCAGGCTCCTTGACGAGAATTGGTTAAAAACCGCTATTGCCAAAGCAGAGCAAGAGTGGATCACCATGTAGCGCCGTCGTTCTGGCTGAAGTCTATTTATTAAAGGTACCGGTGGTATTATATCAAAAGTTGTATGTATGCTGTATATCCTAGATGCATTATCGGTCTTATGAAGAGAGGACCGAAAGCCTTAGCTTCTCCAGATTTTCGACGACCATCTTCCCTTGAACCTCCTCATACTCGACCACCTTTTCCACCTTCAGAATTTCTTTACCAGTCCTGCCAATACAGCTCCCATATTTGAATCGATAGTCCAGTTTTTGGACAGGTTGCTTCAGAGCCACAAAGATATTGGACTGTGCGCCGTGATATCCTGTAATGGTCTGGTTGGGCTCACCACAGAATCGAAGCACATAGTGCAGTGCGAGCCGGAGAAAAACAATCCAGGCTGCCAGTCCACCGATACCACTAGCAACTACGCCGGGCTGTGTCGCGATCGAGATGATGTGCTTCTTGGGCGGGACGGAGTCGTTGGGTGCTAAACCATTCGATACAAGCAGGACTTTGGATGTAGATCGTGTGATCCGTCTTACAGGAATGTTCGACTCGGTGCCTGATGATGATCCTGAGGAGTTGTCCGATCGTGGGCTTTCCGACCCTGCGGCTATCATGTCAGCCATACCTGTTCCTGCGGAAGGTTGACCGGCCCAGATTTCGTTCAAGCGAATGGCCAACAGATCGGTGACCCATTTGGATGACTCATATGGTTGCTTCGCGTCCATTCCTTGCCAATCGTCATCTGAAAAGCTTCCCTTTTCTGCAGTCATTGAGCTCGTCCAAATGACTCTTCCTGGATCGTCCTCTGTCTTGTTCAGCTGGTCCTCTAGTCCTCTGATCTATTTATGAGATAATAAGTATTAGCATTCATTAGTGATGCCCATTACAAGAAGCAAGCGCTTATGGACGAAGAATATGACCATACCATAAGATAGTGTCCAAAGACGTTGCAAGCGAGCACATTTCCGATACCGTCCTCAGTGAGGTGCTGCTTGGGTTGGACCAAGACATCAGACCGAATGACCACATCCATGGGTGCTCTAAAGATATCCAAGACGAGCTTTCCCCACATAATACCCGTTGAGGGCAAGATCCCAGCGTTGCAGAACAGGTAGTCGACTTTGCGGTACTGATCCCGGATGCGCTGGTTGAATGCGAGGACCGAGGCCGCACTGCCAACGTCGACCAACTCGATTTTGAGCTCTGGGTGGTGGTACAGGTTGTTTCGTTCGCCGATCTTTTCGCCTGATGCTCGGTCCTCTGTCTGATCGTCATGGCGGTATTTATCCTGTTCCTGGTGAAAGCGCTTCTTCTGGAGGGCGTTAAAGTAGATGTGCAAGCTGTTCAGCGCGTCCTGCGCACGGTGCTTGTTGCGACAGGCGAGGATGATAATGAGAGGATTGGGCGATTCTTGAACGAGGCGCTGTACAATTGCATAGCCCACACCGCTAAAGGAAAAGCAAGAAGTATTATACCCAGGGATTAATTGAGTGATTGGTGGCGCCCTGTCAAGATGTTAATACCCCCCGACTGCAAACGGATATTGTGTCACCTACGTATTGGCACCAGTAACGATGGCGACTTTTCTCTCGGCGATCATTTGGAGTCTGGGATGAGAAAAGGTCGGAATAAAAAAAAGGAATGAGGCACCGTCGAAGGGCTGAAGATCACTGTGCGATGAGGAGAGGAGGGAGTAGACGAAAGAAAGAAGAGGTGAGGGTGTAAAGAGGGACCCTTGGACAAGGAGAAAACAACAAGCACATGTTGCTCCCAGGGTCAGCACCGGCCAGGGACAGCTGCCAATTGGACCCCAGTGAATCAGATATCGTATGATTTTTTTCAACATTCCATTTATTGCAGCACGCACAGACATCCCGGCAATACACACTCCGTGCAACCATTGATGCCGTTCCCAATGTATGCTTACCGCTATCAAGAAAGTCATAAAACCCGCAATAGAAATATGAAGGGAAATAAAGTGGGCGCCATCGCTTGCTTGTTTTATTACAGTTGGTATCATATTTAGTTGCTGCAAACGCCGGGTCCCGGCGAAGAGCGCTTTCCTCAGTTGTCGATCGCATACTCGTGCTACTCGCTGCAAATAATCACCAAAGATGCAATGCTGTTGTGTCTGCAACTCCCGCTCGATTCCTTTTTCTTCCAGCTGAGGATTGGACGACAGTAACGGGTAGGTCAATTGGGCGGCGACAAGAGGCGCATCTTGTAGGAGCAAATCCGAATCCTGAACTCTACTTTCCTCCGACATCTCCACGAACGGCATTCGAGTTCATCAGATTAGCAATGTACTGTTGTAGCATCAGGTTTTCGTCCCGCTTCTTGTCATGCTCCTCATGCACTGTCGCCACACGCTTGAGTAAATCTGTCCGGAGTCAAGCAAAAGATAAATGAAATGTAGTGTCAGCTGTTAAGGACTGGTGTTGTTAGGCTGGCGCGCAGAAGCTTCGCCCTGGTCATGATGGCGCTCTCGATGTACCTTTGAGTCCCTCCTGAAGCTCTAGTACTTTTCTACAGGTCGAATTGAAGGTCAGGGAGTGGACGGTTAGTGTGGGCAAACAGCGAGACGGTGTTGACTTGACAAGACTGTCGATTCCATTACCCAGCAAGGTCCTCGCTCTCGTCTTTTCCGTGGATGAGTGGGAAGGCTGTTGATGCGAGCTGATTTGCTGCTGCTTCGTCCATGATGAGCTGTCTTTTGTGTGTGTGTGTGTGTGTAGTGAACGGGGCGAGTAGTATGAATGAATGAGCTGTGGAGACCAGCTTTCCAGTCCTATCAAAGACCCTGTCGTCGTGTCGCAGCCTTACGATGGCTCAGCCACGCATATACAGCCAAAGCGTTGCAACAAAAAGAAAAAAGTTGTTTTGGTTGTTTTTTGTTGTCGTCCATCCTCCTCTGCCTCTGTTTCTGCCTTTGCCTTTGCAATACCTCTTTTCTGCATCCCTTCCTGCTCCACCCCCCAGATACCCTTGACGCGCCTCTCTTTCTTTCTCTCTTCTACCTCTTCCTGCACTCTCATTGCCTGATCGCTCCTGTCGGCCGAGCTGATCAATTCCTAACACTCCCCTGAAAGGTAACACTCGGCGAAACCTTGTTGGTGGCGCATCAAACGAACAACTTGCAATCGGTCCTCAATGGTCATTCCCTCACCATTCCATCGCTAACATAACCTTCGACTTTACTACTATCTAGGCATACACCCGACATTTCTCGGCAAAAATGAGTGCTCTGCAGCGTCTGCAAGAGTTCCGCTTCAAAAAGATGCAAGAGGCAGCCGCAGGGAACAAGAAAATGGGTTCGCCGTCCGATGCAACACCTAGAACCTCGTATTCCAATGGTACCTCGAAAAGTAACTCCAACAGCAATAGCAACACCAGCAGCAGCAGCAGCAGCCGGAGTATGAGCAAGGAGCCGCCTACCACTGTCCTCGATCTGTCCGACGTTGAATCAGAGAGCGATCTAGATCTACGACAAGGCGTCAAGAAAATGACAACTAGCTCGCCCCTGAGAGGATCGCCTGCACCCTCGACATCCTCTGATCGTCAACCTAACAATAACAGATCCTTACCGACAACCTTGAAGCAGACGGGCTTTAGCCCTGTCCAAAAGTCGGCTTCAACCTCGGGCACACCAAGCAAATCGCCGTTCAAGAAGCTGGTCACATCATTCCGTTACACTGGCAATGGAGCCCTGCCAGTGCCATCTGACAGCGATCAGAGTCTTAGCAGTCCACAGCAAAGTGAGGATGATGGCGATTTCCCCATGGCGGAGGATCACGACAGTCGCGACAAACACAAAGGCAACCATTCAGCCTTGAAATCCTCACCTGTAAAGCGAGTCATCATCAGCAGTGACGAAGAAGAGGAGATCAAGCCGAAGCGAAGACTGGTCCGGAAGGGCGACCTGGGACGGGATACGGCTGTTGAGTTACAGAAGCGCCGGCGTCTGATGAAGCGACTTCCACAAGATTCAGAGGACGAGTCTGGCCAAACATCTCGATCTGGATCAAATTCGGTTTCTATTCAAATCTCAGACGACGAAAGCAACGATACGGAGGCGTTTGATCGAAAGCTAGCCCAACTTCAGACCACATTTCCAGACGCCGCGTTCGATGACTTGACAAAGGCGCTCACGGAGTCCGGCGGCGACTTTGCTTCTGCCGCAAGCCTAGTCCTTACACGATCGGCCCCCAATCTGCTAGATTTAACATCCGACTCAACGACCGAATCCTTCGCAAAGGTTCCGGCAAACAAGGTCAATCGATTCTTCCAGCGGCCGGCGAAAGTCACCACATCCTCATCTGCATCAGCAAAAGACAAGAAGCCTGCTCGTAGGGATGATGAAAGCGAGGATTCGTTTGATGAGTATGGCAAAGGCAACATCTACCGGGACCAGGATCGCAAGGAGGAAAGGGCGCTCCAATTCTTCAACGAGGCGACCATGCTAGAGCTACAGGAACTGAGCGGGTGCTCCAAAACTCAGGCAACTGGTGTGATTGAGCTGCGCCCGTTCAATAATTATGATCACCTATGTGTGACTCTGCGTAAGACCAAGGGTGTGGGAGAGAAGATAGTTGACAGCTACTTGACGACCACTGATGCCATCCGCGCTGTCGATCAGATGCTCAAGACTGTGGATCGTGTCCGCGAAGATCTCGTCAATATTCTGAGCGTTTGGTGCGGTGATGAGAATGGAAAGCTATTTCAAAATTCGACCTCTAGTAACAGCATGAAGATCAGCGAGGAACGTGTGAGCAGAGAGTCTTCAGTGAACGGTGATGACGATGATAATCCGGAGCCTGGTATGGAATTGGTGAATTTTGATGCCGACAAGGTGGAGCAGACTGAGGCTGGCAAGAAGGCGATGAAAGGTTTTATACGCAAACAACCGGTCAACATGGCCCCTGGTTTCCAACTCAAGGGCTACCAACTTCTCGGAATCAATTGGCTAGCGCTTTTGTGGCGCAAAGGACTTTCAGGTATTCTTGCTGACGAGGTAAGATATACAAGGAACGATTTGATTGCTCAGACTTTATGACTAGCCAACTTAGGATTTAACCTCATATTCTGCGCCTGATTGATATGCTAGATGGGTCTTGGAAAGACGGCCCAGGTGATTACGTTTTTGGCTCACTTATTCGAAGAAGGCGAGGAAGGGCCCTTTTTGATCATTGTGCCATCCTCGACGCTGTCTAACTGGATGCGCGAGTTCGAAAAGTTTTGTCCATCCCTTGATGTCAGGAGCTACTACGGGACACAGGCTGAGCGCGAGGAGCTGCGATATGAACTTGAGGAGGACCGGACCTACAATGTTCTTGTGACAACTTATGCGATGGCGACTGGCAACAACGATGAGCGAAAGTTTTTGAGCCGACAGGGATTCAGGGGGGTCATCCTGGATGAGGGCCACATGCTCAAGAACTGTGCCAGTGCACGGTACAAGCAGCTGATGTCGATTAAGACCAACTTTCGCCTGCTTCTGACAGGAACGCCATTGCAAAACAACCTTCAGGAGCTGCTCTCTTTGCTGATCTTCATCATGCCGAAGCTGTTTGCAGAGCATGAGGAAGTCTTGAGGACGATGTTCAAGGTCAAGGTCGATGCTTCGAGTGAAAAGAGCACGCTGCTCTCTCAGGAACGAATTGTCCGCGCCCGGCAGATGATTGCACCATTTGTCCTGCGGAGGAAAAAGATACATGTGCTCAATGATCTGCCACGCAAGGTCGAGCGCGTTATCTATTGCGACCTTCATCCGGACCAGAGGGTGCTCTATGACAGAATCATGTCGAGCTCTGCGCTGCAGGCGGTGCTGCGGGATTCGACTGACGATCTTATTGACCCGGTGGAATTGGACAGCATGGACCCCAAAGCGAAGGCGAAGGCGCTTGCCGCAGCCAAGAAGGGTGCCTCAAAGAAGATGACTGCGACTGCCAAGAAGACGGCAGGCGAGTTTGCAAATATCTTGATGCAGCTTCGAAAGGCGTCCGATCATCCTATGCTGTTCAGGGAGCTCTATACGGATGATAAAATCAAGGAGATGGCCAAGGTGATCACGAAGGAGGTCGAATTCTGTGATTCGAACATTGATTATATTGAGGAGGACATGTCGGTCATGACGGACTTTGAGCTCCATAGGCTGTGCAAGCAGTACAAGGTAGGTAGCATGCTGCATCGATCGCTGACTAATGCATATGTTTCTAGCAAAGATAAGTGTTCTCACTATTTTTTATTGTTTCCATTTAGAGCGTCAACCGGTTCGCATTGCCTGGGGATCAGTGGATGCATGCTGGCAAGGTTAAGGAGTTGGAACGCCTACTCCCAAAGCTGATCAAGAAGGATAAGTCCAGGATTCTGATCTTTTCTCAATTCACGATGGTTCTGGATATTTTGGAGGCGATTCTGAAGACTATGGATATTGTGTACCTGCGCATGGATGGAAGCACCAAGGTCGAAGAACGCCAGCCATTGATCGACACATTCAACGACGATTCGAGTTACAAGGTGTTTTTGCTGTCAACCAAGGCTGGAGGGTTCGGTATCAACTTGACTGGCGCCAATGTCGTGATCATGTACGACCTCGATTACAATCCGCACAACGACAAGCAGGCCGAGGACCGCGCACATCGTAAGTCGATATATCTCAATAGCACTGCTTGCTCTGTGCAAGTTGTCACGTGAATTGCCGATTAACGGCGTTATCGACCATGCGCTGTGCTTTCTTGTTAGGTGTGGGTCAGACAAGGGAGGTTCAGGTGATCAAGCTGGTTTCCAAGAACACGATAGAGGATCAGATCTATCAGCTCGCCAACCTCAAGTTGAAGTTGGACCAACATGTCAGTCAGGACGACACTGTCAACGACGCAAGCACCAAATCAGAATCATCATCAAGCTCTTCGACCCCAAGTGCTGGAATCTTGAGTTTGATCAAGAAGAATTGGAAGGAGACCCACAATGCATACGTCGCGAACCAGCAGGACCAGCAGGACTCGGCTGCTGTAACAACATCGATCTCAACATCAAATACAACTGTGACCTCAATGTCAGTTACAACTACAGCTACGCCAGCTAAGGAGAATATGAAGCTGGCGGCCACGGATGGATCGGAAAACAAGGCTAAGGCTGTCAAGAGGTCGGGTATCTCGAGAAGCCCATCTCTGTCATCAGTCTCGTCTCTATCCTCGAGTAACAGTCTGTAGGACATCCTTCACACCATCATGCTAAAACTTTCTGCGAACATGATAACCCCTAATCATATATATTTCTCGACAAGAATAAATTGTTAATGTGTCTAAAACGTCGATCTACACTGGTATAGCGTTGACTCGTTTGGCTGCTGCGTCCCTGGGACGAAGAATCCTCAGAGCCTGGCAAATATGACAAGGAAATCTCTGAGGAAGGCGGCGTAGGCGATGGAGGAGCGAGCCGCTTTGTGCTCTTTAAAGAGTATTTCGATGTCCTTTGCAAGGTTGGGAGTAAAGGTATTAGTCCAATTGGCGAGCACAATGCCATCCTGTATCGCGTGCAACGCTCTTCTTCCGACAGTTGGGTGGACCTGTTGTTCAGGGGAAATATTTCTAGAAAGGACGCTCTACGATATCTAACGATCTTTTGTATTGAAATACATACTAATATGAATAAGATAAAGGACGCGTTTTGCTCATGCGGGGTTTTGAAGTGGAGACCTGGCGGGTATGGAGGTCGTGGACTGCAGGGCGCGAATCGGTATAGGTGTGGACTCCTCCACTATTGCTCAAATCGCATATGCACTCAAAGACCATGTATAGGCTACTGACCGCCTCGAGAAGGTTGGCCTCCCAGCTCTGGGCTCACAACAGCGATCATTCTATTCTTTCGGAAAAAAGAAAGAAAAAGAGAACTGGGTTGTGAATGCGTCCTCTCTCTATCTTTCCACTTTGGTCACACAAATTTTGGGTTGTAGCTGCTGTGCGATATTTATGTCAGTGTAACGTGCGCATTTGCGGACACTCTAAAGGTTTGAATGCTGGACATCGACGTCGTTAATTGCTATGGAGAAGGAGATGCCTACTGCACCCAGTAGGACGATGTCAGGTATCGAGAGTGCCTTTTTTTTCTAGTGCAGTGCAAGAATATGTATATACATCATACATGAACATGAACACGAACATGAACATGAACATGAACATACTGGAGCACGTACATGCAGGCAAGCATGGATTGCAGTCGTCAAGGCCGGGCATGCATTTGAGCCTGTGTATCTGTGCCTGCAGAAGAGAAGAGACAACAGAAGAAGGGCTCTCTTATCCTTGTGCCCAATGTCGCTCTTTCGGAAGTAGCATCAACAACATCTCCAGTGGGTGAAGGCGTCGTACAAACAATTAACTGGAGGTGGAATTTCATACCTCCGCCCAGTAGACACTCACTCCCCTCCACTCCCCCCTCTCTTCCCTTTCCTCATCCACACACCATTTCCCTCATTCCATTTTTCCTTTGGTTTAGAATCCCATCTTTACTCTGCTCTTTCTGTTGGTCCCCTCTCAAGTCATCTTCGCTCGCCCTATTTCTCTACCTCTCCAAACAAGGAAGCGTCTTTTCGCGTGTTAAACCACTAAAGAAAGCACGCCACCAATGTCAACAAGACCCACAGTGCTCATTGTCGGAGCTGGTCTGGGAGGTCTCACCCTGGGCGTTCTCCTCGAACGCGCTGGAATCCCATACGAGATCTTTGAAAGGGCTGCCGTAGTTAAACCTCTAGGTACCGACATTTTCGGAGCGTGTCTCCTGGGCAGCTTCTGTCTCTAGTGAATTTTTTCCTCATTCTAACTAACTTGTTGATTCTCTTTATCTTGATAAAAAGGGTCGGCACTCTCGCTCGGTACTAGTGTCATTCCACTCTTTAAGCAAATTGGTATCTACGACGAATTCGTGAACCAGGCAATCGTTCGCTATACGACTCAAGTGTACAACGAGAAACGAGAAATCGACTTTGTCCTCGACTCCAAACCCGGCGCAGAAATGTACGTTACCGTTACTACTACATATCCACTACCTATATCCGAAGTTCGGTAACCTTAATTTTTACAAATTACAACAAAACAGGGGTGGACACGACGGGTATATTATCAGTCGTCCGGTCATCTACGACATCCTACGAAAACAAATACCTTCACACAAGATTCACATGTCCAAGCGCGTGCTTCAGATCCGTCAGAATGAAGATGAGGTCATGATCCTATGCGCGGACAATTCCATGTATTTTGGACACATCATCGTCGGTGCGGACGGAGCCTATTCCGGTGTGCGTCAAAGCATGTACAAGGAAATGATGGCCGACAAGAGGTTGCCAAAGTTGGATCAGCAGGATCTGCCATACAGCTGCACGTGTCTCGTTGGACAGACGCGACCGCTGGATCCAGAAAAGTTCCCGGAGCTCAAGGTCCCGGAGTGCAGTTTTGACTGCGTGCTGAGTGAGGACAAGCCCTATACTGTGAGTCGGCTTAGATTCGTATTCCGGGCATACTGTGCTATGGTTTGATATGTAAAAATAACTTGTATTTACCCCTCGGCCATTTCACTAGTGGGTGACGTTCACGGCCAAGAATAACATTATCTGCTGGATGGTCGTCCACCATCTCAACAAAGTCTCGTCAAAGTACAACGACAGCTTCCGGAATTCGGAGTGGGGCCCTGAAGCTGCAGAATCCATGTGTAAGGCCGTCCGTGATTTCCCCATTCCCGGAGGCGATGGTCAACTGACGCTAGGCCATTTGATCGACAACACTGACAAAGATTTGATCTCGAAAGTGACGCTGGAGGAGAAGGTCTTTAAGACGTGGCATGATCGTCGACTGGTACTTATGGGTGATGCTTGTCACAAGATGAACCCTTCCGGCGGACAGGGGGCAGGGAACGCACTGCAGGACGCGATCACTTTGGCGAACTGGATCAACGTGTTGCAGAGTAACGATGTGAAGGAAATAAGCAAGATCTTTGAAGAGTATAGGGCGGAACGGTACCCACATGCTGTAGCCGCCTTTGAGAGTTCCAAAATGTTTAGTAGAATCATTGCCAAGGTATGCAGAACAGCAGAGATCTGTGCATTGTACTGCGCCCAAATGATGGCGAACTGACAGGAAGTGTCTCAATTGCCACAAATAGGACTTTTCAGGAGCACTTGTTCGGTTTACGACTAGGCGCATGCCAAAATGGTTATGGATGATAGCTCTTCGCAAGATGGCTTCCAATAGGCCTCAGGTGGCATTCCTTCCACTAGTTGAGGACAAGGGAACTGTCAAACCTACATACCAACCTTCGTTGTACAAGACGCGTAAGATCGCAGTAGTTCCAAGGCCAGCAGATCGACAAAGCGCCAACAGCACCCACAGCAGCAGCACCCACAGTAACATCAGTAGCCCTCACAGCCGCCACCATGACTCTGTGGCTTCAGAGAAAGGAAGTTTGGGGCAGATATCCGCACATGGTGTCTCATCAAAAACTGGAGCTGAGCGTGGAGTTTCTTATGGACGGTGCCTGCCTGCGAACCGATGATGATTTGATAGCGTATGACTGATGGAGATATCGGTCGGCTAAATCGCTCTATAGCCTTGGGGCGTCGCTCGGACTGAAATAAACCACATTTTTTCATGCATACAAGCGGCTCTACCGTTACACACACAACAGGCGCTGCAGCTGGCAAAGGCACTGTCGAGGGCGTAATCCATGTCATTTGGCCTCTTATCTTCTCTTCTCTCATCTCTCATCTGCGCTCGATTATTCTATCCACCTTGATTACCAGCTACCCCTGCCGTTTTTTCAACACAAAATGCTTACGGAGCGTCCTCTTATCACCCCTTCCCAGAAACCAAAAGTTCTCATTGTTGGCGCAGGACTCTGTGGACTGACTCTGGGAATTCTGCTGGAGAAGGCAGGAGTTCCATACGATATCTATGAAAGAATGACCCAAGTCAAACCCCTTGGTAACGCTCTTATTCTTCGCCATGACCGATCAGTTCAGCTTCCTATTGAGTTACATCTTCAACAAAGATATATTTTTATATTTTGGTGTGCCTTAGGTTCGGCATTATCGCTTGGGCCGAACGTCGCCCCTCTTTTCATCCAGATGGGGATTTACGATGAGTTTATAAAGCTTGGGAAAATGTGTTTCAGGATGGACAACTACAATGATAACCGAGAGCTCGAGTTTTCAAAGGACTTTACGCCCATGGTTCAGATGCAAGTTAATTTTGTCTATCCACCTCCCTCCTGGTTCCAAAGGCCAGCGAAATGTTTGATGAAAGCGTCCGTGATTTTCATAGCTGCTCGAATGTTTTTTCTAGGGGAGGATTCAATGGATACTTAACTGCGAGGTCCATGGTATACGAATTGCTCTATCGACAGATCCCAACTGAGAAGATACATCTCGGAAAACGTCTCCTGTCCATGAAGTAGAACGAACATGGCGTGCAGATCCAGTTCTCGGATAACTCGACCGCTGAGGGCGATATTCTCGTGGAAGCCGATGGCGCATATAGCGGCGTCCGGTAAAGTCTCTATGCACACCTGAAGGAAGAGGGCAAGCTACCGTCCTGCGATGATGGTGCCCTACCCTTCAGCTGTGTCTATTTGGTTGGACAAACTAAACCCCTGGACCCTGAGAAGTGCCCGGAACTTGCAGAGCCATTGTCGCGGATGAATTCTATCTCTACTAGAGAGCAGCCATACTCTGTACGTATTAGACTCTTTTGCAGAACGCATGTATCGGATCGATGCTGGCGCTGTTTTTTGAGTCATTTATTAATTCCTCTCTTCTCTTCTTGCTTCTCTGTTCTGCCGTACGCTCTCATTGTAGTGGGGGACCTTTCCCTGCGAGAACAACATCTACTGCTGGGGCGTGATTCAGTACCTGGGTAAGGAGACGTCCAAGGAACATGATAGCTTCCGCAACTTGGAGTGGGGTCCTGATGCAGCCCAGGCGATGTGCAAAGACGTTCGCGACTTTGCAATCCTCGGAGGTGTGAACGGCGACTTGACCATCGGCGACCTTATTGAGAACTCGCCCTTGATCTCCAAGGTCATGTTGGAAGAGAAGGTCTTTGAGACGTGGTACCATGGAAGGACGGTACTTATGGGTGATGGTAAGGATAGGAAGGGCTAGGGAAGATACTCACTGAAAACCATGTTAAATCGGTGAACATAACATTCATACTCACTTTTATGAGTATTTTTATTCTCTATGATCATAGCTGCTCATAAGGTAGGCTACGCGAGGAAAGAAATTCTATTCTATGCGTGTGCCATTTTTGTGGAGCTCGAATTCAAAAAAGAGATTGCTCCATCCAGCAGGTGGTGCAGGTGCTGCCACGGCTATGCAGGATGCTGCTGCATTGGCCAACTGGATCGGTGTCTTGTCCTCAACATCCATCGAAGACACCGAAGAGGTCTTCGAGGAGTACCGCAATGAGCGATTGCCTGTCGCCAAGGCGGCGTTTGCCTCTGCACAAGCACTGTTAAAACTTCGGACAACAATACGACATTCATGAACATGTTATTTTTTATCTGATTCAAGGATGCGAAAGAGCACCCGACACTCATTTGCTCCGCTTTATTTTTATTCCATTACTACCACCAGGGTTTGACAGGAAGGATTTCTCGCTTTGTCACTAGAAATATGCCAGACTGGCTGTGGAGGATCGCGTTGAGTCGTATGGTGATGTCTCGTCCACAGGTGTCGTTCTTGCCGCTAGTCAAGGACTAGGGCACGGTTGTACCTCAGTACCAATCAAGTCTGCACAAGACTCTGACGATCCACGAAGCGAGGGCTTCTGCTAGTCGCACTGTTTCTATTTGATTTATGTGTGATCATAATAGAAATCTCTATCTGCTTGGTTTAATGATTCCCATGGCTCAACAGCATGCCACGAGCTAAAGACTTGGCCCATGCGGTCCAACCTAGAAGTCAATGAGCAGTTTTAGGTCGAACCCATTCTTTATGGGGTTAAAATGGCGCTGTAGATATATCCCGTAAGCGGATCAGGCTATACAAAATGCCATCACTCCGGCAAGCTGAGATCAGCGTGTTGTTATCACCAACCCTAGAAGAATACCAATTCGAGGGCCTCCCGATCATCCAGGTTGCCTTCGCATCCGCCAAAGCCCTGCGCAATATATCTGCGCAGGAATACGCTTCGTCTGTCCGCTGTTTTTTTTCCCCCCTGGTTTAATGTATATCTCGTTAAACCATTCCCTTTATCTATTATCCTCCTAGCCGAATAGTCAGGGACTGAAAGCGAGAATTACGCCTGCATGACTTTGGAGATCACGCTCAGAGGCGTGGCCGAACCATATCCGCAGGCCCATGACTCTGCCATTGATCAAGAATGAAAGCATATTGCCACCCACCGAGATACCAGCCCAGTCTGGAAAAGACACTCGCCATTCACAAGGCTAACGCAGCTACTGCCTAAGCAGCAGGGACATACAATCAGCTGCCATTGAGAAATAGGACGAATAAAAAAAATCAAATCTGTTTGACGACCTAGATTATCCTGACTAGATACCCCCTGAACAAAATGGACGCTTAGGTATGAAGTAAAAGGATAGTGACGACAGTGGGATTTGAACCCACGCCCTTTCGGACCAGATCCTGATTCTGGCGCCTTAGACCAACTCGGCCATATCGCCTTTTCATGGAAGTGCTGAAGCCTATGAATCTATATATGTCGTATACAGTCATGTATCCCTAATTGCACATACCCTTAATTGAATGAATCTATAATTGCACACCCTAGGCCCGATGGCTCAGTTAGCATACTGGTCAGGGCACCTCCCTTGTAACGCGAAGGGACCAGGTTCGAGCCCTGGTTAAAGCACAGTAATATGTGCTACGCATAGAAATTTATTTGGAGCATGAGTCGGGCGTACTACCCCACTTCAGTTATGTGGGTTTCCTTTCCCCGGCGACCCCCACATTGAGTGGCACTACCCCATGTAATCGTTGTGGGTTTCCTTTCCCCTTCCTTAACGCTTGACAAAATGCTCAGAATAAATTTCGCCCTTGCGCTAGCCTCCGGACTTCGAGAGGCGCTGGTTCAGAACTTCCCAGCTATACACCAGGGTGTACAAGTTATTCCACTGCACTGGCAGCATGCGTCTTAGCTACCCCTGCCGGGGTTACAGGTATAAGTTCAAAAGTGAGTAGGCCCACTTTATAATAGGCTAATCTGAGCTCACATCCAGTGACCTCAGGTGGAGGAAAGACGGGACGAGGAGGAGGAGGAAATGTTACAATAGTAGAGGATTCGGCTCGCAAGCCAGTAGAACGGATTCCGTGCTCTCAAGAAACCAAGACCATCTCCCAGATGTACAGGTTACAATTGGAGAGATGGTCTTGGCAGATTTGCAGGTGAGGAGCCTGCCAGCTAGCCGAGCGGATCGCAGGAGAAAGACCTCGGGACGCTTAGGGAGGTTACAGTGAAAGTTGTTGGAGATGGTGCGACTGCCACACTAGAAGATTTAGGGCCAGATAGACACAAGTCTCAGAGACTATTCACTAGGAAACCAGCACTGATTGTTCTCTCTCGGAGGCCATGTTGAATAAAAAAAAAAAAAAAAACTTTAATTGCATATATCTCTAATTGCATTGCATTATGCCTTCTTGCAACAAGGACAAGGTATATCTGTGCATTGGGTACGAGGACATGCTGGACACCGTGGCAACGAGGCTGCAGACACTGTTGCCAAGGCAGCACATGGGATCGATACAGGACTATGGAGGCTAGACGCAACGCAGCACCATGATTTGAAATGCCACGCACAGTTTGCAACGCACAGTGCAGACCTGGACTTGAGGAGGATACTGAAGTTGCAGTCCGCGGTACGGCACCATTATCAGTGGACATTGCAGCATCGAACGAGGACCTACATCAAGGATTGGCGGTCGGTAGCATGGGCGCCCACGCTACGGATCTTACACGATAACAACCCGCCAAAGCGCTTATATACCAGCCTGGAAGACTGTCGTTTACGTTCGCACAGGATCAAGAAGCTGCATGGAGATTTGCCGACATTGCAGGCGATGAAGAAACGACATCCAGATACCTACCAAACGGACATATGTCGTAGGTGTGAGAGGGAACCAGAGACGAACGATCATCTTTGGCGTTGTTCAGCTACCTTGTGCGACCAGCGACAAGAGTGGAGGGACGCGGTGGAGGAAGTGGAGTTGAATGGATATCGTGCATGGAGACAGGCAGTGCGAAAATGGGAACAGGAGAGAGAGGAGGCCGAACGGAAGGACAAGCCCTTCACTGCGACTTGTCCCAACTTCTCGGCAACAGGAACGAAGGCTATCTGGGAGTCAATGCAGTGGATTCAGGGGACGGCGGAAAGGCGAGGGACATATCGGGTTGCGGAAGAAGAGGAGCCGGAGAGTGAGGCAGATTGGGAGGTCAAGGACTTATACCGAGGTTTGGTGCCAACGGGACTCATTGAGACCTGGAAGCAGCTATTTACCACCACTAAGTGGATTGCGACGATCATGGTGACAAAGTTCGTGAGCAGGATCGAAGAATTTGGCAGGACCAAGATATGGAACAAACGATGCGAGGACACTGTCGCCTGGGAAAAGTCAGTTGGAATCACCTTCATGAGCAAACGCGCCGGAGGACGCAACGGTGATCGGGGACACCAACGTAGTGTTGGTGATTTCTCTGATTTGAAAGGGAGACGGTTACTTGCAACGGAGATCCAGGAAGGTAGACGGACCGCGGATTATAGGGTGCTACAGCATTGCTTGGGGCGAGGGAAGTTGGACATAATGGAGGGGTTATTCGGTTTAAAAACAACTTTATTAACATTGGATCTGGATTAGGAGACGTGTATCGCGCAACAGGTCACGCAGGAGTTAGGTTAGGCTAGCTATGCGACATGGGTTATGAATTTGACGCCTCAAGCCAACATAGTTGGTAGGGGATGCGGCTCTGCCGTGCATGGAAGGCATCTATGGCTTCAAGGCCTTTGCGGACCATGCGTCTTGTGCTCATGGGGATTTATGTTAATAAAAAAAAAAAAAAAAAAAATATATATATATCTCTAATTGCATATATCTATAATTGCACACCCTGGGCGGGCGAAGGCGGGCGAGCCTGTGTGGTATTGTGATATTCTCTAGGAGTTAACTTACTAATTAAACAATCGGACTGAAGTCAACGAGAACAAGAGAGGGTTTTATTGATGACAGGTACCAACAGGTCTTTTATAGTCCCTGTAGTTACTAGTCACAGAAGACTCGCTAATACGTCGTAGAAATAAAAATGGAGGTGCGACTCAGACACATAGTGCCCAAGCCCCACACCAGGTTGGAACACCACAGGTACAGTAGTATCACGCGAAGCTTCCAGAGAACAGTGCTGTGGCTCCTAGTTTCGGATCCAGCTTGGTGCGGTTGTTTTTCGGCACGGGGGGCTGTGTATAAATTATCTTTCGGATCGCGGGCAGCAGGGGATTGGCTCTCTCCTGAGAGAATGTTCTATTCTGCTCAGGTTCGCACGCCACCGTGGGCTACGAGGAGAACTGTCACTCGGATTTGCCAGAGCCGTTCTCCAGCACTAAGGTTACGGGGGGGACTATTGAGAGAGGAGACTAAATAATTTACTTCAGAAATCACTCGAGGGCCGCAGTAACATCGTAAGGAAGCCGTACATATATCCCGGATCGAAACATAAGTTGAATATTTGCCGAATCAAGTCATACAGGAGAGAGCCAGCCCAAAGGATCAAGATATCAAGTTAGCAGGAGCAGGACGACCGAGGCAGGCTTGCGGGAAAATACGCGGGATTTATATGGCGCCTCCTACCATTGTTCGGGACAAACAGGAACATCCTGACCAGCGAGAAATAGTAACCCCCATAAAATAACCAATAAACCCTGGCAAAGATTGTCCATTGGAAAAAAAAAAATGCACGCCCTCCTTGAGAGCGGAGAGATAAAAAATTTAACTTCAAGAATCACTTGCAGGTTGCATTGAAGGCTCGTTGGAGCCGAACATGTATGCCGGATCGCGACAGATAGTCGAATATGCCGATTCAAGTCAAACAAGAGTACCTACCACAGCAAGAGAATAGGACGGTCAATGGCCGAGGTAGGCTTGCGGTATTACATGGACAGGTTCACCACCACCCAAAAAGATGGGTCACCCCGGCTAGCGCTGCTGGGACAAGCAGGAAAAATCCTGACCAGCAAGAACAGCTTTCTCACAAAAGTAATCAATCAACCATTTAGAGAGTGCTATTGCTTTTGGCAACTGTGGATCGGTTCTACTTTGATGGAAAAGACGAGTGTAATAGATCTTTGCTAGTTGAGTCTGATAGATTCGTAGGGTCAATCGACTCGAGAGACAAATCGGCGTATATAAAAATATATAGGAATAAATATATAAAAAAAAGACTAACCAGCAATGATCTATCTGCTGCAGTCATTTTTTTTGGCTCATCCACCGCTGCACGGGCCAAGCTAGTCTTCGCTTTTTGCTCATTTCTGTTCACACTCAGGCTAGATACATAGACTCCTTTCACAACGTGAATCAAGTTACAGCAGTCAGCATCACCTTACGCATTCAATGCAAGCAATATTACTGTCGCGTACCGCGACCTGATCGGTCGACTTTTGGCAAGTGATCAGTCGACTCTTGGCGGATATCAGACCACCCTTGGCAACGCGTGCAATCGTTACATAAAGACAAATAAGAGATCTACAGTTCTGTATCTGTTTATTCCCCACCTAATAACTTGAATACAATCCTAAGCTTTCCTTGACTCTGCCTCTTAAAATGTACCACCCATCCTTGTTCAGCCTTGCTTAGAAAAGATCATTTTAACTCTGAATAAGCATAGGTTTACGACAATCAGACATTCATATAACTTTTTGCGTCCAGCCTACTTTATTGCTATGGCATCTCCCTGGCAGAGGGCGTCGACAAACCATAATAGTATGGAGGCAATGTGGACATATTCACCCTCTTCTCAGCAGCCTTCATGAGCTCCAGTAGCCGTGTAAAGGGCTTTTCGAGACTCAACTATACAAATACTTGATCCTCGAAGGAAATCAGTCCAACAAGATCCTGAACGGTTTCTAATCTATTGACCTCAATACCAATGCAGATCGTCCCGAACCGCCGCATTTGATAGATTGATAGATGGTGCACTTTGTCGACACAGTGTGGAAAAATACAAGCTGGGGATTTTCTAGTTCTTCGTACTCCGCTTGCAAATGACCGAGAGCACGCTTGGACCAAATAGCCAAACGGCAGAGATCTCCTTGGTCCTTATTGAAGTCCTTTGTGTACGAAACCTCGCCAAAGCTGATGTCGACAGTTTCTTTGCGCTTCACGATAAGGTCCAGATGCTTGGGAGGGACATCGAGTCCCTTGCGAAGTTGCGCAAATATGGATCCAGTTGTCGGAGTCGTGGCAGTCCTTCATAGATGACAATTTAAAAAAACGATAAGACGGTTAGACCTTTTATACAAAACACAAATTTGCATCAAACAACAATACTTCAGCTTCAAATTACTGAGCAAGTCTACAATGATCCGGATTGTTCATGATACACGACAGCATGGGCAGAATGAAGCAGAACGTTTGGTCCGCCTCTGACACTGGACTGCTCTTGATGCTGTTGAAGCCGGAGCATCCATGCAGAAACAGCTTCTTTAGTGAGGACTTCTTGGATCCATCAAGAGTCTCCCCCAACGCATCTCATGCTTGGTCAGTGTCATCCATCCTCCTAAGAGCCTTATTGTACGCCTATCCCGCGCCGCAAACATATAAAAAAATGTGTCCGTTGACCCTAGTGAGAAAAATCAATAACAGTAAACGCATGAAAGAAAAAATGAAAAGAATTTGCGAACACTTACATCCTTCCACTTCCTGACAGCTGCCAATCCCTCATCGACTATCTCACCCTTAGGCACCAGCACATGCCTCTTCATTGCCGTAAAGACCTTCTTGTATTTCTTGCCAAAAAATCATTGCTGCTGGGATGTAGGCTCTTTCCCCAGGAGCAGCAGTCCGGGCAAGGCTTTAAAAGTGTAAAAGGACAGCTGCTTAGCGGCTGTGACGCACAAACAAGCGCGTTACAAACAAAAGTATTTAGTGAGGAGTAGCAACATCGAGTACTTACAGGAAATCAGGAATCGCGGCTCGATTATATTTCAATGTGGCGCACTCGTTGAAATAATTTGTAAATTCCGTTCCAGTGTCGATATCGCTCAAACATCCTGTGAACACGAAGGGTTCAACATTAAACACCTTATCAACCCCCTTCGTAGAGGTCTCAGCCAGGGACACGACGTCAACATCATCATTATTATCTGCCTTCTAATTTATGAAAAAAGAAAAACAAAAGAAAAACGAAGAAATATTTTGACTGTAATTTTGACATAGTAGATGCTAACATTTATCGCATAGGATTCTACCTCTTCAGGATAGGCATAAAACGGCAGCTTGAACAGTTCTTTGCCATGCTCCCTATTGGACAAAGGACTGTCCATAAAGTCTGATGAAAAAAATAGCAAACAGTTTATAAAGTTCTACACTTGAACCGCGCAATATAACCATCAATGTTAAAAGCACACCTGTTTTACAAGGCCATTTTGCGCCCACACGAGATGCGGCTTCACTTGTAGGTAGTCCAGACTGAACTTGATCTATAATACGAAATAATAGATGTGAGCTCCAGGCGCACAATACTGACAAATGGCACTTAAAATGGCAAGATAACGAGATTAGGTCCTTGGGAGATCAAATAGGAGGCGTTAAAAGGCGATGATCACGCTTTCCTATTAACTTCTCGATTTCATCTCGATCAAGAATATCGCCGCTCTCAGGGCTATGTGTTGAGCTTGAGGTCTGTTTATGAGAGATGCTGTTAGTTAGATCGGTTATATACTGAGAAAAAAAAAAAGCACATGAAAATACCAGCCGCTCACCTCATTGCAGTCATTATGATATTCTTCGCCCGCAATTACTCCGAGATCCTTTGCATAGCTTGTATCATTGAATTGAACTGTGCTAGATTCCTTGCCCTTGTTTGGGAACAAGTTTGCAATACCTTTATCGACAGTTGAGGCCGTATCCTGAGTTATTCGAGATCTTGTCCTTAGTCCCCAAGACGCCCAAAGCTCTGAGTTTGATTCCTACAAGCAAACAGGATGTTACACACGAAGCTAATCTTTTAACGAGCAAGAATATTTGTTAAGTTACCTGTTCAGAACGACGCTTCATAAAGTTCGCAGACATTTTGAACTTCAAGATGAGCTCTTCCTCTTTTTCATTACGCATAGCCATCCTGAGTTTGATTGACCGCTTTGCTTGGCGCTCTTGATCCTTTCCATCTGGATCCTCTCGCAGGTACTTGACAATGCAGCTGCAGTACATACTAAGGTACGGCTCGCCATGGTTCTTAATTTTGTGCAGACCCTTGATGCAGTCCATGAAGTCAGTTGCCTGGGGATGTGAGGCGAAACATGTCGGGGTCCATCGCTTTGGATCTTCCTCATAAAAGAAATTATGCAGTCCCTCAATAGTGAGATTGATATCCGCTGTAGAAAAGAAAGTGGGGAGCATGTTACAGGGAAGATCCGCTGAACAAGGTACGAGACAATAGGGTTAATGAATTAGCAATTAGTTACTATACTGTTTTACATAGATGCATTCGTGAAAGATGTGCTAAGAATGAAAAAAAAGTTGTAAGGACTCAACTTCCTAATCCCTGGCTGTGGCTTTCGGAAGAAGATACTATACCTTTGGCACCAGACATCATCTGGCACTCCTTTGTCAAGCAGAAAAGGCTAATTTAGCCATTCTAGCGACCGCCATAAGCGTGAGCCCGACAGTGCATTCTTGACCGTAGTTGTGGGCTGCCTCACGCCCGAAAAGAAATAATTGAAAACAGAGGCGCCGAAAAAAAAGGACTCAACTTCCGTGGGGTTCCTAGTCCACATCGACGCTGACCCAGAAAAAAAAGCGCGTCAAGGACACCAGCTCCAATGCAGTTGGAAGCAGCTTCCATCCCAGTTGACAAAGACTCCACTTAACTTTTTAATTGTCGTCGCGTTGCGGTCCGTAATGCTGATGAATGGGGATTTTTTTATGCCGATGGATGAAGATTTAGAGTGATGTGCTTAAATATTCGCGTAGTCTTCTGTGCAATATTCCTGAACACTATTTTTTGCTCGCGCTTAAGGGCCTTTGATTGGCGACATAAGTGCCTCAGGTATTCTCATGCGGACGCTCGCTTCTTTACCTTTCTTTCATACCATGGCTGCATCAACACCCTCCACCGAAAGCGAATACGTAACACTCGAAAGCTCCGATGGTTTCCAGTTCATTATCCATCGTGAAGCAGCTATGCTTTCGGGTACCGTCAGGAATATGCTGTCCAGCGCAGGTACGCACCCACACACTTGATGCAATTTTGGTGGCGTAAGACGCAGTTTTACAAGTGAAGCAAAAGGACATGCCATCATGAAAGAAATGACAAACCCGCGAGGGATGCAAGCAATATTTCTAACATATGCTGTATTCACCTTCGCTATGTTTAGGTCAATTCACGGAGTCCACAGAAGGAGTTATTCACTTCAGGGATATCAAGTAAGCCTGTGGACCGTAGACAAAGCCTCCAGGACTTTTTGAGAAGTGGCAGTTCGAGGATATATCATGATCTGCCTCAATGCAGCACAGGCAGATGGACAGTTAGGCATGACAACTCACGACAAGCGATCTATGATGGCAAAGCTGACTGACCAGAGTATAATTGCACTGTAGGGCTGTCATTTTGGAGAAAGTTTGCAAATACTGGTACTACAAGGTAGGGCTATTTTTTCTATTAGTGCGTTTCTCTTTGCGTATAAATGAATGCTAAAACTTGCAATGATCGGCTGACATGGGCCTGTGGTTCGCAACATTTGTCCCTCTAGGCTCGCTACATGAATTCTGTCACGGAGATTCCTCACTTTGAGATCGAACCCGAATATGCACTGGAGACACTCATGGCTGCCGACTTTTTGGACAGTATGTATCCTGCCATGACACGTGTGAATATATGAACTCGTTGCATATAACCCTTGATACTAACGCAGCTGCTCTTTATTGCAACATTGGTAATAGCGTAGCAATGGGGATTACATCCATCACTCTTCTTGTTTCGACTCCTTTTTTTCTCAATCACTATTATGCCAGTGTACACGCCATAGACGATATATTTCAAGTAGATATCAGAACAAAAAAAGCGTACATGGCTGACACGACGCTGCGCAATCTCAGATGGACTGACGCTGCGAATGCTTTATTGAGACGCGCGATCAAATGATTTGCTATGATGCCAGGGTAGGAAGAGCATCACCAAAGCCGATAACAGTCCAAAAGGACACTGTCTTGTCAATGTATTCAAGCTCCGGCGCCGGGTTGTTGGCGCCACTGACAACGAGCTGTGATCCCAATGAAGGCGATCCTGTTTCTGATTGCGGCTTCGGAGTCTTGAATGTGAAAGTGACGAACAATGGAATCTATGTGTTGAGATAGAGCATGCAGTGTAAGAGAAACGGCACATTGGTCCTGTGATAACTTTGGTATGCCAACAAACAAGCCTTACTCTGACTTCCCCGGCAGCAACAGGGGTAATGTCCAATGCGATGCTTGTCGAGTTGGCGGTCTTTTCATACACATCTTCCTGCACAGATCCTGGAGCCGCACCAATGGCCCCGACCTCGTATTCCCAGACTTCATTGAAGGGCGAGATAGAGAACGATGGCGAGTGAATAATGACTCCATGATGGGGTTGAGCTCCGTCGCCGTGTAGGATAGAGACAAGGGCCTCCTCGTGCCGTGGGTTTGTGAAGCGAAGAATGACGCGCGACAGTGTCTGCACGATCATTGGCTGGATACTGGCGATGGTGATGTTGGGAATCTGGTTCAAAGCGATGAGATTGATCTTGAATCGTATGGACTGAGCCTTCTGCTCTGGATTGACCAGGATATGACGACAAGTTCGGCATCTCCTGGATTTTTTGATCCGCAAATGTATCCTCTTGGGCTGTAGACGCTCAGGCGAATAGGGCTGCTTCTGAAGTAGTCCTAGTCTCTGCCTCATGGTTGTGGTCTGACTCAGACTGATAACTGACATCAGTTTGTCCAGATTTTCAGTGTCCTCCATAACCTGGACTGCCGGTACGTAGTGTGCGATGTCATCGCTCGCCCGAGAACGAACACTAGGAGACGTGACATATCGCAAAGATTGGATGGCTCCGGATTGAATGGACGAGAGTAGAGAGGATGGAATCCCTGGCTTCATACTGTTGTTGCGGAAGTATTTTTCCAAGTGGTCCTTCAGTCGAGCAAACTCCAGGACATCCGGTGAATTCTCCTCTGCTTTTTGAAGTTGGGCTAAGTGCGTTGAGACAGCAAATTGAAGTTTAATCAGTTCACAAGATGAGTAAGTGGTAACCAGTCTGCAACCCATGCAAGCAAACAAACGAAGCCTTACCAGCGAGTCCTGTGGGTTTCTCGAATGTCATATTAATGGACTGAGAGTTCCACTGACACACATTGCAGATGAGATGGTATTGTCCATGCACGTTAGGACCAGTCGTGTATTGGCCGGCGTCAGGGTCCTCCGAAACAACGGAGAGAGTGTTTTGGCATATGGGGCACTCGAAGCAATTGCGTGAGCATCTATATTTCACAAAGTGCGTTGCATATGATTGTCAGAGACAAAAAAAGGCCTGGATTGAACACGAGCGTGACGCTGGCACGGTAGGTCATCATCAGCCGTACAAGACCATACTTGTGCTTCTCAGACTTGACGCTGGCTGTGGGGACGTCAAAGAGACAGTTCGGACAGTAGTAGCAGACGATTTCATCCTGGGTGCACTTGGAGCAACGGATCTCATAGCATGAATCGCAAAAGTAGAGTCGAGAGAGTGATTGGGAACCATGAGTATCGGAGCTGTTTCCTGAGGCGTAGACAGCCTTTGTCCGTTCCTGGTCGTGTTGGGGGTGGATTGAGCGACGGGATGTGGAAGCAGGGATGAGCTCTGTCGAGGCGGCTGCCTGTTGCTGGTGTTGGCATTCTTGTTGAGGTGGTGTATTCACATCCGTGCTAGACGACTCTGTTCCTGTTCCTGCATCTGCCTTGAATGGCCCAGGGCTGGAACACAGACAGCGGTAGTGCACGAAGGGGTGCTTCACTGGACCCTGCCCCGGAGGAGCGCTGATGGCAAGCATCTCTTTCTGCATTGGGGTCTTGTAGTAGGTGGTGTCCGGTGTGGGGAGGTGTTGCAGAGGATTGTGGATGAGAGAACCAACAACTCCACCGAGCGCTCTGCGCGTGTCTGGTGGTGCCTGCCTCGTGCCCGTGACGTAGAAAATGCGAGCGAGAAGTGTACTCGTGCTACTTCCATCGTTACTTTCATCCACCCAGCTACTTCCTTCCTTCCTGCATTTGCATTCCTTGGCTGGACCTTACAACTATTACTCCATCCCTTATTACTGTTCAGCAAGAGTGAAACTTTTATTTGTCCATATCTTTCCTCCGACCCATATGGCTACGCCGACACCTACGCGACCCTCGACTCCAGGGACGCCCACGACGAACACGGCACGCGACGTCTTCGAGTTTGACGAGCGAGCCTTTGCCGCCGCAGGGGAGCTCGACAAGCAGTCCAATCCGCCCTCCAACAACAAGCAGGAGCTTTTTGTTTTTCAATGGCTAGCAACAGTCGAACGGGAGCTGAAGCGATGTGGCCATGTATGTGGTGGAGAGTCTTTGGGAGGAGGTTTTGTCTCAAAATTGATTCCCTGTGTTTAACATAGGCGCGCCGATGGTGCTAATTCACTCCTGGGTATTTCCCCTCAACAACGTAGGATATCTTCAGGATTATGCAGCCAAACCTGGAGCGTCAGTTGCTCAAGTTAATCTCAATGCCTATGCCCAAACCCCGACATCCTATCCGGCGGCTCATTGCACGATGCTTCCTCTCGCTTTATGTTCGGGGCAACTCCTCTACGCTTTTCGAGACCATTCAGATCCTCCAAAGTTTGATTGAAGCAGGCAAGGGTATGGGCGACAAGGATGTCAAACTGTAAGGCTGGTGTTCTTGCGCAACTGCACGTAAACGACAAAGAAATACAAACCAGTGGATCAATCTAATGACGGATTTTCTGGTCGAGATCATTATAGAGCTGCAATCCATTGCATCGGAGTGATTATGGAGACGATCGGCGAAAAGGTAGGACATTCACTTCTTTGGATGCTGGCCATGATTGATTACAGGATATCCTGCTTATATGGTTTATAATGGCCTACTTGAAATAGATTCAGTCTTTGGTGCCCGATCTCACGACTTCATTCCTCAAAGTCATTAAAACTGAAAAGATAGTAAGTCAGTCTCAAAGCTAAGATAGCTGCTTTCACCATTATTTCTCAATGCAAAGGATTAGTACTAACCGTCAGTCTACAGTACCCGTTGATCATGAGGGCGGAAGCGATGGTGGCGCTGCGAAAGATGCTGCAAGGAGCAGGACGGGGATCGACAGATCAGACCAATAAAGAAGTCCTGAAGACGCTCAAAGTAACCATCCTGGATAAAGCACTCATCATGCGCTCATCTTCAGCGGAGGTAACTCACTATCTGCGAGCAGGATTTGGATGAATCTTGATCCTGGAGCCATGTACTTACAATGAGATATTTCTATATCTTTCACAGTGTCTTACGGCCCTGGTCAAGCACGCCTCAATCACATTCACCAGAAGCGAGTTGGAGGCGTCGATCGCATTGTTTTTCAAAGCCATGGACGATTCAACCTACGCTATTCGAAAATCTGTCGCAACCCTGGTCGCCACATTACTCTATTCAAAGTTTCAGGGCGAAGAGAATCTGTCAATGGCTAGCACTCAGTCGCCTCCACCAAGCACTGGCAAGCAGGCTGTAGGGACTGAAGCCTTCACGCTGGACGTGAATGAGCTCTTGACTCATCTCTCCAGCGCTTACAACAAACCCAACACGAGCCGCGAAGTGCGTGCAGGGTTATCAGAAACATATGCGGCGCTCTTCATCATGCTGGGGCCATCCATCGTGGAGAGGCATTACGGAACGATTTTGAGGCATTTGTTGACAGAGCTGGTGTCGAACCTAAAGAACACAGGATCACGGTTCGAGATCCTGACGGTGCGGGAGCATGTCGAATATCTCCTTCGAGGAGTGATCGGTGCGCGGTTGCTGAGCGAGTCAGGACAAATTGCTTCCATCCGGGAGCTAGTCGGGAGCTGGCTTAAGTCTTGGCCTGCTGTCATGCCAGGAGACATTGAACCGTCTGAATATGCACTAATCAGTGCTTTGAACGAAACCTCGGCATTACTGCTCGACCTCGGAGGCGCTGCCAGCTCTGTCCAGGTAAAAAAATGTTGTAGTAGATCGTTTTTTACACGGTTTATATCACAACTGTATTATTAACACGTTGGTTTGCACTCGTAAATATAGGATATTCTCATGTCATCTCTCACCAATTTGGTGTCGCATCCATCTCGGGCGGTCCAAATTGCAACGGCTTGGTGCCTGCGATGCCTTTGCATCTCACTCCCAACTAACCTCGCCAAACTCATTCAGACACTCAGCGCCAAGTTGTCAACAGATCTCGGAACACTCAACAATAATGGGGCTAATTTCCAGGACATTGCGACTCGTTCGTATGGACTGTCGTACGCGATTGGAGGATTGATTACGGTCATCTCCGTCCACCCACTCTATGTTTCGTTCGAAATGAGCGCACGGATCTTTTCAATGGCGGCACAGCTAGTTAAGAACAGCGCCAGCAAGGAAATCCGCGTCGCGGCAGCTCAAATCCAGATCGCTTGGGTCCTCATTGGAGCATTGATGTGTCTTGGCCCTAACTTTGTCAAAATGCATCTGCCTCAGCTTCTACTTCTCTGGAGGACTACGCTACCCAAGTTCACAAGCAAGGATGCCAGCAGCACGACACGGACAGAGTTGGATTGGGCATTCATGGTCCATATCCGCGAATGCGCACTCGGATCAATAGCAAGTTTCCTGCTCCATAATAGCGACAAACTTGTAACGGTGGATGTCTCGAAACGCATTGCTGCCTTGCTTTCAAACACATTGGCGTTTGCGGCCGTCGTACCAACTTCCTTCCCTCAGCAGCCCTCGACAGCAGGAAACAAGCTTCAACAGCACGAACTGCTGAACATTAAACCATCAGATCGGGATGATGCACTCAGAAAACGGATCTTTGAGTGCTTTGTGGCAATGCGACACATTTCTGCCTTTGAGATGTACCATCCCGTGCTGATTAAGGCGGCACTTGATGTTTTCTCAGATCCCGACAGAACATCCGGTACGGCTGTGACAAATGCGATCTCGGCAGCGACATTTACCTCAGTTTGGGCAGTCGATGATGGGTATGGTTATGGAGTCACTGGCAAAATTCAAGGGCTGCGTTGCGACGTCGCAGCGAGAACCAGCGGTCGACAGGAGGAAATTCTGGATGGGAAGGATTATGATAGCGCCACTAGAACCACAGAGACACTTCTCAAAAAACCGATTCTAGGAGCACCTGAGCATGAGCCGATGGTCGTTTATACCACCTATGCGCTTCCCAGTTCAGTATCGCGCTATTCGCTGCCAAAGCCGAGACCTATCGCCACTGGTGTCATAGATGCAGCGATCGAGCTCTTTGCCATTCTGCTTCCACTGCAATCCTCTGCCTTGCAAGGATCGCTTATGGACGATCTATCAAAAATGCTTAAGAGCTCGACTCTGGACAAGAATCCTGGCCGAAAGATGGCCATCCAAGTGAACGCCGTTGTGGCTATTTTGGGTGCGACAAAGTATGCTATGGCGGAGGGTAAGAGGCATGAACAACATGCCTTTGAAGGACCCCTCGCCTCATCTCTGTCCCAGTCCATCCTACGGGTAAGTAAAGATATTATATTTATTTTTTGGGTACTTGGAATATCTGTTCTCATCTTGTGTCTAATTGCATGTAATGTTCCATGCATGTAGGACTCAATAGTGCACTCGGATCCATATATTCGCTTTGTTGCTTGCGAGGCTTTGGGTGGTTTGACAAGTATTCTCGGCAGCTTAACCATCACCAACCAGATCAAGTACCTCATGGACCAAGTCGTCGCCAACAGAGACCCTGATGCCCGCGCAGGATACGCACTTGCGCTCGGAAACGTCTTTTCGCATCTTGGCGGTATGATGGCTGGTGGACATTTGCGATCGGTCGTTGAATACCTGACTTCGCTGAGCCGAGATCCTCATCCCATTGTCCACAAGTGGTCTCTGCACTCCTTGGCCTTGACTATCTCGAGTGCAGGACTGATGTTCAGTCCTTATGTCTCCAGTACGCTGACAAACGTAGCTACCGTGTATCTGGCCGAGTCGCATGAGCCCGCCGGAGCTGGATCAGTTGCCACCGCCAATATTGCGATGCAGTCAGAGCTGTCGGTGTACCATGAAATGGGCAGAATTATTTACGGACTTATCGGTATCCTTGGGCCAGAACTACAATCTTCCGCAAAAGTGCGCGAGCTCTGCGTGAGTCTGGTGGAGGAGTTGCGAAACGAGGACGATGAATTCGTGATCGTACAGGGTATCCGGTGCACGCAGCATTTGATCATGTTTGCGCCGCTGTTGGTGGATATGTCGACGCTGGTTCCTTTCTTGCAGGCCCGCCTACGTCGTAGCACTGGACTGAGTCTGAAGAAGGCGGCCATGACCTGCATGTATCAGCTGGTCCAGCGGGATGTCAAGTCTGTGTTCCAACACTCGATGGGTGGTCTAGATGACCAGTTCTTCAAGCTGCTCGACACTGACCCGACTCTGCAGGATGTCAAGGATGTGGTCAGGAGTTGGATCACTCAAACAGCGCTGGAACAACCAAGCCAATGGATCGATATTTGCAGAAAGGTGCTCTCACGAACAGCCATTGACGAGGGACAGGAGTCCGGCGATGGCATGCCAGCAAACAGTGCGTCTGATATTCACCAGGATGGGGGAGGGGGCGAAGACGCTATCGACGACGATGATGACGGCGAGGACATGTTTGACAATGTGTCGAAATCAGCCAAGAAGGCAGTGCAGCCTGCGCCTGTCGCTCAACAGGCAGCTGCAGAACCATTGCCAGCGGCTGCTCCCGAGCGATCTGTCAAGGCGGCACCTGCTTTGCCGCCGCGGTGGAGAACTCGTATCTTTGCACTGGAGTGCATTCGACAGGTGATTGATGTGGTTGCCAATAGTGGAATTGCAGATCATTTTGATCTTGCGGTCGCGCGCCGAAAAAAGAAAAACTTTGGAGCGGATTTCTTGGTCCTTAAGGTGGCAGACCTGATCAAGATGACTGTGTATGCAGCCTCGACACCCATTCAGGAAATCAGGATGGAGGGTTTGTTGTTGTTGAGACAGACGATTGAGCGATTCAAGTCGACGGCAGATCCAGAGGTACCAGACAGTGTGCTCTTGGAGCAGTACCAGGCCCAGATTGGTGCAGCGCTGACACCTGCGTTCACGGCAGAGAGTACCCCGGAGGTGGTATCATTGGGTGTGAAGGTCTGTGCGGTCTATGTTGGTAGTGGAATCATTCAGGAAGTGGATCGCTTTGGTCGTGTTCTAAAGCTCCTGATCGGTGCGCTCGAAAAGTGCAAGGAGGATAAGCGGTTGACGGCAGTCGGGGATGTCACGGACCTGACTCCACATGCGTCCCAGATGATCAAATGGGCAGTGCTAAACGCGTGGGCGGAGCTGCAGGTTGCGAGTGTACATCGACAGTACTTGGTCGCTGTCTTGAAGCCCAACCTGGAAGAGCTGTGCAAGCTGTGGGCCAATGCACTGGAGGAGTATGCGAGATCGAGAGTCGAATCTGAGGCTGCGCTTGCGGGATCTGTATCTACGACCGGAAACACTGGTTCTACGGGGCTCTTTGATGCCAACTACACTGATTCTGGACGGGATACCGAGAAGAATGTAAGTCCCTATTCGTGTGAGTGACTAAAACTTCCAGTAGTATGTGAACAATTGATCTTACGCGCGCATTTTTTTTTCTGTGAATTAGTTTGATCAATCTTCGACGCTTAAGATTCTGGGAGCTGTGTCATCGCTCGTGGATGAGAAGAACGAGTACATGATCCAAGCATTGATGAGGATCACCAGGCCAGAGGCCATTTTACCCACAGAGGACACTACCAAGATGGCAACAATCAAGGACGAGACCAAGAATGACGGCGTTTCGGGCATTACACCCACTTCCATGTCGGGTGCTGACAACAATGTGGCTGTAGAGTCAGCATCGGAACCAGCAGTGCGCAAGTCGAAGCCTTTGAGACTAATCCATGTCATTTTCGGACTTTGCCTCGAAATCTTGGCGAAGACTTCGTCTGCCGGGTCGTCGTTCAGTCAATCTCAGGCCAACTTGAATGTGGCGGCGAATGATAGCGCCCTTCAGGGATGTCTCTGCGCATTACATTCTATCTTGAATCCGTTGTATATCAACGAGGAGTTCTTGAGCAAGGTGTTCTTGGAGATGATGACCATTCTTGAGCGAGTCGCCTGGATGGAGGGTAGTCGTGTTCAAGGCCTGGTGGTAGGCGTTATCTCGACAGTGATTTGGGGATATGGTAAGGAACTGCTTTTTGTGGAGGAGAAGGAAGGAGAGGAGGGGACATTGATCTCAACTGTGATAGACCCTGAGCTGGTCAATTCACCGGCTCTTTCGGCTTCTTCAGGACCTGAGGACGCTGTCGAGTCGGCTAGTAGCGAAGAGTTGAATGTATCAGTGATGTCCACACTTCCAGAAAGCCGACTTCGATCGATTGTTCAGCTACTTGTGGAGCTATACATCCAAAAGTGTGTGGGCTCGAACGTCAAGTCCGCCAAGACCAAGAGCGTGGGTGGACGAGCGAGCCAGAAAACTACGCCGGAAACGATCGAATTGTTGAGCAGGGTGACGGAGATGCTCGCGGTTTTGGTCAAGGTGGCCCCACCAAAGTATCAGTTGCACCTGGCGGCCGTTACGCTTAATGTCCTCATTGGTATGTCTGATTATATTGTACGATACATTCGTGGTGTATTATGTATGCATGTATGTATTGAGCGACTGCTAATGGTTATTGTCTTTGGTGTTTTACATGGAATGAAAATGGATGTGTGCTTTGCTTAGGCGTGTTGCGTGATCCTGTCTTCCAGACGGAGCTAGGACCACATGTGCTTGTGAATATTCGGTCGGTAATGGATTCATTGAACAAGAATAGTGTAGTGCTCGATCCAAAATTCCTAGAGCTTATCCTCAATGGCGCGTTAGGTGCGTTATTGAAGAAGCAGGCGGCATTTGCGCCTGGAAAGGCCGTTTCGGTGACAATGACGGAGTCGGATAGCATGGGATTCAGCCTGGGTGACGAAGGTCTGACGACGGCAAAGGGAAGGGAGGAAGTGGAGATGGATTCTGATATGGATGTGTCACCGGTGGAGATTACGGAATGGTGTAATGGACTGTTGGGGATGATGCTGATCCTAACGAGCTGTACGGGAGTCCGGATCCGGAGGACGTTCCTGGAGCAGTTTGAGAGACTTGTGATGAGCAGCATCGAGAGTAACATTGGCAAGGTGAGATATACAAATCATATCCTATATTGGTTGTCTTTGTCTGTAAAGGCTGTATACTAAAATATATCTCCTTCTTTTCTGCCTTAGATCGTCACGGTTGGATACCAGTGCCTGAAAGGTGTCATTCTGATCGAAAGCGCGTCTGCAGCAACAACGTCGACAGTAGGAGCGAAGACAGCAGAGGCTGGGCGGATGCGTGCACGTCAGTTTATGAGGAAGTTAATTCCATTTGTGGTAACGACGATAGTTGTGAAGGCGGCACAAGAGTCTGCGACCACGAAGGACGACAAGGTTGGGATGCAAATCATTGAAGAGGGCATTCAGACGTTGAATAGCCTTGCAGCTGCATCGACAGAGGTAGCACGACCAGGAATGGTGTCGGTCATCATGTCGACAGTTGTGCCCTTGCTCCAACCTGTGAACGCGTCATCCCTGTCATCTTCTGTATCATCGAAAGCGATGGCGGTTCATACACTGGCGTTGAATAATCTGCTTGGATTGGGTACGCAGTTTCCACAAGAATTCCGACAAGGATTAGGAGCACTTTCGATGGAGCGTCGGACGCGGTTGGAGAATGCGATTCGGCAGAGTGTGCTACAGCAGCAGGAGCAACAGCAGCGGCAGCAAGAAAGAGAGCAGCGTGAGCAGGAACGACTGGCGAGGGAGAGGGATCGAGTGAAGATTGAGCTGAAGAGTAGTTTTGCGGGGTTCATGTAGTGTGGTTGGATTGCTGACCAAGAAAGCGTACCAAAGCAGCATGCATATTAAAGCATACCGAGGCCAACAAATAAAGAAAGATCGATGGATTGGTTTGTAAAATAATTCCCGAGGGGCCAAGGCACGAAGAAAAGAGGGCCACATGTGTCTATGAATCCCTGGAAGAAAAGAAGCGAAAGAGGAGCGAGCGTTTCACAAACGACAACAACAACGACAACAACGAAGCGACAACAACGAAGCGACAACAAGTGGCATACATGTACATGTAGACTCCAAAGGAAGTATGCTTTCCGGTTGTATTATTATATGTTTGACTCTCGATCATAAGGAATAGGAGGGGCTCACAACCCATTGTGCTCTTACCTTTCACGCTCCACCTAGCGAAGTGAATGTAAGAAAAAAGGGCTCTCCTCCCTCGTCTTTTTAAAAAAGAGAGGGAAAGTCAAGGGTCATAAATAAATATACAAAGCAGCTTGCTGTTGTTGTCCACTTGCAAAAGATACATGGGATGTACAGTAGCATGCCCATGCCTGTCTATGGTGTCTACGTTGCATTGGATAATACTTTTCTAAGAATCAGAGTGCTGCTGCATACTCGTATGTAATCCTCGCTAGGATACCCATTCTCTTTCATATATGCCAGACTCGACCCTCTTTACCTTTCGCTTCTTCCCCTCTCCTCCTTGGAACACCTCCCTACGCCCTCTTCTTTGATTGAACACCAGCAGTTTGTGCCTTCTTTATACCCCCCCCCCTCCACGTTCTCGCCTGCCTTCATCTCTCACCTTCACCCACCTCTGCCCCTTCATTCAGAGTGTCCTCCATTCATCCTTCCCGACAATGACCCCGCAGGTCAAGGACCTTAACGAGTTCCTCGCCCTCGCTGCTCCACCTCCCACTCAGTCTTACAGCACCACTGCTTCTGCTTCTGTTTCCACAGTATCGGCTGCCTCCTTCTTTGACGACATCTCTCATCTCGACAGCAGCGATTTCACTTCAAATAACGATCCAGCCAACTCCTCTTCCTCCTCATCCCCCACCACCCCTCAAAATGCTATCGCCACCACAGCAGCAACGACGCTCACACCTATGCAGCTCGTCGCTCTTTCGAACCTCAAGCTCAACAATGACATGTTCTCGAACCGGTCCCTCTCCATCCATCGACGTATCCTCGTCAAGAACTTCTTAACACTTCTCTACCAACTCAACCCGCCCATGGACTGGTCACAGATGCAAATGCCTCAAATCGATTATGGGGGGGACGACTTTGGAAGTGACACACCCGGAGACGACGAAAGCATGTTACTGCGAGAGGACGAACAAAGCGGGTGGATGGAACGTACCCTCAATGCGGCTGGACTCTCCGATGACAAGGACGACGACAGAGCGTCTTCGCAGGTATGGTGTTTGTCGTGCGACTTTGCCCACTTGAAATGATAATGGAATGGATACGACCATGCACACAACACACCGTACGAGTTGTCGAAGAGGTGGGGCAATATGTATTCTAATCCAACGGCCATGTTCCTTATTCACACATCTGATAATGAAAACATGATAGAGATGCGACTCACAGGCCACATCTAATTCCACACCCTTTACCTCAACCAATCCTCCTCCCTCCCCACTTGTCATCCCGTCGCGTACGACCTCGTCTGCACACTCTACACCCTTACTCACAAACGCGGACAAATTATCGTCATCATCGCCATCATCTTCTTCATCATCAACAAGAACAGCAGCAACAACAGCACCAATAGCAGCATCAAAGGCAATATCATTAACAACTACAGGAACGGCATCTTCCGCAATAGGAAGTCCGGAAGCAGATGTCCCGCTGCCTCGACCAAAATCTACAGAGCTGCCCCAGTCCCTGCACTCGTACCTCTCGACTGTTTTTGATGTCAATTGGTCGGTCGAACTGCCTAGCAAGGAGGACCTCCTCTTCACCTCAACTTCATCGTCTTCCTCACTGGGTTCTGGACAGTCCTCGTTGTCCACATCGTCTCCTATGGCTCAAAAGCGCAGGTCAATCTCGGCTGCCTCGGGTTTGTCCTCAGTATCGAACGCGAGCACGTACGCATCTCCGTCTGAACCCACTACTACATCTGCAAGGTCATCAACAACCTCGACTTCGTCTTTACTCTCATCAATGTCTGTAGCATCGAGCGTTTCCTCAGTCAACAGCGCCAGCAGCAACATCAATGCGGCAGCAAAGGACACACTTAAGAAGCCCACGATTGCAGGATTGGACGACAGCAGTGTGACTCGAGTAACAAATGCTTCGCCCATGACGACGACAATAACAACTCCTCTGGTCCGCAAGTCGTCCCTGTCATCGAATCAAACCCGGGTCACCAACCCTGGCGGCAACAATGCAGCTCTTAATAACGGTAACAATGCGGCTCCTAGTGGTGGTAACAGCAGGAAGTCCAGTACCAATGGTCATGCAAAGCCCATGCTCGTCCCGGGAAGGCGGTCGTCTTTGCTCCAGACCGGTCATATGCCGCCAGCCCTTTCACCACCTAGCAGCAATGGCAACAGCAACACAAATGCGAACAACAATAACAATAACAGCCTCGGCAGAATGAACAGTGCCACAGCATCAACGGTTCCGCAGCAGGAACAGACGCATTCCGGAATGCCAGCGCCTACATCGTCGCCATCGCCATCGCCGACCTCAGCGCCACTACCTTCGCTGTCGCCACCCTCGCAGTTTGCATCCGCGTTTACATCGCCGGCGACATCGCCGACACTGCATCCAATCAAACCAGCGTTCTCGAGGAGAACATCGTCCTTGCCGGCCGAGCGACCCAAGCCCATCCAGCGTACACCCAGCAGCGAAAGCAATCTGTCGATCTCTTCTGCACCTCAACCAGCGGTTACAGGATCTGCAGCAGGAACATTGGCATTATCACCGACACCCACATCGACGACACTGTCGGTCCCACAGGCGAGCATCATTGGACTGCCTCGACCACTGCTGAACCCAACACCTTCTTCGGCCTTGTTGTCGAGCTCACCACCTTCACCACCCACACTGGTCCCTTCGCCGACGACGTCGATTGGACAGTCGCCTTTGCAGATGGCGACGACGCCTCATCCTTATATGCGCTCGTTGTCGGATGATCATTTGCTCACACGACCGGGTATACCCCAGGGGATGAACAATCGACCTATGGATTCAGGAAGATCACCATCGCCCTCGCCATCGATTTTTGCGGCAGTACCGATTTCAGAACCACTAGCGGCAACAGGAAGTGCTTCCTCACGTTCGTCTACGCTTTCAAGACCCTCGCCGACATATCTCTTGAAGGCGTCGAAATCTAGTCCGTGCCTGGTATCTGGATCCGAGGGTAATTCTCAGGAAGATGTATCTTCGTCGTTTGCGGCAATGCCAGATCTATATGCTCAGCAGCAATACCATCAATCATACCAGCAGCAGCAGCAGCAGCAGAAACAACAACAACAACATTATGCCATGTCAGGACAGCTTTCAGGAGGAGGAAGTGGGTCAGTAGGTTCGAGTCAGGCGCCGAAACCGCTGGTGAGGACGAGCTCTCGTCGGGGAATGGGCATGTCTCCGGCGGCTGGAGTGGCGGCGCCGAGCCAGGGGGCTATGAACATCAGTGCTCCTTTGCCGTTGATCCCGAATAATAATTCGTATAATGACTATGGCGCATATGAGCACCATGGAAGTCCCTATGGTGGTAGTGAAAATGGAAACGGACGACATGGGTATGCGCAGAGTATGGGCCATGGTGGCGGGCATAAGGCAAGTCGAAGTCAGGGAGCAGGAGGAGTAGTAGCGGTGGTGGACAATAAGCCTGTGGGTGCAGGACGATGGAGTTCAATGAAGATGATGCTTGGACTTCGGGTTGGGCAGAGCGCCAAGGGTTGAATACTTAGTGTGAAGAAGTTCAGCTGGAAACCGTTCATTCATTTTATTCATGGAGCCATGTGGATTTGAGATCTGCGAGCACTTTTTTGATGATTTTCATACCCGCCATGTACATTACTCGAACAAAAAGCAACAAAAAAAAACGAACGAACGAACGAACGAAATAAAAAATGAAAATCAATTGACAGCTCGCCTTGAGCGCGATCCTTTGAAGGGTTCCTGATGGATTACTGTTTTCGCTTCTTCTCGGTTTTTCTGAGGAACTGCATGTTTTCGTTTTTATTGCATATCTTTGTGCAACTTGAGAACTCTGCTTGCTAGATCTCCTCGCCTGGTATTTCTTACTAGATTTGTTCAATTGGCGATTTATACATGTGTCAAATTGGATGAGGGCTGATTTGCTGTGTTGGGCGAAGCAATTGACTAATTCTTGAGAAGCGATTGGGCGTAGGCGGTGACGATACCATCGGGCTCGATGTAGTCCAACTGGGGGTGGACCGTCAGGGCCTGGAGGGTGTTGTCGGGAAGCTCGGCTGCGAAACCCAACAACGCGGTCGTGTATCTTTGGGTGATTTTGCCGCCTACGGAAGAGAAGGAGGGGAGGGTTTAGAGGGAGTTGACAATGGTTACCGGGTATTTGTAGCAGGAAAAAAAAAAAAAAAAAGAATCGATGCGCTTGCGTTAATAAAATGGGCACATGATTATAAAGAAAAGCGCGTGCTAGCGGGGAAGGAGGAGGGGTCTGCATGCATGAATAATAATAAAAAAAAGGTTGGGTCATCCATGTAGCCGCATCCTGCTGTTGTTCTCACGCTCGTCAGCATACGTTAGTTTTCCACGGTGCGTTTTTCCTGGTGAAACACAGAACAAGGCGCAAACATTTTGGCCAAGAGGAAAGGACCATCATCGCCAAGGAGCAACTGTAGCAAGAATGAAATGCGTGTCAGTTGCAAACATACCCTGGGAGAGCACATCGTCCTCAGCAGCCTTGATGTCCTCGGCCGAGGTGCCAGACTTGAAGATGACCATGACCTTATTGACGCCGTTGACATGAGTATCCATAGTCTGAGGAATTGTCGAGGGCGCAGTACCGGGGGGCGTGACCAAGGACTTGGCAGTGTTCGAGCCAGGGGTCTGGGTGCCCACGGGGAGGACCGAGGCGGAGAAGGCGTTAGCGGAGGTATTGGCTGTGGGTGAGGAGAGACATGAGTGAGAAACCGGTGTTTGTTGGGCAGGAGCATTGGGTGTATGGAGCAGTTGAGTGTAATACGGAGTAGGGCCAATGGGGACTTACAGGTCATAGCGATGATTTGCTTTATTTTGTTGCTTTTTGCTGTTCCTGAGTGTGCTGGTGCGAGTGAATGAGAACTGGAATGATGAAGAAGAGAGATGCATGCAATCAATGGAGGCAGAGGGGGGGCATTTTATACCATTTCTACTTTGCTAAGCTCGTTCTACTTTGCTAAGCTCGTGCCCAGCCCATGACGTCGTTGCTGCAAGGTCGCGCCCTTGGGCAGCCCAGCCTCGATCTTGACGACGTGTCGCGGGGCGCAGGACCAATCACTGGACGCGTTGCATGGTTTAAAAAGAAATAAGTCGTTTGTGTCTGTGCCCATCACGTTTACGGCCCTTGTCATCGGGTCATTTTTTTTATTTTTTGTATTCGCGTTCTTCTGTCTCCTTGAACCACATATACACATGTACAGCTTGAAGATTGGACAAGCGGATACGGATGAAGTTGAAGTGCCTTGATTGAAAATCTACTATTAAAAAAAATAAAATGGATCCTCCTACTGTAGGGGGTTTTTTTTCTGTTTCTTTTACACAACTCGTCGACTGCGATTCGCGTATCTCGGTCATCATCACAGCCATAGTTCACCGACATTTACCTCTCGAGTCAAATGACCCTGCAAAGCACAGTCGGTCCATCCACAGTCGCTTTGAGACAGGTCAACAATTACCACACCATCAGCGTGTCAAAAATATTAAAGCATCCATGTATTCTTTTCATTCCCTTTATAATTGTTAGCACCCTCATACCCTAAAAGTAGTCCAGTAGTGTCCGATTCATAGCGCCAGGATCCACCGCGGGGGCCAGGGCAGAAGACTTATAAAAAACTTGTCTCTCAAGTCGATCGATCCTATAAATCTATCAGCCTTAACTAGCAATACTCTGCTACAGTCATCCTTTTCATCAAAGTAGAACTGACTCATAGTTGCCAAAAGGTGTATCATATTCCCTGGGGTTAGGCCCCAGGGTACCAGGGCAAAAGGCAAAGAAAGAGACCATTTAGGCCCTTTAATAGATGCTTAATAACTAAGAATTATTTCACTTCGGTGTTACAGGAAATCGGAATCGGGGCAAGATAGGGTAGGCTTGTAGGGAGGGTAAGGTAAGTGCAAGGTGGGGCACGGTGGATAGGCGGCGGGGTGGGGGGGGGGGGGGGGGGGGGGGGGGGAGAGAGGTAAGGCAGCTAGATAGGTAAATAGGGATCGGAGTGGAAGGGAGACGGAGGGCAAGTGGAATAAACTTCATTCAAGTCGCAAAAGGCACTAGATCTTTCTCTGAGTGTTCGGAACCGCTTTATTATTCATGATATCCTTCGCGTTTATATACAGAAGCAGGGTCCGGATCGACGCCGCGCTGACTAATCCTCAAGTTTAAATGCAAATGGAGAGCGTGAATGGGATAGAAATGAGATGGGAAACATCCGGGAGCCGGTCGGGTTTGGGCGCAGCTCAAACAAACATAGTGCAAAAAGTAACGAGTGGTAAAAGAAAAAATCGTGCAGATAAGGAGGGTGTGCAATTATATTTTTTTTTTTTTTTTTTATTCAACATGGCCTCCGAGAGAGAACAATCAGTGCTGGTTTCCTAGTGAATAGTCTCTGAGACTTGTGTCTATCTGGCCCTAAATCTTCTAGTGTGGCAGTCGCACCATCTCCAACAACTTCACTGTAACCTCCCTAAGCGTCCCGAGGTCTTTCTCCTGCGATCCGCTCGGCTAGCTGGCAGGCTCCTCACCTGCTAATCTGCCAAGACCATCTCTCCAATTGTAACCTGTACATCTGGGAGATGGTCTTGGTTTCTTGAGAGCACGGAATCCGTTCTACTGGCTTGCGAGCCGAATCCTCTACTATTGTAACATTTCCTCCACCTCCTCGTCCCGTCTTTCCTCCACCTGAGGTCACTGGATGTGAGCTCAGATTAGCCTATTATAAAGTGGGCCTACTCACTTTTGAACTTATACCTGTAACCCCGGCAGGGGTAGCTAAGACGCATGCTGCCAGTGCAGTGGAATAACTTGTACACCCTGGTGTATAGCTGGGAAGTTCTGAACCAGCGCCTCTCGAAGTCCGGAGGCTAGCGCAAGGGCGAAATTTATTCTGAGCATTTTGTCAAGCGTTAAGGAAGGGGAAAGGAAACCCACAACGATTACATGGGGTAGTGCCACTCAATGTGGGGGTCGCCGGGGAAAGGAAACCCACATAACTGAAGTGGGGTAGTACGCCCGACTCATGCTCCAAATAAATTTCTATGCGTAGCACATATTACTGTGCTTTAACCAGGGCTCGAACCTGGTCCCTTCGCGTTACAAGGGAGGTGCCCTGACCAGTATGCTAACTGAGCCATCGGGCCTAGGGTGTGCAATTATAGTTTTTTTTTTTTTTTATTCAACATGGCCTCCGAGAGAGAACAATCAGTGCTGGTTTCCTAGTGAATAGTCTCTGAGACTTGTGTCTATCTGGCCCTAAATCTTCTAGTGTGGCAGTCGCACCATCTCCAACAACTTCACTGTAACCTCCCTAAGCGTCCCGAGGTCTTTCTCCTGCGATCCGCTCGGCTAGCTGGCAGGCTCCTCACCTGCAAATCTGCCAAGACCATCTCTCCAATTGCAACCTGTACATCTGGGAGATGGTCTTGGTTTCTTGAGAGCACGGAATCCGTTCTACTGGCTTGCGAGCCGAATCCTCTACTATTGTAACATTTCCTCCTCCTCCTCGTCCCGTCTTTCCTCCACCTGAGGTCACTGGATGTGAGCTCAGATTAGCCTATTATAAAGTGGGCCTACTCACTTTTGAACTTATACCTGTAACCCCGGCAGGGGTAGCTAAGACGCATGCTGCCAGTGCAGTGGAATAACTTGTACACCCTGGTGTATAGCTGGGAAGTTCTGAACCAGCGCCTCTCGAAGTCCGGAGGCTAGCGCAAGGGCGAAATTTATTCTGAGCATTTTGTCAAGCGTTAAGGAAGGGGAAAGGAAACCCACAACGATTACATGGGGTAGTGCCACTCAATGTGGGGGTCGCCGGGGAAAGGAAACCCACATAACTGAAGTGGGGTAGTACGCCCGACTCATGCTCCAAATAAATTTCTATGCGTAGCACATATTACTGTGCTTTAACCAGGGCTCGAACCTGGTCCCTTCGCGTTACAAGGGAGGTGCCCTGACCAGTATGCTAACTGAGCCATCGGGCCTAGGGTGTGCAATTATAGATTCATTCAATTAAGGGTATGTGCAATTAGGGATACATGACTGTATACGACATATATAGATTCATAGGCTTCAGCACTTCCATGAAAAGGCGATATGGCCGAGTTGGTCTAAGGCGCCAGAATCAGGATCTGGTCCGAAAGGGCGTGGGTTCAAATCCCACTGTCGTCACTATTTTTGATCTATGAGTAGATTCTTTTTTTTTGACCGACGACGGTAGGGGATCTCACCCCCCGTGAGATTATCCCTCGTTTTGTCATATCACACCCCGGTAAAAATAATTCAAGCATTTTTTTGTTCGCGGAGAGGTGAGCCCCATATTCTCACGGGATAGTCTGTGGGGCCTCGTTTAAAAAAAAAAGCACTCGTCTACTGTTCAAGTCTGTTTCAGCAGGATGGAATTCTTTGGATGGTCGCGACATCTCACTGCTGCTCTTGGACGTCCCTTCAGCTTCACCACAAGTGGGTCTTTGGTGACACCAAGACCTGCTTCGTTGTCAGACGCGTCCTGTAGCTCCATGAGTCCCTGTCTCCGTTTCAGCGAAATTGAGAGGTTGTTGCTTCGAATATGGGAGTTATCCTGTTGCCTCTTGCCACGGCAGGCAGTGAGGCCGCTATTCAATCAGAAGTATTATTCAGAAGTCGGTTGCTACAAACGATCTTTCGCGCAGTGCCATACGCGTTGCTCTTGCCCTGCGCATCGAAAAATAATCCAACGGTTACAGCCCAATTGAATGAATCTCCCTAGTTCACATAGACACGAGGACGAGTAAAAAAACGAGCAAGAGAACGAGCTGTAGGACGAGCAGGAGTGTAGCATAGACACGAGGGCGAGCAAAAGAACTAGCGAAAAAACGAGCTGCAGATGGGCGTAAAGCAATTGGACAGAGAGAGAGAACGACACAACATGGCCATAGGGATATGGTCAAGAAGAGAGCTTGTAGACTATGAGGCGAGTTATATATTTTATGTAAGGTGGAGGACAAGGTGAAATGCACTCTTTCTCGCAATTTTTTTCTCTGTGCACACCCTAACACTCTATAACCAACATCACTGTTGCAAATTACCTTCCTCGCCAGCATTCCACTGCATGCTACGCTAACTACAATGATCAAGGCACAGAGAAACGAATGTGCATTCTACAACTGTATCCAGGGACTGCTGGACAAGAAAGCGGCGATCCAGACACAGGAGCGTCGCATTGACAGGGTCTCCCAGTCAGGGACAAGGACAAGCCTGCGTCATTGACTAAGTCAGAAAAAAACTACTTGCTTCGGCTGCACTCAACTGTGCCAGTTCAGGTGAAAAACATCCTTTTAAATGTGTTTGTCCAATTTGAAAGGCGCGAGGATAGAAGCATGGATTTCATCTGTGTCTGCAGAAAGCCATTCCTGACAAGAGATAGCCTGAGCAAGCATTACAAGTGGGTCTGCGCCATTCCAACATCCTGATCAACGTTCAAGGGCTTCAACTTATTGACAGCGCTCAAGTTCTCCCTGCTAATTTGGAGGCCGTCAATGCCTCAGGTGCATCTGATGACGAGGCTGATGAGAAGAGCGACAAAGGCGGTGAAGCGTTTAGCGGCAGTAATGCACTCATGGTCAACAATAACGGAATTTCGGCTACTTCAATGACATTTGATTCAGGAAGAGTGATTGGTGCAACTATCCAAGAGTTCATGCGGGGCTTGGGCATTGCAAATACTCAACAGCAACATACACAGCGCATGCAAATCATGGCGTTTCAAGAGGAACAGCGCACACTGACCACAGCCATGGAGCAACGGATCCTGAGCTCTATTGCCCAGATTGCAGCAGGTCAAGGGCAGGGGCAAGTTGTGCAAGCTGCGCAAGCTGCTTCTGCTTCTGCTTCTGACACCGGACCTTCCAGTCCGGTTTCTACAAGTAGAAAGAGAACGCGCTCTGACGCCCCTCACTTCGGAACATTCAGGCCCCCTAGTTTTATGTCTCCAACTGAAAATAAGTAAAATAAAAATGGCGATTTGGTGGAGCGAGTGTAGATCGGTATAGAAATTGTGCAGATGTAGAGACGGGAAAGCGCTTGGTCTCGCCTTGCCTGTCATTTTCCACGATAGTGAAAGCTAGGTAACTTCCTACGCGCCGGGATGCTTGCAAACGATTGGAGTATCTGAGGTGTCGAAGGATCTAGGATGAAAAGGGCATTTTATTGGGCGAATGCTGCTATCTAGTTCTATGTGTAGATAGAGTTTATATAATATTTGTATCGGTGTTAACAGTGCACTGGAATACGGCAAAAACTGGGCGAAGCACTGACGACAGCATAGCATATTAAATCTAGCATTAAACTTTTGCAAAGATCCACAATAGTGATTTTGAGTCGTAAAATACTACTCCAATATGATCACAAACGACTGGCTGGTTTCTCTTTTTCATGGCATCTCACCATTCAACTTCGGAGTGGAATCTGGCTCAATCCTGCTTCCTATTGGATTGGACAAAGGGGTAGATTCTCCAGCGACGAGAAAACTGATATGTAAATCTACATGTAGACCTAGTATGACACCCCGTTATCACCGCACTACTGGTAATCAGGAATTTAGTGAGTCGCCCAGGCGTGTCAAGAGTGTAACACACCTGGTATCAGGGAACGGAGCTGAACTACAGCCTATATCAAGGGAGCGATGGCTAAAAAGATCCGTATCCTTAAACGAATTGAGGTGATGTGTGATAGGAGCAAGAGCAATCTATTAACAATTACGTATTGGATACGGTGGCGCGTGGTCGAGGCAGAAGGAAAAAGAGTGCGGGCTGTATAGAGAGAGGTGTACAAAAGTGCGCACTGGTAGAGAGAGTAGTGCGTTGATAACGAGGTGTCATACTAGGGCGGTCATCCGAATCCAGCATAAATTCGTCGCGCCAAACATATCTTCTATGTTTAATTGTGCTTTTAAAAAACAAGGCGACGAAGATGAAAGGATGTGTCGCCGGTCGACGGCTGATTGGGCGGGATGTCTTAATAAGCAAGTACTTCTACCATGCCCAAAACAACGCGCTCTGTTCACACAGCCCCAGCTCCTAGTCCAGTAAACACCAAACGTGCTGGCTCTGGAAACCCCGCTTCCAAATCACACAAATATCGAAAGAAGTACACTCTTTACGACAAGGGTCAATTCTTCTCAAAGTCAAAAATGTTCTCCGCGGCCGCACTGTGGATAAGATGGTTCCCCTCGAGGATTTCTCTTCACCACCTTCAAGTCCCTATCTAGATGAGGATTATTCTCGAGAATCTTTTCAAGAGACTATAAACGGACTCATGGATACTGAAGCTGATCTACAGGATCCCAATTGCGATGTTATATTGAAAGCTAACCTTCGGGCAGCTCTCGATACGATGGAATTGCTTATTGATATCCATGGCATGTAAACGCGAACCTGTTTAAATAAATCATACATATTTTTCAATTGGACTGAATACGTGACTGCTCCTCCAATTTAAGGGCTTAAATTGGAGTTCGACTGTACTACGTCTGGTCACCCTGCAAAATTTACTCCAGCGCTATTTCAGTAAGCGCCTCGGCAGGAAAGGCTGAGTTGGTTCGCGCTGTGGATTGGGAGTATCCGATGGTGACCCTCGATGTTGGAACCATTTCTGCCAATCTGAAGCGAGCTTTGAGAGAGTCAGAGTTGGCGCCCGAAATCAAGAGATGTCTACGGGATGCTGTTCGGGTTACATCTGACACTAAGTGGCAGGGGCAGCGACTCATCGGGCGGTTCGTTGGGAGTCTCTTTGCTTCACGCGGGCCTGATGCAACAGACAGAGATATATTGCGCAACATCTGTCCATATGTCTCGTCCAAGGTCATAGTTGAGGGAGAGGTCGATGCGGGCGATCATGATGAACAGGAGGAGGAAGAGGAGGACGAGGAGGAGGATGAGCAGGAGGGAGAGCAGGAAGGAGAGCAGGAGGAAGAAGACAAGGATGATGATGACCTGGGGTGCAAGGACTCAGACCACCTACGCTTCCATACTGTGCTGCTCCAGCATTCCTACACAGGCGACCCCATCATCTCAACGGATGTAGTTGGTAAGCGCGTCCAGCAGTTTGTCGATCGAGCAGCGGACCTTGGGCTGCTGTAGAGAAGGAACAATAGAGCTGCAGTCTTGGTCAGGAAGTCATGTCCCGCTGCGGCTTTACTACAGAAACGGCAGCATTGAGCTCGAGAAAAAGGTAGCGCGCAAAATTTGCGTCCTGTCGCTACAAGCATGAGACTGAAGACGAGGGTCCCATATCAGATGGATCACATACAGAGATCGACCAAGGCATCCCAGCGATCGAAAATTTCGTGCTTTTGAGCCAGTCCAGCAAGAGTTATCGTCAGATGGCCCCATTAACGGGCACGGAGTAGCCTTTCATGTCGTTCTCTGAGCGCGAGCTCGATATCTTGTTTTTGGCAAAATGCTGCGTTGAAGAAAAAAACCTTTGTTCCCATAGTTCACCAGTACTAGCTCCTGGACATCATTCTTTCTCAGCAAGACCTAATCAATTGGCTTGGGCAGAGGATTCTTTATCGCAGAGATGCTTTCGAACGTCGGTAGGCGTGAGCTACGCAAAGGGCCAAGAGAGTTGAAGGATTCGACGTCCGTGGTGGAGCTGAGCAAGATGCGAGAACACGTTCAATCCATTCGGCAGGCCAACTTCGACGTTATGACTTACGAGGGACGCGGCTATGTTCACCGAGGCTCCATTCGGACAGACGGTTTCCGCCTTCATCTGTCGGCTTTCAAGTTAAACAAACGGCAGTCGGTCAGATACAGGCGACTCCCGCAGAATGTCTTGCTTCTTCGAATCACATCCAGAGTCGGGGAATGGATTATTACTTGACTGAGGTCCGAAACATTGTGAAGACCCAGCAAGATGTCACTGACAATGTGCGCCAGATCCGCAGGCTATACTGCTCAACCTGCAGCACTTTCATGCGCCGCGATATTATGGAAGGGGACAACATTTGTAACGTCGTTCGCAGCCATTCACTCCATCAACAGCGACCGCTTTATCTTCAGCCAGTAGATAAGGATGGGCACTACCCTTGGATGCAAGATGCAAGACCACACACAGAAGCTGGGGGCAGTAGTAGCAGCAGCAGTAATGCAGTGGGGCAAGGGCAAGGGGAGGACAAGGACGAGCTGGAGGGCGCAAGCGAGCAGCCTCATCACTTGAAGGGATGAAAACCCCTGGCGCCAAGCGACTATAGACTGTGTAGATGTATGTGTCAGCAAGCACACTCCACAGTTCAGGTCTTCCTTGCAAGGATGCGTCTGTGACGTATTTGAGCCTAAATTGCTCTGTAATTTCGTCAAATTCGCCGGATATGCATTATGAGCTGCTGAAGACGCCAGCGAACCTCGCGCGAGTGCATGAACTGGATGAATAGGATTAATAAAGGCTATGGATGCCATTGTAGCTCGAATAGTATCTTCAAAGCAACTCTAGAATCCATATCCACGATTATTGCCCATTGAACATTGAGTTGATATCTCATTACACGCGTCTTTGGAAGATAATGTCTTCTCACAGGGCCAACAAAGGGTGACTACGTTAAGAGTCGCCTGTGTCTACGGGTGCACTGGGTTGGATAGAGTGTGAATAGGGAATTATTGGACGCAAACGCGTATAATAACTTCATAATTGCGACCAATGTACGCACCATCGCGGACGGCAGGTCGCTTCCAAAGAATACTTTTTATTACGACGAAAGCTGCGTTGTAGGAGCTTTTCTTTCGTGTGGTGGTTGTGTTCATTTGAGCACGGAAATTACAAGCACAGCAATGCAGTAATACGCATAAAGAAGCAATTGCGGTGTCCACTGAGGTCCAGGAAGACAAAGTGGGGCATAGGAGGAGAGGTCTGGGGATGAGAGTATTATTGCAGGCAGCGCTTCATCTCATCCCTGGTCACCATGGGGAAGTGAGGGGTGTTTCGGTTCTGGAGTTAAAGAGTCTATCTATGCATGTGTACCGTTTAGCATGCAGCGCTGGCAGTCTATGACTTTCTCTTTCTCCTCCCCCTCCCTCCTTGTCCCATCCCCCGCTTTCATTCACATTCATTTCATCTCTTTTTGAATCCATCCGTTTATCCTACGACGCGTGGTCGAGACCAAGAGTCAGCCTTCTGCACTGAGGCCGAGTCAAGCAACTGTTAGCAGAAAGATAATCCACTCTACTTCTTTTCTTACACCGTCCCAGTCCACCACGACTACCAGTACCGTACTCAACATGGACGCCTATTCACAACTACAAGGACAAGGACAAGAACAAGAACAAGGACAAGGGCGAAGGCTAGGCGACCTGGGGCCTCAGCAGCCACAGCAGCAGCAGCAGCAGCAACATACATCACGACATCGCCATGTCTCTGCACCTGTGCAGCAATCCCAGAACCTGTCGAGTTTCCAGGAAGGCATGCGGCAGGACTCGGTCGTTGTGAATGCAGCGGCCGCCTTGAATGTGCCCATGGAAGGGTCAAAAGGACCCGAGTATGATCAGGACTCGCTGCTACAGAGCCATCCCCTCAGCAACCTACCGATTCAGCAGCAATACCAACAGCACCATCCGCTGATGCATTCAGACCGGAGCACAGGCCACGTCGGCATCATGATTGATGACCATCAGGGTCAAGACCACAAACAAAGCCATGGAGGCAATGACCACGCACAAGGCGACGCCAGTCTTATGTTCGAGCAGGGACACACCCCGTCAGGTTCACCGCTAACCGGTCACCGAAGCCAGGTCCAGCCAGAGCTCTTGCCATCGTCTGCGGTGGACCATTCCTCTCGAGGATCCCAGAACCCAGGAGTGTTCCAGCAGGGTTACTCGCAGTACCACGGCCAGCTTCCAGGCGCAACGTTATCCCGACACCTATCCATCCAGCTGTCACCCAACGCCACGCTACTGCCTCCACCGCCTCCAGCGCTTCAGTCTGGGTCCCATGCTTTGCAATCGCCGTATTTGATGGACGGATCGCAAGGGGACTCGTCGCCGCAGGGAAGGGAGTATGTGATGCCTCCGTCAAATACGACTTCAAACCAGTCCATGGGGTCAGCGGGGTCAGCGGGGCGCGGTTTATTTCAGTCCTCTTCGCAGCAGATCCAACCACAGCAGCATCTTTACCAGCAACAACGGCAGCCGCAGAGTCCGTCCCAGCAATCCGTCGCGGTACCTCCACCTCCCGTGAAGTATATTCGATCGCCTATGCGTTCACCAAACATGCCCCAGATGTCGTCGCAAGCGATGGCACACGCCCAGGCGCAAGCGCAAGCACAGGCACAGGTACAGTCCCAGTATCGTCACCATGGCTCTCATCAGCACCGCTCGCCGATGGCTCATAGTCAGCAGCACTTTCCTCCGAGAACCCATCGACGGAGTATCCAGCCTTTGACCTTGGACCAGCAACAGCCCAAGGGCGGCTCATTCCGTTATGTGCGGAATCAGGCTGACCTGTGGCCTCAGAAGGGTTCTCAAAAGTATCGCTCGATCGACGCTTACGGACACAGCATCAGTGTAAGGATTTATGCCATCTGGAAGTTCTTCATCTCAGATTCATTTGTTGAAACACGCACATGGCATGGTATTGACGAAAGCCGCTCTTCACGTTTATAGCCACTGAGGGCGCTCACGGAGCTTTTGACAAAGACATACTCGCACTGCAACAGGGACTTCAAGTATGAGCCCTCATACAATCCGCGCAGGGTGCTGACGAAGCCCTCGAAGCCAATGCATAACGAGGGCTACGATAATGAAGATTACGACTACATTTTGTATGTCAGTGATATATTGGGCAGTGAGGAGAGGCAAAGGTGAGCTCTAATGCGTCTTTTAGACAAGGGGGTGTGTGTATAATGCATAATGACTCGACTAAGTGTAACTGTGCTAAATTAAATTTTCATCTTCTAGATATATCATCCTGGACGTGCTCGGCCAAGGTACATTCGGGCAGGTCGTCAAGTGTCAGAACTTGAAGACCAACGAGATCGTGGCGGTTAAAGTGATCAAGAACAAGCCTGCGTACTTTAACCAGAGCATGATGGAAGTAACGGTGCTGGAGTTGCTAAACGAGCGATACGACGTAGACGATCGACATCACATTTTGAGGCTCCGGGACACGTTCATCCATCGACGACATCTGTGCCTGGCCTTTGAGCTGCTCTCAGTTAATCTCTATGAGCTGATCAAACAGAACCAGTTCCGAGGCTTGAGCATGAGTCTGGTTCGCGTGTTTACTGCCCAGCTCTTAGACGCGCTCTGTGTTCTGAACGAAGCGCGAATCATCCACTGCGATCTCAAGCCCGAGAACGTGTTGCTAAAAAAGTACGTGGTATTCCATATTGTCTCTAATTTCGTGCTGCCTGCCTCGACATCATCAGTTGTATGATCTAACGAATGCCCGACTTTCGGTTATAGTCTGGAGACGCCTACGATTAAGGTGATCGATTTTGGATCTGCCTGTCACGAACAGCAAACGGTGTACACCTACATCCAGTCGCGTTTCTACCGAAGCCCTGAGGTTCTTGTTGGTTTGCCGTATGTGTTTCTGAAGTTCGTGTCAAAAGGTCCGTGGGTATACCCTAGGCACGACACCTCTAACGCTCCTCTTTGCTCGCAACCAGTTACTCCTCTTCGATTGATATCTGGTCTGTGGGATGCATAGCAGCAGAGCTGTTCCTGGGTCTTCCACTCTTTCCAGGAAGTTCCGAGTATAACCAGCTGTCTCGCATTGTAGAGATGCTCGGGTAAGTTGAGATGACCTGGTCTTTTGGAGGGTACGAAAGGCTTCTCCTACATCGCCTTCTTGACTGACAATTTCATCACTGGTTGCTTTAGAATGCTTCCAACATACATGCTGGATATCGGCAAGACTGCGCACGAATTTTTTGAGGTGGTCCGGCCAGAACATTTGGGTCACAACTATAGCCGTCCTCCACCTAAGAGATACCGGCTAAAGTCCATGGAGACCTATTCGAGAGAGCATGGCGTTATAGAGCAGCCTAGCAAGCGATACTTCCAAGCGACAACCCTACCAGATATCATCAACAGTTATCCTATGCTCAAGAAAGGCATGACCCCTAAAGAGATTGAAAAAGGTACGTCTTGATACGGATGGCTCCCCTTCTTTATTTGACAGGGATATAATGATGGTTCCCACTAAAAAATTTACTCGGCCATGCCAATCGACCAACTTATAGAAACTATGAATCGGCAATCTTTTATAAATTTCCTCCAAGGGCTCTTGAACCTGAATCCGATTGAGCGATGGTCTCCTCACCAAGCCAAGCTTCATCCTTTCATCACAGGAGAGCCATTCACGGGAACTTTCATTCCACCAACGATACCTAAAAAGCCCTCGACGGCTGAAAACTCTGCGCGACTCGAACCTACATTGCCAGGAAGAACCAATAAGACACGGTCGACTTCCCTTTCCGCATCCTCTTCTGCCCCAGCCTTTACGCCATCCTCAATAGCTAACGACAAGCCGGCAGGGCCACGACAGAATTCCAAGGCCGATCCGCCGTCAGGCAGCAGCAGCTTGATTCCAATGGCTATCCAACAGCAGGACTCAAAAGACGATGCGGACCTTATAGGAGCTCCAGGGCGCCTACTACTATCTGCTCTCGGAGGATCCGCAGCACCGTCTAGCGAGAACTCTGGGGATTCGTCCGTGACGGATGTCTCATCACTGAACGCATCTCCAGCAGCACCTGCGATCAATGCCACTGGAACCTTAGCAGCTACTGTAGGAGCAGCAGGTTCTAGTGGAGTAGCATTTGCATCGGATACGTCCGCCCGAGGTTTATCTGAAGCTCAGACCAATACGATCCAGCCCCAGTCAGGTCCTCATCACCACCATCACCATCACCAGCAAAGACCAAGGGCGACGACAATGGGTACGGTCGAGGTCCCAAAGAACATGGCTCAACTGGCGGCGGCGATGACGCCTCAGCAGGGTCAAGGGAGCGGCATCAGCGGAACGTCGAGTCTCTCCCACCGAGTCGGGCCAAATGACCCAGCTATAGGTGTATTTGAGTCATCCTCACCGTTTTCGGCTAGTCTGGGTACACTTGGAGGTGGTTATGGACTTCGTCAGATCCCCGAAAGGTCAGAGCAAAACTCACCTGTACTTGATGGCTTGACAAGTGCAGGCAGCGGTGAGAGTAGCCGGAGCAGTTCCAGTGGTCCTGTCCAGCAATCTTTGCAAGAGTCGAGACCAGCACAGCAACATCTTCAGCAGACACGACAGTACCAACAGCAACCACGCCGTCATCTTCATCGAAGTGGCAGTGATGCGGGCGTCAAACTCGGCGCCGCGCGTTCGCTCAGAGGCATGGTGGAAGGGACAAACAGCAATGGTTCTCGAAGGACTAGTGGATACTTGCAGGGCGGCAACTTTGCTGGACAGACATCACATAATGTATTTGGAACGACCACGAGCAGTCAGGAACTGACGCCTTTGGAGAGAATGCAGCAACAGCTGATACAGAGCCAGTCGCAGCAGCAGCGACAGCAACAACAGCGGCAGCCGCCCCATCGTCATCGCTACCACTTTGGGTACCCGCAGTCGGGCTCCAGTCCTAGTGAGAACTCAGCAAGCAGTGCAGTGGACAGCAACCGCAGCAGCTGTCAGGGCTTTTTGAGTGAACCAGAGTTCAATGGGGAGGGAGGGTCATTGAGGCAGATGGACCTGGACAGCCGACATGGGGGGAGTAGCGGAAGTCCGATGACATCTGAAGGAGATGATGATGCTGAGGTCGTGGATGGACAGTTTTTGCGCGCAGGCAACGATGGGAATAATAGTCTGAGTCCCGGAGGGATTAGGGGCAGTAGTGCGAGCGGTACAAGCAGCGGTGTATACAGTCGTAGCCACAGCAGCACGAGTGTCCACAGCCGTAGTGAGGATGGAGCCGAGTCGCCGAACGTAGAATCCCTGGAAGAGAATGCAATTCTGGCAGGCACGGCTCCTCTGGTCTCACCGCCAATTGCTGTGGATATGGCGATTGCTCCCACGGAGGTGGAACAAGTTTTGAGTAACGTCGAGGAGTGTGAAGAAGAGGAGGGGGGGGAGGAGGAAGAGACCTCGCATGCGTTAGGAGGCGACATGGAATATGTCGAGGAACAAGGGAGAGCAGGAGTAGATACGGGGATTGAGAAGGCGATGCATGCAGAGAAATCGAACGCGAGGCAAGGAGAACGTCAGTTGCCCGCTGAAGATGAAGGATCGACGAATGTTATCCAGCAAAACACGAAGCCACCCCATGGTCATGAAGAGGAAGAGGAACACAAGGCGCCGTGAAGGTCGACAGGTGGAAGGTAGCAGCGAGGTAGCAGCGAGGTAGCAATTATGCGGTTGACTGCAGTTAGGTACCTAGTTTTGATAGCCAAATAACCCGAATGTATCTGGGAAGTTTCTTTTTGACATTTTGATGGCACTTGGGTTACGACGACAGAGTACTTCCTCATTAAAAACACTGTTATATCGCCCAGTCAGAAAAATGTGACATAATCACGCACGGGCCTTTGCCACCACTACCAGCCTTAAGAACTCTTTTCTACACCTCAAATATCACCGTCCTTTGTCACCCCTCTTCCATCTATCCTCCTCTCATTCTTTCTATCACTCTACACACTCATTTCCGCCGTAGACCTAAACACCATGACCGACGGCCACCTGAGACTGTTCTGTCTTGTCAGCGGAGACCCGTCTCAAGAGCATTCCTGATCGAGGTCCCCTCGGACGACGCCGTCGGTAACCTCAAGGACCTCATCAAGGCCAAAATTTGACGACCTCGCAGCAGATGAGCTCATGGTCTGGCGTGTCTCGATTCCAATTTTGGACGACGATGAGCTTCCCATCGTACTCAGCACCCTGAAGGAGAATGAGAAGAAACTCGGCCCAGCGACTCACCTCTCCAAGGTCTTTACAGAGGAGCCATCTAAGGAAGCAATCCATATCATTGTGCAGAGACCATCGCCAGGTAAGGCTTTCACGCTCATTTTGCAGTTGTGCCTGGATTTACTCGTTGTCTATTTTTGTGCTGTACTTGTGCTGAATATTGAGTCTTGACGACGACTGGGAACCCCACTAAATGAGAGTCTCTCTTCCCATTATTTCTACTTGCGTGTTCGATGCAGAAAAATCCTTAAAAAGACGTCTCGACAACCAAGGTTAGACAACCCGCAATAATCAAAACACCTCATTCATCATTAATTTACTATATGTATGCCCTTGGACCCTTGGATTATGCCGCACCTTGGTTCGCTACACTTACATCCACTTCTCTCTTTCGTGATCTACCCTGTTAAAACATTTTGTAAATGGACGGCAATGCCAGGTTCCCCTTATTGAGGTGCATGTTCCTTGTTGGCAGACCAACAGCTAGTTTAGTGACAAATAGGGCCAGGAATGAACGTGCATTACGTGTGCCTGGCTCGCATACTATTGGTGCATATGAAAAATAAGGTTATCAATAAGGGACTGTCTTCTGGGGCTGAAGCTCCTCTGCCCGGCGCAGCAGTTTTCCCATTAGATCCAACCGACTCGATCCTTCTTTGTCTCTCTTCATCTCACACACTCCCTTTCTTTCATTACCTTGACCTGCTGATCAACTTGTGCTTTTACGCCTTCTGCTGTCTATTCCCGTTTTCCTTCTTTCTTTTTTCCTTCCCTTTCCCTTTCCCTTTATCATTCTCTCCGAAGCAAAGACCTCGTGATGACTTCTTTGGACATTGTGGGACCAGTGGATCTCATTGGTAAGAACCAGGGCAACAGTAACAGCAACTGTGTCGGCACTGCTGTCTCTGCTGGTTCTTCCTCCTTTTCTTCTTCTCCTTCTTCAGTTATGAGTGATGATGTTAACCCTTCTGGTGTCGTCTCCATGACCTTTAATTCTTATTCCAGAACCACCTACGACGACGACGAGTGCAACGAGTACGACGACAATGCTGCCTGGCAGCATTACCCATCACCCGAGCTCAGCGATAGCAATGACTGTGGTAACCAATTCCTGAATAGACCAGTAGCCGAAGACAGCTACATCTTCCCAGCTTCTCCATCACTATCTGGTCAGAGCACTCCTTTTCTGGATGAGGTGGGAAAATACGATGGCCACCCTGGCTTCCAAGAGTGCAACTTATCCAAGTGCGCCGACTGCCTCCGTATCAAGAGCATGACCCAATATGTTACCTGTAGTCTGGCCCCCGAACACCATCAAGACCAAGGTGAGACCGAAATGCTTGCGCACACATCTGGTTTGGTGCCGTCTTTGTCGGTCTTTGATGCAGATGTCGATAGCCCCATTGAGATCCATGGGCACCTTTTCTCTAGCTTGAGAAATCATCTTGATGATCTTGAGGGCGATATGACATTTCTGTATTGCAACAGATATTCGATTAGAGATGAGGATGAGGATGCACCCTATGTGCCAATGGAGTGGGATGAGGAGGAAGAGGAGTCATTGGATGGAATGGAGGAGGGGCCAATGGACGGAGTAGCGGAGGATGAATACTACTCAATGGACTCGTAAGACGGAGACCACTTGACAGCGATGTCGGCTCTTTACGCCGACAAATGAGAGCGAACAGTATTTCGGCGACAATTCAGGACTATAGTCCCTAGGGATGCAGGGCATCTCGACACTCGACACTCGACACTCGACACTCGACGCTCGACAGATCAGACCGATTACAAATGGGCAACTTCCTGTCAATAGCACTTGCTGTATTATCATCTTTCGCTCATGTACAATAGTTTTTATATCATAATACCCTTGCATACTTTAACAACCGTAAAAATAAATTAAACAGCTTGTTGCCAAGAAACAGTGAGGCCATCGAGCCCTAAAGAGTTGCTCTGTAAAGAAAGAAAGAAAGAAAGTAAGCCAGAAAGACAGCAAAGCAGTGGTGGGGGTGCTGCATGTGACAAACATATTTCTTGCCGCGTGTTCCTGTCGCGTGTGCGTAATGTACCTGGATTTGAAAGAAGAAGGATGGGCAGCAAGGACGCGGCGTCGTTGTGGGAGCCTCCACTGGTAGTAGTATTGGTTGTAGTAATTGTAGTAGTTGTAGTTGTAGTTGTAGTTGTAGTTGTAGTTGTAGTTGTAGTAGTGGTGGTGGTCTAGTGGCGGTGGCGGTAGTGGCAGTCCTGAGTAGTGTGGTCCATGCTGTGACACTGTTCTCCTTCTTCGTCCCCTTTTCTGCTGGTAACCATACCACCCTTTCATCACTCTCCACATTCACCTTGCCTACTCGCTCATCCACTCAGCCAATTACACCTTAGGAAAGAGTCCCTTAACTCATCCTTCTTTCGTTCATGCATCCACGGCCTCTCTTATCCCTCAACCATCACCAAGTCTATTCGCAGCAGTAAAAAAGAAAAGACCAGTCGCCCTCGCCCCTTTTCTCCTCCAGCTTTCACCATATACCCATTGCCCCATACCCGACTCTCATTCAGACACCAACCAAGACCGCCCTAACCACCAGATGGATTTCGACTTTCCCCTGATCCCCCTCCTGCCATTACCCATTACCCTCGTGCCTGCTGCGACCTTTGCGGCTCTCGAGCACAACCAGATTCAGATTCAGCAGGCCTTCGCCTCCTCTGTCTCCATCGGTCTCTCCAAGAACTCAGCCAATGGTGGCGCCTCTGCAGGTGCCAACGGAAGCAACTCAACCAGCTCCTCCTTTTCGTCCTCCTCACTCTCCAGCTACCCCACAGGAGGACTGGCAGCTTCTTCGGACCAAGAACGACTCGGTGCGATCGTCGATGCTCTGGGTCAAGCCTCTGCCAAGGTACACTCGCTTAACTGAACAGAAACGCGACCTCATCTTCACCTGATTTTAATTTGCCACTGATACGAACACTTTTTCATACAATAAAACAGGCGCAGGAACTTCCCACATCTATTACACAGACACTTCGACTGGCCAAGAATCCAACCCAACGGGTCTATATCTTACGCACAGGACTGGATAGTGGCGAGGATCAATGGCTGAACCAGCTTGAAATTGGATCGCCACTCATGAAAGAGTCGCTCCGAAAAAGCGTCTCGGACCTGAATGGTCCATCCTTGTCCACCATAGGTAACTCTAATAGTGGCTGGGACTCGGATACCGCAGGAACATCATCAACAGCCGTGTCATCACGGGAAGAAGAGTCCAGGAGAAGTCAAAGAACTCGGAGCGAAGAGAAGGGAGTCTACGTCGCAGGAATGCTTAAGATTGGAGAGAAGAAGCTATTCATCGTGGTAAGTCCATTGGGGGTTTTCTATTCTGATCGAGACAAACGGGAGACGTCGGCGGACTTTTTTTTTATTTTTCCTGCGACAGTGTGCGGGAAATGTTTGGATCTGTTTTACCCTTTGTCTTTGACTTTGCAGAACCATGCATGGCTGCATGCATCAATGGTTCTTTTTTTCTTACCCACTTCTTTTTTTACGTTGCCGGAATGTAGGACAAATCGGGAACGATGCATGAGCAAGAAGTATGCTGTGTTCTTGACTTTTACGTCGACGACTCATGCCAGCGTCGAGGATACGGGAAACTCCTCTTTGACTATATGCTCAAGGTACCCTGATCAGTCTCCATCCCTATTGATTCTGCCCCTGCCCTAATTTTTTTTTTTGCTTTAATTATTATTTTTTGCTCTTTATGGCATCTAATGTCATGTCCGTATTTTTCGATTCTTCCAAAATTGTTCTGCTCAAATAGGTCGAAAACATCGAGCCCGCCCAGATCGCCTATGACAGGCCGAGCCCAAAACTCTACCGCTTCCTCAGCAAGTATTTTCGGCTGGAGCGACATCTCCCACAACCAAACATGTTTGCAATCTTTGAGGGCTTCAAGCTGTTGGACTGTGGAGAGATTATCCAGGTCAACGATGACTATTCGCTACCAGCAGTAGGACGAACCAGCGTCTCTTTTATACCCAGCTCATCAGCCTCTGACAACAGTAGCAGTAACAGTGGCACGGTCAACAACAGTAATAGCGGAACGAGCGGAACTAGGACGCCCACAATATCTCGAGCGCTGCAGTCATCTGTCGTTTTCAGTTCAGGCGCGCCAGCAACGGACTCTATCAATATTCAAGCCAACCGGCGCGTGTCGTCTGCGTTTTCATCCTCCATTTCTTTGTCTGCTGGTACGGATGCAGGTTCAATCCCAATCGCACCGACCACCAGGCCGCAGCAGACACAGACAGGCGGACCACCATCAGGAGCCAGGATATCCCGGTTGCTTGCATCATCCATTAAGTTTGCAGACCCTATTGTTTCGACCGACTAGGATCATTGATTGCATATTATCCTTTCCTCCGTTTTTAGTCATGTACGGGACCAAATCTTTGAAGCCATTTCAGAAACCCGCACTCCTAGCCTTTGGTTACAGATCACAAAGAGATAAACTGTACTTCTTTGCTCCTGAGATATCTGTTCTTGAATGACGCATTGATCTGTACCTTGGCAGTATCCAGAACAAACTCTGGTACCCGTAGATAAGTTCACAATGTTCAGAACCTGCCTCCAAGTTTCCAAAATGAAATGTCTGTAGCCTAGACAATGTGCTGCTCCGTGGATACCGCCTCTTTGTCCTGCTGTGCGTCTCCCTCTTTCACAGCGAGAGGTGTTTTTCCGATACTGCACAATTCGGCCAATTATTCTCTCAGTGAGATGCTCTTTCATCGCCCGTCAGGACTAACGCAAGCGGAGAGCGCGTGCCTCAGATGCGCTAGTGCATCCTCCGACTCACGTAATCAACCTGGTATCTGTTACTGTTGTGATGCGCCGGGCTAAATGCTGCAATTCTTTAATATTCGAAGCATCATGCAAAGAGGATGGCTTTGGCGTTCCTCGTCAGGAATGCGAGAGACCCCATTTGGTTATTGAGGCTGACCACAGTCTAGAACCGTGGACACTGGGATAATAATTGGCAGCCGGGCGTTTTGTCGCTATTGCTGCTCCCCTAAAAAGGCACATGCTGAGTGTAGCACCTTTAGGAGCATGGTCACTAAGACTCACCAACAACACCCATAAAAGTCGCTCGCCCCCCTTACTCTTTCCTGTCCTCATATTCTCGTCAGTTGTCTTCATCCTGCTCCCCCACTTAATTTTCTCATTATCCGCCCTGCCTTGTACCCCACATCTAACAGCCGTCCCTCATTCATTTTAAAGTTTGGCAAAGTTGCGCACAGCAATTTCGTCAAAGCTCATTGTGAGTATTGGTCTCGTTAGGTCCGCTAGACCTGGCCCACAACATGCTCATAGTTCGTGCTGATGAATGGAGAACCCTCTATAACATGTTGCCAGAGCGGTGCCCTAGAAAAGGTTGAGGGTCGGGTCATCAAGTGCCAACAATGGAATCCGGAAAGAGATCGAGGCCATAATGCTGGCCACAATATGGGTCGCACTGCCCTCTGTCTTTTAGAGCGCCAAGAGTGGTCCCCAGAGCTGACGCGTCTATAATAGCAACGACAGCAACAACAACAACAACACTAAGCGTCATGTGGAGCGGCAGCGTAGGCACAATGGGGAATGAAAAAGAGCAGTGTCGCTATCTCTTGTTACCTTAAGACTTAGCTGGAAGGAATAAAAAGATAGATTGCAAGACAATACCTGAGCTGCTGGCTCCATCCAGAAATCCATTGGCCGCAGTACGCATACAAGTCAATTCCAGCAGTAGCCCGTTTAGCGTGGTCATTCTTATTTGACGGATTTCCGCATGGGTTGTCAGATAAGACAGACAACCCAGGTTGCCAAGTAGATCAAGTATATTATCCCTAACTATTACCCATCCTCTGTCCGCACGCGTCTGCTTCTCACCCCACAAAATGATCTTGCACAGATGCAAAAAATAGGGACAATCTATTTGACAACCCGGGTTGCCACTGCTATTTGGCAACCCCTATACTAACTCCATGTAAGGCCAACATTTTTTAAATGTCGATTATGCCAGTAGTCCTTATGGTACCTGGCCCCAGCTCTTTAAGCTAGATCGTCATCTGTCTCTTAAAGGATTCCACAATGTAACTGATTTCCCATTTCGTCATCGCTGAGTCCGTCAGCGATAAAACCCTGTTTTCCGTCGTGAAGAAGGCTTCTCCCAAGGTCCCAAGGTCGCAAAAGGTTGCATGGGGTGCCAGGTGGAGGAAGGAATGGTTCTCAACCTCTCGCCGCGTTGTTTCGACTTGAAATTCGCAAAAGATACGAGCCTTGTTTTACATGGAATTTGTGCAGGATGTCCTGCAAAAAAGTAAGCGCTGATCAATAAATAAGAAAATTAAAAGTGTGGAGCAGCGGAGGTTTGAACTCCGGGCCTCTCGCATGCAAAGCGAGCGCTCTACCACTGAGCTACAACCCCTTACTTTGTTGATGGCTGTCGCCTATAAATTTATATTGCTAAATTAATCTTCGCTCCTTATTGGCACGTTATTCCCTATTTGCATGGTCGCTCCATAACTGCACACTATCCCTATCTGCACGCCTGTCCCATCTATCATCAAGCTCATGGGGATTTATGTTAATAAAAAAAAAAAAAAGCCTGTCCCATCTACCTTTCGGTTCAACATCTTTTGCACTATTTTGTCCGAGCTGTGCCCAAACCCAATCGGCTCCTTGGCGCCCCTCCATCTCGTTCATATTCACGCTTTCCATCTGCATCTACGACGATACTTGAGGATCAGTCAGCGCAGCGCCGATCCGGTCCAGCTCCAGTATTTAAACGCGATATATATCATGAATAATAAATAGGTTACGAAGACCCAGAGAAAAGACATAGTAGTTACCTTTGCGATTTGATCGTTGATTGTTTAGTTTATCCCCTTTGCCTCGTATTTCCTCCGCTCTGCTCGTTATCACCCTATCTTGCTGCCCTACCCTCCACCTATCTACCTTGCCCTACCTTGCACTTACCTTATCCGCCATCGTTGACTTACCTTACCTACCCTACCCGCTCGCTACCTCCCCCTATAAGCTTGCTCTATCTTGCCCTGATCCCATTTGCCCGTAACATGAGTTAATTTATTCTAACTACCTACAGTACAGTGGCAGTAGGTAGTTTGCACTACAGCTTTATGAAAAGAAAAGTTATACAGGGACCTGCAAACGGGTTCCGCGCGCCCGCCGCACGCGAACTCTTCTCTGCTTGCTGCATATTCAGCCGAGTCCAGTGTACTTTATTACCATATAAATTGATTAATAAATATCGTGTAGATGCGGTGTATGGCCCGACATCCCTTACTCGCTTACTTCTTGGACCCTGATACACCTGATTAATTCCAATATATTTCAGACTGAAAAGGAGCTCCAAAAGCCGCTAGAGCGCACCATGGAAATCGAGGATGAAAACGGTGTAGTGTGGACGGAAAAGATGTTCACGCGTATGAGCAATAAGAGACGAGAATCAGAGCTGGAACGCACTGTGGAAATTTACGGCCTTCACCCACACACGCCTGAGTTTCGAATCAAGTCGGCAATGTCCCGCCGTGGAGAGGTCGAGAAGATCACCACTCGACCTTGCAGTAAAGAAAATCAAAATCACGGTGCAAGTGGGTTTCAGCAGTCTGGAGGATGTGAAGAAGATCCAGGATTCCGGAATGTCGTCAATATTTGTAGGAAAGGGACCTTTACTCGTCTGCGCAAAGTTGGAGGAGAGATGATCGAATGGGGGCTGAGATACGTCTCTAAGCTCTCATGCCTCCCATCAGGAACAACAGCAATGGATTTACAATCACTTCTTGAAAAAGACTAGGCGGAGTTTTTGACGGTGCCACCTAGGAAGGAAGGCAAACAAGATGCCAAAGGGAAGTCAAGGAGAGAATGTTTGCAGCACTAGTGATGATTGGGGACAGTGAGACTGTGTGGGGCAACACGGATGAAAAAAGGAGCAGGCAATGTCACAAGCTGGGGCATGTCCAACGGGAGTGAGAGATTTTTTAATAGGTGCTTAAAACCAAGGAATATGTCAAAACGGTTAGGGAATACTGTATCTCTTCCCAGGCTCAATCTGCTCACTAAGAGGGCCGACTGACAACAGTAGTGGCAACAATGCTCACTCGAAAATCCTCAAGGTTAGTAAAAATGATATAGGGATGAAAAGAGTTCGTGTAGTGGTGATAGCCAAGATGAAGAGGGTTGCGACTTGGAGAGCGATGGATCTGCAGGTTTATAGCGACACCATGGGGACATTGAGTGGAACTGCAAGATGTTACCGGAAGCAGTTGGATAACATCAAGGCTATTCAATTGGACGTGGATGGCTCGTACTATACGCCGGATGAAACCGATACTCGGACGCCTGCGTCAACGATGATAGTCCTGGGAACAATGATAGGGGCCTCCAGGATACACGTAGGGAAAAGAGGGAGGAGGAGGAGGAGGAGGGAGGAAAGAGGAAAGAAGCAATGCGTGAAGAGCGGCTCTGAGCGAGCTGCTTAGGTGACGGATTACAGCGACCACTCAAGACCGCAAAAGATAGCCAGGGCCAGCAGGGCAAATCGCTGTGGAGATGGGGCAAACTAGGTCACGACATCCGCGCCTGCGAAACCAATTGAGGAGCCATAAAGCCATTTTGTTACCCTCAATGGAATAACTGTTTCCTTAAAAAAAAAAAAATAAAAAAAAAGAGGACGCGTCGTACAACATCGCTGGGCATAGGTGCAAAGCAGCACTGTCTTGGCTATGAGCAAGTGCAGAAATGAACGGACGAAAAGACGGACTCCGGTGGGAAAAAAATGCGTTTACTCCCTGAGAATAACTTTTTAAAAAATACGACAATCAAAACATGCTTGTAATGTACAAGAAAAACAAAAAAAAAAGGTTTACGAGTATAGCCATCGGCATGCTTTTAAGGCAAACGATCCTTCTCAAGGCCTGTTGCCTCCTGCTGTGTACTCTCCGTGTCCTGTTTGTGCACGATATTCTCCATAGTCGTACCATCCGTCCGCAATCCCTCGATTTCTTGTTCAGCAGTGCTGGCTGCTCCATATTCACCTTCGAATTCAACATCATCACCGCCATCGTCCGTGGTAACCGCCGCCGTGCGCAATCCAACGGGATCTGCGCTAAAGTTAAACACCTCAATCTTGCCCAACTTTGAGTTTGATTTCGACTTAATGACCGGAGGCGTAAACGGCACAGTCTGGATCAACTTGTATTCCAATTCCGGGATGATGGTCCAGACGTTCGGATCCTCCGGAAGATGGGGCTGATACAAAACTCCGCGGCGATTCAGGCGGTTCAAGAAACTGCCCCAGATCTTAAAGGCGGTCTCCCTAAACTCCGGATCAATTCTGGGCTTCCTGAAGGGGCCGTCCATTCCGAGGCTGTAGGAGACCGTGTTGCTGTTGCTTACAGGTTGAGACTCATCGGTGCCCATTCCAAGGCTGTATGATATCGTGCTGCTGGCAGGTTGGGAGTCCTTGGCATCGCTGCTGGTGTTGCTGTCAATTGTGTCCTTGTCGGCGGATGATGATACTTCTTTTGCGGCTGTACTCGTGCTAGCGCCTTCCACAGAGGCGGCAACAGCAGAATCTTCAGTGACGGGGGCGTTGACTGCGTTGTCCACGGTAGTGGAATTAGCTGCGGATGAGTCAGCGCCCGTGGGATCGGTTGCGGAGCCATCCTTAAGCCTCTTCCGCTCTGCAGCCTGTCTCTCCGCGGCATAGAGCGTGATCATCGCCTGGAACTTCCGTGGTCGATCCCAGAACCAAGCCGTCTCCAAAAACAAGCGCAGATCCATCTTGGCCTGATCCGAACTTTCCTCTGGGAAGTCGAACTCTACCAACGAAATGCCCTTCTTAGGGACGGTGCTGAGATCAATGTGGATATTCTCGAAATACGGGCTGATGACGTCCAGTCCCTCTGGCGTGAGTAACATGCCAGAGATTGTACGTCCAGTGATCATGATTGGCTCAAGCCTCCTCAGGTTCGAGAAGGAGAAGGTTGGAGACTTGGTGTCATGGCCATCTGGCAGATAGAGACGCCCATCCCTGAGGAGGATTTCAAGGTAGCGTCTAGTTTGTTCTTCCCGCTCCTCAGGCTGGAAGATCTTGCGGAAGCGAGCATATGTTTGATTGATAACTTTCTCGATCATCCCAGTGTTCGTTGTCTATGCAGGCAAGTGACAGTACAACAGTGCAATAACAATAAAGGGCATTGCGGTCAATAATTGCGATGCAATCGATTGAGGCACCTGCGCAAAAAAAAAAAAAAAAAAGTATACGGATGAGGAACCGCCGTTGCTTACCATGCCCTTGCCGCCAAACGCCCGTTCAATAAACGCGAACAAGTCTGCAGCTTGCTCGCCCTCCGTCATTGGGTACTGCTCCGCATACGGGACATAGCCCTTTTTGTAGTTCTCGTTCATCATGTTCACATAGATCGCCCGCCCCGCGAAGGCGTCTTTAGCCGCATACCACACCCATCTCGGGTCTAGTACTTCATGATCCCAGTTCCATCCCAACAACGCCCTTGTCTTGATCACCTCTCGACCGGGTCGACCAAACATCCTGTCCAGCTCCGCCAGCGAACGTCCAAGTATCCGTTTCTGCTTGGCCATGACCTCCAGGCTCACGACGCCCGTACAATTGACTTTATATGACTTATACAGTGCCTGCGCATCTCCCGCTGCACTCACGCCGACCAGCAATTGCTCCGGATCTTCCAAAAACGCCTTCAGTCGCGGCGGGAACAGCTCTGGCTGTTCGTTTCGTTTCGTAATCCTGTAGACCTGGAACATCAAACAGATATCGTCCGTCGCGAGCTGGACAAGCGACACACCGCCCTTGCCCTTCCTTGGCACGAAGTCTGTCGTTGTCTCCGTATCAAAGCCAATGGGTCCCGGGTTGCCGTTGTTGGTCTCTTTGTTGAACTCTGTGAATAGCTCCATGGCCTTCTCGGCCTGTTCGGGTGTCGATGATAGAAAAACTGGTGGACTTTGGCGTACACGCTTTACGCCTGCCTCCTCAAGCGCCTCGCACAGGATCCGGATATTCTCGCTGATTCCCTCTGGCTCAGATCTGTCCACATCAAAGGCCGTAAAACTCGAGTTCAGCGGCACGGGTGTCTTGACAGGAGTAGCAGGTACGATTCGAGAGTGGGGTACCCCGGTGCGTGATTGTTTGGTGTGTATCATCTGTATGATCTTTGCTTTGCGTTCCAGCTTCAATTCTAAAGTATCCGCAACTGATTCATTTAGCGTGTCCGCTCTTGATGGTGGTTGTGTGGTTGTTCCGTTCCTTGGAAAGAAATGTGACTTGGAGGCCTTAAAATCATCGTCGCCAGTCGCATGTCGCCTGCTATTGTATCTTGGACGAAATGATGAGGTGCCTGATGGTGCTGTTGCCTCTGAAGAACGGTTCTCGGCAAAGGGATGTTCTTTGGTCTTAAATGTCCTGGAAGTAGCGGCAGTGACAGAATGCCTCTTTTTCGCTGCCTTGAGTGCGGAATTCTCCGTGGCTGCTGGTACAGCAGAGCTAGCGGCATCCGTGGAGATGTGTCGAATAGGTGTTATCGGGTAACCGACAAGGCGAGAACGACAAGGGGTAGTATGAAAAACTGAATAACTGGTCCTTGTGGTGCGCACTGGTCCCAACCCTGATCCTGAGGCTGATCCAGTAAAAGACAGATAGTATGTTATTGAAGAAGCGGCAGTAGTAGTCGAGTAGAGTCGAGCGGTCGAGGGGTTAGAGCGCAGCGTTGCTGTTGTAGTACCGGTCTGACCTGTCGCTGCTACCGATTTGAGCGTGCCACGAAACATTGCAAATAGTTTCCTCCAAGGACAATTGGCACCACTCTTTGGTAGAGGCGATGAATGGCGAGTGAAGGAAAGAGGAGGGTGTCAAATAGAAGCCAAGGGTGCCTTGAGCACCTCAATCGGGTTCATATCTTTCAATACACACAGAGACTGCTGTGGCTTCGCTTTGTACCCAAACAAAGACCATTCAGACGACCGCCATATCAAAGAATGAGCGAAAGCAGGCCCACTTGAACACACAACGGCACTTCCATTCTCTTCTTCCTCCTTGTCGACGCATCGCTTTATTCTCATTTAACCGTTGAACTCAGAGGAACCAACATGACGACTGTGGAGAAAATCAAGGAGATCGAGGCCGAAATGGCCCGCACTCAGAAGAACAAGGTGTGCATTCTTCAGGAGAGCAACATGACCGACATCACACAGCAAAAGACAGCTCACTCACACGACCTACCATCAATATCGACTTTCTTTCCTCTGATGGATATAGGCCACCTCTCAACATCTGGGTCAGCTTAAAGCCAAGTTGGCCAAGCTGAGGCGTGAGCTCTTGACGCCGACCTCTTCTGGCGGCGGCGGTCCTGGTTGTAAGTCGCAACATCATGTATAGCGTATTTGGTCTCTGTCCATGGTACCCTGCTTGTCTTTATTTTCCGTGATATTGATCTGTCCCTGCATTCAAATCGTTGTTCAATCTTTCAAGTGGGATTCGATGTCGCGAAGACAGGAGTAGGACGCATTGGGTTCGTGGGATTCCCATCAGTCGGCAAGTCGACATTAATGTCCAAGTTGACTGGAACACACTCTGAGGTCGCCGCCTACGAGTTCACAACGCTGACAACAGTGCCCGGTGTCGTCCAGTATAACGGAGCTAAGTTGCAGATTCTGGATCTTCCAGGAATTATCGAGGGAGCCAAGGACGGAAAGGGTCGTGGTACGTTTTTGATTCATCAAGATCAAGGAATCGCCAGTTGTTATCCTGGAGGCGACTACAAAGCACGAAATATCTCGCTGAGCCATTTTTTTGTTGTTTCTGATGGTGGTTTTCTCTAGGTCGTCAGGTTATTGCTGTCGCCCGTACATGTTCACTCATTTTCTTGGTGCTGGACGTGCTCAAACCCCTGGGCGACAAGCGCATTATCGAAAAGGAATTGGAGGGCTTCGGTATCCGACTAAACCAGAAGCCACCCAACATCTACTTCAAGAAGAAGGAGAAGGGTGGTATCAGCATGACGAACACGGTTCCGCTGACGCATCTGGATTTGGACGAGGTCAAGGCAGTGTTGAGCGAATACAAGATTCACAACGCCGACATTTCGTTCAAGTGCGATGCGACAGTCGACGAACTTATTGATGTGATCGAGGGTAACCGAGTGTACGTTCCCTGTCTGTATGTACTGAACAAGATCGATCAGATCTCGATCGAGGAGCTGGATCTGGTCAGTAAGATCCCGCACGCCGTCCCGATCTGTGCGCATCATGAATGGAACTTTGACGAGTTGTTGGCCAAGGCATGGGAGTACCTGGATCTGGCCCGTATTTACACAAAGCCCAAGGGACAACTGCCAGACTATTCGCAGCCGGTTGTCTTGCGGCGCGAGACGGCATCGATCGAGACGTTCTGTAACACCATTCACAAGGCCATTCTGCGCGAGTTTAAATAGTAAGTTGTTGTTGTTACCTTTACTGGGATTCTGTCACATTCAACATCCGTTCTAACCGGTGTTCCCTCAATTACTCTTATTTCTTTACAGTGCTCTGGTCTGGGGATCATCAGCGAAGCATAACCCACAAAAGGTCGGCAAGGAGCATATCCTGGCCGATGAGGATGTCGTCCAGATCATCAAGAAGGTCTAAAAATATGTAGATAATCAGGATGCGAAGTTCGATTCTAGACGAGCTATGTCCCTAGGAGGAGGAAGAGGAGGAGGAGGAGAGGAAGAAAAGAGGAGTAGAAGGAAGCGATAATATAAGTCGGCAGTTGTTTATCATTCAATAGATAGCTGTAAAACGTAAAGCAATGCTTCAGTCTGACCGCGTTGTGGAAGTGCCTTGGCTCTGAAATTCAAAGTGACGTTGCAATTGGCCGTTGGAGGAAACGGTCTTCCACGCTCACCGCTGCCTTGGTTGGACCTGAGAGACCAGAGGACAAAAGCATCATCATCCTTTTCTCTGCTCGTTTCGTTCATCCTCACAAGGTCAGGAAGCAACAAGTACGCCGACAGGACAGGACAGATACATCCCCTCGACGCAACCACCACCACCATCTTTCCTTCGCAACACACACAGCTGACACATAAAGACCACGATGCGCTTCTTCTCTAGCCAGGCCCTGGTGGCCCTGATGGCTTCCCTTCTCGTGTCATCTGTCGCAACAGCACAACCAGATGATGAATTTTCTGGTCCAAAGCCAATTGTACCCCAGGTTCTCGTGATCACCAACTTGCTCCGTACTCTGGATCTGTCTAGACCCATGATTCGGGAGATCACCTCGGCAGCCCTTCAGAACGTCGCAGAGGAGAACGTGACCGAATACTACTTCCCTGTCGATCAGGGCTACTCCGATAGCCTCGCCTTCATCACCGCCGAAAACAGAAAGACCAAGGAGAATCTTGAGGTCACCAAGGACCCAGAGTACTTTGACGCGTACGTGCCTTTGTGTTGTGCATCATGGATTGGATTGGGATCAGTTGAGACGCGTTTCGGTTTCGCGTTGTGTCATATTCATTCTTAGTCTTCAGCCAGCTAATCATCGGTGCTATCCATTGTTGTCTATCTAGCGATTTCCAATATTACAAGATTAAGCTATCGGAGCCATTGCCCCCGGGCGAAAAGGTGCAGGTTACTGTTAAGACATCACTTACAGGTCTCATTCGCCCTTATCCCGTGGCCGTTGGACAGGCCGAGCGCCAGCAGTTCATTTACTTTGGAAACCCATTCGCGCTGACCGCATACCCAGCTACCAAACAAAAGACCACTGTTATGTAAGCCCTTGATCCCCAAGCTGTCCTTTTCCCTGTGGATGCGTGCGGCTGTATGGCTTCTGCAGGATTAATTAACCGATATGCCTATTATTATTTCTGATCGGCGACGAATATGGGAACATACACAGTACCTCCAACAACGTCTTGGAGGTTCATGAGCACCCAGAGGAGTCCCAGCCGTTGATCAAGAACAACCAGGTCATCCTTGGACCCTACAATGATGTCAGGCCATTGGAGCACGGTATCTTTGAGATCCAGTACCAGTTGCAGGGCCCAGTTCCGCACGTCCGTCATCTGCGTCGCGATATTGAGATCTCTCAGTGGGGTAACAACCTTGCAGTCGAGGAGCACTACAATTTTGTCAACAAGGGAGCCAAGTATGCTGCTGTTTTATATCTGTCCTGCCTATTCCGATAATCCATTTCAATCCACTTGTCGAGGAATGAACGTGATTTCGTCGGACTTACCTTCCCATCTTTTCTTCGCACTAGTCTGAAGGGTCATTTCAGCAGATTGGATATGCAGCGCAACCCCATTGGTATGCGTGAGGGCAACGGTATCTTGCTGATCCCAACGCAGCTTCCCAAGCTCGCTCGTGACATCTACTACCGTGATGAGATCGGAAACATTTCGACCTCAACTTTGGCAGAGCAGCCCGATTTCATCCTGTTCACTCTCCAGCCCCGCTTCCCGATCTTTGGAGGCTGGAACACGACCTGGTATACCGGCTACAATGTTCCTCTGGATGGATTCCTGCGCCGTGTCCCCGGCACGAGCAAGTATATCCTTAAGGTCCCAGTCTTTGTGGCGTTAAGAGAGACCAGCTACGATGACGTTGAGATCCGAATTGTTCTCCCAGAAGGAGCCAAGTATGTTACTTTTTCCGTCCATATGTTTTGAACTTGAATGGCTTGGGTTGGTCTGCTAATCACTGTCGTATCGTATTCTTTCCGATAGGAACGTGAATGTGCAGTTGCCATTTGAGGTTGATGAGGTTGAGCACTCGAACACCAAGACCTACATGGACAGCGCTGGACGTTACACTGTCACTATTCGCGCCACGAATCTGATTGAGGAGCACACGCAGGAGATGTTGATCGAGTACGAGTTCTCGGCCGTGTCTTATCTCACGAAGCCCCTTTCTGCCGCGGCCATGTTGATGGCAATCTTTGCGTCATCGATGCTGTTCTCCAGAATGGATTTTAAGATTGGAGGATCGCTCGTGACGAAGTAGACTGCAAGCGAGGGGTGGAGGAGGGAGTAAAATATGGCCGGTCCACAGGCACAGGAAAAAGAGAAAAGAAAACAGCAGGCTCTTTGAAAGAACATGATCGGCTTTTTGATAGGTGTGCCTGATCTGGAATAAAAGCGTAGAAAGAGAAAAAAAAAAAAAACTAGTCTAGCACGAAGAGCAGGATAATGAATGAATGAATCAATCAATCAAATCAATCAATCCAGTTTTTTTACTGTACAACGAGTGAACCCTTTTTATCAAAGGTCCACTCTTTTTTGTGTGTTTTTATTCAATGTGTTATACTAGTGATTGTTGTGTGCATGATGAAGGAAAACGAGAATAAAAAGTAATAATATGCAATGGTTGATGTTTAGTTGGCCGCTACCTCAACCGTCTCTGGGACGGCCAAGAGCTGCTCGATAGCCGAGTGATCCCCTGCGACCTTGTGGGCATGGTAACTCCTGAGCAAGATATCAACATCCTCCATGCTCTGGTTCTTGATATCAGCCAGCTTCTTGATCTTGCTTGTGATGGCCTTGAGTTCATCATCAGACAATCCCAGACCCAATTGGTCTGCACGGTTCTTGACGGCGTTCCAGCCGGTAAGACGATGACCGATCGAGACATAGCGGGTCATGCCAAAGACCTCGGGCTTGAGGATCTCATAGGTTGCAGGGTTGTTGAGGATGGCCTTGGCGTGGATGCCAGCCTTGTGGGTGAAGGCGCAGTAGCCGGTGATGCAATTGTTGAAGGGGACCTGGATCTCGACAGCGTCGGCAATCAAGTTCTCAAGGTCACGGAGCTGGTGCAGCTTGTACTTCGAGGCGACGTAATTGGGGTCGACAGTGAACATGCGGGCGATCAAGTTACCGATCGGGGTGATGCCGTTGCGCTCACCGATGCCGAGGACTGAGGTGTCGATGTGAGTGGCTCCGGCCTCCAGGGCAGCATATGCGTTGGCGGTGGCACATCCGGTATCTATGGAACCATTTGAGGAAAAAAAAAAAAGGGCGAAGTGATTAGAAGGCAGTCCGGACGATGGTGCGTATTGGTGCACGCCTTTTTTAGAGTTATGTAAAATATGATAGGATGTGACTCTTTTTTTGTAGCGATTGTCTGTTCGATGGATCTGGATGGATAATGATCTAGGGGCGATGTACAAGAAATCAAGAGAAAGACGCTTACCATTGTGGAAATGGCACTCAATGTCGGTGGTGGGCTTCAAGACGGAGCGGAGGGTCTTGACAAGATCGTAGACCTGGCGAGGGTTGGCGCAGCCGACGGTATCTGCAATGCCAACACGGTTGACACCGAGCTGATCAACGGCCTTGTAGAGGTTCAAGAGATCGACGAGATCCGAGCGGAAAGAATCCTCGGACGAGAAGCGGACTTCGAGACCCTTGGACTTGACATAGTTGATAACCTCGGTCGCATCCTTGATGATGCGCTCCATATCTTTGCCATGGCTGAACTCGCGGAGGTAGGAACTAGTTATTGTAGGAACAGAAAAAATAGTTTGTCAGTAAGACTTCCTTCTTGTGATTTGCAGTGTATCAAGTGCATGTCTGCTTCTACGATTTGCTTACCTGGTACCGATAACGACATCGAGTCCATCGACTCCGGTCTCGCAGGCAATCCGGGCATCGTCCATATGGCAGCGGACATGGGTAAGGATCTTGGCCTTGAGGCCGAGGTTGGCGATGGCAATGCAGTCGAGACGAGATTGTTCCGATGCAGCGGGCGAAGTGAGTTCGATGTACTCAACTCCGAAGTCGTCCAGAGCCTTGGCAATCTCGATCTTCTTGGCGGTGTCGAAGAAGGCGTTGGCGAACTGCTCGCCCTCACGAAGGGTTGATTCGATGATGGACCAATTTGTCAGACGCGAGAGCGAGTCTGTGTACTTGGGGGCATATGGGCTGGCGGAGACGTTAGCGATTGGGCTGGCGTGTGGTGGCATTGTTGGTTATTATTGTGCGGTTGAAAGAGAGAGGGTTGGAGTAGAGGTATATCTGCCCTGGTTACTTTATATATGAACTGATATAACAGTGGGCCGCTGAAGGTGACTGGATAGGAGGAGGGGAATATGGAGTGAGGAAGGAAGGAAGAAAAAGAAAGGAGATGGGGGATCGTTTTATACTAGTGAGGGCCGGTGTGCGTGGAGTGCATCACTGTGTATGCGCTCTGTATGTGTGTATGTGGATGCATACAAAGGAGGGAGTCTCTTCGCCTGTAAGAGATGGCTGATAGATACGATAGAGATAATAAAAATAAGTGTCTTTCCTATGCTGCAGCGTGTGGATCGTGAAAAATAAATGAAATTCGCCCAATATCCATTCTGCGCCTATGGAGGGAGGGGAAAGAAAACGGCCGACCCATATGATGATGATCGATTATTTGGGTTCAGATGAGCATCTAGATCGCAGATAACTCTCTGACAATCATCTTCCGCCCTTATGACATTCGACATTCTCGGCTGGCCCCCCTCTTTTCTTTTCTTTTCTTTTTGCGTTAAGGTTGTCCTTCTCCGCCTTCTTTCTTCTTTTTCATACGTATAGGTACATCGGTACACAGGTACATGGACACACACGGGCATGCCAGACCCATACACCCTCAGACTAAAAGGGATCTGCAAACAAACACTGGGAGATGTGATAAAGAGAAACAGCAATTGAATCCCTCCCATCTTCGTCAAGTATAAAAAGCCCACGCCTCTCCACACCCCCAGCATTCCCTCCACCACCAACTGATACATCGCCACTCACACATCGTCCTCACCGGAGTGTGCCCTTTGTATGGATCGGTGATTTGTTGCTGCCCTCGGACCATTTGTCCGAGGCGAATTACCACTAAACTACTGTCGTTTTGCGGCAGAATAAAGAAAGTACGCAGGAGAGAACGAGCTCTCTTTGCTATTGCTGTAGTGTCGCTGTCTGCATTCCTTGAGGGTTGCTACTCTCACGCATTTTAGACTATGGCATAGATCACCGCCTTTTGATCGGCCCTTCCCCGCACGTACAGAATTACAACCAGTCACCTATCGATCTATCTGAGCCCTGATTGGACGAGACCACTACCTCGCTTTCTATGATGCACCGAACGCGTATCCTACGCAGACCATGGGCGGTAGGATCGACCAGTTTTCATCTCAACACGTCTTAGGGCGCATCTGCATCGCCATGTTTGTCTCCCTTGAGGAAGGACAAGGCAGCCTTTCTTTTTATCTTTTGATGTTTGTGCCGTCTCTCCACACGACATCCCTACATAGAAAATATAGAATCCAATGCATTGAGCTGGTTCCTTATGCGCAAGCGACCTGCGACCTGCGACCTGCGACCTGTATACCAATAATGCCGAATGTTCCATTTTCTCAGGAGTCTGTGACGAGACTGGGCTGAACACCAAAAGAAAAACGCTCACTTTTTTTTCGTCCAGCCCACGTTCCTCAAACGCGCATGCTGATATGGTGGCAAATTTTACATTTTTTTTTCTGACCACAAATCGCTGAACAACTCACCATACACACGCACACAAACACGCCACAGCAGCCCCAAGTAGGCAGAATGATGACATCTTGCACAAGTAAAGTATGGGGAAGAAAGTAAGGAAAGCGGATCAAATGATGCGAATCGCACATCCAAGGCGAGAGTGCATAGTCTAGTTGATCTTGTTAGATGTTGTTCTGGATGTTGGGTCCACAAAGACCGTGCAATTCACATAGTCATAGAGGACAAGGAACTTATTGGCTTGGCTTTGTCTGTTGAAGGAAGAGGAGAAGAACGAGAGGGTCGAGAAGAGGCAGTGCCTTTTCTTCCTTGTTTCACTACGGGGGAGAGAGGTAGGGGCAAAACCATGGGCAGGCAAGGACAGCAACGAGCGCTGCAAGTGCGGGAGGAGGGGATCATGTGTGTGAGGCGAGCTTGAACATGGGTGTATATAAGTAAAGTGTGTGATGAAGGATGGTCAGCCCGCAAGGGTCAGACTAAGTAGATCATGAGGACTCACTTGCTCATGTCCTTTATGCGCAACAGCGGATAACGACCTGAGTGAGTGGCGCCGTGCCTCATCGAGCCCATACTCGTTGTCTTCAGCTCGTTTCTCTCCTTCTTTCTTCTCCGGCAGCGCAGGGTGTGCGAAGGACACATAAAAGAGGCCCCCCCCCCCCCCTGCCTGGTCTCTTTCATTTCTTTCTTTCTTCTTTTCTTCCTTCCACTCCGCTTCTCTGTTCCTCCACTCTGGCCTTCTTCCTCCTCCGCTGGGCGTCATTGCATCGCATCGATCCTTCTTCTTCATCCCATCCCATTGCCGACTCCATCTCAACCTTGGTCTCAAGATCCACACAGTCACATCAAAACCTAGAAACGAACCTTGTGCTCCTCTTTTTTTTTTTTTTTTTTTTTTTTTTTTTTTTTTTTGGTTGATACAGCATGAAGTTTGCAAAACAGCTCGGGCTCCGGAGTATCCCCAGCTGGGCTCCTTACTACTTGGACTATAAGTCTCTGAAGCATTACATCAAGACCTCGTTCAAAAGTCTTGCTGGTATGTTTAAGTTTTTCATCCATAGACGAAGTGCTTTGCAGCAATGTGAACCTCATAAAAGGCTCCAATTGAAAACTAAACAACTAACCAAGTCATTGAATCATATCCTTGGTCGATTTAGGGCCATTAGAGCCACTCGAGAGCGTGGATCAAGAAGATCAGGAGCAGCTATCCAAGGGCGAGACGGATCAGAATGTTGAGCACGAGATCACGATCAGCAACCCTCCCGGAAGCGCAAATGCCGCCATGGATGCCGACAAGGTCATTCCTGCCGCTGGAGATCAGGAGACAACCTTGATAACTACCACTACCAATAAGGAGGACGAAGACGGGCAGAAGAATGGAGTGGCCGGCGCCGAGGACGCAACTAAGGAGGCCAGAGTCATTGTCATTGTGGAGGGATTCAAGGCGCTGCTGTGGGCAGAGCTGGAAAAAGTCAATGCGCGGTACGAAGCTCAGGAGCGCGTTGCGAGTGTCAACTTGGAGCGACTGCACGCCAGCGTAAGTTCAAGTATCCTCATGTCGAGTGCTTCAGTGAAAAAGCGGTGCTAACAGATCGTTTCTACACATCCAATTTTGGATCGATTAACCCTGCATAGTGGCGAGCAAACTTTAGTCCCGCTGAGCTGAAGCAATGGTAAGTCGGATCGTCAGCAACGTTCATGTGCACTCAGAAGTACAATAACCACTGACCAATACTCGGATTATGGCATATGCCATTTTCCCTCCTTTTTCTCATCGTTGGTAATAGGCGAAGCGACCTTACAGTCTTGATCCTCAATCTGGAGTATCTTCTCGAGTTCAGCCAGACCAACATTACCGGGTTCAAAAAGATAATCAAAAAGTTTGACAAGCACTACAGCAGCTATCAGTCCTCGGGCCAGATCTCGTCTCCCGCTTCGTCATTCAACGCCACCGAGCAGGACAACGGCAACCAGGATGCAGAAAAAGCGATCACCTACCCTTTGGCGTCCTCGATCGAATCGGATAACCTTAACATGTTCAGCGCTCTTGGTATCCATGGGCGAAGTACGCCTACGATCTACTTGCCTCGCAATTATCCAGAGCCGGCCAAGAGCCTTCATCCCGACGCACCATTCATTCAACATGTGCACTCGCCCAACACTCATGCCAAGAGTGTATTCTACCACCATTATTATGGTGGAATCTCGGCTGTCAGTCTCGAGTTTTGGAAAATGGTGACAGAGCGAACGTTTGCCAAGAGCGAGAAGGATGAACGCCTCCTGACAGAAGCCAGGATAGTAAGTTCTTACTTGAAGCACGGCAGGAGATCCTCAGCGCCGCTGCATGACAGTCATTAATGATTATTTCAATCGTATACGTTACATAGCTCTGGAGAAAACGCACGCCTGTTGTGCCTGAACATGTCTCGCCACACCTCGATCTGAAGGACTACCCCGTCTGGGACAATTTGGACCTAGGGTGCCTTCCTCCAGGGCGACTAACGCGTCTGTGGGTCGTACTTGCAGAGGATGCAATGAGCAGCCCTATTAAAGTGCCCATCTTGGTTGCCAAGGGTGTTCGTCCTGGACCTGTCGTGGGCTTGGTGAGCTTAATAATTTTGGTTTTTGCATCCACTTGATTTCGTTGCTGGCATGTCCACTGTCTGCTGACTTGAGTTGTTTTTTTCTATCGCAGACTGCAGCATTGCACGGAAACGAGTTGAACGGCATTCCTTTGACGCACCGGCTTGTGCTCCAGGAGATCCAGTGCCAAGCATTGCATGGAATCGTAGTTGCTGTCCCTGTCGCCAATGTACCTGGATATCTGGCAGGGCAGCGTGGATTCAGCGATGGCACAGACCTGAACCGCTTGATGCCAGGGTAAGGTGATCGCGGCAGATACAAAGTCGTCCCTATAATATTGACACGAGCTGTACCAATGTTTATGTTCCAGTCTAATGTAGAGCAACTTATTGGTCCGGGGTTTATAGCAAAAAGAATGGATCGACATCACAGGTATACGCATATAACTTAATGACTAGGATCATTCGCCACTTTACACACTTGATCGACCTTCATACGGCATCCAAGGGTCGCGTGAATTCGCTTTATGTCCGCGCCAACATGCAGAACACGATCACGCGCCACATGGCTCGACTTCAAAATCCGCAGATCATTGTCCACAACACCTCACCTGACGGGTCCCTGCGTGGAGCAGCGATGCAGGAGTACAATATCCCGGCTATCACAGTCGAGATTGGAGACCCATCTCGGTTCCAGAAGCGGTTTGTCAAGAGTGCTATTCTGGGAGTCACCAACATTTTGAGCCATCTCAAGATGATTGAGGACGAGCATGTGGTCCAGGACTATGAGCCTGTCGTGTGCGCTAAGAGTGTAAGCTGGCTGGCTGTCTTTTTTTTTTTTTTTTTTCATATCTTTGCTTATGCTGCTTGCTTCTCCATGATAGCAACCTTTCTGATTTGTACTTCAATTGACGACGCCCTTACTAGTACTGGATCTTCACCAGGGGTGGTGGAATTCTGAACGTGTTGCCGGATGTGAACACTTGGGTGCGCAAGGGCGAATTGATTGCAACGCTGCACAATATCTTTGGCGAGGAGGAGCACCGGTACTTTGCGCCCGAGGATGGCATTGTTGTGGGCAAGTCCGTGGACCCGGTCTGCCAGAGCGGTTGTCGCATCTTGCACCTCGGAGTTGTCAGCGATCGATTCCCGGAAGGCAGGATAGACGACGGACACCAGTAAAAAAAAATGCCGTCTACATTTACATGGTCCTTCATGGTCCGTACGCTCATGTGGAATAACACCTTGGGAAAGCACGAGGGGCTTCATCGCTATTCCATAAACGCGATTACAACTTTTTATTTTACAATCTATCCATTCATACATATCGGTTTATTATAACAACGTTCATTTTGAAATGTCCAATGAGCGGGCAGTTTCCCTTTGCCGTTTGTCCGACTTGGTCGTTTCCTTCAACTTGAACATCCCATTCACTGAATGGGCCTGAGATTGGCGAGGACAGGCGGACAAGCTTGCCAAGCATAACAAGACGAGAAATATTTAGAGACGACAGTGTAGCGTATGAAGATGTCTACAACGCCGACCACAAGATGATTGTCCAGGAAACACAAAAAAAGACAAGGACCCAACGTGTCAACGAGTCTCTGGATGAGTGAAGAAGCGTTGTCGTATCACTTATCGTACCGTCCTACTTCCTAGTCGCCACATTGCTTCTCGTCTTAGCATCCCTAATGCTGGCCATAGCATTCGGCATACCAGTAGGAGGCGCAGGGAGCAGGAGGATGTTGTAAGTAGGTGTGGTGTGGATTGGAGCCGCATTGAAAAAGTAGGGAGCCGCTGTGGTGTATGAGGGAGGTACTGGAGCTCCACTACTGTTACAATATAGCACACTTGCAGAGGTCAATGCAATAAATAATTCTGAGCACCGAAGGAGGGCGACGTTGCCTTCGATATCGGCTCTTCCTATCATACTATCATACTGAAGCTGAATTCAGTAAGCGTTGGATTGTTCACCCACGAATAGGGAACGTTAGGTTTACCCTACTGATGAAATGCTGTTGCAATAGTAACTGGACTTAGTATGAGAGGAGCCGTTTATTCGGATAACTGGTAATTGGGCCTGCCTGAGCAGGCAATGATCCAAAGCTATCATCCGTTGGATTATGGCTGAACGCCTCAAAGTCAGAATGATGCTGAGCGGCGAGAAAGGAACATTACTGTTAGAGATCGGTGGCAAATTGCACAATTCTCAGTGCTGTTGTTCTTCTTCTCTCCTTCTCTCCTTCGCATCCGAGAACCCATTACACGTTACACCAAGAATGCTGCAACGATGGATGTGTGTCTTTACGCTCTTTCCCACTCTTTTCGCACTTTCCCACTTTCCCACTTTCCCTTCTTCCCACATTCGCCCCCCTTCAATCCATCAGGAACTGTCTCTTATCTTTCTCATCTTTTCTCACCCCTCTGCCTGTCTCTAGCACATCTCTACTTTCTCGTTCTTCTGTCTGTCTCTCGTACGTTTCTGCCCGATCTCAATAAGCACAGCCCAGTGGCGACTCATTGGTAACAAAGACATAGTTTGTCTGTCAAAGTCCCATCCCTGAATGTGCCTGAACAACCACAGTCGAGTCAAGAGTGCTAATGCTAGAATGGCCGAGACCAGGAGAACAGCCATCCATGTGCAATGGATATTAATTCCTTTCTTTCATGCTGACAGGAATCTCTGCTAGGAGTGACGAGAGGAAGCGAATATCACTCCACTCGACCGCCTTATTCGTGTGCAGACCGTCTTAAACAAAGAATTGGAGTGGAGAGCATTGCACAGGGACGGACCATCTCCTCGGCTGGTGAAAGAACCCGAGAAACAGATTCCTGTTGAGGTGAGGCACTGTTTCTTGTCAGTCGATAGTAGCCTATAGGCGTGTTATAAGGTTATTAATCCTTCATGCTTCACAACGGGCAGTTGGTATCGCTGCTAGGAGGCACGAAGAGGACAAATCTTCAGGACTACCTCTGTATCCAATCAAAGGAAACAAGAATCGAATAGACACTTTCGAGGTGGGGCGCCATCACTTGGCCGAGCAGCCACATATGATCTAGTTCATGCAGCTGTTATGGATATTAATGTTTTTATTTACGACGATAGCTCATTTTGCTGCCACTACGTCTGTAGTATACCAGTCCACGGCGACTTATTGGTCCCCATTGTGTTACTGAAGTGTCTGTCAAGTATAAGTACGTATACTGGCATACTGGCTACTCGCACAGGTATATCAATCGACCACAAGGTCACTAATATCGCTGCCATCTCCTCTATCATAACAGGAGAAACTCCCTCAGAGAAGCAACATGTTTGACAGAACTTTTTCGTCACCGCGAAATGCTCTCTCGCCACAAATGGAACTGGAGCTCACCAACATTTACGTGGAGAATGCACGCAAAACCAAGGATCGAGAAATTGCTTTAGTGTTGTGCGACGATGCGGAGGCTGCGTTATCCCGGATGAAAAGAGCTGTGAAAAAGACTCTTACAAGTCCCCTGTCCGTCGGGGATCAAGCCCTGCGCGATGGATTCGCCGGCGCCTGTCTCAAGCACGCCAGCCTATTGGAGAGCTTAGGATATAGTGAAATGGCACAGGTCAGCTACAAGAGGGCAGAAAAGTGGGGGTAAGTGACAGCTACCTGTTCTGTACCTGTTCGCATTAACCGGCTATTTCGTACGACGCACCTAACGCATCTCTCACTTTGTTGACTGTCCTCTGACTTCAACAGCCATGTGCGTCCTACAAAAGATCCAGGTCGTGTAATTTCCTCTGCCACCGACAGCGCCTGCCGCGACATGGCACGGGTCTCCAAGGATATCTTTCCCGATGACATGCGTCAGCCCACCGTCAAGATCGCGTTGCCAGAGGTAAATGAGCGACTCAGCGATACTTTCCAGCTCGCCTACTGCCTTGGCCTTCTGCAAATGACGCCGTCGCCCGAAGAGGTCTTTGAACCAATCGCAAGAAATTGGATGAAATCCATAGAGAAGAATGCAGAGGAGAAGGAGAGACTCAGGACGCTGGCGACAGATGTGATCTGGGCATTCACTCGATATGAGCTCAAGGATGCCAAGGCCGTCGCAGAGGTCGTATGCCTGGGTCCGGTCCTCGAGAAGGATGATTTTCAACATTTGCTCATGCTCTTTGTCAATGGCATCGAACAATCCAGCCTGCTTGATGTCCATTCTCTCAAGGGGCTGGCGCGACTGATGCAAGGCGCTTCTCCGGGTTACCTCGGCGCTGACGACCTAGCTATGATCTTACGTATCCTCAACACCCGCCTACAAGACACTCACACTCAGTCTCCGGCACACATCTACCATTTGACACTTGCGGTGTCCAATGTCCTGGATGCCATGGCCGATACCGAGGTCTCAGACTTAAAGCGTGTGGAGCTGCACGAGCCACTCTCTGCCTATTTAAATAGGCTGCAAGGCAGTAGCGACCCTTATTTGGTGTACCAGGCTGCCTATGCCTTCCAAGCGCTGCAGTGCGTCCCAGACAATGAATCACCCTGGCAATCAACGATGCGGCGCACTGGAATTGTTTTGAAGGGTGTCCCGGGGCTAGTTAGCGCCGTAAAAGGTCTGGACGTCAACGGCTTCATCACAGGACTAGAGCATCTTCAGGAGGGACTAGGAGAGGTGATCCAGGTAGCGAAGATCGGTTACGAAGGTGTGAGCACACTGGCCGAGAGCGGACAAGGACTGTTGGAATCTCTCAAGGTCGGTCTCAGCTACAGCAAGAAACGTGCTTGGTATACAGCACTGCGCGGGACAGATACGCTGCTTCGGGATGGTCAACTCGCGAAATTCAAGACCCTGGTCTGTGAAGCGCCTTGCCGGCGTGACCTAGCCTTTCAACTAGGAGTATGCCAGCGGCTGGGGAACCTTGCCGCCCATCCACTGTGGGACATCGAGTCTCGCCAAGGCGCTGTTGCGTTCCTGGGTGAGATGTACCGAAATGATGCGGTGTGGGGCCAGCAAGTCCTCGTCAAGCAATGGATCCTTCACATCCTTATACAGTTGGCTTCGACATTTGGTTCAGCTATGCCAAGTATGTATGATGAGCGGATACGTGAGAGGCCCTTGCATTGTTATGAAGTATGGAGTTCATGGCCTAGCAGGTACTAATAGCTGTACTATATTCAATTGTCATCTATGCGATGCATGGTGTAGGTGTCGAATCTTTGTTGCAAGAGCTGGAATCGAATGGCGATGAGATGAAAAGGGCCTTTTATCAGGATTACCGAAAGGAAAATCGAAGCTTACATCCGCTACAGGTCGCCTTACCAACCGTTGCGTCTTCATCATTGCTTGACCTTGTCCAGAACAAGCCTGATGTTGAAGCCGATTTGAGGCGACTGAGAAAGCAACGATTGAAGGAACGAGGCGAAGTCGTGTACATCCCCCCTCAAGCCAAGGCCGATCTGCAAGCGTCCGATGACAAGCTGTTCGATCTAACGAAAGAAGTTGAAGGCTTCCTGAGCAGTGACCGTGAGGTGATGCTCCTGCTAGGCGATTCGGGTGGAGGCAAGTCGACCTTTAACCGGCAGCTCGAATGCGACTTGTGGGATGGCTATAAGAAAAAGGAAGGCAGGATTCCGCTCTTTATCAGCTTACCCGCAATCAACAAGCCAGAGGAGGATCTGATCGCCAAACATCTACGGAAGGCAGAGTTTACCGAGCCCCAGATCCGAGAGCTGAAAGACCACCGCAAATTCATCTTGATTTGTGATGAGTATGATGAGAGCCAGCAGACACACAACCTGTACACGAGCAACCGACTGAATCAGGTGGGAGGATGGAGCGCTCAGATGGTCATTAGCTGCCGCAGCGAGTACCTTGGCCTCAATTATCGGGACCGGTTCCAGCCAGCAGACCGCAATCACCAAGCAGAGTCAGCGTTTCAAGAGGCGGTCATTGCGCCATTCTCTATGGATCAAATTCAAGAATACATAAGGCAATATGTGCCCGTGGCAAGACCACCCTGGCAGGTGACGGATTACTTGAAGGCCCTGAATCGGATTCCCAGCCTGCAAGACCTGGCCAAGAACCCCTTTGCGTTGACCCTGTCCATGGAGGTATTGCCTCGCATGGTGAATCCAAGGCAAGATCTCTCGACCGTCCGGATAACTAGAGTTGCGTTGTATGACCAGTTTGTGGAGCAATGGTTGTAGCGAGGCAAGAGGCGGCTCGCTGAGAAGAAGGACTTTAGCTATCAAGAGAAGAAGGTGTTCGAGAGCTTGTCCGACGATGGTTTTGTGCAGAAAGGAGTGGCCTTTTTGAAAGCGTTAGCGGCAGCGATGTACGAAGAGCAAGCGGGCAATTCGGTGGTCGAGTACTCACCCTTTCGCGATCAAATTACATGGAAAAAATGGTTTTTTAGCCGGGAGGACGAGAAGCAGCAGCTCTTGCGTGAGGCGTGTCCTCTGATCCGCAGCGGCAACCAGTACCGGTTTATCCATAAATCACTGCTGGAATACTGCTTGGCCCGCGCGGTGTTTGAGCCGCGAGGTGGAGAGAGCGCGAGTCGCGCAGCCTTACCTCAAACCCTGCCGCGTCGAGGGAGTGTCGATTCCGTCATGAGCTTTGAAAAACAGTCTACTGTAGAGGAACCCGTGGAAGCCATTGAACAGGCCGTTCTCGATTCGCCCTTGGCACGGGGAAGCTTTGTGGGCGAGCCGTCGATTCTGCAATTTTTAGCAGAGCGTGTCCAACAGGAACCTCTCTTCAAGCAGCAGCTGCTCGCCACGATCGAATGCTCCAAAATCGACAAAGAGGCACGCAAGGCGGCAGCCAATGCGATCACGATATTGGTCAGAGCCGGGACCCTGTTTAACGGGGCAGATCTGGAAGGCATCCAGATTCCAGGAGCGGACCTGAGTGGCGGCCTATTCGATTCTGCTCAGCTGCAAGGGGCGGATTTGAGAAAAGTTAACCTTCGCAATATTTGGCTGCGTCAGGCCAATTTGAGCAACGCACAGATGGCGGGTGTACAGTTTGGCGAATGGCCTTATCTCTTAGAAGAAAGCGAGGTGAGATCCTGCGCGTATTCGCCAGATGGGAAGTTCTGCGCAGTAGGTCTCGAGGACGGCACGGTCAGCGTGTATGACACCTCGACTTGGGCAAAAGATCACACCTTGCGTGGCCATACCAACTATGTTATGAGTGTGATGTATTCGCCCAGCGGCCAGCAGATCGCCTCGGGCAGTTGCGACAAGACGGTGCGACTGTGGGATGCGCAAACTGGTGCATCAGGCCCCATCTTAAGTGGCCATACCTCCTTTGTTACAAGCGTGGTGTATTCGCCCAGCGGCCATCAGATCGCCTCAGGAAGTCAGGACGACACGGTGCGGCTGTGGGATGCGCAAACCGGTGCACCCGGTCCCATCCTAAGAGGCCATACCGACTCAATTGAGAGCGTGGCGTATTCGCCTAGCGGCCAGCAGATCGCCTCGGGAAGTCGGGACAAGACAGTGCGACTGTGGGATGCGCAAACCGGTGCGCCCGGTCCCATCTTAAGCGGCCATGCCGAACTTGTTTTGAAGGTGGCGTATTCGCCCAGCGGCCAGCAGATCGCCACGGGCAGTGGCGACAAGACGGTAAGGCTGTGGGATGCGCAAACCGGTGCACTCGGCCCCATCTTACGCGACCATAATTCCGACGTTACGAGCGTGGTGTATTCTCCCAGTGGCCAGCAGATCGCCTCGGGCAGTTGCGACACGGTGCGACTGTGGGATGCGCAAACCGGTGCACCCGGTCTCATCTTAAGGGGCCATACTTACCTAATTACGGACGTGGTGTACTCGCCCAGCGGCCAGCAGATCGCCTCGGGCAGTTGCGACAAGACGGTGCGACTGTGGGATGCGCAAACCGGTGCACCCGATCTCATCTTAATCGGTCATACCAACCCTGTTACGAGCGTGGTGTATTCACCCAGTGGTCAGCAGATCGCCTCGGGGAGTTACGACAACACGGTGCGGCTGTGGGATGTGAATTCGGGTCAATGTTTGGCAGTTGTTGGAGGTTTCCATGGACCAATCACAAGCATCACCTGGAGCGCTACTTCAAACGGCACCTATTTCGCAACCGGCTGTGGAGATGAGTCTGTTCGCATGTGGCAGGTCATAGAAGAGGAGGATCGCTATCAGGTGCGCCTGCATTGGAGTTCAAAGCATGGCAGACTTATCATGTCAAATACCTCTATCCACAACGTACAAGGCTTAAGCAGGATAAATATGCGGCTATTGGAGCAATGCGGTGCTGCCGCTACGACCGATTCTCCCGCTGTATAGTCAAGGAAGCCGGTCGACTCGGCGAATGTCTTTTCGCCTGTTTGAAAGGTGGAGGTAATACAAATAGGAGATCAGCAATGGTGCCTTGTCTTTTACTTATTGCCAACCTTTTCGAGCATGTATTGCGCTTTCTGAAGACAACCTACAGAGCAGTCTTTGTCCATGACAAGTCCACAAATTAAAAGTGGTGGTCAAGAGCACAAACTAAAGCACTCAATGGGTTCGAAAAATTAAAGAGCGGAAGCGATGAACAATGAAGAGTTCAAGCTATGGTTACAGAGTATTGTGGGCCCGTAAGTGTTGACCATGGCAGCCCGCTGTCTTTAGTAATACGCGCAAGAGAAACATAACTCTACCGATCCTAAACAATCCCCTCGCGGAGAGTATCGTCCCAATTTCCTTCACCGACCCTGGCCAATATCACCAGCACCACCTCTGCGACCAACACCAGATCTACTGCCAACAACGCACTCGCCATACTGAAGCAGAGTTCAGTAAGCGTTGGATTGTTCACTCATTAATAGGGAACGTGAGCTGGATTTAGACCGTGGTGAGACAGGTTAGGTTTATCCTACTGATGAAATATTGTTGCAATAGTAATTGAACTTAGTACGAGAGGGGCTGTTCATTCGGATAACTAGTATTTGGATCTGCCTGAGCAGGCAATGGTCCGAGGTTACTACCGCCTTTATCGATTTTTAGTTGGATACGAATAGACCCTCGGGTCCTGAATCATACTATGTGGGGTCGTCTTGTGGAGCGGAAAGGCTTCATGAGGCGCCTGCTAATGTTAATTTCAAATATTGGAAGAGATAAATCCATTGCAGACGACTTTTGTTGAACAGGGTATTGTAAACAATAGAGCAACCTTGCTGCGACGATCTGCTGAGATTAAGCTCATTGTTTTTTTAGGTTTGTTCGAAAGAACAACCTGCGACGCACAGCAGGTCAATGTGGTTTGGGATCAACGCGGTTTAATTTTAATTTTTTATCTTACTCCGGTTTCCATGGTTCAGGGTAATCCAAGCAGTCAAGATAAGGATTACCAGGACCAAGGAAGGAGAGGATTAGGGAGGAGAGGAGGGGAGAGAAGGGGAGAGGGTAGCCACAGAGTATCTTTGTAGATACAACAGTCAATCAATAAATGCAAAGGCACCGGGAAAAGACCGGCGATAGGTCTTCGCGTTAGTCAGGCACTAGCGTAACGACCATGTTTAAGCAACGAGAAGAATGCCGCCACTTCCAGTCCTGTGCAAGACCTATGCAACAAATCCTGTGCAAGGGCCGTGTAAACAATCCTGCACCCGAGCCGGCAGAGAAGAGAACAAGAACGATGTGTTCGAGAGGGAGACGGTTTTATTCTTTGGCATATAATTGCTGCACTGTACACTACAATTATTCTTATTCATCACACCTTGGTAGCCCCATGACCGCTTCAAACAACTTGCTTCGCTTCCCAGATACTGTCGCGTGTCCTCCTAATACAAAATGTATGCCTAAGCCAGTCAGTAAGCGGGATTGAATACGAATACATGCAGATACAACCAAAATGCCTTGGCGATAAGTAGCGTTGGCAATGTGGTCAAGAACATCGGAATCATGGCAATCGTAGTGGGAATGGTGAACGAGCCAACCTCCTCAAGTAAAAAACACGCCCCGAGTTTTGACTTTCAAATGAAGTAGCGTTCTAGAGGAGAAGATGATCTACAGAAGAGATGCCGTTTGACGGTTCTTATCCAGATCAAGAAATGACTTTCCAGATCGCATAAGGCGAAACAAATCCCGGTTATCCTTCCCAGTGTTGCCCACCTGCGAAAGGCCAGTCACCTCTCCAAAGAACACCTCCCGCCTGCTTGATCTCAAGCTGCTTCTGGAGCCTGGACGATGTATTGGGACTGTATTATCAAAAAATGAGAACAAGACAGTGGTTAGAGCATTGCCAATAAGTTCCAGTCTGCTAAATCTGCACTTTTATAACAGCCTACAGGTCCACCGACACGCGATCATTGTCAAGTCTCATCCCCTGTGGAATAGGGGCCACATAATTTGTCACAAACGTCCCTTCCAAGACGGACTTGTCTGGCTTCAGTGGTATCAGATCGAGTCCAAAGTGTGAATGAATGGGAATATTCATCATGCTCGTTGGCCTCCATGAATCAATTTTAAGATAGCGCAATTCTAAGTTGTTGAACATTGTCCTTTCCTTCCATGCTAAGTCATTCAGTGCCTTGCTGGCTTCCATCTTTCTCGCTACTTAAGCGTAGTTCTAGAATCAGGGAAAGAAGTCAGACAGCACGAAAACATGCACTGTATCAATCTTTGCCTATAGATTCACATACTCTGACTGCCTTCAGTACTGCCGCTTCGTCCATATCATGAACTGAGAGGGTTACGCGTTCCAAAAGTGTTTCAAGTAGGTCCCGTCCAAACACCTTGGTCATTGCGGGTGTTGGCAGAAATGGTGCGAACACACCGACAGTTGCCCTACCATGCAGCAAAAGAGAAAGAGGAATCAATTGAGTTCCGGAACACCAAATACAAAATATGTGATTTTAGATTTCGACGTTTGTACATGCATAGCATCTACAATAGTTGTTTTTTGAGGCGCGCCCTTGGACATTACAGTGATGCATAGTTACTGGCACGAAGTAAAGAGGCAGGCCATGCATTTGCCGTTGACGATCCACTATAAAAAAAAAAAAGATATGCATTAGGCAGTGGCAGGTGCAGCGCTGCCTGATACATTGTCAGGTAATTCTAAAGCAAAAAAAGGGAGGCCGCCGTCGTCGGATGGGCAGAGGTGTTTGAGAAACGCGTTGAAGATATCGTGAAGCCAAATGTTGCAATGGTGATAAAGGCGTAGAACTTACCGTCCCATTTATATGCAACAAAAAAAAATATATGGCTGGGAGTCACGGTGGCATTTGATATGGTTGAAATCATTCCGAGTGGAGGGCGTGTTTAAAGGACGGACGGGGATTGCGAAGAAGGCGGGGGGCACAGGAGGGTGCGAGACGTGCAGGACTCCCATACTTTTATTTTGATATCTGCAGTCCACTATAGATCTTACTGTTCCACCCAGCTTTGGATATACCGAACCAGGATACAGAGGCAATTGGGTTTTAGCAGGGCCGGCGGTGATCTGAAGGCCAAGGGCTTCTCTGATGGAAATGTATAAAGGGTCGTCTTGGTGGAGGTGGCTTTCTCGGGCGATGTGGAGCTCCGGCACAAACTGGAACTTGTCACGCAAACCTCCTTCCGTCCAGGTGCTGATAACTAGCTGGAGCTTTGTATCCCTGGGTTGATATATTCGAGGAGATTAATGTGTTCGCCTCAAGGGATGTGGTCCTCAGCAGGTATTGGGCGAGGTTAAAAAAAGTTGCCAGGGGGGCTGTAGATGTCCTCATCATCGACCGGCGGGTGACCGGGTAAGTCGCGTTGCTGTGGTGGTGGTGGTGGTGGTGGTGGTGGTGGTGGTGGTAAAGGGGCAGGAGGGCACTCATGAATCTGGCGGGCGCATCGTCGTGATATGCGTGGAAGTGGTTGTTGTCCTGTTCCGAAAGCTTTCTGGAAGGGTTCCACTAGTGCGCAGGGAATAAAAACGAGTTGCTGCTGGTGAAAAAGTAATATGGTCTAAAAGTACTCTTTTGATTATGATCATAGTACAGAGAACCAAGCGACGCGTCTGTACCCTATCTTGTCCAGTACATCGATACATGCTTGTGAAGGGAGGGTGGGGATATTTTGTTACATGTATCAATAGATCCGGAGAAATTGCCTCCACCAACTCCCAGGGCACTGCACTTGAGACGAATTGCCGGAAATAGGTGTATATCTTTCAAGTTCCCACTGGTAGGGGCGACCTTAACTTAGAGCGACAACGAGCAATCATGAATGTAGCTAGGACACTTTGCTGAAGGGCATCCAGCCCATGAATGGAGCACAGAGGAAACAAAGCAAGGGGGATTGTATGCAGACAAGAGAGTCTTACACTAAAACTTTTTGTCAATATCAAAATCAGCATCGCGATCAACCTCAACAGAGCATGATAGATTCGCAAGGCCAATCGACTCGAGAGACAAAATGTTATAAATATAAAAATAAATAAAAATAAAACCCTCAACAGAGCAGCACGCGTCAGTGAAAACGAGGTCCGTTGATATGAAAACGTAGCTTGGCCTCTTACCATTCCATGCGATTTAAACCAAGTACCATAAGGATCATCCGCGGCTTCATTTGCATTACACTATGATCGATGTCACAGGCTGTGGTCAAAGATTAAACCAAAATGAAGTTGAATGCATGATAGTTGCGTCAATTAGCACGATTATTGCTATTTCGCCGTGAGACTCAGCCCTACAGCCATATGTTATACGCCCAAAGACCGAGGCTACAGCCGCAATCGGTTCATTTGACGCCAGCTGATAAGAAGCAGGCATGGTGCGACAGTAGTCTTATCTCAGCAACGGCACATCTTTGACGATGGTTTATGTGTGACACGATCGGAGCAGCAGGCAGCCTATGGATCGAGGAGATCACTCTAGGAGTAAGGACGGCTGTGCTCCCGCAATGCTGGGGAATGGGACGTCCAGTCTGGGGCGTGTGTGGAGATGAAGGAAGGATGTACACGCTGTGCAGATGGAGGCAGGGTGATCGCTCTCGATCATATTTTTATCTCCTGCGCTGTAGCCCCTTTGTTTGTGCGACCGTGGGCAGACACACTCGCGTGCCCCCTTTCCAGAAATGGAACCCCCCCACTTCCTGCTATTCCTTGCGATCCAGGGCATCTCGATCACCCCCTTGTCCATTGTCACGAATGAGTGTTCTGAAAGACATAGGGAGGGGTCCCATAGATTGGTGGAGCGAGAGGGAGCCAATGGATCTCGAACATACCGTGGGAGGGGGCGCCTCCGTCCCAATGAGTTACCGGTACTTTCCATTCGCTGTTGGCACACTCAAAAGAGTGTCCGTGGACATGATTTGATTCGCAGACAAAGATAGTTTAATTTTGGTTTATCTCATGCCGAGGTGGGGTTGTTTATATCTGGACTGGATTGCTCACTCTCCTTGGTCTCTGGCTCCTTCATCCAGTGGAGGAAAGCAATGGGATATAAATGCAAATGCATGGACGGGGTGCGATGGTCCCAACACACACGGATTATGTATACTCCTCCAGCATCTATTTTTTTTTATTTCCCGCTCGCTGTGCTCTCTCCCTCCCTCTCGCTCTCCTCCTCTATCTCTCTCGCGAGATTGCCCTTGGGTTGCAGAACCATAGCGTCCTGAGACCTGTAGCATCATACAAGATGGGGTACATAGGTGGAGAGATAGGGCAGGGCTGCATGGGTACCCTCATCTATTTTTGCATTGTCAGTTAGTGTTATGACAGATTGAGGACCATGGCCACGTACATCCGCTTTCATTCAAGCAACAAAGGGAATTCGTTATTCGTGATCGCGATCTATCTTGAATGCGACGGTCATAGTGCACCATGTCCTGCGCTGTCATGCTGTCATATTGTCATAGTGCTATATTCTCTCTCTCTCTGCAAAAATTTATTCCTCACTTGGTTCCTGAACCACAACCCACAGGCTGATGCTTGATATGATATCAGATCAAATCGCGATCCTTTTTACTGCTGCACAGTGCATTACTTCTTTGCTTCCCCATCATCGTTGCACTGCATGTTATTTTAATCTCGTTACGCCAATGGAGGGAGATAAAGAATGAAGGACAGGATACGGAAACGGACGAAGGAGCCGTGGAGAGTGAACCAATGGGGAGTGAAATGGACTAGATGCACTGACTGCCTGACCATTAACCACTGACCATTGAGATGCACATCGGCATCAGCGACAATAGCTCCCAGGATCAGTGTATTCCACAATGGACACAACAAGTAGACAGAATAGGCCATTGAAACAGAAGGAACGAAAATGCAAGTTCGTTTTCGTTCTATAAATAAAACTTTATCATCAAATCGGTCTTGCTGAATATGTCTCTACTATCACAGGGGAGTGAGGAGAGGGGGGGGGGATCAAGATGATCTCCTGGTGCGCCATTGGACCCACAGCCAGCCTCATTCAGCATTGCCTTCTTGACTGGCTGAAGGAATGAGAGTTCGTAAGCAGCTCCAGAAAGCACAACCATCAATGGCATTGTTGCATATGCTGTACGTGTTTTTTTATGTGCGGGAGGGTTGACTTTGAGGCTGCAGTGTTATGAATCTCTCTTGGAGCATGAACCGCCTCTTGCTCCAAGGTCAAAGTTAAAAATATACGCCGATAACCAAAGAGGAGTGAGCTCAGTCCAGTACTTTTTTAATATAAAAGATCCCAGCTAGCAGCCTGTCTTCTCATCTCTTCTTCTTCTTCTTCTCCTCATCTCCTTCTTCTCTCATCACCCGAACTCCCTCCTCATCACCACACGGACCTACCCTTATACATATACCCCAACTCCACACCAGACCCATTTCTGCGATTCGATTGCATTTTAGCACACCGCACAGTCCCCTCAGGCACACTCACACATCACACACCACACAATATGATCGCCGCTACCTCTCTCTCCATCCAGACGCCCAAGCACCAGGAGGCCGGCGTCTCCTCAGACATCCGCCAGCTCAAGGAACGCTACCAGGCTGCAGGCCAGGGCCACCTCCTCACATTCTACGATCAGCTGTCTGCAGAGGAGCAGCAGCGCCTCGTCGATCAGCTCGAGGCATTGAACGTCGAGCGCGTCAACAGGATCCATCAAAAGGCGACGACTTGCCCTTCGCCCATGCTCAACAACCAGGCCGCGCTCCTGGCCCCCTTGCCTGAGGAATGCTTTGATTCGATTCTGGAGACATCGAAGGATAAGGCCCAAGAGTGGCAGACCATCGGACTGAACCAGATCAGCCAGAACAAGGTTGCCGTCATTCTCTTGGCCGGTGGTCAGGGTACCCGTCTGGGATCGTCTGCCCCCAAGGGATGCTACGACATCAGGCTGCCCTCCCACAAGTCGCTTTTCCAGATTCAGGCCGAGCGCATTCTCAAGCTCCAGCAGCTTGCTCAGCAGCAGCCCGGCGCTGCTGCGAACGTGACCATCCCTTGGTACGTTATGACCTCGGGTCCCACCCGCCCTGCCACAGAGGCCTTTTTCCAGGAGAACAACTTCTTTGGGCTCTCGAGTGACAACATTGTCTTTTTTGAGCAGGGTAAGTTTAGCATTCGCAAAGCATCACGACCTGGGTACGCGGGAAATGAAAACACCCAAGACAAAGGCTCTCCTTCGTTTGGTCTACTTTGGTGTTAAATATATATTCAAAACTGACCAGCGATCTATGGACGAGCTGAAGGAAAAAAAAAAAAAAAAGAAAAAAGGAAGGGGTTTGGCCAAAGGCCGACTGATACGCCAGGGCGAAGCGGATTATGCATGCAAATGCCTACGGATACCCCCTCCAGACCTTTGACCCATCGATTCCTAACACGTATCTTCAACATCCAATCGACGATTCGATTCATTAGGAACCCTCCCCTGCTTGACCTTTGACGGAAAGATCATGATGGAGTCCAAGTCTCAAATCGCTGTTGCTCCCGATGGCAACGGAGGTGTCTATGCTGCGCTTCGCGGCACAGGTGTCTTGGCCAACATGGCGGAGCGCAAGATCGAGTACCTTCACGCCTATTGCGTCGACAACTGCCTGGTTCGTGTCGCCGATCCCCTCTTTATCGGATACTGTGTCCAGAAGAACGCTGACTGCGGTGCCAAGGTTGTCCGCAAGAACGCCCCCGATGAGCCCGTGGGCGTTGTCTGCCTCCGTAACTCCGCCTTCAACGTGGTCGAGTACTCTGAGATCGACGAGGAGGTCGCCCATGCGATCAACCCCAAGAACGGTCAGCTCTCCTTTGGTGCCGGAAACATTGTCAACCACTTTTATACCATTGACTTTTTGAACAAGGTCGAGTCCTTTGAGGGTGATCTCGAGTACCACATTGCCCGCAAGAAGATCAAGACCTTGGACATGCACACCGGAGAGATCATTGCACCCAAGCAGGTCAACGGAATGAAGCTCGAGATGTTCGTCTTTGATGTCTTCCCCTTCACCGAGAGGATGGCAGTCTTTGAGGTTGACCGTCGCGAGGAGTTCTCGCCTTTGAAGAACGCGCCGGGCACTGGACAGGATTGCCCCGAGACCTCGCGTCGCGATATCTTGCAGCAGCACATCCGCTTCATTGAGGCTGCAGGCGGCAAGGTCATTGTGGGCGAGGACGATGAGCAGATCGAGGGTTCTCCCACACTGGAGTTGTCGCCCTTGGTCACGTACTCTGGAGAGGGTCTGGCCGAGATTGTCGCCGGCAAGTCGATCAAGACTCCCCTGCAGGTCAACTCGTTGGAGGAGCTCAAGCGCGCAGTCTTTTAAGGACGTCCTCTCCTCGCTCGTTTCCGATTTGTTTCTTTTCTTTTGCTTTGTAGTTTTCGTTATTAATACTTTGTCTTTTCTTTCCGAGGAAAGCGAACATACACACATACACTCCTCCACTTTGTTCAATGCCAATTGTAGATAGAGCGCATCTCGAATCCCAACGAGTCTGCAGTTTCTTTTTTTTTTCTTTTTCTTTTTTCCTTGCCAGGTCTGTTCTGTTGCCCACCCCACCCCTCCGTCAGCTACTGCTTCATCCCAGTGACATATACCCCAGCGGGAGTTTACTACACCCCCCTCGAACTCCCCCTCCTGTTCTGCTTCTGTTCTCTTTCCTCCTCTTTTCTCTCCCACCCGTCGCTGTCGCTGTTGGCCTTCTCCCTGGTGTGGCAAGCTATATGCAAACATAACAACATCGTAGCAAGCAAAGCAATAAAAAAAAAAGGAAAATACATACACGTACATATCTGGTCTATGCTATCATCCACTTCGTGTGTGTGTGTGTGTGTGTATAGTTGTGTATATGCTGTAACCATATGGATAGGGGGGGTAGGTGTCGATAGGCGGATCGCTGCTGCAGCAACCTGGTTGGTTGGCTGCGATGCCTCCACACTCAACCTTAAAGACGATCTTTGCGCTTGACCGTCCCCCTCGCCCGTCCTTCCATCCACTTCCTTCTTTCCTCCTCCTCAGCGGATACCTCCTCTTCCTCTTCTTCCTCTTCCTCTTCCTCTTCCTCTTCCCCCTACTGCAGCAACTACAACTACAACTACTATCAGCCGCCTTATTCTCGGGCCTCGAAACAGACACACGAACAACAAACAGGCATGCTCGACCTCTTCACGATCGCCACCAAGGGCGGACTGGTGCTGTGGTCAAAGGCCTACGGCCCCACTCCGTCCGCGCCCATCAACACCCTCATCCAGGACGTCCTCATCGAGGAGCGCTCATCAACACAGATCTACTACAAGGACAACTATGCACTCAAGTGGACCTTTGTCAACGATCTCGACCTCGTCTTTGTGGTGCGTCATCCATCACTCAATCGCCGCGAAGGTTTTGCGGTCGTGGAAAAAAAGAAACAAAAAAAGGGACGACACACGAACTAAACCTGTTCGCCGTAATTATTTTTCTTTTTAAAAAAAAAAACTTAGGCCATGTACCCAAAGGCACTTGGATTGACATATATCGACACATTGTTGAAGGTAGCCAGCACACAGTTCAGTGATCTCTACGGCGAGAGGATATTGCGCAAACCCAGTGGGATCCCACAGCTCAAGGACTGGGACGTACGGTTTGAGGCCCTGCTGCAGACCGTTGAAGATCAGGATGTGTTGGTAAGGAAATGGATCGGGAAATCGACCATTGTTAACCTCATTACGAGGAAGCAAAGCGAAGCGAAAGGAATATACGGCTCCTCCCCTCTCCTAACAAACAGCGACATGGTTCTTCTCGGGAAAACATCATTTAGTCCAAGAAATCAAGACAGCCACGCAGATTTGAGGAAACCGTCGGATATGCAAACACGTTGGCATATTCCAAGGCAAAGCCAGGTAAGCACTAGACGTTTTTTCGGCTTTCGGCTTTCCTTTTCTTCTCTTCTATGTTCACATGTACTGTACACCTACAGAATCCGGTTGACACAGATATTATCTTTTTTTTTTTTTTTTTTTATCATGGTTTGCAGACGACACGAAGGAAAGTGCAAAATCGCCACTGTTGGACGAGGAAGAATTCCACAAGAACGTCGAGATGCTCAGGAGAAAGACAGCATCGCCTAGGATGGGTGGACGGAAAGGCAAGGGTGCCAAGTCACCGATCGCATCCCCCGTCATCGGATCAGATGGCGATCTTAAAAAGAAGAACCTCAAGGAGGGACGCAAATGGGACGGCAAGATCTCTGCCAAGGACGCCAAAAGTCTGGATTACAGCAATTCGGATGTAGCAGACGTTGTCAATGCGGATCACTTGGTAAGTAAGGTGTGGGGTGTGAGCGAAGGTATAAAAACTGATTTTTTTTATGGCATCAATTGGTTTACAAGGATTTGCATTTACAATAACCAATTTTTATCCTCGTTTGGCGTTGCCGGATTTTCGTTAGGTGGATCAAAGGGGAATGGGACAACATGGCAAGGATGGCACATACAATGTCGCAGACCTGGAAGCGAGCGATGAGGACAGCTACAGCTCGAACGAATCAGACGAGGAGTATACCAAGATTTCAGCACGATCTCTCCAGGCCAAAAAGCCCACTGCAGCCTCAACGGGTCTCATGTCGTTCTTCAAGAACATGACTGGTCAGAAGGAGATGACTGCAGAGAGTCTGGGGCCCATCATGAACAAGATGAAGGAGCATTTGATCAACAAGAACGTCGCCGCAGATATCGCCCAGCATCTTTGCGATTCTGTTGCCAAGGGATTGATCGGTCAGACATTGGGCAGCTTCAAGAGTAAGAAAAGGCGTGGCGCGACTTTTTTATCCTTGCCTTCAGCTAACTGAGCATCCCATTGGAGATCCCTATTAACCATCTCTCATCGTCGCCTGTATCAAACTAGATGTACAAACGCACGTGAAACAGAATATGGAATTGGCACTGAAGCGCATCCTGACACCAAAGACTTCTGTTGACTTGCTGCGCGACATTGCTCAGGCACAGTCCGAGAAGCGACCGTATACGATTGTGTTCATCGGCGTCAACGGCGTTGGCAAATCAACCAACCTGTCCAAGACCGCATTCTGGCTCCTGCAGAACAACCTAAAGGTTCTAATTGCAGCCTGCGATACCTTCCGATCTGGAGCAGTGGAGCAGCTTCGAGTCCATGTCCGCAACCTGAAGGCACTGGAACAGAACGCTGTTGTGGATCTGTACGAGAAGGGCTATGGCAAGGACTCTGCAGCAATCGCAAAGGAGGCGATTTCTTCCGCAAAACTGACAGGGCATGATGTGGTCTTGATTGATACTGCAGGACGGATGCAGGACAACGATCCATTGATGCGTGCACTTGCCAAGGTATTTGCTTTTTGTCGATCGCGTGTGATCTTTTAGATGTGCATGCCCATCTCTCTTTTGCATGCTTGGATGTCAGTTACTAACAAGTCCACATGGATCCATACCCACCCCTTTTAGCTGGTGACAGTGAATAACCCAGACAAGATCATTTTCGTGGGCGAGGCATTGGTTGGCAACGAGGCGGTGGATCAGTTGACAAAGTTCAATGCGGCATTAAAGGACTTTTCAGGATTGGCGAACCCTCGCCATATTGACGGGATGATCCTGACCAAGTTCGATACGATCGACGACAAGGTCGGAGCAGCGCTGTCGATGACCTACACGACAGGACAGCCGATTTTGTTTGTGGGCACGGGCCAAACGTACACGGACCTGAAGAACATGAAGGTCAGCCATGTTGTCGGATCGCTGCTGAGGGAGTAGGAGGGGACGGACGGGAGGAAAGCAGGCCTTGATGCAGGGAGAGGGATGCCCTGGATATCTGGGAGACAGTAGCGTCAAAAGGCAAGGATGAAGATTATTTTATCTTTTATATTTATAATATGTGTTTGATGTAATAAAAAGGAGACGAAGTACGAGAAATGGTTGAAAGTGATACTTTCGTCTTTGCTCATCCTCATGCGAATTGCCTGTCTACCTTATCAACCTTAACCAGCGATGACTCAAACCAAACGCCAATTTGAACGTAAAAACGACCTGGGGCCGCCGTTGTTATCCTCCATCCTTCTTCTCCTCCTTCTCTTTCTTTGTCTCCCCATACCTGCTGAACCATTGCAGCCGCTGCCATCGACCCGTGTCCGCCTCACCTGCCCTCCCAAACAACCCTCCGCCAACAGTAACAATACCATCAGCATGAATCTGCTCAAGAAGGACGACGCCCTCAGTCTCGCCACGGTACGATGTCCGGAGAGCAATTGGAGCGATAAAAAAAAAAAAATGAAAAAATGAAAAGACACTGTGCACTGACTTGTGTCCTTCGTTCTTGTGAACAGCTTCGTGATGTCCTGATTCGCCTCGAAGACACCATCATCTTTGGTAAGTGTGGCATGTCTCATTGCATTCCTTCCGGTGCATTCTGCCCCTTGCATTTCAATTTTATTTTTCTCTTCATGTGTAACCTGTCTATATGTATCCTGTTGAAAAACTAACCGCGATCCGATGTCGTCTTTTTATTCTTTTTTTTTTTTTTTTTTTTTTTTTAGCCCTGATTGAACGCGCTCAGTTTGCGCGGAACGAATGTACCTACAAGCCTGGAATGTACGAATACGATGATGGATACAAGGGGTCGTTCCTTGGTTATTTCTTGCATGAGATGGAGAAGGTTCACGGTACGTGGGTCCAAGATGTTAACATTTCACATGTGGAGAAAAAAAAGCGAAAAAAAAATAATCCAGGTACAGGGAACGAGCTGTACTCATCCCGCTTCCCCCTTCTTGATTGTTTTTTTTTTTTTCTAAACAGCTCGGGTCCGTCGATACACATCTCCGGACGAATACCCGTTCACTGCTCCATTGCCAGAGCCGATCCTGCCGACACTGGAATTCCCAAAGATTTTGCACCGGAACAACATCAATGTGAACAGTGATATCATGGACCGATACCTCCAGGATATCGTCCCCAAGATCTGTGCGGAGGGCGATGATCTGAACTATGGTTCCTCGGCGACGCGGGATGTCGAGTGTTTGCAGGCACTGAGCAAGCGTATTCACTATGGTAACAAAAAAGAGAGAAAGGAAGAAACAAGGGTATCCAAAGTGCCTTTAGTGAATTTTTAATCCGATAATTGACTTTTTTTTTTTTTTTTTTTTTTTTTTTTTTTTTTTTGGTACGGCGCGGTTGTGTTGTAGGCAAGTTCATTGCAGAGGCAAAGTTCATGGATCCAAAGGAGCAGAGTACGTACATCCGACTGATCAAGGCCAAGGATCGGGAGGGGATCATGGAGCTGCTCACGAACAGGACTGTGGAGGCTGCGCTGTTGAGGAGATTAAGGCGCAAGGCCATGATCTACGGACATGATATCACGGAGAGCGGCGAGATCGTGCTGGAGGACAGTGGGCGCGAGGACCAGAAGCTACAGCAGAACCAGAAGATTCGGGCGGATGTGGTCGTGGATCTGTATGAGCGCTTCGTGATCCCGTTGACGAAGGAGGTCGAGATCGAGTACCTGTTGCACCGGTTGGATGGGTGGCAAGCCCCCGAGGGCACGAATGGAGCGTAGTAGGATGGCTGGCGTGCTCACGTCCATGTCGGCTAGGATCTTTTTTCCGTCGTGGTTGTCCTTTCAGAGTAGAGAGAGAGTGAGAAGGAGGTGTGCTTCAGTAAAGAGAGGCCGTCCTCAAAAAGTGCTGAGTCTCGCTGTGCAGTGGTGCCTGACAAATCGAAATTTGGTGGCGATGTGTGTGACCGCAGAATGATCTTTGCGCTTCTTTTTCCCAGCACTTGCGTAACATCGCATGCACGCACTTCGCTCCATTAAAAAGACAGAATGAACACCCCACAGCTCCTTCAGCTCTTCTTAATCTCCCCTCTTGACATCACCATACAATTACATTCCTACGAACACTACCCCACCTAATGTCATTCATCTGGTCGTCCACATTCACCGTTGGCCCTCCCACAGCGACCTCAAAAGGCGACAAGATCATCCTCCCGCAGTCTGCGCTTGAATCCATCATAAAGGCCCACGCAGAGGCACCCCCACCCCCACTACCTCAATTTGATCCAACCTACGATCCAACCTCCTGGGAGAACCATCCGAGCCAAAACTACAACCCATATGAATCCCGGAAACCCCAGGAGTTGCCCTCGCCCCTTACCTTCCAGATCCGCAACCCTGCCAACCGGCTACTCACCCATGGTGGTGTCAAAGAGTTTTCGGCCGAGGATGGACAGGTCCGCCTACCAGATTGGATGATGAGCTCCTTGTTGCTCTCTCCAGGAGATCAGGTCATGGTCAAATACGCTGCGCTTCCTAAAGGAACCTGGGCAAAGTTCCGACCGCTCTCAGCCGACTACATGGAGATCCTGGACTTTCGGGCATTGCTGGAGGCCGTCCTAAGATCCAATTATACAACACTGACAAGAGGCGAGGTCCTGAAGGTCCATCAGGGCACGAAGGAGTTCGGGTTTGTGGTCGAGGAGCTCAAGCCGGAACCTGGGGAGGCCGTCTGCATTACGGATACGGATCTGGAAGTCGATATCGAGCCCTTGGATGCGGATATGCATGATGCCAGCACGACAGGAGGTCATGCCACATATTCTAATGGAGGATCAAAGGCCGGCAAAGGAATGGCGAATAAACAGACATTACGGATCGGAAGCGAGGCGCAAGGACAGGTAACTGTGGAGGATTACCAACGCTGGACCGTTGACGTTCCGAATCGAAAATCGGGTATCCGGATCACTGTTGAGGCACAAGAACCTGGGGATCTGGATGTGCTGGTGTCGACAAGGGCACCTGTGGGTCTGCAGGATCATATCTGGGCAGATTTCGGGACGTTGGGCGCACGAACTATTACGATCCCAGCGAGTGATCAGGATTATGCGACGCAACAGGATTCGCAAACGATTCACATTGGCGTATACGGTCGGGCGCCTTCGACTACCTCTGGATCATCGAGTTCGTCTGGAGAGGTCTTGTACAGCATTCTTGTACAGTACCATGATGAGGACACATCCTCGGGAATGGCCTCAGCATCGTCGGTGTCAGAAAGCGCAAGCGTAGGCGGAGAGGTACCAAACAAGGGCGCGGCAGGATACCAAGAGTGCTCGAACTGTGGATCATGGATTCCAGAACGGACCATGATGCTTCATAGCAACTTTTGTCTGCGCAATAACGTCAAATGTGACCGGTGTGGTGAGGTCATGAAGAAGGAAGAATTCCAGAATCATTTCCACTGCGATCATTGTAGCAAGGTAAAAAGGGCGTGAAACAATCATGTCACTCCACAAATGAGGCCTGTGGGTCATTGTCTGTGCTGGGGGGGAGGGGGGGTTTGCAATGCTATTTGAGAATGGCATACTCACATTTTGTGTACCTGCCTCCCTTGGGGTTCTTTCTTTTATCTTCAATAGCACGGACACATTTCTGAAAAAAAGAAACACATGGAGATCTATCACGGCTGGTACCAATGCAGCTGTGAGACATTTGAATCACCGTCCCTGCCGGAGCTGGCGCTTCACCGTCGGACAACATGTCCAGATCGCTTCATCATCTGCCGTTACTGCCACACGCTCGTCCAACAAGGTGGTCCTGCGCCCAATGCACGGGATCGGATGCACGGTTTGTCCTCACACGAGTCCTATTGCGGCGATCGAACGATCCAGTGTCAGAAGTGTTCCCAAATGGTCTCGCTCAAGGATGTCCGGGTCCATGCACAGAACCATGAGTACCAGCGGCAGAATCAGGCGACCCCACAACTTTGTTCGAACCAGAATTGCGTCCGGGTGCAATCGACTAATGCGCTAGGATTATGTCAGTTGTGTTTCGGACCCTTCTGGATCCCGACTGAGGACCCCAAGCACCAAAAGCTGGTGCAGCGATTGGCGAGGAAGTATCATTCGCAGCTGATGACGGGTTGTGGGAACAAGTGGTGTAGGAACCCGTACTGTGCCACATTCCGGGGGCAAGAGATGGATGCGACCACAGCGGCGACGGAGATGATGAAGATCTTGAAGGAGGCCAAGGTAGGATCGAGTGTGGGGAGCCACAGGACCTGGTTGTGTGTGGATGAGGGCACGACGAGGAAGAAGGTGATGGCAGAGTTGCTGAAGGAGGACGTGAAGGGCAAGTACTCGATTGAATGGTGCGTCAAGGCCCTGGAGGCCGAGAAGACGGATCTGGATGCTGCAGTGCAGTGGTTGAACCTGCATGCGCCTAGACTTGCACAGCAGCCGTGATAGTTCATTCTGCTATGATAGACTAATAAACAAAAAAAGATTAATGGCACACATCCAGCATGTGAGAGATTAAAGGAATGAGGGCGTAGACTATCATACCAGCGAGGCGGTGAAAGAAAGGGACGCAGTGAGGGACGTGCACGACTTCTCATCGAGACTGCATGCGCATTCCAGTGCTTGGTTGATGCTACACGGGAGGAAGTGGCCTTCACTAGGATCGTGCGTTTCTGACATGTTTGAACAAAGCATGGATGAAAGACTATGGGCAAATGCCCCTGCACTTGACCCGACAGTGCTTCCCCTCTTCAGCCATGAGTTTTCGCAACCCAAAATTTTGAAAAGTCTGCTTCTAAATCTCTCTTCTATCTGTCTGTCTGCGTCTCTGTTGGCTGCCACTTATTCTCCCTTCAACATATTATGAATGAGAATAGGCTGATAGCTTGCATGGACTCCACACATAAGACTGCTAAATCTTTGAGACCTATCGCGGACGCATCGCCTGGAAACTCTCCTGTACCACACGTTCGCATATCTGTTTATAATCCTTGTTGAAAGACCGTCAAGTCCATCGAGGAATCTTTATTGCATATATGATTATCAGCTCTGAATCAAGTTATGGTTATTCGTTGAATATACTTATTTATGAATAGTCTTTACGAGAAAATAATCAACTAATGCTTTTGCGCTGTGCAATAGATACCGCATTATCAAGTGGCTGGCTTGGCTCAAGTTTAGAATGCGGTTTAGAGATGGAGAAGTTCATGGTAGACTGTTCAGTGATCGAACCCCAAGCGCTGAGGGCTGTGTTTCCCATGTCGGCCAATGTATGTAACACGAAACCAAGATTTCATTTTTGTTGCGACACTGTCCACAGTCATGTGACGCTAGGCGGATCTAAAAATGAATCAGCCCACGGTGTTTCGCTACTTGCTCGTCCACCAGATCATCGCTATCTTGGTTCAACTCTCGCTTTATGCCCTTGAGACGGTCCAGTGCTTCCATATGATGTGCTGGGAAGAGGCTGTGTATGTTGTCCTTGTCAATTCTGAGTGTAACACACTCGAGGGTTTGCTCTCCTTGCGCTGCACGAAGTCGCTCGCTTTGTCTGTAGCTGTCAAATGAGTCCTGGAAGCTCGTCAGTTCAGCGGGATAAGTAATAACAACCCCAAGGAACCTCTTAGGAGTAAGGGTACAAAACGCCTGGAGATCATTTTCGAGATGACGTTGAACCGCATCGGAATCGACCGTTGTTTGCGCAGCCCTTGTTTGCGCTTTGTCCATGGAAATCCGCATCTTCAATTGAATAAACACGGGACAATAGCCACATCCATCGAAATGAAGCACAAACACGATTTCAGGTCCTGATATCTTCTCGACGGGATGGTAAAACGGCGGAACCCTCCTCCCGTCTTTGAGTGAACCATTTTGGATATGGGCCGCCAGAAACCCCTCTAGTGTCATGCTCCTATGGTCGACCCCAACGCGTTGGCGCGTCCATTCCAACAATCCTGGCTGTTTTCGTGAGAAATTCGTATTTCGAGGGGTCTGGGATCAGGGCTGTCTTGGACAAGTCCTTGTTGTTGAAAACGTGGACTAGGGTAGGAAGCACTGCCATCTCCCACATATGCCCATGGACGGAAGGGTAAGGTCCAGAATTCAGCAAGTTACAGAGAGCACTGTGGAAGTCCGGATCCGATTTGCGGAAGTAGTTCAAAGCCGCGCGCAGTGCAAACGGCTCATCTAAAATCGTCGTCGTATTTCGTCCAATATTCAGAATTCGCCCGACAGAAGCCTCAACCAGCGGCGCCTCCTTCTCGTTGATATATAATGCACGCCCATGCAAATAGTAATGCAACACGAAGAGCTAGAGGGTAGCTCTTATGCTCTGGTACTTTGTATATCGCGCCGGGAATGAGGCAACTCGAGCGATCATTCGCTCTATGTCGAAGACGATGTTTTCTTTGCCATAATATGGGGAATCTGTCGATGTCAACGTATCTTCGGTTTCTTTGATCGCCGATTTCCAACTGATTCCGCCGTCGTTAGACCTCAGTATGATCATACGCTCAATGGCAAAGACGATTGGCCGAAACCGTCCGCGAAAGCTGTCAAAGAGCTCTGGCGTTGATGTATCCGGCACACGTGCGTCGAAAATGGTCATGGCTTCCTGATTTGGCAGCGAGCGACGCACAAGGTCGCGATAGTTCCGCACTTGTTCGAGCGATTCCCAACCACCGAAATCGGTAAATGGTCCAAGCAGTTCTGTGCAGCCTTTGGCGACAGGAGCAGAGTCATCTAGCCGCTGTGGATCGAAAATACTGGGATCAGTCCCACAAGATATCACGCAAAATTCGTTCTCGTCGGCAGCGATCCGGCAAAACCTGTGGGTCAGGTGGGAGAGGACCGGTCGCTTATAGTCGTCGTGCGAGGCAGCAGTGTTTTTTTGATCAGATTCTGAGGTCCATTGTTGTGAGAGGAAGGTGCCAAATCCATCCTTGTCAAGATTTTGCGCTTCGTCAACCACAAGAAGGATCTTGTAGTTAAATTTCTGGAAGGGCGTATTTGAGGGGAGGCTCAGAAGGCGCTGGCGCAGATCGGAGAACCGTCCTGTAACCGTGGTGTTGATGAACTCGATATCGACGAAGTGAAGGTGGATCACACGTGCAATCGATTTGAATAGATTGGCAAACAGGTCCTTGATACCCATCGTGTGAAAACCGACTTGCAACAGCATCCAGCGCTTGCAAGTAAATGTGAGTCCTTCGCGTTTTGCGATGTTGAGACAGTGGTGCAAGATCATGACGCGAGCAAGAATAAGAGCCAGCGCCAAGATGTGTACGTGAGCGTTAGTCTCCGAGTTACAAGTTTTGTATCCCTCCCTTTCTTTAACCAATGTAAGAAGCAGAAGGAGATCTCTAGAACCCCAGTCCGTGCTGCTTCCGTTGAAATAGAAGCCCCACTGCTTGCAGAGCATCTCGATAGCCGTCCTCGTTTTTCCACATCCGGAAACACCAAAAAAGGCCATTAAAGGAAAAGATCGTCCATGAATCTTCTTAAGCGCCTTGTCGGCAGTGCTAGGAGGGTCCTGACTCTCGGACACTTCTGGCAAGTTAAGGAACAACAGACTCGGTCGGCCCTCGGACAAGCCTGAGCGGGGAATAAAAGAGGGCAGACCCCCAAGTGGTCCTCTGGTTGTTGGAATCACCCGATCGGCTTTCAGATATCGGACGAGGCTCGTGTAATTGACCGGGTCGGGTGCAAAGAAGTCGTCTTCAGTCTTTGCAACAAGCTCCTCCCATTTTTTGTCTGTTTGAATGGCAGCAAAAAAGTAAGCACATTTAGTGTTGTTCTACTGCAGTACTTGATAAATGTCGCCAGCTACGACACTTACAAGAAATTGGAGGACCAGGAGGTGAAGCGGCGCGAGCGAGGAATCTTGAGGGATGGGTGGAAACATGGATTGGAACAGTTAATGTAATAGTGCGGTAGAATGCAAGAAACAATGAAGTCAAATAAGCACAAGAAAAAGAAACAAGCTGTAGGGGACTAATTCAAGCACTAGCACGAATAGCACAAGTGAATGCTTACCAGACTGGGGATGTTGGACAATAGACAGTTTGCGAAGCTGGTGGATGTAGATGTAGAAGGTCGATGTAGAAGAAGATTCACATCTCTACAAACACATCTGACTGGATTTCGTCCTTGTAGAGAGATCCTACATTTATCCCATCAAAATGTAGAATTAGTCATCAGTGTAGAAATTGGTGGCAAAAGATTCTTTTAAAAGACTGTCATGAAAAGGAACTCGTTATACCTCCAACAATATCCACTATTACCACCGTCATCATGGATGCTACTTCTTCGGCTCCTGTCGCTACAAATACTCCCATCGTCAATATCACAGACACTGCCACACCACGGATCGCTCTCCAAAACACGCGAGTTAGGAAAGTGATGTGTCGTGGTCTTACTCCTAAACACAAAAATATCGAAGCGAACACTCTCACCGTCCTCCAGGCTATGCAGACAAACCCACCATTTTTCCCATATGGACAGAAGAGAGCTGCCTGGGAAGCATTCGCAAGCCTGGCTCGATCGAATCCAGACCTACTTCATGTTAATGGCACCCTTTGCGAAGGAAGATACAAGCAAGTCCGAGACGAGTACAAGGCTGCACAGGCTGCGGCTAGACGAGCTACTGGGACAGCAGAGCCAGCCCCTTCGGAGCAAGACATGATTCTGGAAAATCTCATCAGACTTGAAGAGGACGTTGAGAAGAGAGAGGAGGAGGAGAAACAACGACAGGCTGCTCAGACAGCGGATGAAAACCAGCTACAAGCAACTGCTCTGGACATACGAGATGCAGCAGTGCGTTTTGTTGCGCAAGATACAGACCCTGCTACAGAGAGTGTCCACACCAAGAACGTTATCGATGAACTGCCCACCCCCAAGCGTAGAAAAAGGAGATTTGATGGCGACAAAGCAGAGTTCGACAAAACTAATCAGCTTCTTCAGCAGGCCCTCTTGAAGTATCTAAACAAATGAAAGCATCGAATAGTTTATTGTTTTAAGCATGAAGGTACTCCTCGAGCGTTGGAGGCGTGACTCCAAATCGGCCAACTGATGAATTGATCTCTGTAATGCAAGAGTGGATGTTTGAAAAAAGAACGGAGGCTATATAGTGCAGGTGAACTTGGGATAAAAGAGAGCGCTGGGACTTTTTGTAATCTGAAAATGCAAAATACTGCAAGACATGGCCAAAGGTCCACTCAACTGAAACTCTGACCGCAGACATGCATTCATTGAATCGCTGTTGCTGTTGAGTGATGCCGAGGGTTGGATAAGGAACTTGCAAAACAGGGGAAATAGGATATCCAGGGTCACCATATAGGTACAACTGATTCCCGTTAGTGTCCTTGGCCCAACGATAAAGAGTTTGCTGCAATCCTGATGTTCTGTATATGGCTGTATCGTGATGTCGTCCCTGATATGGTCCTGAAAGATGAATGACAATACCATCCGGAGATGTGACCGCCTGGTATTTCATTGCATGCACACGGTGATGGCCGTTGTAATCTAATTCTTGTCCTTCAACCGGCCGCGCGATTGGTCTTACAGTCCCATCAATAAAACCCACAACACCAGGTAAAGGAGATCCTGCAGCATGAATCGCAGCTGAGAATTCTTCCAGCTTGGCAGGCGACAGTCTTACCTGGTCCCAGTGGAAAAGAACTCCAGCCCATCGATTGTAGATCCACCTAAGCACAGTGGTCGTGATCCGACTAAGCATGCCCACTGATCGTCCAAACAATTGTATCAGCTCGATAAAGCGACACGGGTAGGCAAGGCGACGAAGAACGAGACAGAGACCCTCAAGGGAAAGAATCCTGGATCCATTATCAAGAACAAGAACATCTGGCATCCGCAATGCAACTGCAATATCTCGAATCTCGTCAGCCCGGAAGCGAAATAATCCTCCGCACGTCGCGTCATCGTAGGCGTCGATGTTGAGCCTGGTAAAGGGTATATGAGGTTTCTCCTTGGCCTGTTTTCGAAGTATTCATACGCCATTCGTAGGAATTGATATCCTGCTAATATAATTGGAAAAATCGCATCTTCATCTTCATCTTCGTCGTTGATGTTATTGCGTGGATTGACTACTTCCGCGTCCTCCACCTCAAGGCCCTCCTCTTCAGTATCACTGTCGATATCCTCGTTTGTATCGTAGATAGTGTCGTCCTGGATATCGTTGTCGATACTATCGTCATCTCCCGAAGGTAGATTCTCTTCTTGGAGAAAGATGTCAAAGAGATTGTTGTCCATGGTTGAAGATGCAAATGGAATCTGGAAGCAAGAAAAAAGCCGTCATTTTCATATTCACGTCCAAAATCTCCTCGTACGTGGATCTTTCTACATTTTGTTCTTGTAAAAACCAAATAAGCGCTACAATCCACGAACCCTATTTCTATATTGAAATGTTCTTCGCAAACTGTCTATTCTACATTTGTGGCCGACCAGGAGGACCCGATCACATGAATAAGGTTCAGGAGTACCCAGGAACCAGACACATATCCTATGAGGAGATCAAGTCCAAGTTCTTTGGTGTTCCCCTATTGTGATTTTCCTCATACAAATTTTTGTTTTGTTTAGTGTCTGCCGGAGTAATAGTTGTGTGTAGCATCGAACAAAGCTGCATAAGAATAGTCTATCTCATCAGGGCCGCGCAAAGAAGCATTGGGTTTAATCGAAGCGCCTATCAGTCATCGAAAAGGACGGAAGGCACGGTTTGGCATGCTTATTAAAAGTGACACTTATTGTGCCTTTCAAATAAAATTGTCGAGATACAAGATTTGATTTCACGCTATTCGAGTTCTCAGCTCCTTTTTTTCTGCTGGGCATGGTCCTGGGGCTGGCGTATCAAGATACTAAACGGGGAGATGCTCAAGAGAGTTGATACATCTTTGATATCCATGCCCATGATGCAGAAGAGGACTATGGCACGCCATCGAATATCTTCAGAATATAGCCTGAGCATCTGCAGTTGTTAAGCCATACGTTGGCATTGTTGTTCACGGCATACGGTTCTACATTTGGACGGTTCTCGAAGGACTCAATTAAGGTCGTGCTATCAGCAGCCTCCGTTGTGTCGATCAATGTCTTTGCGAGCTCGGGGCCAATATCATCAGCCTTGGCTTTTCGGCGTCTTTCGTAGTCTGACAGGCGATGAGCGCCGAGACAGTTCGTAGCCTTATAATGCTTTGCACGGAACTGGACGTCGACCATGCCCTGCAGGATATATATTAGGTCGTCAGCACATAAGTTGCGCTTTCCTTCCATGTAGTTGTGCTTGAGAGTGCGGTGCCATCCTTCAACCAAGTTACTGGTATCGACAATTCTGAAGTACTTGCATCTTGGTATACAGGAGTGTCCACCTCGGCAACTTTTGACCGTCGATCCATTGCTTCTCCATATATTTGATAAAGGCTTGGGAAGTTAGAATACGTTCTTTAACCGCACCCCACAACCCCCGGATCTCATCTTCAGTTTCCGCATGATAGATTTGATGCAGCGATGGGCGCGCCTCATTTGCCGCTGCCATCTAACAAAGGATCGAAAGACCACGTATAAATAGTTAAGGAGGTTAATGAAGGAACAAAGATGTAGTTGAAATATGGTCAACCAATCAGCTCGAGGGAACTTTCGCACGAAAAAAGGAGTACATTCCTTCCTTACTTGTTTTGCTCACCTGCTTGTGAGACGAAGGTCACACGCATCATTCCGCTTGACAATGACAACATCCATGGCATGTCCACTGTAGTTTAATCTAGTTTACTCTATCCTGCCTGCAACCATTCCTCGTCTGCGCTACATAGACTATCGCCCCCTCCCTCTCTCTCTCCCGGTGTTGCTTTCTGACATGGAGACATGCCAGCTATCTTTGTTTACGCCCACTTTCTGGACTTGCCCTTGTACAATGCATAACTCCATTCCAACTGAACAGATGTCTTTTTCATATTGCATTCCACTACTACAGTACAGATATGTTTTTTCTTCTTCTTATCCTTCTTCTTCTTCTTGAAAAAAATAAGAACAGATAGTTGCTATAGTTTTCGCATGGTGAAAGTGAGTTTTCTGAGAGAGAGGAATGTGGACGCCCATCGCGTGAAAGCGCGATCAACCAATAGCTATGGAGGACACTTTGATAGTCTGGCATCTGTCGTCCCTTGCATCAGTTAAAATGCTATCATTTTTTTTTAACTGTATGCAATTGAAAAGAATATACCATTTAACATATGTGCACGCTAGTTTAGTGCGTGCGTTTATGTTGTGCAACGTTTCTGCATCCTGGGTAATGCATTCTGGAGGCAACCAGGAGAGAGCAAAAAAGAGCAAGAGGAAGCAAGAGAGAGAGAGAGAGAGAGAAAGAGGTGTGTGCCGAGAGGGGGCGGCGGCCGAGGAACGCGTCAGCCTATCGTCTGCGTGCGAGACTGAAGGAGGATGACAGAGGAACTATTAAAAAAAAAAAAAAAAAAAAATGAAATCTGCTCTGGACGCACACATCCGGGCGGTCGACATTGGAGGGCGGAGTTGAATCCCTTGCATAGCGCACGCAATCGAAACGGCGTCCAAGGGAGGCGAATCAAACGACCTGGTGAGCAAAACATACAGCAACACAAACTAAAACTGCTGCACAAAGGGCGCCAAAGCCTTTTTTTTTTTTTTTTTTTTTTTTTTTTTGCATGCGGGCACAAGCCAAGAACAGGAACAGCGCAAGGGTCAATCAAAGTCTACCTGCAGGTGCCGGAGATAGGAGATGTTGGCTCCAACCAATGGGGTTCTGTCCGTTCGCTATGTGCATGCAGCCCCTACTCCGATATGCATCTCATCACGCGCCTTGGCGCCCCCTTCTCTCTTTCCTTTCATCCAGTCATTGGGGGGCGGGGGGGAGATACCTTCTTTTGGGTACCATTTCTCGCGCGTGTGTGAGGGGTGTGGGTCGTGCTGCTCGTGGGTCTGCACTCGTAGTATCAAAGAATTGATGTACCTTTCCATGGATACTAGAGTTAAAAACCGTGGCCATAAAGGCGCATTATGCTTGAATCCGTTATCTTGCTTTTGCGTGACAACTCAACAATGCCAGTTTTCTCTCCAAGGATCTATGCATGTATGCTTGTGATGGTACCTGGCCAGAGTAGTAAGGGTCACGAAAGCTAGAAAGGCACCAAATGGTGCGCTCGTCTAATGCAGGTACTAGCGCGTGTTTGCTCGTAGGTGATTTTGGCATGTAGACTAATTCTTACAAGGTCCTCATTCCTAAGGAGAGCAGTCTCTTTGATGAGGCGAAGGCGCAGGCCAAATATATCGGAATTAAGATCTGTAGACTGGTCGTTGTTCGCAAACCCTCGCTCTCGATGCATAGTCGTCGTCGTCGCGTTGCGTACGGATTGTTTTTTTGTTGGTCCATGGCACATGCAAGCTATGCGTGCGGCATGGTATACAGTACTCCTCTTTTGTACTTGTTCTCACGATGCCTAAAGGGAAAAGAGGCAAGTTCCAGCAAACAAAACAAAGAGGGGAGGGCGCAGAAGTGTAAACAGAGCATCTGCACATCCGTATTTGTCGAGGACAGAGACATGCGCCATCCCTCCTCTGGTCTCGGGTTGGGGTGAGATGAGGTGTTTGTTTTTCTTGTAGATGTAGGCTCGTCAGCCTGGAGCTGTCGACTTGGAAAAGTTGTTTCCGTTTGTTTTTGTTATCAATGGTGTCAACAAAGACATAAATTGTTATTCGCATGCGGGCTCATGCAAGGGTCAACTTGATCTAATACAGGGCATACGTCCTAGGCCGCGTTGAGAATCGACGCGCGCCTGGGATTGGCTGGGCCCTAATTGCACTAGCACACGCAGCGTAACCAGGAAGGGGGGACTTTTTTTGCTTGCTGACAGCCAGGGTTGCAGGAGAGAGCCAGGGATTGGCAATAGGTCTTTTTCTCTGTTTGATATACATTTGCTTATTTGCATGAGTATGTAATTTATTTCAGTAGTGCTATCCCTGGTAACAACACAGGTGCGTAGAATTATATACCCGGTTCTAACAATTGTGAGCAATTTTTCTATTATTTCAACGAATGCTAAGCAGAAAATAAAAGAAATCTCATGCATAATTACCACTTTCCCCTTGCGACTCGCTCTATTTTATTTACACTTAATATGTATGAGACTCGGACTATGACAGGGTTCGGTGTGCAGCCACCTCTCTGGTTCTCAGGGCAAATACCCTTCATACCCCTGATTAGACAATGCAATACAATCCTGTTGCTTGCATAACTGCACCCGCTGTGGCACCACCGCACCCGCAGGCCGCATGCGCCCGCCGCCATATTTGCCTAACCCTTTATTGGTCGTGCTTATGATATTGCTCATCACGGTCGATTGTCCATCCCCTTACCTCCCCTACTCTTACTGCTGTAGTCTACTGATCTACAGCCTGTATGGCTGCTTGGCCAAGCAGAACAGGGACCCTGAACCTGAAAAACACGATGAAATGGACAGGTATAAATACCATGCTGCCATCCCCGGTTTTTTTTTCTCTTTCCTCATTCCACATCAAGCTCTTCTCTTCTACTCTCTACTCTCCTACAACCAACCAACCAACAAGCTCCAACCGGCTCTTACCTGCTCAAACTCACACACATTCCACAATGAAGTACACCATCATCATCGCCGCGGTCATGGCCCTGGTCCAGGCTGCTCCTCTGCTCAACAACGGCGGCAAGGCCATCCCAGATTCCTACATCGTTGTCCTCAAGGACGGTAACACCGTCGACTCCTTCCAGCCCAAGTTCGATGATATTGCCAAGCGCCAGAATGGCCGTGGTCGCAAGCCCTCGATCCACCGCAAGTATAACAAGATCTCTGGTTTTGCCGCCACCGTCAACCAGGCCGCCTTGAAGGAGCTGCTCGCTGCTCCCGAGGTCGCCTACGTCGAGCAAGATCAGATCTTCACCATCCAGGACTCTCAGACCTCCCCTCCATCCTGGGGTCTGACCCGTGTCTCCCAGACCGACTTGGATCTCACTCAGCCCTACCTCTACAACGAGGCCGCTGGTGAGGGTATTACTGCCTACGTCGTCGACACCGGTGTCTATGCCGAGCACGAGGAGTTCGAGGGCCGTGCCACTCTCGGCGCCAACTTCATCGACGGATCAGAGGACACTGACGAGAACGGCCACGGCACCCACGTCTCCGGAACTATCGGTGGCGCCAGCTATGGTATTGCCAAGAAGGTCAACATTGTTGGTGTCAAGGTTCTGGATGCCTCCGGTTCAGGATCGACCTCAGGCGTCGTTGCCGGCATGGACTGGGTTGCCTCTCAGGCCACTCCCGGAAAGTCTGTTGTGAACATGTCTCTCGGTGGCGGAAAGTCCAAGGCCATCGATGATGCTGCTGCCCGTCTCTTCAAGGCCAACATTCCTTTGATTGTCGCCGCCGGAAACAGTGCCACGACCGATGCCTGCAACGGTTCGCCCTCCGGTGCCGCCAACGCCCTCACTGTCGCTGCCTCGGACAAGAACGACAAGGTCGCATCCTTCACTTCGTACGGCAAGTGCGTTGAGATCTTTGGACCCGGTGTTGGTATTACCTCTTCCTGGATCGGATCGTCTGATGCCAAGAACACCATCTCCGGTACCTCGATGGCCACCCCCCACGTTGTCGGTGTTGCTGCTCTCTACTTGTCGTTCAACAGCTTGCCCACTGCCCAGTCTGTCTTTGACAAGTTGGTTGCCACTGCCACTCCTAACAAGATCACCGGCAACTTGAAGGGCTCGCCCAACAAGTTGGTCTTCAATGGCGCTGCTGCTTAAAGCGGAGGAAGCGCTTCTCTTGCACGAATCTTTGTATATCCCCTCGTAAATATTTATTCTTCCCTTTGTTTCAGCAGGGGCACAGTACAGGCTGGTCCTTTATTTTATTTTTATTTTTTTATTAGCTTTGCGATTGATTCGCCAAAGAAATAGCAATAAAACTCTGTGGACGTTGATCGCCCATATCAGAATAACAAACGCGTATCACATTTCTTTGCTTCTGCATAAAGTCACACGAATGTAGAATGGAGTAAAAATAAAAGTGATGGCTCATTCTGGACGTTAGAAAGGACGAGAGAAATAAGCATTTTCGCAAGGGTGTGGGTTCGGATGTCATGCGAGGGAGAAGGTTTGGTGCACTCCCATTGGATGGCACGGACGCGTCGATCGGGCCCAAAAATAAATTCGACCCGCCCTCCAATTGCGAAACGAGAGAAAAAAGAGAGAGCGACCTACAAAATAAGGAAAAGATATGGCCATCGCTGACCCTTTTCCTTTTCCCCACACACACAACTTTAATAAAGTGATCGACTTTTTACTCACTTCCGTCTCTGGCGCAAACATTCCCTGTTCCTCTCACCGCTGTCCTCCTTTCCAGCGCAACAATCCTCTGCACTACAGGCGCTGATAACCATACACGTGAGTCGACGGGAGTGGTGACGTCAGAGTTACTGTAACCAATCAGATTCAAGAGCTATTATTACGAACTGACACTTCTGAGGCATTCAGGAGGTCCACAATATACTTGATTACAACTTGGGGTGGGATGGTCTGGAGCTGCAAATTGATAGTTGCAGACGTTCCTCTTGCCCTGGGAGGATGCTGGAAATAGGGTGGTGGATAACATAGCTTCTTTCGAGTCATTGGGCAAGGAATAAACGAAAAGGGGACGTATAAAAAGACAGCCAGTAAGATCGAAGTGGTGTGGACATTTCAATTTTCCCCGGCTAGGTCGAATAGGTTCTGATTGGTCTTGGCCTCAGTCCGGTGTGTGTGTGCTTGCAGCAGTCGAGGATCAGTTCGTTTACCCAAGTTGTGTCTGCGTCGAAGGAGAGGGCAATGCTGCCTGTTGGGATAGCTGTGCATGTTTCTGTGAGCTGAGTAGAAGAGGAGCCCTAAGCAGGGCTATTTTTTTTGCCTCCTCTTTGCCCCCGTCCGCCTGTCGCCAATTCGGGCGAGTCAGATGAAAATTTGGCTGTCAGTAGCAGAGGGAGGAGGGCAGCCGACACTTACGAAAAAGAGCGCAGTATATTTTTTATTTTTCCTGGCCTCCCTCCCCCGTCTCCGTCTTTATTATTTCACTCATTCTCACACTCGCTTCCACTCTCTCACTTTCCCTCTCTGTCACTCGCACACTCCTTTTTTTTTTTTGCTCCCCTCCTCCTTCCGATCTCTTTCATTCCGCTCCATCCCCATCTTTCGTTTTCCTGTCCCCCTCTGCTCTTCAGCCGCGTCGTCGCCGTCCATCCCCCTCCGACAGCTATTTCCCATCACCGCCACTGCCGCTGCCGCTGTCGCCCCCACTCAGCCGACCCAATACCCTGTCTCTCTCTCTCTCTCTCCTCTCTCTCTCTCTCTCTCTCTCTCTCTCTCTCTCTCTCTCTCTCTCTCTCTCTCTCTCTCTCTCTCTCTCTCTCTCTCTCTCTCTCTCTCTCTCTCTCTCTCTCTCTCTCTCTCTCTCTCTCTCTCTCTCTCTCTCTCTCTCTCTCCTCTCTCTCTCTCTCTCTCTCTCTCTCTCTCTCTCTCTCTCTCTCTCTCTCTCTCTCTCTCTCTCTCTCTCTCTCTCTCTCTCTCTCTCTCTCTCTCTCTCTCTCTCTCTCTCTCTCTCTCTCTCTCTCTCTCTCCCCCCTTTACTGCCGCACACTCGAACTTACATCATTTACCCGTCTTCACATATACTCATCCCGCCACGAACAACATCCATCCATCCATCCATCCATCCATCCATCCATCTCTCAACCACTCCCTCCGGCACCCAACACCCACACGCACCTCCTTCCCCCTCCTCTTCCCCTCCCCCTTCCCCTCTCCCTCTGGCTGTCCGTTGCAGTCCTCGAGCGACACCTCAACGACCCGCTACCACAGCCACTCACATTTCGTATCCTTACTCTCTTCCTGAGCTTACGGGACCCGCTGTCGTCCTTCATGTCTATCACCTACTGACATACTATTGCTCAGCCCACATTCATACCCCATCCCCGACCGCCCTTTGCAAAACCGATATCGATATCCGCCCTCCCGGACCGTTAATATCTCTGTCTACACAAGACAACTGCCGTCCCTTCTCTTCTCTCTTCTCTTCTCTCTTCATATTTTCCTTTGTTTTGTTAAAATACCCTCCTTTCACTTCTTGTTCTTCACACATCTTCCATGGATTGGTCGCCTTCCTTGTCGGTAGACGACAACGAAGCATTTGCCTCAGCACCATCATCCTCAGACCCTACCGTGAGCATTGCGAGCAACAGTAGTCTCATGGATATCTACTATTCACAGCAGCGTCGGGAATATGTGGACCCACACCTGACAGAGCACCTCGCGGACCTTTGCATCCTTAAGCTGCAGCAGGCCTCGTCTGGTCGCCACCAGTCATTGCTGCGTCAAGTGCAGCTCTCCTGGTAAGCGATTTGCGCCTTTGATTTCTGTCCTTGTTGTTTTTTCCCCCTGTTTTCTGTGCTGTGTTGCTATCGGCCGTTTTGTTGTATGGGATGGCTGTGTGTGCATGTGTGTGTGTGTGTGTGTGTGTGTGTGTGTGTGTTGTGTTCCTGTGTGTGGCTATAAATGCCGGCTTTAAAGTGCTGTGTATGACAAAGCTGTGTGTCCCCTTTCGTGTGAATATATAATAAAGTATCGCAACGTTGTTGCCCTGTTGGTTGTTTGTTGATGTTGTTGTTGTTCTCTGCATGGTTCCTATACTGCAGTTGATATCTCACCATCATCATCATCATCATCATCATATATTTGATACATGTCTATATATTAATATACATGTATATTGTAAAAAGACATTCCCCGTGGCATGTTCTCGTTCCTGTGCTTTTGCTTTTTACTAATTGCTGTGCATTGACCGCCCTCAATCAATTATTGGCTGCGTCTCGTATTAATTGATGGAATAATCGATGGACTCTAACCGTTTCACATTCTTTCTGCCACCCCCTCCCTCCCCCACACACATATTCTTTTATTTTTGTATGGTGCCCAACAGCATGTTGCATCAAATCAGAATGCAGGTCTTCATGCGACCTATCATGGCCGGATACATGCATCACCATCACCAATACCAACTCCAGCAACAGCACCAACAGCGCCTTCAGCAACAGCAACAGCAGCAGCAACAGCAGCAACAACAGCAGGAGCAACAACAACAACAACAACAACAACAACAACAACAACAACAGCAGCAGCAGCAGCAACAATTACTCGCGCAGGACATGTCTTCATCACCATCTGTAGGATATGAATGGGAGCAGGAACCATCATTGGGCCCCAGCCAGATGGCCTCTGCACTATCGCTTGACATCCTGCTCTGCAGCATGGGTCCCTCCCCCTCGTCAGTACCTACCGCCGCCTCGGGTTCAAGTTCAGCCTCACCAGAGACAGACCAGGGCATGTTTGGCCTTGGACATCCTCAGCAACATCAACATCAACATCAGCCAATATCGTCAATTCCCCTAGTATCTTATGGAAACGAATTCGATTCCCAGGATCTCTCGCTCTCATCCATACCATCCTCACCATCTGCATCTCCGATGTCTCCTCAGCAGTCACTGGCAACAGTTTCCGCGCTTCCTCAACCGACGTACTATGAGTTGCTGATGGCAGCCAACCCGAACGAGCCACTCTCACAGCTGTTGTCGACGAGTGCAACGACTATGGCCTCTTCATCTTTTACGGTCACCTCACCATCGCCAAGCGTTCTTCCGTCCCAGGATCCCGCATCGGCGTACTCTGTTATTGACGCGACCATGCCCTCTTCGATCACGATCACCTCGTCCTCGGCAGGTGAAGGAACGCCGGCAGGGATTCCCCACCCGGAGGAGATGCTGACGGCTGTAGCATCTTCATTCACAATGGGTGTGGGCGCGTATCCAGTTGGAGTTGGAGCTGGAGTTGAAGCTGGATCCCTGGCGCATGGTGAGCAACCTCAACAACAACAACAACAACAACAACAACAACAGCAGCAGCAGACGATCCCATTGACGACTAAGGAGATCATGGACGCACTTTCTGGTCAGTTCCCGATCCAACCCATAGCGCCGATGGCGCCTGAGCTCTCCGCGGTAGAGACTGTGCAGTCAGAGACGAGTATGGAGGACCCACAACAGCCACCAGAGGAGCAGCAGTCGTACGGTACGATCCAGTCCCAGCTAGTGGGTCCTGTTCCTTCAGGATCAACTTTGCCACTGACGTCGATGGATATTGCCACAACACCGTTGCAGCAGGATTCGATGACGACGGCAGTTCTTGTGAACATCCAGACGACCGATATTCCTTCTTTGGAATGTGCGGGCACGAGCGTGGAGTCTTTGGGATCGGGTATGGAGTCTAGACCTGTGGAATCCTTTGTGGTCAGTACTGTGGTTTCGTCAGTTTCAGCTTCGAAGGCGGGGTCGACCGAAGAGCTGGAAACAAGGGTCCGACCACAACCAAAGAAGGATTCTTGGGATGAGGATTGTGACATGTTGAGCCCACCACCGCTTTCTCAGTTTGACGCGGAAGAAGAAGAAGAAGAACACTCGGCTGTTTCTGCCGCTGCTACCGCTGCATCTATCGTTTCAGTGTCCTCGCCTGATCGTCAGTGCGACTCTCAGGATGTGAGCATGGACCCCTCACCTTCGACCTCGTCGTTCTCCAAGGGCACACGCTCCCCTCGCCGGCCAAAGAGCTCCACTGTCGGTCGCCGTGCTTCTTCCCGACCACAGACCCGTCGTTCTCGGGCCCAGTCCGAGGCCGATTCTTTGTCGAGCCGTCTGCACGATATCATGGCCCCGTCCGCGGAGGAGAGCACCAGCCTAGCCGTGACCTCATCGTCCAAGCGCCGCAAAGTCAGCGACGACGATGCCTGTCCCTCGTCATCATCATCGTCATCGTCCTGTTCTAGCCCAGAATCTTCGCCACCCTCGCCGAGGACCCCACCACCGATCTCGGAGAGCCAGCAGCATCATCACCATCATCATCATCAATGTGCACATCAGAAACGAAGTCTCTCTTTGCAGGAGAATCGTCTCGATGATGGCAATAATCAACAACAGCAGCAGCAGGGAGAGGAAGGGCGGTTTGAGATGGAGCCGTCAAAGCGGTGCAGGACGAATATCGATAACGATGTAAAAACGGTGATGGTGGGCAACAAGGTCCCAGATGTGGTCGTAGTGGATGTGGAAGGGGCGATGAAGACAAGCAAGTCGGGTGCGTCGTCGGGGACGAAATCGCAGCTGGATGAGGTCGAGGGTCAAGATGAGGATGCGGGCATCCTCTCACCCTCGCTTCTGACGCGGCATCCGACAAGACAGTCCACGAGGATCTTGCGCCGGACTTCCGGTCGCATGCAGGCGGTGGCGAGCTCTTGTGGAGCGGGAGCCGTGGCCGTGGTTGCGACTGTGGCCGTAGGTGCAAGTGGTGGTAATGCCACGAAGGTCACTGCTGCTTAAAAAAAAAAAAAAAAAATCGAGTTTCGTCGGAGCCCCTTCCTTGTTTTTTCTTCTTTTTTTTTGGTTGTAGTTTTTTTTTTGTTACTTTTTTTTTTCTGTGCTGTTTACTTTCCCCATCCCATGTGTGCTTTACTATGTACCCTTCCCCCATTGTTTGTACAACTTAATTAATGGTCTCTTAACGACGGACGATCTCCCCTTCCGATTTACACCCTTCCACGGAAATGTAGTCTAGTCTTTTTCCTCTAATTCTTTTTTTTTTTTATTTTTTTTTCGTGCGCCGGGATTCTGTATGCACCGCACAGCAGATCTAGACGTCCTTTCCTTTTTCTATTTTTATTTCTATTTTTATTTTTTTATTTTTTTTGTTATGTATATATAGCTCCACTTTACTGCCGCATACACAGATACACACATGCAAATGAACAATGTCTTTTAAACAAAATGCCGCACTGTGTAGTGTATAATATCGGTTATATTCTATTTTCTATTTTATTTTCTTTTGCTTCTTGGTTCTTCCTCCGCATCTACGCTCTCTCTCATTGCAGACAAAAATACTAAAAGAAAACGAGAACTGGAATAATAAAAAAGTTTATAAAAAAAAAAAACTTGCTAAACTGTTAATCAGCAAAGTCAGGAGATTATTGTCGACATTCGTATCTTCAAAAGCGTTTACGGACCAAAAAAAAAAAAAAGGAAGACCAAGGTTAATCTACCGATTGCCAGAAATGGGGAGGTTTGCCTTTTGCAAAAGGCATAGGACAGATCTTTGTGGAAACCAACCACAACAAAAAGTCAATTCACATGGTGCACTCCAATAACCCCTCTTACTCTACTTCGTATGTCTTTTTTTTTTTTTCATCATAAGGGGTTTATTTATTTACTCTGTACGGTTTGGTTAGATCGATCGGGTTCATGGTATATGCGTGTATGTGTATGTGTGTGTTCGTTGATCATTTACAAGTGGGGGGGGGGGAGAGAGATGGATGGAATAAATCTACAAGTTTGCGGGCATTTTGTCTTTGTACATGCTTAAAAACAAGCACCACACGAATAAAATAAAAAAAGGAATGATGCATAGGAAACAAAGACCTTCAACGAGCTCTGATGATCGTGGAATTTGCAGAGGACATCCTCGCCACCCTTGGACTCGCCTTCACTGCCACCGTTGCAGTTCCTGTTCCCGTTGATCTAGCAGGCGCCGCCCATGAAACTCCTCTCCCTCGGGCCTGCTCAACCTCCCATGAGGGTCTCTGTCGGCCCTGTCCGAGCCCGAACCCATGCAGCGACGTGCTGCTAACCGCATGCGGACGCACCGATACACGACGCGCGACCCCCAACACGGCCGCATCATCATCATCATCATCGCTCGAGTCCGAGTCGGAATCTCCTCCGTCCAGGATCCCTGTTCGGAAATCTAGCATCGGCACTGCAGTCTTTGGTTTCGTCGTCGAATTCGCAGCACTGATCGGGAGCTTTGGAAGCGTTGGCGAGAGCGGGCTCGATGATTTGTTAGAGTTGTTGTAGTGATGCCTCATGAGTGTGTCCTGCTCTAGACATCGTTCTTCATACGCAAGACTATTCTGACGCTGACGTTGGCGTCGTTGTTGTTGCTGTTGCTGTGGTGGTGGTGGCGATGAAACTGCGACGACGATATGCTTATTAGGCTCGTAGAACGACTCGCGCCGTGATTTTCCATCCTCATCCTGGCTCTGCTGCTGTCGTGAGAAAGACTCGTTGCAAAAGGGTGGCGACGGTGGTTCTTGATACCGCTGTAAACCCAGGATCACAAGCTCGCGTTCCAGTTCTTCGAGTTCCCGACGGCGTTGTTCACGGTCTTCCTCAGAGTCACCACCGCTCTCTTCGCCATCATCCTCATCGTCACCTTGTCTTCCGGGGGACGCCGCAAGTCTTGAAGCTGGCAAAGACTGCGCCAGGGGTGTGCGCTGATCCCTCGACCAAGAAGGGTCGCTTTGACTCTGTTCCCGCTGTTCTAAAGCAGACATTGACGGAACAACACCATGCGACCCAAAAGATCGACTACCCACAGAACAGCACGGCTCATGGCAGATCTGACTCACGACTCCATCCTCATCATCAAAGTTGCCCTGACCTGGAAAGGTTTTGTAGTTGTGGCGGATCTTGTTATCCCTCTTGACGAACCTCAACTGCTCGTCTTGTTCTTGATCTTGCAATTGCTGTTTTCGCAAAGCCTCTTCTCTCTGGCGATGTGCCGTGGCCGCAGCATCGATTTGGTAGGATAGTTCTTCTTCCTCCACCATCTGCCACAGCGCCTTGATGGTTCTTGCGTACTCTTGAGCCTAGAGGAGGTCAAAAAACAGTCGTAGTAATGCGGGAGAGATAAAATAGCGAGTAAGGGAAGGTTAGCATGAGTAATGCACAAGGACAGAGATGTTAAATTAGCTAAGATATCTAAACTGCGTTTACGCGCGCTTGGGGTTTGCCGCCAAAAGAAATTAGCAAAAAAAAAAAAATGAGTTGCATTCTCCGCGGTGCAATGTAAATCGGATGATGCAACCCTCTTTCTAGCAATTTGGTAGTTTGCAAACAGGAGTTGATCCTATTCTCTATTCTCGCATGAGAACGAACCCAAAAAAAAAAAATGGTGGTTCTCCTTCCATGTGGTCATAATGCACTAGTTAACTGCACTCCCTCCCTTGCAACCCTTGCAACCCTTGATTCCTCACCTCCTACACCATGCTTTTTATTCCGTCTCTGCATCGCGGGAAGATTGCACCACATTTTCCTTTTTTTTTTTTTTCTCTTCATCGCCATTGCAATAAATGGGGCTATTTTTCAGGGCTGCACCTTGTGTGGGCTACATTGGGCTGGATACCACCGATGTGGGCCCCCACATACTTAGCCCCGTTCCCTCTTTTGCCTCTCCCTTTTTTCTTTACAGTCTCCCTGATCCCTCCCTCCCATCTTTGTACCACACAAACAAAACGCACGCACACACGCGCAGCACCCTCAAGGGACCTTGGGACCCAACTTAGACATGTAGTGTAACCACGCTGAAACGGGACAACGAACGGACGAACGAACGGAAGGACAGAAACGAACATGCCCCCCCCTGCCATCCTCATCACACCTCAAAGGAGATCCACAACAGAAAAGAAAGAAACAAACATAACCCAAAAAAAGAAGTAGGGGGTAAAGAAAAGTAAAGAAAAAAAAAAAAAGGGCGCCAGCATGCCATAGCTTAACCATAAAAAAATCCAAACATACCACAGTCTCGACCACGGGCAAGAGATCCGTCGAGGACGTGAACCGCGCAGACAGGTTCCTAAACATCTTGCTGCTGTTGCTGTTGCTGCCGGCATGCATGCTCATGATCGGTCCTGTCGTTGGTTTCGTGGCCTTGATCGACGAACGACTCTTATTATTATTTTGAAGCAGATGCAGCTGAGCTAATGCAGAAGTGTGTCTCTTCTGTTGCATCTGCTGCTGCTGTTGCTGCTGCTGTTGCTGAGGAATGGGTACACCCCATGACCTCATTCCAACACCCCTCGCAGCAGTCGTCGCCACCGCAGGGATCTTGAGACTCATCGGCGGTAATGGCGGCACACGCTGAGACCAACGGTGCAGGGAGCTCATATTTACCGACATCATCTCGTTCTTTCCACTGTTCGTCGTCGTACTCGCACGACCGCTGCTGCTGTTGCTGTTGCTGCCTTGTCGTTGTCGTTGTTGTTGTTGTCTGAATGGTGCATTAGGAGGTCCATACAGATTCTTTTCTTGTTCTTGAATGGGCGAGGCATTGTTGGTATTGACTATGTTTTTGGTGGGTAAGGACTGGATAGAGGGGTTGCGATTACGATCGCGTAGGAAGAAGAGGGTTGGTGGACGGATACTCATGGATCGTTTGGGGAGTGCAAGAGGGAGAGAGGGGAGGGAGACGTTGACGGATGCAAAGGCGGTGGTCAAGCGACTGGAGAGGTGTCTTTTACGCTGGAGCGATGGTGGTTGTTCTGGGTTCTTTGCAGTGGTGCTAGTGTTCGTGGCTGAGATGTGTTCAGGGATGGTGTTGGAGGGGGTGGGAAAGCATAGAGGAGCAGAGACGATGGCTGCAGGCCGCCTTGTTTGGTAGTGTAGGATGACTGGTGCTGAAGAGTAGGCGACTGAAGACGAAGTGTTGTGATGATGTTCGAAAGAAGCAGGAGCGAGGTTGTGTTCTGAAGTAGTAGTAGTAGTGTTAGAAGAAGAAGAAGAAGAAGAAGAAAAAGAGGGCGAGAGGATAGTAAGAGGAGGAGGAGGCACGAAGGATGGGAAAACTGAGCTGGGAGAGGTGGAGGAAGGGGGAGAGGCCGTTGAAGCTGCAGGTGAGCCTGTTGAAGGGGAGTGTGATGATGTTGCAGAAGAAGGTATATGCTGTTTAAGATGTTGCTGCTGTGCGCGCTGATTTTGATGCTGCTGCTTCTTGGTCCTTTTGAACCAGAGTCTTGCTTTGATTAGGGATGCCATTGAAAGAGGAGAAAGAGGAGGGGGGAAGTGTACTATGGTTTTCCAGGAAGTAAAGGAAAGAGGGGAAGAAGGGCAGAGGGACGGGAGATATATGGGAGTTTTTTGGCGGCAAAGACAAGAAGATGAAGAAGGAGAGAGGGCGATGAAGAAAAAAGGCAAAGAAAAGGATCGGCTTCATAAAAAAAAAGAACGCTTTCGTGGGCGGGTTTTGTTTTGTAGCAGTGGCAACCCCCCCTTCAGGGGAGAGAGGGGGGGATGGTTGCACAAGCGGATTACGACCCATTGTTTCATCCCGTATCATCGATTCTTCTGCGTTGTGTCTCATTCAGTCACGCCCTGGAAGTGGATACACATACACCCGAGGAAAGACAAAGGGTGCAGGGCAGAACCACCTCCATCGCACTGCACCCATGGTCTCGCCGTCTGTGCCCCATTGTTCCATTGTTCAGTCGGTCCAATACACCATAAAAGAATTTCTCCGCGTAGTCAGTCACCCGGCTGCATTCCTTCTGTCCCCCCCTTTTTTTTTTATCTCTCTCCAGAGCAACCCCAAAAATACACTCTCTCTCCCTCGCATCTGCACCACACTTCGCCCTCTCCCTCCCTCCCTTACCTCATCACACCACACCACCGCCACCACCACCAAGCCCGCGGGTGCAACAACAGCACCACCATTGGCGGGAAATTCGTCTCTGCATGCAGCAATGGAGGTCATAATCGATCGCATAGATTTCGTAAAGACAGAACCCCAGCATGGAAAAGGGAATATAAAAAAATACCTTCCTAAAAGTATATACATTCAAATGATATCCATGAACATCACAAGGAACCACAAAAACAAAGAAAAAAAAAAAAGTCGACAACCTAGTCGATTCATGCGATGCCCTCTAGTCATCATCCCATTTGTGCTCTCCACATTTTCTTCCATCATCATCACCATCATTAAAAAAACCCCTAACCTAGGAAACACCATTTCCAGACATAGTCAACGAACGCAGTGTGTCGTATCGTATCGTATCGTACATATATTAAATTTAAAAAAGAAAAGAACCAAAGTTCATAGTCCACAGTTAGTGACTCCACAGCTCTGGTGGCGATCGACGTAATTCAGGGCAATTGAACCTTCTGAACCCACTTTTTTCTCGGTTGCAAAGGCATCATCACACAACACACAACGAGAGCACCCCGATCCTACGTGAAGTCTCTCTCTCATCAATTAGCACTGGGAAGTTTTTTTTTATTTTTTTGTGCGACCTGCGCGAAATGAATGAAGGAGGGTGATGACGGCGGGAGTTCTCTTCTGAAACGCGCACAAACTTCTCCTCCTTCACTACGTTATTCCACCACCCCTTCCCTTCTTCCTTGTTGGTAACCCCCTCCTCCTCTTCCCTCGCCTGACATTTCATTTCAATTTGACAACTGCATCCGACCCATGGCGCAGACCTAATATCACATCACATCACATCACATCACATCACACAACCTTTGCTTTGTCCATGTCCATGTATGTACATCGGAATTGCATCCCCCTCCCTTCCATGGCGCAGACTTTAATATCATGATCACACAATCATTTGCTTTTGTCGATGTACTTTTACGTCTGCGATGTTACATTGCATTTTTTTTTTTTTTGCAAAGCAGCAATATTTGACTATCTGGGTTGGACATTAGAGCAATTGAGCTGGATGTTCAAAATACGCGACGCGACAAATGTCAGTCTTTGACTTTTGGACTTTTTCTTTTTTTCATTAGGCTATTTCTTTGTCTTTTGCTCCTGTCCATAAAAAAAAAAAGAAAAAAAAAAAAACAAAAGCTTCTACTACTCGTTTATATCGTTATCTTCACGAGAAGAAGAAAAAAGAAAGAAAAGAAAAAAAAAAAAAAAAAAAAAGGAAAAGGAAAAAAAAAAAAAAAAACGGCGAACCATTTCAGTGTTCATGTCCACCATCGCAAAAAAAAAAAAAAAAAAAAAAAAAAAAAAAAAAAAGAGATGCGTTCAGGGACCGACGAGTTACACATCGCGTTAGTCATCCTCGTCGCTGCTGGTAATATTCCCCTCGTCATCATGAACAACCCGGCCCCCAGCAACCGTCTCCGTGAACGCATTCAATGAAATCGGTCCCTTCGGCTTCACCGAAGTCGATGCTTGCTGTGCATCATCCTAAGTCGGATATACAGAAAACGCACGATTAGTTTCAGAAAGCAGACTACACCGCTTTGCCTTGCCTTGCCATCTCCAAAAGAACAGAACAATCAAACTCAGTGCAGGGAGGAATTTGCGCCTACATTAATCTGGCCCTCCAAAAACTCGACCAAATCATCATCCTCACTCATCGCGCCCTCCGGTGACGGCTCCCTCGCCTGCTGCTGCTGCTGCTGTTGCTGCTGTTGCTGTTGTTGTTGTTGCTGCTTTAACAGCCTCTCATGTGGAGGCAGCAACGCCGGCAACCCCAGCTTTGCGCCCCCTCCTCCAACCTTCGGTGTCCCCCCTGCCGAGACCGACCCCGCAACAGGCTTCCCCATCCTCGACACCATCGCCCCACCCCCCAAAACATCCCCCACCGGCGTTGAAAGCCCCAACCCAATAGCTCCCTGATGCTGCAACGGCCTAGACCGCTTAGTGCCATTCCTCCTATCAGCCTCCGAATCCGATCCCGATCCAGTCCCCGACCCAGAATCTGAACCGGACCCTGAAGAAGAACTTCCAGAAGAACTGCCCGAACTCGATCCTGACCCCGACCCCGACGATGATGAACCAGATCCGGACTCGCTTCCAGACGATGAGACCTTGCGCGGTCTTCCTCCTGGTCCTCTTGATGGCGGTGGTATTCCTGCTCCTAATCCAGCTGCTGATCCCTGCGCTAGAGCCGGTGATGAAGTCGTCGGCGCCGCTGACTTTACAACAGCACGAGCGGACGGTGGAGGTGGCATATTGATACGTGGCCGTCCTCTCGGCTTCCCCGTTCCCGCTGTCTTCTGTCCTCCTGCTCCGTCAGCTCCAGGTTTCGTGGCCATCAAAGACGATGACGACGATGACGACGACGGCAATGATGGAGGGGGTAACGCCGGTGACGAGAACGCATTCGGAGTCACTGCGGGCGGAATAATCACCGGCGTCAACACCTCCTCCATCTCCTCGTCCTCATCATCCTCATCATCTCCTTGCTCCCCATCCTGCATATCCTCATCGCCACCCCCGCCAATATCATTAAACACGTTCTCAAACTCCTTCTCAAACTCCATCAAATCCTCATCCAGAACATCGTCGTCCTGATTCTGAGTGCCGTCAATGTTGCCCGCGTTGCCCGCACCACCACTACCACCATCACCCTGACGGCCTGTAATAGCCGCTGAAGAGGACGAGGCTGCAGAGGCCGATGCAGCAGTCGGCGGTGCCTTTTGGTTGTCTATCCGTCCGACATTCCGTCGAATGTTGCTGCTATTACTGTTGATGTTACCGCTGGTGTTGGGCAGGAGCGGTGTCGTCGCCGCAGAATTCGGCATCGGAGAAGAAACCGGGGCGTTGGGATCATATTTACTCTGCGGCAACAGAATCGTGTGCTGCTTCGGATCCTTATGCTTCCGGTTCTGGATAAACGAAAACGCTGCGTGTTGTCTCTCCAACGTGAATGTCTAAAATGCAACACCAACCCACAAGAACCAATGGATATCACAGTATCAGGTTAGTCCCAAAAATCCGCTGTGATTTTTTTTTTTTTTTTGTCCTCTCTTCACTATCGTTCGCACTTCCATGATCCCATACCTGAGTCTCCTCATCAAAGATCAACAGACAATCCACAGCCCGACCAGGTCGTTCCGTTGACGTCCACGAAAACGTCTCTCCGCTTGTATTACCTCCAGCTCCATTGATCACGGCCACGGGGCCATTATGGATCTGATCCGATGCCGATGCCGATGCCGCTGTCGAGGATCCGCCACTGCTGCCGGCGAATTCCAGTTCAAAGGTCTCGCCGTTCCCGACCAATCCTCCAGGCCGGGACTTGTCCACAGATTCGGGCTGGAAGTTGTCTAAAATGTTGTTAATGTTGTCCCATATTTGATTACCCCGTAATCGCATCGCATCGTATCGCATCGTATCATAGGGTAAAAACGAGGAAGAAGAAGAAGGAGAAGAAGCAATTAGTCAGCAAGTGCACTCCATCATGATCCTGCAAAAACAACAACAACAACAACAACAACAACACAATGATAGAAGTGTTCTTTTTTTTTTTCCCCTCTCTTTCACACATACACACATACACGTACACATACACATACACACTTACATTTGAACTGAAAAAACTCGTTCGGGGAACTGTTGGTGCGGTTACCCGAGGGTCCAGAACTAGAAGCAGCCATCAACGAAGCTCCACGCTGCACACGGTAAGTTCCCTTTGCGTCCCAGCCGACCATTGTTTTTGATATATGATATACGATATATAGTCTTGATATAAAAAAAAAGAAAAAAAAGAAAAGAAAGTCTTGGAGGTGTTGCGTTCTGTTATGGGATGATTATAGAGCGTGCAGGGGCCAAGGAGGTGAGGGAATGTCAGACAATTCCAATTCTGTGGGGTGGAGGATGCGTTGACGGGTTCCCAAATGCAGGGTACAGGAGGGAGAGGGAGGGCCAGAGAGAGAGAGAGAGAGAGCGAAAGATGGAAGGAGTAAGTAGCTGTCCCCTGTTGTCAGAGTCGCGAGGTTTTTGGGAGGTGGTCGTGGCGTTGATGTGTTTGCTGTGTTTGGTGATGAACAAAAAAGACAAAAGCGGACAGAGCCAAAGGCAAAAAAGGTCAAGGGGATTCAAAAAAAAAAAAAAAAAAAAAAAAGGAACAAGGTCCTTAAGGGTTCATCTTTTCTTTTTTAATACGTGAAATGAGTTTCTTTTGCCGTCTCGGCGTCGACCCGTAGCGCCCTAATGGTCTCCCTCTACCCGTCGCGCTCAGCGTTCATGAGCCGCTTCCTTCGGTCGTACTCCTGGAACGAACTCACATCGCGCCCGAACACCCAAGTCATGAACCAGTACACTGGAATAATCATCTTGTTCCTCAACGACACGCTCATCGTCAGATAAGACGATCGCCAGAACACCCATGCTAATTTACCGCCCTCCTTGGCCTTGTCGTTGATCTCCGTCATGTCCACAACGGCCTCCCAGTTGCCGATATAGGCCATCGATCCCAGGTTCTTGAATGTAAAGGGTCCCGTTACATCCGTGAGTGATCTCTCGGGCTGCTTCGCCAGTTTGTTCAATGCCTTCCGCAACCAGATCGCTTGCTGGTTCGCTACTTGAGCCGTCTGTGGCAGTTCATGATCTATTATTACAAGTGCGCAAAAAAAACTCCAATCTGTTAATAAAAAGCTTTGCTATTGTCCAAGTAACACAATGTTGCTTTTTCTTCTTTTGCTTGCCTTTGATGGTAGCGCAATCTCCGAGTGCATACACGTTCGGGATGGTCTTTCCCTCCGCATCCAGGACCCTCAGATACTGATCCGTCAAGATCCTCCGATTCTTCGTCTTTTGTACCCTCCCCTCCAACGCCTCCGTCAGCGGGTTCTCTGTCAAACCCGTGGACCAAACCAGACACCCAAATGGAATCTCCTTCCCGTCTTTCAGCACCAACTTGCCATCCTCGACCCTCTCCACCACCGTACCCGTCCTAACCTCGATCCCTGACCGCTTGAACTTTTTCATACAGTACTCGGACAGCGACTTGTCAAAGCTCGCCAGGATGGTCGGCGCGACATCGTACACGGCCAGGGTCACATGGTTCATCAGCCTCGGAAACAACCTCGAGCAATCCTCTCGGATGAAATCATGCAGCTCCGACGAGAACTCGACCCCCGTCGGGCCTCCACCGACGACTGCGAAATGCAACAGCCCATTCCGCTCCTCGTCCGAGTTCAACATCTCGGCCCTCTCAAAACACTCCAGCACCCGGGATCGGATCTTGCGGGCGTCTGCGACCTCCTTCAGAAAGAAGGCGTGTTCTTTCACCCCAGGGATATTGAACGTGTTCGAATACGAGCCCACGGTGATGATGAGATGATCATAATCCAGACGAACGTTGTTCGGAGGGTGGACCGCGTGTGCCTTGCCGGAGGAATCTCGAACTTGCGTCACAGGGACCTTGGACAGATTGAGGGTGCAATCGACCTTGGACTGTTCAAAGTCGATGTTGTCACACCAGGCTTGGTGGTATTCGACCTTGCCAGTGTATCCGCGCACGGGCTCGGTGATGCACCGGAACTCGAGCGTGCCGACCGACGTGCTCGCCAGCAGCGGCGTGAAAAGGAAGTGGTTCCTATTCAAAAAAATAAAAATAAAAAATAAAAAATAAAAAATAGACAGCCAAATATTAGAGTTGATTGGACTCTTTCATATTCGCAAAAGTCCCATAAAATAAAATAAAATAAAATATAAAGACCCCCTCCGGCCGCCCAAAAAGGCTGTGCCGTTCCACAAACTGCACGACAAAACAAAACAACAGCGACAACAACAAAATAAAAGCTGTATATTACTTTACCTGGGAGAGACCGCAACGATCTGGTAGGAACTTTTGTCCATGTCGCGCAACAGCCTGAACCCGCCCCATCCCGATCCCAGGATCATCACTCGACCTGCACACACGCACACACGCACACACACATACAAACAGGTACAGGTACCAAAAATAATGCAAACTGCAGTTAGTAGCTCATTCTTCCATAGACATATGAAAATGAAATATAATAAAAAAAAAAAATCACGATAACGTCTGCATGAACGTCATTTTGACGATCTTTCTGCAGATCACTTTTTTTTTTTTTGTTCTTCCAATAAAAACCAGGACCACCAACAAAGAAGAAAAAAAAAAAGGCCTTACCCTGAGACTTTCCGACAGATCGGATGCCTCGGATTTGCTGCTGGTACTGTCGATTCTTTGACAAGGATCCCGAGGATTCAGAGGAACTGACAGACAAAGGCGTCCATGACAGGGTGGATCGAAAACCTGGAAGGACACGGCCCAGCTGTTGTTGCTGTTGCTGTTGATGCAGTGTCCTAACCACCATCCGAGTCATGAATCGTCCCGTCACTGCTCCTGCTCCTGTGATTGCTCCTGGCCCTACTGCTGATGATGATGGTGATACATTTGTCAAGGTTCGCCTGAATGCTGTGACAGAGTAAGGACGGGATGTCGCTGTCGAAGCAAAGTGTCGTAGCGGCAATCGTGTAGATTGTGATGAACCTGTTGTTTACGGGGTCCGATCCGAATTAGAAAAAAAAAAGACAGACAGACAGACAGGGAGACAGACAGACAAGACGAGTCATAGTATACATTGTTAGCAAGCAAGCATTGGATCTGACAAAGAAATAAAAAAAGGACGACGACATGGTCAAGGCGCTCTTTTTTTTCTTACGACAGATGGATGACATGATTTTCTAGTATGTAGTATCTGGTTAGGATCTTTGAACGTGAGAAAAAAAAATGGAAAGGAGACGTGCGATGAGACCGAAATAAAGGACTCCAATTGCAGAGAGAGAAAGAGAGAGACGGATGAATGTGCTGTTGAGAAATATAAAAAAGAAGAAAAAGAAAAGAGAGACAACGCTCCCGTATTTATACGTCCCTTTTCCACAGGCTGGCATGAAACGCGTTGCAGACTACCCGATTGACTGACTGCATGCACACGCACACCCAGTCTATTCAGGTTTTAATAATCTCCCCATTCCATTGCATGGATTTCCTTCCCTCCTTCTCTTTTCTTGGTCCATTTCTGTATTGTCCAATCCACCGAGTAAACATTCGACTTCAAATAAAAAAAAAAATATATAACTTTTCGCCTTCCGAGTCCGATCGACAATCCACCGCAGCGGACGGACACACACGATACACAAATTCATAGTTCAGTCCGCAGCGCAGTATCTATTATTACTATTACTTACTACTATTACCACTACAACACGCGGGTGCACGCGTTCCTGGTCCTGCCGCCCGGAACACATTTTCGGACCACCCGTTGGGGGGAGGGGGAGATCGCACGATATCCTTTTCTACTTGTGAGTATACCTACAGCAGAATAGACAATACCACACAACCAGTCCAACCAATTCCCTCTCTCTCTCTCTGTCTCTCTCTCGATATCTCTCTTTCTCGATATCTGCTCGTCTGTTTAGTTTGACTGTGCAGGAAAGATCAGGGTCGAGGAAATAAACCCGCCCCATTTCCCATTGCACCCTAACATGCTTAACCTTGATTGAGTTCCTGGACTGCCATGTTTTCTCTATCGTCTGCCTCCTCTCTATCTCGTATGTGTGGAATCCTCTCGATAGGTCTGTCAGCCCAACAAAAAAAATAAAAAAATAACCTTCCTTCGTAAAGACGCATACACCCTGACCCAACGCGGGCACGTCCATCAGGCCATCTCTCGACACCAACCACCCCATTCGCAATGGACCCTATCTATCTACCTATCTCCATCACAGAACAAGACAAACTCAAAAGTGTTCTCTCTATTTCCAATCACACAAAACCAATCTGACATCTTAACATGAATGGATGGGCCAAGCCTTTTTTTTTTTTTTTTTTTTTTTTATTAGTATTACTTTGTTCAAACAAAAAAATAAAAAAAAAAGTAAATAGCAAATAGCACTAAGCAATTCACAATCTTCACCTTTTTTTTTTTTTTTTCTTTTTTTTTTTTCCTTGATAGTATTAAAGAGTCAGGCGGCAAGAGATGGTCGTACACGTAGATCATCAAAAGGGGGGCAGATCACACGTATAGATAAAGGACAATGTCCATTCACGAAGCCGGCCATAAACGAGATTCTTGTTGCTTGTGTGTGCTGTCGGTTGTTATTGCTGTTGTTGTTGCTGTTGTTGTCAATGTCGGTTACTTGACTAGTATTGTTGCTGTTGCTGGTGTATGTGCGAGAGTATGTGGCGAGAGTGTGTTGCGTGTGTGTTTCGATTGATTCGGGCAAAGGCCTTCCGTAAAAGCACCGGAACGCGCTCCGGTCTTATTATTCCCATGCACCCTACTGACACCTTCGCGTTCGTTCATGTTCGTGTGAAAAGTGAAAAAGTGAAAAAGTAAAAACATTTAAAAAAATAAAAAAAAATATCGCAAAATGGTGATGGCAAACTATTCTGAAAAAATATAACTAGAAATATTTTGAGGTGAAAAAAGCACAGTGAAAAGATTCCTAATAATACACGAATAGTTCACAGAACCATGTAAAAGTACAAGCGAATAAAGAAAAGAAAAAAAGTAAAAGTGAAAGGAAAAGGGAAAGAAAGAAAGAGAAAAAGAATTACATTAACTAGTAATACACATGAAAATCAAAACTTCGGACAGGAGTGTGTCATACTCGCAACAAAAACATGCACTGGGTGTGCATGGTCTTGGCAATGTAGGGGACACACAACCTGCCCACTATCCATTACGGGCAAACCAAATAATATGCCTGGATAGATTGAAAGGACGCAAAGAAAGAAAGAAAAAAAAAGACGAGAGACAAACGAAAAGCGCTGGGCGAGAAAACGAAAAAAAAAAAAGAAGTGATACATGGGTATGAACGCAAGGAAAGATAGGATTGAGGTGAAGGGAGAAAGGGTTGCCCATCGACGCTTGGTCCTCTACTGGCTCTGGATCTTAAGCAGAGTACGGAGGTTCTGACTAATCTCCATCAGTTGGTCGACGCCAGGCTGCGTGGACATGTGGGTGTGGGGTGCAAAGCTCGAGGTCGCCATGCGCTCAGGGACATTGTAGGCGTGGCCCATGGGCGTGGGCATGGGCATGGGCATCGAGTAATGACCATTCCATCCGCCCATGAAAGGCTGGACCAGCTGAGGACGCATGCTGTTGAGCTGTGGCGAAGCAGCCTCTGCAAAGAAGGGGGCAGAGGGCAATCGCTCGACAGCAGCCTCTGCAGGACTGTTGTTAGCAGAGCGGGCGAATGCAGGGATGGGCAGGCTAGTGGGCGCAGGGGAGTTGTGGAAGGTAGGGCCAGCATAAAGCGTAGACTTTTTCTCTACGGGCACGCGGTCGGCCATCAAGACCTTGTCCGATGAGCTAGCCTTGGGACGCTGCATCATGGTCTCCATAGGATGAGCAACTCGGCTCGCATATACAGATCGCTGCTGCTGCTGCTGCTGAGCAGGATCCATAGAGAGATATCTATGTACACGATCAAATAACAAACTGATTAAAATCACAATTCCGATGCAAACGGAAGGAGAGTCCAGGACGGAGGTCGCCGTCGTGGTCGTCGTCCTTTGACAACCTCACTTCGATATGACGTGATGAATGGCTAGGAACATACCCGTGACGGAGCTGCTGCTGGGGCGCTGCTGGGGCAGAGTTGGGTCGCAGAGGAGGACTACCGGCCAATTGGCGCTGGTGGCGCTTCATGTTCAAGAACGTGTCGGGCAAACGGGTCATGGGTGACTCAGAGTCGTCAGAGTCCGACGAGGAAGGGGGGCTGGATGGGTCCAGAGGAGGGCTCTGGTGCATGGCCTGGTCCAGGTCGGCCTGGGCGAGGGACTCTGTGGTGGCCTCGATCTCCTTGCGTCGCTGGACCCTGCGAGCCTTGGATAGGGGCTGCGGCGATTGGGGCTTTGGCTTCTGGTTGAGATGATGGTTGCGATGGTTCTGCTGGTGCTGGTGCTGGTGCTGGTTGTTCTGATGGCGCTGCAGCGACGCAGGATTGACATTAGGAGAGGTGGCATTGGCGGCGGTCTGCTTGGAAGGGGAGGAGGGACCTTGGACAGGGCTAGGGGCGGTTGCAGGGGGGGCAACAGAGGAGCGCTTGAGGATGGTGACAGGATGAATGTGGGTCATGGTCATACCACGCTGCTGCGGGGGCATGGACTGATGGCGGCTCTTGCTGTTGCCATTGGAGTTGGTGGTGGTGGAGTGTTGGCGAGGAGAGGGATGGCCTGGGCCTGGGGATTGCGCATGGCTCTGCCTGTGGGGTGCGGTGGTGAGACCGCTCTTCCGGTTATTGGATCTCTGAGCTCGGGGAGCAGAGGAAACAGCAACGGCGGAGGACGACGGGGGAGCGGCTATTACTGATGATGGCTGCATAGGATATGATTCGGCTGTGAAGGGAGGGGGAGAGGGAGAGAGAGGGGGGAGAGAGGGATGAGAGGGGGGTATAGGAATTAGAGGTAAGAGTTGAGAGAAAAGAAGAGAAAGAAGAAAAGAGAAGAGAAGAAAAGAGAAGAAAAATGAAAAAGAGAGCAGCGGGATTAGAGAGTGGCTAAAAGGGACAGACAGACAGACAGACAGACAGACAGACAGACAGCAGGCATTCTCTTGATGTGTGCTGCCGTTTCGTTTCGTTTGTTTGTTTGTATGTATGTGTGTATGTTGGCGAAGCAAGGTGGACTAATACATCAACCAATCAACCAACCAACCCACTCAAAAGAGAGAGAGAGACAGACAGCTACCCGTTGAAGGGAAGAAGAAAAGCCTTTGTCCATGACAGACAGAGAGAGCATCCAAGCGAATGAATTACCTTTCGGGTGAGTGGATGTCTGTACGTGTGCGTGTGTGTGTGTATGGAGGTGTGGGATGACGAAGTGTTGCTCTCTCGCTTATTTATTTAATGTTTTTTTGTTGTTTTTTGTGAGCGGGAGAGAGAGAGAGAGAGAAAGAGAGGGAAGGAGGGAGAGAGAGAGGGAGGGGAGCAGAAAAGGGGTGAGGAGGGGGATGGGTGTGTGTGGATGGGTGTGTCGGGAAAGAGAGAAAGAGAGGGAGAGGGAGAGGGAGAGGGAGACCAAAAATAGACTGGGGTATGGAGGAAGGGAATGGGAAGTTAGTCAGTTGGAGACAGGAGGGAGGAGAGGAAGACAGGGGAGAGATGAATGAGTTGGGTGAATGAATGAATGAATGAATGTTGGTGTTGTTGCTGGTGATGATGATGAAGAGAAAATAGAAAGCAAGAAAATCGGGGGATGAAGGAAATGGCGGATATATACCAGACCAGACAGAGGCGGGGTAAGCCCAATCCCTCAAATGCAATTTGTGGTTCTTCTGGTCTGGTCTGGTCGGGCCGCTTAGTGTGGGCGTGAGCATGGGCGTGGGCGTGTTTGTTTGTGCCCTATGACACTCGAGAGAAGCGAGAACCGGGGGGAATGATAAAGACAAATAACACAAGCATCCGCTGCCATTGGTCACTGCTCTTTACGTACACCACTACGAGTCGTGGAAGAAAAAAACCACTCATCTGAAACGACAAACGATGTCATTTTGCCTGATCATGTACGTAGTCTCTTTTTTTACTCCACTGCACCCTTCAGCCCTTTCTCCAACCATTAATGCCGTTAATGTGTCCAATTGGACCCAAAAAGAGCACTTGACGTCGAACCAGTCGGTCTATTTCACCCCAAGAATGTTCCAACAGTCTAATGGTGTCTAATGGTGTCTAATGGTGTCTAATGGTGTCTAATGGTCTAGCGGTCTAATGGCCTGAAGCAACGGATATCGTCAATGGCACCAGACAAACCACATCAGGCCTCGCGCTGGCACTCCTCCTCCTGGCGACGGTTGATTTCGCCCATGGTCAACGACCCATCCTGCAATCCCTGGATCAGCTCCGTCACCTCGTCAAACGTCTCGAACGCCAAGAACGGGATCTTGTGGGTCCTGCAGTACGACTCCAGCCCTCTGGTACCATCAACAAAAAAAAATGAGCGGTCGTCAGACATTCCGCCGTGAAACGTTCACTTCATCCCTCCCTTCTCCTGTAAGCATTTTTTTTTTTTTTCGTTTCAAATCGCATCAGCAAACTGTTTCGACTTACCTATCTTTCCTCGCAAACAACACATCGGCCTCACGCGCGGCGCTCAGATCCGAGACACCATCGCCACAAAACACGATGACATGCTCCTCCTCCCGCTCCTCCTTCGTCTCGCCCGCCTGTTCCTTCTCAATCTGTCTGTCCATAATTTCCTGCTTAAACTTTTGCTTCGAGTCCTTGATCGACACAGACTTGTCGTGGCTATGAGGGCTGTCGTCCCGGTAGGTGACAATCCACTTGTGGCCCTCGACTTTGGCGTAATTGGCCAGGACCACCATCTTCTTCGCCTCGGCCTCACCCATATGCCAGGCCATGTACTGCTCAATGAGAATGTCGAGTCCACAAGACAGCATCGAAAACGGGATGTTATGCGATTGAATAAAGGCGTAGAACTGTAGGAACCCCGGATCAATCTCGACCGGCCGAATGAGCTCCAGTCCTTCTTCCAGCGTCAGGTTCACACTCGACCACCAAATGTCCATCGCATCCCTACAGTTCCGTATTGGTATTGGTATTGGTATTATGGTATTATGCATGGAGCATGCAAAAGTGTTTTACGTCAGCAATATGATCCTTCTGATACTGAGCGAACAATGCCTCCCCCCCCCCCTAACTTTCGTGTCCGACTTACCGAAAGGTCAGTTCGTGGCGCATGATCCGCTCGTCCATTTCCTTGCGGGCCTCCTCGCCCATGCCAGAATCAATCAGGATGCATCCGGTGTCGCCGAGACTGATCGTTCCGTCAAAGTCTGAGAATACTTCAATACGAGGCATGGTGATGGGTGCTGTGGGTGGAATGGGTAAGGATGAGTCGATGAGTCGATGAGTCGATGAGTGAGGAAGGGGACAAGCGCCCTATTTATATCCATTTATTCATTCTCAGGAACCGCCGCCAATTTTGCTTTGCTGGGCGTTTAGGCCTTACGCCCTGGGGCTAAACAGATAAAGAAAGGCATGCGCCGCTCGCTACATGGTCAGCACAGGTGATCCATGGAGATCGCAGGGCATCTTCCAATCTCTTTATTACGCTAGACGCCATGTTCTAAAAAAGACAGAAAAAGGTACGCAGATCCATTGACCTAGAGCAAGTCTCCCCAATCAAACCCGTCGCCATCACCTCCTCCACCTCCACCTTCACCCTTGTCGCCTCCGAACCAAGAATCTCCAGAGTCGGCGCTCTCCTCGCTCCAGACATCCTCGCTCCACCCATCCGTCGACGTTCCCGCGGGCATGTCCTCTCCCCAAGCACCGCCCCCTGTTGCTGGTGGTGCAGATGGCATCGGTGGTGGTGTCGGCATACCTCCGGCTGCCCCTCCCGCAACATCTCCTGCTGCTGCGCCGCCCAGCACATGTCCTGCACCTGCGCCCGCTCCCGCGCCAACCACTGTACCCATGGGATTATCCGAACTGCTGCTTGGAACAGGCGCATGTCCACCTCCCATCATCATCGGAACCGGCATGATACCCCTATACCGTGGGAACGCGCGAGAAACCGTTAGTTATACCAAATCGAATAACGACCAGAACAGTATAGCAATAACTGCTAAAAATAACCATAGTTGCCTTACCCGTTCCCTGAATGGCGTGAAAAGTAATCAAAGTCGATACTGACAGCACACGCCAGCATAATAGCTCTCTGATCAAGCGTCAGTCCACCTCTGCTCTCCAACTGCGCCAGCGCCTTCTCGTCCTTGTTTGCCTGGATCTCCTTAGCCTGCTGCAGATCCTGTTCGCTTGTGCCTGACAAGGTCGACGTCGCCGCGGGTGTGGCCCCAAGTCCCTGCTCCTGCTGCAAGTCCTGGATCACAGCCGCATCGAACCGAAGAGCATACTGTCCTGAGTCCGTAAAGAGCTCCCTCGCAAAGCCCACAAAGTTCCTGTTCACACTAGCCATCCTTTGCCCTTGCTCATCCTGCATATCAAAGTCCAGGGCCAAAAACCCTCCATCGATATGAGCAAACTGGACTCGGGTCAATCCATGACCACTCAGATCCCGCTCCGTCGAGATCGCTGTCGTCTTGCTATCCCGCTGTATTTCGTTCGTATCCTGTTGCTCGATTGTGAAGAGGTTGTAGCGCCTGCGGATCAAGTGCCACTCCTGTTGAACCTCGCCGATCAACCGGTCATCGGGCGTTGAGATCATGATCCTGGAGTTGATGAACGCAAAGGGACGGTGGATCTTCAAGACCTCATTGCCTTCCAAATCCAAAACTGAGGCCTTGAAGGGACGATGCGTGTGAAGAAGCTGTCGGCTCATGGCCTTCATGATGGTCGTGTCCTCCTCTGCAATGTATCCGATCGGAGCTCCTGAGGGATCCACGATCGCATATTTGTTGGCTTGCTCGAATCCCACCAGAACTAATTTTGAGGAAAAATGAACCCGGCACAGGCCATTTCGTTAGCAAGCCTCAACTCTGATTCAATGCTTAGTGGTTATCGTGCGGGAACGAATATGCGGAACAAAATTATTAGGCCCACAGGAAGCTATCACCTACCGTTCATCATTTCGATCTGGCGTGTCATGATCAAGGCTGGCTGCGCAAGCAGTTTGTAGGCTGTATCATGCGGCTGCAGGACCCCGAACGGATCCTCCGGGATAACTGCAGGTGTCGCCGCGATATCCAGTCCCTGTACCATATTGCTTGGCGCTTGCTCCTGTGGGATCCCTGCGGCATCCGGAGCAGCCGCTCCATGGCTTAATACCGAAGCAGTACCCGCTGTAGGTGCTGGAGTTGATGCTGGAGTGTTAGCCCGCGAGGGTGCTGCGGTCCTGGCAGTGATGCGTCCTCCTCGAGAGCTGTGTGAGTTTCCGATGGCGTGGCGCCTCAGAGAGGAATACTGATTATTGTAGTTGTAGTGTCCCGCTGTCCGTGCTGCGCGTAGAGAAGACGGAGTGTGCCGAAGAGCAGTAGAAAGCCTTGTCCGCGAGGGAGTGATCAGCAGCACTGCAGTGGTTGACACGGCTCGCTGCATGGTCTGTTATGGTCTCTGTTGGAATGGATCCGGGTTGTCGGGCAGTTGGTCGAATCCGGGGATGCAATGAGGAAAAGTGATCTAGTTCACCTTCTTTGTGGTGTGGTTCCTTTTTGTTCCATAAGGGCCGCCCAATCCATGAGACATGTTCCCTTATTTGGTCATACATTAATAGAATTTGAGGAGGATCCACCTCTAAAATATAATTCCGGAACATAATAATGCATCAAAATAGGGAAGTCTGTTTATAGTTTATACTTTACTAATACACGTAATTGCACACGCATAGTCTAAAACGCGTGAGCCAGCTATATAGCAGCAAATCTACAGTGCACTGTGACGATGTGCAGCTCTGGATATCGTCATTTTGCTCCAGCTTTCTACCTAAGTGCCTAAGTGTGCATGAGAGACCTCTAGAACAGAGGGTGTTCTCAGGTCTGACGATCATTGGTTAGAGTAGCAGCAACAAAAAAAAAAAATTCCCCATGGCGCTGGTTTGGATCTGCTGCTTAGCTTACTTGCTTAGCTTACTTGCTCAACGCCAAAGAGCAGAGAAACATTTCGCCCACAACTAAAGTAAGCAAATCCAATCCTCACCGATCGAAAGTAAGCTGGTGGTCTCCACCCGTTGCTCCCGAGGAGTGCACGTTGCGCTCCAGCAAGGACATAGGATGGTCTAGAAAGGAACCAAGCTCAATGCTCCGAAAGGGTGCGTATGTGTGTGTGTGTGTGTGTGTGTGTGTGTGTATATGTGAGCACTCTTACAAACACCACCCTTTCCTTCGATCCTTCGAAGCAAGACTGCAGGCAGGAGCTGTTCATTTCGATTCGTTGTTATCACTCCTCTTCAGTTCCCGCATATGGCTCTCGTTATTTCTGCTCATGAACCCCTCTCTCTGCTCTGTCCCATCCAATCGATCCTGCCAGTCCACGGTCCACGTTCCTGGGAGCGGGAGCCTTGACGCGACCTGTTCTCGGCTCTCATCACCCAATCAGACCAAAGCTCTTTTTCTCTCGCCTTAGTCTAACGTATTGGTCTATCCTCTTGGACCATGTCCCCCCCTCCCTCTAAGGAATGCACCTTTCAGGTCCGTCTGCAATGTATCTCTTCTCGAGTTCTCATGGAGTCAACAGAAAACATTTAAAAGGAAAGACTCCCGCGCTGGTTTATGGCCCGCTCTTTGATATTCTATCCTCCCCAACCTTTTAACCCTCGCACTTTCTCCACCCTCAACCAACCTCCCTTCACTTTCAGCAATGCGTGTCTCTGCCTCTTTGTTCGCTGCCCTGGCCTTGGTTGCCACCACCGTCCTGGCTGCTCCTGAAAATAAGAAGAACAACAATAACAACAAGCCCATTGTCATCAACAAGAAAGTCCTCCAGACCTCCAAGGTGCCCTTTATTCCCCACAACGTACGTTTTTTTTTTTTTCTGCTTCTATCTGAACATTCCAATGCTATTGATTCTGGTGTTACTTCCACAGTTGTAGATTACACCACTTCAACCCCATCGAAACAACGTCTTCTGATCTATGCTTTTGTGTGTAAACTTTATCTCTTTCTCTCTCTTCCAGGGTACTGAATTGTTCACCAACTGGGTTGGTCTGAACGTCGACTTCCAGTACGTCAAGCCCATCTTTGACCTCGTCAACACGACCCAGACGCTCGGCAACGGCACCCTGCTCTCCCGTGGCGAGGCCCATGTGTCGATCATCCTCCCCACGGAGTACGACCAGGTCCTCCACCCCGCCGGTGTCACGATCGAGGAACTCAACACCCTCGCCTCGACCAAGAACCGTCTCCAGCGCTCCAAGTTCGAGCTCGAGTGCCTGGGCCGTGTCCAGGTCGTGTCGAAGCCCGACGGTGTGTTCCAGCAGTCGGTGCAGATCATCCTCAAGAATTACAAGGACCTGATCCACTTCCGTGAGGAGGTTTTCAAGCTGTATGTGAAGAAGGGCGGCAACCCGGCCTTGTTCGCCGCCGAGAACTTTACGCCCCACATTACCTTGGGCTTCAAGCACAGGGATATCTTTATTGAGGATGGTGTCTACAAGGGCAAGAACGCTTGCATCCACAAGATTGTTGCCAAGTAAAAAAAGAAAAAAATGAAAGAGTGAAAAAAGACAAATATACTGTTCATAGTACATCCATACCCTTGCCATAGACGTTAACAAACACAACATAATAATATGAAAAAAAAGAGCGCGACGGGAGCCGTAAAGTGCACGATCGAATGCGTGTCTAGTCTAATATGAAATGATTACAAAACGGCATATGCACACACACCCCTCCTCTTGAAATGTAGCTCAATTTGACTTCAGGGACGGCATCCAGAAAGATTTCTCACATGCCGGAAACAACTTCGCCGTGCTCCGGGGGAGGGGCGTGAAATCGTTTAATTTGTGGTCGGAACAGGGCACGCGGGGGCTAGTCTACCCACTCTCGGGGAAGGCCGAGCCCTTCGTTCTCCATTCATTGGCCCCGCCAGCTCCACCTCATCCCATTCCTTTTCTTCCGTGATGACTCTTGGCCCTCCTTCTCTCTTCTCATCCTCATTCCCATTCCCCACCCTCCACTCCTCATTCTGCTGTCCTCATTCCACACTCCTCCTTCGTCGTAGCAAGATACCTTCTAATCCCTTCGAGCCATGACAAGTCTTCTCTTCCAATCCTCAGGCAAGGACAGCTCCTCCTCGTCCTCGTCCTCCTCCGCGAACCCATTCCTGGCACTCACCCACTTTTACGAGCAAGAACTCACGGAGCTCCAGATCGACTCCCGTCTCAATGGCCACAGCAGTAACAATCCTTCCAGTCGGTACCACAGACAAACCTTCCAGGGCAAGCAGCCAGCGGCCAGAGCACACCTCTTCCCATCCTCCTCCTCCTCTTCCTCTTCATCATCTCTTTCTTCCTCGCCCGCATTATCTTCTTCTTCATCTGTCTCCTTCTCCAGCGGTAGCAGCAATGGCAGCTATACCCTCAAAGCTCACTCTGCCTATACCCAACCCCAAGACGAATTCAAGGTTTTTGCTAACCAACCGACACTCTCGACACTCTCGACTTTTCCGGACTACCACCAAACCTACCATGGCCCCAGAGGATCAACGGCGGACCTTTCAGAGGAGGACCTGAAGCAGCGACAAGAGTACTATGCACGCGAGGCAGAACTGCGGAGTCGGGATCGAAACGACGGTCTGGGACCGATTGTGGATTTCTCGGAGCAGTATTGGAGGGATCTGCTGATGGATCGTGGTCTGGGCCTGAGTAAGAATCGTCTGGAGAATCATCTCCAAGTCAGGCACCATAATCCATACGCACAAAGACAACACCGGGAGCATCAACAACAACAACAGCAGCAACAGCAGCAACAGCAGCAGCAGCAGGGAATGCGTGCATCATCACAGCAGGAGCAAGTCTGGCTGGATTTTGGGCGGAGCGCTGTTGAGTTCTCGGACGAGGAGATGTCAAGAACAATGACGACGACGGAGAGGGACATGGATCAGGCTTGGAACGAACCGCGTGCTGTCTTGAATGACAAGATGACGACGAACATGTCGTCATTGGATACGGGAACAGTAAGGCCCACCACCCCAATAGCGTCTGCTTTCAGGGATGCTGCCATGTCGATCCATTCCTCATGGCCACTCGCACCCTGGGCAATCGAGACCGAAGCCGCGTTTCTCGAGTTTGAGGAAGCACACAAGAACCATAACAGCTTCAACCAGCATCAGGACCAAGGACACCGTGTTCTGTCATCTCCCACTACTACAACAACAGCAACAACAACAACAACCTTGGAATCTTTCAATCCGGATGCATCGTCGAACTGGTCTGAGGAATTCAGGCAACGCAGCTGGGAGGCTTCGTCGCTCTCAAGTATACCCGCCCCCAAAGAAGGAAGCGAATCGCTCAAGACCTGTGGATTTATTTTCGATACCAAGACCCATCCGGATCTTTCGGAACCGACCACGTTGATGTTCCTCGGCGCGTCGACAACCCTTCCGACCGTAGAGGTGAATTACCAAGGTCCAATAGGCGCATCATCAACGGTATCTGTGCCTCTGCCTCTGCAGGAACAACAGCAATATCGTTCAGGACCAACTTCATTCGTAGCGGACTTTACATCCCTAACACAACAGGAACCAATCGAACAAGAAAGGCCTGGTCAGGTTTACAATGACGATGTCTTTGAAGGGGATATGTTGCAAGCATGGATGGAAACGCTGGCGCTGGAGAAACAAGAGGCGGATGAGCGTGCCAAAGAGGAGGAAGGAAAGCGGGCTGCTAAAGAGAAGGAGGAGGAGGAAGAGGAGGAAGGAGAAGAGGCGGCAGCGACGGAGACGTTGGATGAGACGAAGCAGAAGATGGTGCTGGAGGTGGCGTTGAGGCGGTTGGATGCGCTGATGCACCAGTTGGATCGGACTCAGGGGTCGCTGAAGCGCACAGGTGTTCTGGAGAAGGGAAGGAAAGTCGATGCTGTGGCATAGACCAGTTAGATGTAGACCAGCATTTGATCCAGGTGCTCAGTCGACATAATATTAAAAAATAGAAAAGGAACACAACGATGTCTCCACAAACAGACGCGAACGCGTAATGCAGGGTCCTTCATAGTCCATGCGCTGTGAAGTATGATGGGCCCATGTCCTCATCTGCCAATTCGCCCTGCTACGTTCTCTGTTTGACCTCCCGATTGCTTTCAGTCAGGACCTTCTCGTGATAGCCAGCCTTCGCTGTTTCCTCCTCTCCCCTCTCCCCCTCTCCTCCTATGCCTGTCTACAAGATGACATTGGTTACTGGCTTTTCTTTTGCATACAACGGGCAAAAGAGCCCTTCATAGACCAGATTAAAACATTTATACATACATAAACTGTACGTATAAACCGTTGAGGGGAAGAGAGGGAGAGAGAGAGAGAGAGAGAGAGGAGGAGACGATGACGGTAAGATCGTCTCTAATCTGGAATCTGGAATCTGCAGCCGCGAACTACGAGTGCATAGAGTCCACCGGTTGTGGGAACCATTTATTTTATAAAACCAGGTAGCTTGGGGGACTCCTGGATATTTTCTTTTCTCTTTTTCTCTTAGCTTGAGCAACTTTGGCTTTTTTCGCGCATACCCCCCTTCCTTCTCCCCCTCCTTCTCCTAGACTCCTATTAAAACGCGCATACCCAAACGCATAACCTAAACGCACATCCTAAAAACATATCCTTCTACACAAAAAAAATCGCCATTTCATCTCTACTTGAACGTTAGGACCCAATGAAACTGAATCTTGGCCTTGCAGGCGCGCTCTTGATAGTCGCCACACAGGCAGCGACGACGGACACCAAGTCCGCAAATATGCTCAAGTAATAAATTGAAAGCACATCTCTCTCCTGTGCTAAAGACCAGTAAGGAAAGAAAAAAAATGCATCCGATGGATGTGAATCCTAACGCGTGTCGAATTCGTTTTTTTTTTTTTTTTTTTTTTACTTTTTTCTACTTTTTGCCATAGGATCTCGATCACGACAATCCAGGGAGGACGACGACCGTCGACGGTGGGACGATGGGTGCATACGTTACGGAAATACGGTGTTTCAAGGTCCATGGCAGGAGGGGTCAAGAGCATCCAACGCGGTGGTGTCGCAGAGGGGGAGCGCACGAGTCTTGCGCGGGTGCCCTTGATCGACTATGATTTCGATCGCGAGGTAAAAACAGTTTGTTAATGTCTGAACAGGATGGCAAACATTCTGATATTCATATCACTTTTTATTTTTGTGCTTGGAATGTGTGTAGTACTATGGTACGGTAATGGTGGGCGAACCACCTCAGTCGTTCAAGGTAAGGAAAAAAAATGTGCGCACTTGCATCCGCCTCTCCACTAACACCAAACTACAATCGTCTAACCTGCCTCTCTCCCCCCCCCCTTCTCTCTCTTCTTGGTCTAGATCGACTTTGATACAGGCTCCTCAAAGTTCATCCTCTCCTCCAAGAGCTGTCAGCAATGCTCCGGCACAACCCGCTACGACCCCTCCACCTCCAACACCTTCCTCCTCAACAGCGACTACGAGAACAAAGTCAACGCGTACAACGGCTCTCCTCTCACTAATTCTTCTTCTTCCAATACCCCCCCACTCTTCTCCCCACCACCCGTGCCCTCGACCTCGAACGCCTGGCACATCACCTACGGCGACTTTTCCCACGCGGAAGGATACCTCGGTCGGGACCACGTCCGGATCGAGAACCTCGTTGTTCAGGACCAACAGCTCGCGCTCATCACCTCCGAGAGCGCGAATTTCGATGACGTGATCGACGGCATCATGGGCCTCGCCTTCGGCTCCCTCTCCGCCCCGTCTTCTTCGTCGTCCTGGGCACCGAAACCGCGGACGGTGTTTGAGAACATGATGGACCAGGGACTAGTTGAGCGTGGGATGTTTAGTTTTTTCCTCGGCAAGAACCGACGTGATGGGTTAGCGAGTCTGGACGGCACACGTGCCAATGGCGGGGGGGAAGTGATCTTTGGAGGGATGGATATGGGCTATGTGAAGGAAGGGCATGAGATCGTGTGGACGAATGTTACAAAGCCAAAATATTGGCAGATTAATGTTGAGAATATTTGGGTGGATAGACACAGAGTCGACTTTAAGTCCAGGGGGTTCTTTGCGAACCCAGGATTCTCCTCCGCCTTGTCATCGTCGTCGCCGTCGTCGTCGTCTGGTAGCGCCAAAAGCAAACAGGAAAAGAAAGATGAAGAAGCAAAGTCGGATATTCCGGGGATTATGGATACGGGCACGACGCTGTTGATCATGCCTGAGAGATTGGCGGCGGGGATCCATGCCATGATCCCGAGGGCGGTCCAGGTCTACGGACAGTCATGGGCCTTGCCCTGTGAGCTCGCGAAGGAGACCAAGAAGCTTGAGCTTGGGATTGAAGGGCATCGGTTCGCGATTCCGTTCTCGGATCTCGTGCGTGAGGAGGTTGCTCAGGGCGAGGTTGCTCAGGGCGAGGTAACCCACGACAATGGACTGACGTCGGATCACGACAGCTTAGGGAAGGATAAGGACAAGGATAAGGACACCAAAAAGCCAGCCAACTTGTGCTTCTCAGGGATTCAGCCCAGCAGCGCCGGGTTTATGATCATTGGGGATTTGTTTATTAAAAACAATTACGTGGTGTTTGATCAGGAGAACAAGCGTGTGGGTATTGCACCGTTGAGGTTTGAGTCTGATACAACGGCGGCAGAGGTAAATGCGATGGAGAAGAAGAGGCGGGGTACGGAAATGAGGACAGGATGGGAGATAGCAGAGGAGACAGAGGAAGCGATGGGGTTATAATGTTCGACCTGCTAGATCCAAGGTCCATGGGGATAAGGGGAAGCGTCTGTAGACGACGATAGTGTTCAGTAAAAGAACTACAGCAGTGTGTGGACATGACAGACAGAAGCTACTGGTTGAGCTCAGGCTTCTTCTGCAATATCTACTATGACATGACGAGTGTAACCATGCGAAAAAGCACAACAGGAACCGCCAATGCTCTCCACTTTCTAGATCGTTAACGTTTTCAAGAAATAAACTCTGCTTCATGCCTCACGCCTCACAGCAATGAGAGTTTGGCGTAGGGAACGCGTATCAAGAATACGATCGATGGCGTGTATACGCAAGACGCTGTGCGACGTCGCAACCAGTTTGTCCTTGCGCAGCATACAACAGTTGGCAAATTACTAATGATTTGAGACGAGATGAGATGGGCAGAGGACACGCAAGCAACTCGTCGTCTAGCTACACGCAATCGGTCATGGCCTGGGACCCGATGTTGTTGTCCATATCTTGAATAGCTAGCGGCCATGATGACGACGATGATGATGATGATGATGATGGGGCACTACAGTTGGAAATTGTTTCAGGGCCAAGTGGATCTCCGATCTCGAATATTATTATCGGAATATGGAAATACTCTGCCCGTTTTTTCTTTCGCTCCATTGATCGACAGGGGATGGGTCTAGGTCGGTTGTCGAGCCTATGGTGATGATGAAGAAGAGAAAAGAGTTGGCAGGGGCAAAGCTACCCACGGATGAGTCATGTCTCTGACTTGACAAGAAAGCTTGCTGGACATCGGATGAAGCTGGATTGTGTGCAGGCCACTCGATTTGTCAGTTGGGTATTGTCCAGCCAATTTAAAAATACAGAGCTGGACTTCACCTAATAATGATATATATTCTCGGTACCAAATCAGAATCGAGCTGAGTCTGCGATTGAAGACCGATTATTATTGAATTGCTGTGGTACAAGAAAAAGAAGAAAAAGAAAGATGCAGATGAGGCCCATGTTGGAACAAACGGCCAAAACGGCTCACAGGCAAACAGGTGGTGCTGGAGAGAGAGATTGTGAACCTCTTTTAGTCAGTGGACTGGTTGGTACCACTGCTCTGCAAGTGGGGTAGACGAACTATGTTTGAAAAGGGATGAGAGCACGCGAGTCATTCCATGTCAAGGGCGATTCATTCTCCTTATCGTCTGCATTTAATTTTTTCCTCATCGATAAGAAACAGCAGCCGTTGCGGCGGTGCGCAAGGCAAGACAAATGTCCGAGAGGAGCACTACAGCGGGTGAGTATATACACCTGTGGTACGGAGTATATATCGTACACGGAATACGTATGGATGGAAAGACGAGAAAACGAGAACCAGGGGACCAGGGCCAGACGACAGACACTCCGACTTTGAATGTCAGCGCTAAGGTTTTCTTCTAGACGAGGATTACTAAAAACTGGTAAAGCTGTCCATGAGCCAATTGTATTACCAAAAGATGGCAAGGCGAGATACATAGACGGCCGAGTCCCATCTAAATGGAAACACCAATCTGCGTGTTCATTATACAGAGGCGTTTATATATGGAAGTGCGGGTACTTTTCCACGGTCTACCTGGTGGTCGTTTTGTCGTTCATTTATATCTGGACCTTCCCTCCGTCTTCTTGTCCTCCTCTTCCCTCTGCTCATCCGTCGTTCCTTCTTTCCTCGTTTCCTAAACCCTCACATACTCTTTCCTTCCCCTATCGCTCGTTTCAGTTATTCACCCGTCCGTCCGTTCATTCATCCATCCATCCATACATACATACATACATACATACATACATACACAAGATGCTCAAGCGCACAACAACGTCGATGCTGGCCTCGTCCTCCCGCATCCTCAGACAACCCCTGACAAGAACCGTCGTCCCCGCGCCTTCTATCCGCCACATGAACGCCGCTGTCGCCACCAGACTCTTCTCCATCTCCTCCTCTGCCCAGTCCCCTCCTCCCCCTCCGCAGTACTCCACAAGAACAACCGAGTCAAATGCCCCTCGTCATCCCAGGGTCCTGGTCACTGGTATGTAATGGTGTGGCTGTTTTGTAAATGCACAGGAAATAGAGAAAAGAAACACTCAAGAAAGGCTTCATTGCAATACATGTGCATGTGTGGCAAATAAGGAAAACGAGGACAATGCCCTCCTGCACTCTTCCTTGGTTGTCGACTGTGGTTCTGGCCTGACTGCAAACAAACATCTGAAAAAGGCCTACCCACTCTCAATCAATCACTCATCTTTTATTCTGTTTCGTTTCCTCACAAAAACAGGTTCTTTGGGTCAACTTGGCTCTGGATTGGTCAAGCAGCTCCGGTAAGGAAGAGAATCTGCTTTGAGCTGCATTTTACCATGCATTCATCTCCTCCTCTTTGGCCTTTTCTCAGTGTTTGTTTTTGGGTTCTCCAAGGGGGGTTTACGGCCTGAGTGCCTGTGTAGCCCAGCTGTTTAAGCAGGGCGTGGTTGTACGACAAAAATAACAAATGAAAGGAACGTTGTACCAATGACAAGTACCCCCAACAGGGGCTACATCCCAACCCAGCAGCGTGGTCCCCATTCACCCCTTCCTCCTCAAATTCTTCCCACAGTTCAATATATGGGTTGTTCAATATATGGGTTGTTCAAAAAAAGGAGGATGGGGACAGCCTGCAATAGCAACGAGAGATCTTTATTTGTTTACTCTCATCTCAAAAGGAAGAACAGGCAGGCGCATTCAGATCGAGATGACTAGACGCTGATGCAAGCGACGAGGGTATTACATGGCAGAGCATTGTTCGGACATCCTGTTGGCGGTCTCGCCCTCTGCCCTGCCCTGTCTTGCCGGACACTGCATAGTCTGCTCTTTTTTTCTTCTCTTTTTGTTCGTAGCTCACCACGCTCTGGCCTGTTTCGTACTTTTGGCACATTATTTTCAGCACTTTTCATCCCCCCTATGGATTCATCATCTCTTCCCACAGCTCCCATGACCAATACTTCTTTTGTTACCAAAAGCGCGGTTAAACTAACGAGTTATGCGTTTCGCGTTCTTTATGAACTCTAGTGGCATGTACGGCAATGAGAACGTTATTGCCTCCGATATTCGCAAGGCACCGGATGCATTCATGGCCAGCGGTCCCTTTGTGTATGCGGATGTCATGAACTACTCCCTGCTCGAGCGCATCGTTGTCGACTGGCGCATCGGTAAGTCTAATATTACTCTGCCCCAAAGGAACGCTGGCAGACCAACCAAAGACTTTTGCAGTGTGAGAAAAACAAGGCGACGGAGGATGAACTCCACCGCAGCCAACTCCTCTGTCCGAATTTTACCCCAGACTGCAGCGTTCTAAAGTTCAGGACGAGAGCCATGTGTTTAGGCGCAAAAAAACAATGAAAGAGAGCAGTGCGGAGTACAGTAACATCCTGGGAACATTAGGAACTTTGGGAACTTTCAGGTTCAGCACCCTCTTTTTTTTTCCACGATGCCTTGTTATTTGTTTACTTCTCGCTATTTTTTTTTTTTTTTTGGCGCTAAAACAGTGCTTCCTTGCAGCACTTCTGTTTACATCGTTGCCTATTTCAAAGCAGCTGGCCGCAAAGTTCAATCTCCACGCGGATACCTGTTGTGCACTCCCCCTGCTGTCGACTTTTTTTTTTTTTTTTTTTTTTTCCATGAGCCATGTTTTCCACGCTTAATGCCTGCAGCAGTTTGAAAGAAAAAACACATTGTGTCTGTATCTGACTTCGTACCCGCTTTCCTTTCTTTCCTGAACTAGACTGGATTGTACACTACTCGGCCCTGCTTTCTGCCGTCGCAGAAAAGAACCCTGCCTTGGCGCTGAGCGTCAACATGACCGGATTCCAGAACGTGCTGGAGTTGGCCAAGATTCACCGTCTGAGACTGTACTCGCCCTCGACCATTGGCGCATTTGGTCCCTCGACTCCCAAGAACAACACCCCTGACTTGACCATCATGCGGCCCAACACCATTTACGGCATCACTAAGCTGCATAACGAGCTCCTTGGCGAAGTAATGATTCAATTCTCTCATCTGGACCTGCACACTCGCATCCAAATGTGGTAACCTATGCTAACATTCTTTTCTTTTGTATCATAGTATTATCGTGAGAAATTCGGCGTCGACTTCAGATCCGCCCGCTATCCTGGCATCCTCAGTGCTGATACCCCTCCAGGTGGCGGAACTACCGATTACGCTGTCGATATTTTCCACCATGCCATCCGTCATGGCCACTACGACTGCTTCCTGTCCAAGGACACACGCCTGCCTATGATGTACCTGAGCGACTGCATCAAGGGCACAGTCGACCACCTCACTCACCCAACGCCATTGCCTCAGTCTGTCTACAACATTGCTGCGGTCTCATTCACGCCTGAAGAACTGGCAACAGAGATCCGCAAGCACTTGCCTCACTTCACCATCTCATACCCAGACCCTGCACGCCCAGATTTCCGTCAGGCAATTGCAGACTCTTGGCCAGCGTCACTGGATGACTCGATGGCACGGCGGGACTTTGGCTGGAGGGAGGAGTACGGTCTGGAGAACATGGTCAAGCTGATGTTGGACAAGATCCAGGCTCAGGTCGATACTGAGAAGAAGACCATGGGCTCAAATGATGGCTCTACGACAGCAGCCATGGCCGCCTAGAAAAAGCGCGTGTCGAGTCGTACTTTTTTTTTCTGTTTAGCATATTATTCTCATTATCATCATTATGGCGCACATTTTTCTCTTGCGGTCAATATGCGCTGTCACCGTCTAATAAAACCCTCGAGTGAACCCTATTTTTACGCCACCAACTTCATCAGCGCAGTGTATGCGGAAGCGGCTCCTTGTGGTATCGAGTGCAGGGGGGGAAAGGCTTAATAGGGTAATGGATAAAAAGAGGTCTGCCTGTAGGCTCGATTCCAGCCCTCTCTTATTGTAATTTCCTTATTTGTCAATTCAATGCAGAGGGGCTGGTAAAAAATGATGGGTCCAAGGCCGACATCTTAAAAGGAAGTTGATTAAGGGGTAATACTGGGCAAAACATGCAATAACAGAGTAGTCCGCTCCTTCGCTTGCACGGTGGCCCTGCCTTGAGTACAGAGCACCGGCCAGTCATCTCAGTCTAATCATCTTCAGCTACTCCATTCCTGTCCCAATGACGAACCCTGCATCTAACATTGACACCCCCTCCCCTCCTGCGCATGTCACTGCTGACGGTAGTCCGCCGTGGGCACCACGTGTGGAAAGAACGAGTAAGTGGAACGCGTCGCAAAACGCGTTGACGAATTTAAAAAAAAATCTACCCCTTTCTAACCTCGGCACTTCCTAGTTATTGTATTGGACTCTCCCTCCCCTCCTGCATCACCCACAGCTCGATTCTCTGACCGCGCTGTACAAAAACGACCGCGTGTGGAGAGAGGACGTAAGTAGAACGCGTGCCAAAAGCCGTCAGTAGAAACTACACTGGAAAAAAAACTATTCTAACCATGGCATACTTCTCCTCTCTTATCTATTTGCAACTTCTCATTAGCCCTCTCTACCAGCGTAGTGCCCGCCGACGAGGTGCTCGAGTCTCAATTCGTTTTCGAATCCTTTTGCAAACGGTCAAATCAGGTGGAAGTGGATCTAGGGTGGAAAGGAGGCTTTATTCGTATCAATGCTGCTGTCTAGTTCTACGTGTGGATGGGGTTTATATAAACTGGCTGGATAGATAGCAACAGTGTTCTAGAAAGTCGTAGAAAGATGGGCGAAGCGCTGATGACATCATAATGCACTTAACCGAGCATAAACCTGTTGCATTGGGGGTAACTTGAAATACATCTTGGCATCGTTTAGTGGTATCCGCGGGCAAGGAGAGGGCTAATGGGAAGTTGCAAATAGATAAGAGAGGAGAAGTATGCCATGGTTAGAATAGTTTTTTTTCCAGTGTAGTTTCTACTGACGGCTTTTGGCACGCGTTCTACTTACGTCCTCTCTCCACACGCGGTCGTTTTTGTACAGCGCGGTCAGAGAATCGAGCTGTGGGTGATGCAGGAGGGGAGGGAGAGTCCAATACAATAACTAGGAAGTGCCGAGGTTAGAAAGGGGTAGATTTTTTTTTAAATTCGTCAACGCGTTTTGCGACGCGTTCCACTTACTCGTTCTTTCCACACGTGGTGCCCACGGCGGACTACCGTCAGCAGTGACATGCGCAGGAGGGGAGGGGGTGTCAATGTTAGATGCAGGGTTCGTCATTGGGACAGGAATGGAGTAGCTGAAGATGATTAGACTGAGATGACTGGCCGGTGCTCTGTACTCAAGGCAGGGCCACCGTGCAAGCGAAGGAGCGGACTACTCTGTTATTGCATGTTTTGCCCAGTATTACCCCTTAATCAACTTCCTTTTAAGATGTCGGCCTTGGACCCATCATTTTTTACCAGCCCCTCTGCATTGAATTGACAAATAAGGAAATTACAATAAGAGAGGGCTGGAATCGAGCCTAGTCTGCCTGTAGGGTTCTCTTTCTTGGTTCGAATCTCGACAACAGGTACATCTCCGTCGTAGAAACATGAAGTTGTATATCCGTAGCCATATCTTCTTTTCTTGGTTCGAACCTCGACAGCAGCTTGGTTGTTCGAATATTAGCTATTTCCACACCACCAACGGTCAAACTATCTACCACCCCTTTTCAACCAATCAGCATGGGAATCGGGCGATCCAGACGGACAGCCACCCCTTCGCTCGCACCTTCCTACGTGTCACGTATGTCCTACGCCCAGAAATAAAAACGTGCTGAAAACAGCCCCCCACATACCCAGTCGTCTCTGCCCCCCCTCCTCCTTCATCGCACTGCATCCTATCATCAACTGATCCTCAGGAACAGACCCCCCTCCCCCATCAACCCATCTCATCATCACAACATACCGATGACCCGCCGCTGGAACGCCCTCACCCGGGTGGCAGCACTCGCCCTACTCGGCACGACCGTCACCCTCTCCCAAGCATTCTACCTCCCCGGTGTGGCCCCGACAGAATACGAGGATTCAGATGCAGTGCCGCTGATGGTCAACGCCCTCACCCCCGGATCCGAATCAGAGCTCAAGTCAGTCATCCCCTACGACTACTACGATCCCATGTTCAACTTTTGTAAACCAAAGGATGGTGAGCGTTCCCAGGCAGAATCCCTCGGCAGTATTCTCTTTGGTGATCGCATCTGGGACTCGCCCTACAAGGTATTCAACACTACGCGACCTTGTCAAGGTGTCAAAGGAGCACACACACACACACACACATCCAATTATCGATGGCGATTCTTGTATTCTGACATGTACTATTATTTTTATTATTATTTTGTCATTTATTCCTTTCATAAAACTTATCCAGATCAACATGAAGCAGCCAAAGCTGTGCGAGAAACTCTGCGACACCGAAGTGGGCACGGAACAGGCAAAGTTCATCAACAACAGGATCCGCGAGAATTACGTGGTCAATTGGCTTATCGATGGTCTCCCCGCTGGTTTCGTACATTCGGGAACAGGCAGGGATCAGGATAAGGAGTTTTATTCCATTGGATTCCCCTTGGGTGCCGACACTGGCAGGGAGACACCGATGCTGCACAATCACCATGAAATCACGATCGATTACCATCATAATACACAAAAGGATACTCTACGCGTCGTCGGCGTCACTGTCGAGCCTTATAGGTATTCAACAAGGCGTTCATTTTTTATTTTTTTTATTTTTTTATTTTTTCAAAAGCGCGAGGAAAGGAGGGAAACCTCGATGCAACCATACCTGACCTGACTAACAATGATGGTCTTTCTTTTTTTCCTCTCTTTGCTTCAAAAACCTGCAGTATTGAAGTCCCTATAGAGAAAACTGAACTGTGTGGAATCTCAAATATGGAACAGGTCCCTGGCATGTACGTGTCTGAGAAGAAGACCACTTTGGTCACTTACACCTACTCTGTCCACTGGAGGGTGAGTTGAATAGATTTCCTAAAGATCCACCCCCTTCCTCCCCCCCCCCCCCTTTTTTTTTCTCTGTGTACCCGGGGCTGGCTATCCCAGACAACATCCTGAAATATCTCGCTAATAATTTTTTCCTTTTTTTCCAAAAAAAATTATAGGAGGAGGTCAATACCGCATGGGCAACCCGATGGGACAGGTACCTTCTCGTGGGCGAGCCCAGGATTCATTGGTTCTCTCTTGTGAACTCGATCATTATCGTTCTCTTCTTGACGGGTATGGTCGCCATGGTCTTGTTGAGGGCCCTGCACAAGGATATCTCGCGCTATAACCAGCAAGAGGCACAGGAGGATTTCCAGGAAGATTTCGGTTGGAAGCTGGTCCATGGGGATGTCTTCCGTCCCCCACCTTACCCAATGTTGCTATCCATCATTGTTGGAAATGGATCACAAATGTTCTTGATGGCCTCAGTGACGATCTTGTTTGCGGCTCTTGGTTTCTTGTCGCCCTCGAACCGTGGATCGCTCGCGACTGTCATGATTGTGTTTTACATGTTCTTTGGCGTCGTTGCAGGTTTCATCTCCGCAAGACTGTACAAGATGTTCGGAGGCGAGGCCTGGAAGCGCAATGTGATCGGCACCGCATTGTTGTTCCCCGCGTAAGTTGTTGTCAGTGCGAGCTCACTTTAAGATGGAAATCTTTCGAGTTGTGTTACGCCACGTTGTAGGACGATATTAATAGACAACCGTTGCTAAACCGTTGACCATACTCTCTAATTCCGTTTTTTTCTGTTCAACAATAGAATCATCTTTGGTGCATTCCTTGGGCTGAACTTCTTCCTCATTGGAGCCAAGTCCTCTGGAGCGGTGCCCTTTGGTACCATGCTCGGTCTTGTCGCGCTCTGGTTCCTGGTCTCGACACCTCTCTCGGTCATTGGATCCTATCTTGGATTCCAGCGCCCCAAGATCGAGACCCCCGTGCGTGCGAACCAGATCCCTCGCCAGATCCCCGACCAGGTGTTCTATCTGCGCCCGATCCCTTCTATGATGATCGGCGGTATCTTGCCCTTTGGAGCCATCTTCATTGAGCTGTACTTTATCCTGAATTCGATCTGGTTCCACAAGATCTACTATGTCTTTGGATTCCTGTTCCTGGTCTTTGGAGTCTTGATCTTGACCTGTGCTGAAGTCACGATCCTGATGTGCTACTTCCACCTGTGTGCCGAGGACTATCACTGGTGGTGGAGAGCCTTCTTCACAAGTGGTGCGTCTGCGATCTATATCTTCCTGTACTCGGTCATGTATTACTTCACGACCCTCCAGATCAAGTCCTTCACGAGCGTGGTCCTGTACTTTGGATGGACCGCGATCATGAGCTTGATGTTCTTTGTCCTCAGCGGCGCCATTGGTTTCTTCTCGACCTTCTTTTTTGTCAGGAAAATCTATGGAAGCATCAAGATTGACTAGATGACGGACGAACATGATGTTTTTTTTGGGTGCCCAAGGATTGAAGGACGTAGATGTAATAGATCAAAGAGCGTTTTGCTTCCTTGCAATAAAAAAAAAAAAAAAAAAAAAAGCTTGCGATGCCATTCGATTGTTTATGTATGGTGATATAGGTCTAAGATCTATTCATAAATCACAGTAATCGCCTCTCTCTCTTCTCTCTCTCTCTCTCTCTCTCTCTTCTCTCTCTCTCTCTCTCTCTCTTCCTTCCTTCCTTCCTTCCTTCCTTCCTTCCTTCCTTCCTTCCTTCCTTTCTTTATCTCAAGACACGAATGCGTTCTGTTCAAGTGCCGCGACCAAAATTCACTCCGCGTCGCTCATTGACCTTATCCTCGCTGTAACGGCTTGTGATTTCTCTGAACAATTTCTTGCACTCGACACGAGCGCCCAATTTGGAGCACAGCAAGAACGCACCTGCCATCTTACGATGCATCGAGTAGGTCTCGTCCGGCGGCGGTGTTAGTCTGTGCTTCAGCATCGTCGGGATCTCATCCTTGACCCTCTGCGTAATCGTTTGGTACTTGAAATCGTATACATCCGGTGCTGACTCCTGGAACGGCTCCGACAGAGTCAACAATGAACTGATATGCGCGGTTTCCATCACCGGTGTCTCCTCGCCCGTCAAGAACCCAAGTTCCCTCGAATACCTCAAGCACCCATCTCGGTCTCCTGCTGCGCCCGCCAAAATCGTCTTGAGGTACAACGTCGTGAACCTTGACTCGAATCCACGCGTCGCTCCAAAATCCAGCAGCTCCAGCTTCGTCGTCGTCGGATTATACAAAAAGTTTGTCCAATTGGGATCCGTCTGCATGTACTGGTATTCGAACAACTCTTTCAAACAAAGACTCAAGATATTCGTCCCGATCCGGTCCCGCACCGCCTGATCGCGCGTCTGCATCACCTGCGTCATTGACTCGCCCTCCATCCACTCCATCGTCAACACCATCGGTCCCGACGCCTCGCGCACTAGTCTTGGCACCTGATAATCCGGATCATTCTCCATGAGTCGTCCAAACTCCTCAATACAGTCAGCCTCGCGTAGATAGTCCGTCTCCCAACCCAACTCACGCTGCGCAACCTTGATCGTGTTATCGAGGTACATGCCCCTCGGTAGAATACTAGACATGAGTACCAGGGTCTTGAGGTTCGACAGATCCGAATCGATCGACGCGGCCACGCCGGGGTACTGGACCTTGACCGCCACAGGCATCCCTGTGGCCCTGTGAATGGCCTTGTGGACTTGTCCGATCGATGCTGCAGCGATAGGGGTCATCCCGAACTCTGAAAATTCGGATTCCCAGTTCGATCCCATCGTCTGGACCATGACTTTCTGCGAGAATATGAGGTTACCAGAGCAGGGCATTCTTAAGTGTTAGTTCCAGGAACCAAAGCATAGTGTTCAAAAAAAAAAAAAAAAAAAAAAAAAAAAAAAACAAACTGATAGACAACTGGCGTTTAGCAGGTATAGGCGCTTACTCTCATCTGCTTCTCGGGCATAAAGTTGGCGCTGTTCTGAACCCGCAGCAAAACCTCCTCCAACTCTGGCGGCAACATCTTGTTATCTGCGATCATTTGAAGAAAAAAAAAGAGACAATGAGAATGACGAGAAAGATGAGTAAGCTATTCCAGTTACACATCCTTCTACAGCAACCAGGGGAAGGAGATATGGAAAGAAGAAAAAGACGTACCCTGGATGCTCAGCATCTGGCCCAGCTTCAATGCTGCTCCTCGCATCCGTGTCAGCTTACTAACTAGACGATCCATATTGGCTGGCGTCAAGAACAACGGCGATTCGCTCGAAGTCGTTCCTCGGCCGACAGTTCGACGCATAGTTTCCGAGATTGCTCCAACTCCCAATGATGCGGCCAAACCTAATTACAGCAGACATGTTAGCGTATGCTTAAACAAAAATGACATCAGTCCCTTTAACTCTGCAAATGAACCCTGTATTACCTCCGTAATGGAAAAGTCGGCTCACGCGAGATGTTGGCATGGCTGCGGCAGTGAGGTTCGCCTTCACAGGTTTGTTAAAAATCTCCTCCTTCATGAATTGATCTTCAGACGAGGGGGTCGTTGTGGTCGACGACTGGATAGATTCAGCCATCAAGTCGGGTATCGTGGCTGTTGCTGGCGCTGACGCTGACGCTGGTACCGATACTGGTTCTGGTGTCGATGCTGGTTCAGATCCCGGTGCTGGTGCCAATGATGGGGATTGTGATGCCATTGAAAGTGTTGAATTGTGATACGGCGTTTCCATTCCTCCAGTCGTCAAGCGTGTCACGTCCTGGTCATCCTCCTCGAATTCGTCCTCGACAGATTCCATCAATGGCCTATAAACCATCATCCTAGGTCCCAGTCGCTCTGTCTGTGCCCATAATGACTCCTGATCCGCAATCCCGCTGTTCAGTTTGGTGATATCCTCCGCAGGAAGCGAGTCCAGCCATTTCGATTCCCGGCGCAATGTTTCGAGGGCGTCCTTGTTAATAGGTGTCTCCTTCTTTCCATAGTCCGGTAGTGGAGATGAGGCTGGTGCAGAATAGGATGGTGCCGCGGCTGACTGAGGGAAGGAGGCATTGCTGGCGTTGGCCCGGGGAGGTGTAACCGTGGTGACAGTTGGACGCTTGTGTCCGTGAGCAGCCGGCGTGGCCAAGAAACTGGGGTCGAGTAGCGATGGCTCGTGAGAAGTTGAGGTCTGCGTCGTTCCCGTGGAGGCCGAAGATGTAAATGACGGCGTTGTAACCTTAAGAGGAATAGAAGACGACGTAAAAATCTGGTCGAGCCATGTTCCTGTAATCGATGGGCTGCTTGTCTGTGTAAATGTCTGGTACCCTTGTTGCTGCTGCTGCTGCTGCTGCTGCTGCTGCTGCTGCTGCTGTCCCAAGAAATCTTCGCGCGACACTTCTGTGGCAACTGAGGCAGTGTTGGTGGCTGTTACGGCGCTCTTCCTAAGGAGACTTGAGGTGGCGGCATAGGACTTGAGATGTCGCCACTCGAGGGCAAGAAACCTGCGAGATACGCTGGCACCAACGGCTGCCAGGGACTGTGCATCCGCGAATCGTCGTGCAGACATGGCCGAGGGAGTTCCTATGTTGAGTTCCTGTTTTCTTCTGCCTGCTTGAGATGGAAATGGGATCGAATACGGATGCGAAAAGAGTGTTTAAATGGATTCGAAATGAGAAGCACAGCAGTTTGAACGCGCGACCTCCCGAAGCTAAACAACAAAATAAGATGTGACTTTGGACTTTACTTTTAAAATTGGTGGCAATGCAGCATACACGTCCACGACGCGTCTACAAAAAACGAGGATGAATCGTTCTTTCTGTTTTACCATGCGATAGTCCCTAGGTCATCCTAGATAATTCACTTTGAGCCATACCAACAAGAGATAAGGAGGATGTAACGGCAGATACGAAAATTGTTCACCTAGCGCATAACAGAAGAGAGTTTTGAGATTTTTAAAAAAAGTCGTTCCTTGATTCCTGTTTGAGCGCGAGTAGTGTTAGCCGTGAACAAGAACAAAGTCATGACTGACTGAACGGAGTAGGGAAGGGCAAGTAGTATTCACATCTTGCATGAATCTCGGTAACGTCCTGCAGTTCTCATGCATCCAACGTCGAAAGGGCGTCCTTGACCGAGCGCTCTTTCATCAAGACTTTCAAGGACTAGGACGAGCTAGAACTGGAAAAACCATACGACATAGAGGATGGTAGAACCTGCTTTAGGGTAATGCGCCCATGCATTAGTAGGAATAAGCAGGGGCATAAATCAACCAGTCCGCCATCCTTAGCCTCATTTGTATTTACCTGGTTGTAGGCAGCCCAATGAATCAACCATTAACTGTCCATACTGCATCTTTTGAAGTACAAATCAGGACACCTTTTAACGACCGGATTTATTACAGGCGCTTTTGGTGGCGAGGGTCTTTATGTAATGCAACCAGCCGCCATGTCATCCTGGTAACCGTTATGGGTAGCAATTTCATCTGACCCTAGCGAAGTTCTGCACGTTGAGGAAAATCACGTACAAATTCGTTTCCTCAAAAGAAAAGAGCTCTAATAGAAAGACACTCAGTGCTACAGTCGAGTCGTAAATATCCGCCGCCTTTATTAGTGCCGAATATTTGAAATATAAAGAAAAGGAGTATAGGCCAAGGACGTGAAAGTGATACGTGTAAGAGAGGTCACAATATAACATGGTAGGGTGTATGTCCGCTAAAGGAGTATAAGACAATGAGAATATTATGTACAGTTGGTCACAATCGCTCCTTCGACTTCGCATTTCCTACGCACGTTTCAGAAGCTTGTTCAGCTCTGAGGTGGAAACCGTATGAAACCGCGCCTTTCCTGCGCCCAGAGGACACTTTTCCTTTCGCTGCAGCGTTCAGCGCTAGCTTGATACCGTTCTCGACTGTCAGTGCCAACTCGAACCATATGTTGTACTCCGCTCCAATGGTCGCGAGCTCCTTCATGCTGTCAGGGATCAAGACATCATGGACATGGACCATAACGTACATGTTGCCGCAACGCCGGATCAGGTAGATGCTCATTGTCTGGGCTATCGCTCGATATCCCACCAGGGTCGCATTGTCCACGCCGTACTTGTCTTGGATCAGATCCAGAGCGTCTTTCAATCCCAGGCCGATACGCGCGAAATCTTTGGCATTCTTGTAGTTTTTATGAGCATGTGAGGTCCCTTCACCAATGCCCAACTCGCAAAGGGTCTTGTTCGATTGATCCTTCAACTCCAGCACAAGATCAGGCTCTCGTTTGCTCTTCGTTCCAGTCCTGCCCTTTCCGGATACTGTGACCTTGTCCACACTGTAAAGCAAACCAAGAAATCGATCAGTCATGTTACTTACAAGTTTAGGAAGACCATTTTTTCAGGGTCACTCATAAACGCCTGACACAACGGCAGTACTCCTTGCTGGGCCTTAAAACTGTAACATCAACAGAAAGGGCACACGACGCCATAGCCAGCTCATATCATGCAAAGCCAAACTGAAGACCACCATCGTCGCAGCCACATCTCGCTCGGCAGGGGACGATGTTTCTCTGATTCACCTGCTGGAGCTAAAGAGGCCAGACTGCTATTGACTAGATGTTTCTACGTGAAGGAAAGACAGCTCTGACACAATACCTTTAGAGAGAGGGAACAAAAGAGAGAAGCGGAGAGACAACAAAAAAGGAGCAGTGTGTATAAAAGAATGCCAAGCAAATAAGGAAGAGTAATAATGAAAGACAAGACAAAGGCAGGAATGACAACAAGCGCGAGAGTAGTGAACAGGGTGTAGGAGCGGTGATGGAAAGGGCGTGGGGGTGCTGGCAACCGTGAAGGATGAAGAGAAGGGCGGGGGAGTGGTGGCAAAGGTGAGTGGCAGCGGCTATTGAGGTCGAGACGTGCGTGGGAGTGATGAATGAGAAGGGAGTGATGATGAGAACGGCGTGGGAGTGGTGGCAAAAGGGTGTGATGACGAAAAGGGGCGTGTGATGCTGAGAAGGCTTGCGACTTTTTTTTTTTTTTTTTTTTTTTTTTATTAACATAAATCCCCATGAGCACGCTGAGAAGGCTTGCGACAAGGGCTTGGGAGTTGTGGAATGTGGCCTGTCTTTTGGCGACCGTGGATTTTTTTTTAACTTTTTTTTTTTTTTTTATTAACATAAATCCCCATGAGCACGCGACGCATGGTCCGCAAAGTTACAGGATAGACCTCGGATGTGGGGCTATAAATCGTTCTTTTTTTTTTTTTATAACAACTTGTCTCTCGAGTCAATTGACTCTGCGAATCTATCAGACTAACTAGCAAAGATCTACTATCGCTGTCCCAGTTGACAGGTCACATTCCCCCACACCTCATCAGTGTGTTAAAAGCTGAAAACACCTTGTTACAAGGAGGGTATCTTCCCCATCCCCTCCATGGTTGTCAACCGCACGCTCAGCCAGCGTAGCGTAAGGAAGCAGGAATACATTCGACGTGCTATGGTAAACATGACAGGCAATCGACTGCGTAATCAAGACGACTTGGACCGTGCTTTCGACAGAGAAGAGCACAGACTCGATCAACAATGGATTAAACAGAAGCGGGCACAACTGAAAGTAGTACAGAGGCACCTTCGGCAACAAATGCAGCAGGCAGAACAGCAAACACGGGAACAACAGCGACAATTGGAAGAGGAGCGGCGGCGGGCAGAACAGCAAGAGAGTGACCGACAGCGGCAGCTGGAAGAGGAGCGGCAGCAGGAGAAGCAACAGCAGGAGGAGCAACGACGCCTGCGGGACATCGAGAGACGGGCTCGATACAGAGAAGAACGACGAAGACGACGCCATTTATATCGTAGATATATGAATGTGGATGCAGAGGCGTGTATAGACCACTTGCATGAGGATGCGCACAAGGCGGTGGACAATATGACGACACCTGTTCGCCAACCATTGCCGGCAGTATCAGATGAAATTGAGCGAGATTTACTGGGATTGGCGCTCCAGGTACCAACAATCCAGCAAATTCGGACAGCTAGGAGACGTTTGCAAACACATCGAAGGCTTCACTTCTGCTCGGATGGGTCAGTGATTCACAACGGCACAGAGCAGGTCAGTGCAGCATTCGGAGTTGTCGTTTCTGTGGATGGTGGTCCCTACACAACGGCGTTCAGTGGACGGGTCGGGGGATACGCGTCGTCAACAATTGCAGAGATGTGTGGGCTCTTAGCAACAATTCTTATCAGCCCAAGGGAAGAGAACGTCGACATCTACATCGACAATCTCACAGTCGTCAACAATTTCAAGGAGTTGGTGCAGCAGCGGGATTCAGCAACAGCAAGGCAGCGTTTGAGATCTGCAGATGCACAGTGGTGGGCGATGGTGCATTATGCCTTCTTGCAACAAGGACAAGGTATATCTGTGCATTGGGTACGAGGACATGCTGGACACCGTGGCAACGAGGCTGCAGACACTGTTGCCAAGGCAGCACATGGGATCGATACAGGACTATGGAGGCTAGACGCAACGCAGCACCATGATTTGAAATGCCACGCACAGTTTGCAACACACAGTGCAGACCTGGACTTGAGGAGGATACTGAAGTTGCAGTCCGCGGTACGGCACCATTATCAGTGGACATTGCAGCATCGAACGAGGACCTACATCAAGGATTGGCGGTCGGTAGCATGGGCGCCCACGCTACGGATCTTACACGATAACAACCCGCCAAAGCGCTTATACACCAGCCTGGAAGACTGTCGTTTACGTTCGCACAGGATCAAGAAGCTGCATGGAGATTTGCCGACATTGCAGGCGATGAAGAAACGACATCCAGATACCTACCAAACGGACATATGTCGTAGGTGTGAGAGGGAACCAGAGACGAACGATCATCTTTGGCGTTGTTCAGCTACCTTGTGCGACCAGCGACAAGAGTGGAGGGACGCGGTGGAGGAAGTGGAGTTGAATGGATATCGTGCATGGAGACAGGCAGTGCGAAAATGGGAACAGGAGAGAGAGGAGGCCGAACGGAAGGACAAGCCCTTCACTGCGACTTGTCCCAACTTCTCGGCAACAGGAACGAAGGCTATCTGGGAGTCAATGCAGTGGATTCAGGGGACGGCGGAAAGGCGAGGGACATATCGGGTTGCGGAAGAAGAGGAGCCGGAGAGTGAGGCAGATTGGGAGGTCAAGGACTTATACCGAGGTTTGGTGCCAACGGGACTCATTGAGACCTGGAAGCAGCTATTTACCACCACCAAGTGGATTGCGACGATCATGGTGACAAAGTTCGTGAGCAGGATCGAAGAATTTGGCAGGACCAAGATATGGAACAAACGATGCGAGGACACTGTCGCCTGGGAAAAGTCAGTTGGAATCACCTTCATGAGCAAACGCGCCGGAGGACGCAACGGTGATCGGGGACACCAACGTAGTGTTGGTGATTTCTCTGATTTGAAAGGGAGACGGTTACTTGCAACGGAAATCCAGGAAGGTAGACGGACCGCGGATTATAGGGTGCTACAGCATTGCTTGGGGCGAGGGAAGTTGGACATAATGGAGGGGTTATTCGGTTTAAAAACAACTTTATTAACATTGGATCTGGATTAGGAGACGTGTATCGCGCAACAGGTCACGCAGGAGTTAGGTTAGGCTAGCTATGCGACATGGGTTATGAATTTGACGCCTCAAGCCAACATAGTTGGTAGGGGATGCGGCTCTGCCGTGCATGGAAGGCATCTATGGCTTCAAGGCCTTTGCGGACCATGCGTCTTGTGCTCATGGGGATTTATGTTAATAAAAAAAAAAAAAAAAAAAAAAAAAAAACTCCATGGTTGTCAACCGCTTCCTCCCTTGCAGGCAATCCAGCAGCGTCCGATCCGCTGCGTCTAGGTCAAGCACGGGGCCAGGGCAGCTCCCGTTTACATGGTCAGCGAGTAATGCACCACACGGACATTGGTCATCGTCGCTAATGTATCCATACCCATCACTCCAGTCCCCTCTCGGTCCCTTGTATGGAGTTCGTTTCATCTTGGCTGTGATCCCCCATTCTCGCTCTCGAGCAATGGTGGCCTTGCAGTGTGGTTTCCAGATCAGCTCCGTAGCTTTCTCCTCAATAAAGCCGACGAACTTGTGAATGACCTGGCGCGCAATCGACGATGGCGAGGTAAAAAGGCTGCCCCACTCCTTGATAAGGCTGACGGGTGTGATGCCACGGCATAAATCGCTGATACTCCAGGTCAGATCCGGAGAGCGGTCATAATACTCGTCGCCTTTGAGCATTGATCGGGTCCCGGCGATACAGGATAGACCTCGGATGTGGGTCTCATTGTTAGGACAAACCCATCGAATGGGTTTCGGTGCAGCAGCGGCGGCTCCAGCGCGGATCCTATCACGCTCTTGCTACTTCTTGCTGTTCTTGTTGTATGCGGTCGTTGCAGCTCGTCCCCACTTATCGGGGGCTATAGATCGTGCATTTAAGGAAAGTTGCACTTATGGAATGTGCTCTTGCTCAAAAATTAAATATATATAAGCTTCATTACAGCAACGTTCAGCAAAGCCCGCCCGCTTAGCTCATTGGTAGAGCGTCTGCCTAGTAAGCAGAAGGTAGCAGGTTCGATCCCTGCAGTGGGCACTTACAGATGTCTCCGCGTTATCTTTTGTTGTTTTGTTGAACATTTTACTGCAGGGAATTGTTTACGGAAGGAGTTATTCTATCTCGCCGTCTGCCTGGCAACCTGGGTTGTCAGTCTTATTTGGCAACCCATGCGGAAATCCAATTGCCACATTGAGCATGCAAGTCAATTCCCGCAGGAAACCTATGTGCCTGAAAATCGGCCTATGGCCCAAGTAATGCCTTTCCTGTGTTCACACGGCGGTTGATCCACGAGAGGGTCTGTTTTTTACGCTCAGGTTGCCTTTATCTTCGGCGAATGCACCAAGTATCCTACATGGACTTCCTGCAGGGGTTGTCAAGTAAGACTGACAACCCAGGTTGCCAAATAATTTTTTTCTTTCTCTGACAGCGAAATAGCATCATTGGCACGAAGCTGGTAACACTGTCAAAAGATTTTGGTGGATAGACGCATCTGGCCTGCCAGATATGCTGCCATGGTAAGAGTTCACTGGCGCCGTGACTATTGCCGGAGATGTAGATAACGACAGCTTGAACTACAGAGACTAATGGTTGGTTGGTGTATTTAAGGTCAAGGCGTCGAGAAATACGTGGTAGGATGTAGACAGGATCTGACTTTAAGTGAAATAGCATCACGTACTGCGCTACCTAATATGCATGGGACTAACGGGCAGTGACAACGATTGGCTTTTTCAGAGCGTCAAATGATGGTGCTGGGGGCAAGCCATTATTTAGTACGAACGCGCCCAAATCCAATTCGTGCAACTTATAACATCAAATGGCATAATCAGAGCGACAGAATAAATGAACGCGCTGCTTACGATTATTTTCTGCGCAAGTGTTTTATTTAACGTTAATGCAAGGTGTTGTAGTAAATTCATGAGAATCCTAAGTCGCCAAGTAACGGTTACAGTTCACGCGTCAAGAAATGTGCGGGTAATACATTCGCCGTTTATGTTCCCATGGAACTTACCGGCATGCCTCCCAGTGCATTCCTCGGCGCGTGAAATGGATCCAGCTTCCTTCGTCGTCGCCTTTATACCTGCAGGTAAATGATCGAGGTACGGAAACAGCTCTCGATCCTATGTCCGCTCGAATGACAGTAGCTGTCTGTAGCCTCTTCGTTCCTGCTCCTGCTCCCGATGCTGCTCAAGCGCCTGCTGCTTGATCCACTTCATGACGAAGGGCGAAGCACACAATTTCTTCTTGCCAGAGTATACGCGATATGCAAACGAATCCTCGATTCCTTCATAGTTAAGGAAGTTCATCATGTCTAATGTCGCGACCTCCACCTGCTCCACTCCGTAGCCAGAGAATTTTTGCATGCTCTCATCCTATTGTCACAGAAAGGTGTTGGAATATAGCATTTCCCCAAGGAATCAAATGCCGCAGCTGCACTGAACTTACCCATTCCATCCGACCATCTATCCAGCGACCTAGATTCAGTGCTGCTGCCGCCTGCAATGACGGTTTGTAGTGTAGGAACTGTGGATGAGACTGGATCGCCACTAGAATATACTTTGCCAAAGTCCGTGCCTTGATTTCGGAGCCGTCCGCAATGGTACACCGCCTCAGAAACGACATGGGACCTGGCCATCCCAGATTGTAGTCAATCATACGCAGAAACGATCGTTCCAACTTTCGGAAATCTTCGTCCTCGATAGGGATTCCGAATTTCCGTAGTTCATAGACAAAGAGTGCCAGAGAAACATTTGCGTTCCGTTCCTCGAATTTCGACGCGATCAACAGGCATGCGAAACCACGTACAATCATACACTGGCGTTCATGCATCTGCTTTCGAGCAGATACCTCGCCACTGGGGTGATTGAGCATGCTGAGGATCCTGTCAAAGATATTGACGGCTAGGAAGAAGGTCTCGAGATGCATATTTAAATGCTCATGATACTGCGTGAGAATATTAACGACTTCCCATCGCATCTGCCAGATATGGGTTGACATCCACTCCTCGTGCCTCACATTCGGCGCCAGTATAACCTAAATTAGTGGTGTAAAGCAAGCCTCAGCTTATAAAGATCGCCGATAAAAATAAGACGCGCGTTCCTTGAGCAGACACATCCATAATTACCTCCATTTCGCGCATATATTGAAAGATATCAGCCGCGTATTCGTTCACCAGCATGAGGTCATTCTCCCTCTCACGCGCTTGCTCGGTCGCCGGACAATATGAAGTCTGGTATGGCTTCACGCGCTTGACAATCCGCTCCTCATCTGGAGTAAGCTGAACTGAGTCCTTCAGCTGCTGCTTCATCTCAATTCGTGCCTCAGAGGTCTCATCGAGAACCTTGGTTCGCGCACGTTTCCTTTCAACGATATGTGGATGCGGTGTAGGGGCTTGCGCGTGTCGTGGACGTGAGCTCTCTACTTGATCCTGCGGAGTATATTGCGGTACAAGTGTGTTTGTTTGAGCAAGAGCAGATACCTCCTTGAGGGGTTGACGACGACCATGATCCGCATGATATTGTCCTTGCGCAACTGCTGCACTGACCTTGTCAGTTCTCGGAGCAGTTATGACCCGCCGTTCAAGTCGTTCGATCTGAGCGGCAACTCGACTTGGTGCCGCACTACGCGAAACCGCCCCTGCTGTCGAGCTGAAAGCAGTAGCAGTCGCACTCGCGGTGGTTGCTCTGCAGGCGATGGCGCTGGAGGCGTTAGTGATTGCCCTTGTGCTGGCCGTGCTAGCGCTGGTGGTTATTGCTGTAGCAGTGGCTGCTCTTGTGACAGTTGCGCTAGGTATGATAGATCTGGTGGTGGCTTTAGTTGCTTGCTTTGCGATAATGGTAGACGTGACAGGGGCTTTCACTTTCGTCGTTGATTCTTCTCGCATGCGAGCTGAGGACTGTCGGTATACTTGAATTCGCTCTGTAAATGTCGTCCGTCTCAAGGGTAAGGCCGATGGCTGGTGTTGAAACGGAGGCTGAGTATTGAGGAAGGCTGGAGTTTTGAGCAGATTCACGCTTTCAGTGCCAAGGTCGGTTGATTTTGCTGGCGTTGCAGTGCTGAGACCCCTGTGCGCGTTTCTAGCATCTTGGATGTTACGAGCGCTAGATGTAGTGGGACATTCTTTAGATTGCTGAAGCGGCTTGACAGCTTCCTTGCCGCGTGAGGTTGCACTCGGCGCTGTGCTCTAAAGACATAGGATAAATAAAGGAAGGCATGGGTATCAGAGCAAGTTTTACCGAGATGATAAAGAGGTTGGTGCCACGGTATACCTCGATTTTGCGTTCGGGAACGTTCTCCTTATCATCTTCTCTGACAGCTCGACGGAGTGCATAGTGGGTATTCCGTGTGTTCAGGGCCATTCTGCGTAGAAGAGTAGCGTGTCGACAAAGATGATGGTTCCTGAGGGTGCTGCCGCTTGGGTCGTTGGGGAGCGCGCTGCAAGAGGGACGTGAACGGGGGCAGGTATACGAAGGTATACGGAGGTACAGAGCAAAAGAAAGTGTCCTAGTGGCCGGGGACGAGAGTAGCAGTGATGGTGGTGGGAAGTAGTAGGTAGCGTGGAGGAACGAGGAGAGAAGATCGAGTGACTTCTCACTATGCATGGCGAAGCACGGACGTTTTTACAAATTATTTAGTTTACAAGTCCACTTCAGGAACAACAGCAACAGCAACAACAATAGCAACAGCAACAGCAACAGCATAACACCAATGGCGCGCTTGTACAGATTCACTCACAGGGCGATCGAGCTCGTCCAAGACGAACATGGCAGCACCAGCGACAGCATCGAGGACTCGACCATTCCCGCAGAGATCAGCCTTGCCAACCTGACAATGTTCTCGACGATCCTCTTCATCACCGAGTTCCGCAAGATGGGCTTGGGCGATTCAGTCGACATCTCAAAGACGTGCAATATGTCAGAATGGTATCGTCGCATCTATGCCGGAACTGGAGGCCAGCTAATCTCAGACGAGGAGGAATACGTTGATGTCTTGACTTTACCGTCCAAGCCAACATCACAGGCCGGACTCATTTATGCCACCACCAATCGGCCTGACGAAGAAGGGGACAAGAAAGAGGCATTTACCGCGTTTCTCTTTGCGCATCACAAACCAGCGTTGCCCAAGACAGCTCCATCCAGCACAGGATCCACACAAGGACCATCGCCAGAGGCACAGGCGCTTGTTTCCACTTATGGAGTGACCCACATATGGCTGTGTGGGTCGAGCCCTGAGCAGAGGCGCCAGAGGCTTATGTCGCAGTGCCTGAGCCATCTCGAGAAAGACGTCCTCGAGTGGAAGACCTCAGGACAGGGGTCAGGAGTCTTAACGGTCCATACGATCCCAGAGGCCTTTCCTGGGATGGTACAATTCCTGTCCAATAATGGCTTTAAGGGTGGCAACAAGGTGGTTGGCGGAGACAACGGAAAAGTACTATATTGGAAGGAGCTGTAAACATAGAGTGAAGCGGCATATCGTCAAGGGGCGGACGGGCAACTTTTGTAGGACATAGCATGGGATTCGTCAAAAATAAACCATCGGCCCCAGTTTGCACGAAAATGCGAAGCGCCCTACATTGATGCTGGACCAAAGTTTTCTACCATTTGCTTGTTATTCATGTGAAGCTGGAACTCTTTGGCAACTTGCCCATATGGAGTAGCACTTAGTATTGACAGGCTATGAATGCGCAGTGGTACAAGGATAAGAGCTCAGATGTGAAATCGGTGTTCTGGAACCTCAATCGCATTTGCTTCTCTGTTTTCCCCATGTGTGAGGGTCTCCGCGCCTCTTTGTGTGTAGATTCTGTTGTCCAACTGACGCAGTAGCCCGCGGACTAAAGCATGATTTGGCCCAACAGGTGAGCTCTCCACAAAAGAGCCCTGAGAAATCGAAACAAGGTTTAGGCCTGAGAGACATATGAAATCTATCATGTCAAAGGAATGGTCTCTACATTGGCATTCGATTGCTACCCCACCATCATTCGTGGATAAGATACATGTTCATGTTTATGTCCACAGATGTTTTTAATGTAGCTTACCTTCGCACATTCTGTCTTCTGTGCTAGTAATTGGAGTTTCCGGCGCCCTAAACGCATTCGTTATGGTCGAAATGGTGAAAAATAACTTCACGATGAAAATCGGGAAGCGAGAGCTCAGGGGCAACGGCACGCAAGAATCGGCGCTAGCCCATTCTGGCGGTGTCACACACGAGACAAACCTAGCCTTTTTGCAATGAAATAAAAGGCTACACGTCCTAATATCCATAAGCCAATTCGGTCCCAGGATGATCGATGGCACTGCATTAAGGAGAACCTACACAAGATAAACTCACATGGTGATTATCTACGCAGTGCATCGTAAAGCAACGCTTACTGGGAAATAACGTGAGCGCTGTTTCTGACCAGAGTCTTCAGGACCAGCATACTCTCGGTAAATAATACGGAAGACACTCTCGAGACGTATGTTTACATGTCCCGTTAGAACCTGCAAGCCCGCCCGGACGGGAACCGCGTCAAGCTAGTACCGCTTTCCTCCATCGCAGGTGGGCTGATCCTGGTACCCCTTTGTTTGTCCTTGTCCCCATCGTTTTGTGTCCGCCTCTGACAGCTGACATACATATTTGCCGTTGCACATGCACACAGTCTACAATAAAACATTATGCTGCTCTGTATTCGGTGCATGCACCCGACGGTGGACAGGAATGGTGAGGGTGGGGCGGCTCCCTCGATTTGCTAGTTTTCTCAGTAAAGTGATAAATACAGTGCTCTCAAGTGACAAACCTTATGGCAGCAGGCAGTGGAGTGAGCGCCAAACGCATATTTTATCCTCCACGCTGGCTCTCATCTCGTTCTTTGTTCCTTGTGCTTACTCCACCCGAGACTGTGCAGGTCTCATTGGACAAACCATAATCAGCGAGGGCGTGAGTGTTGTTGTGCCTTGTCTCCGCATCACGACTAAGTAAGCAACACAGTGCATAAAGCATGTATTATTAAGGTGGCGGATGGGCAGGAGCCATACACGCACGAACAGTCTACTCAGCAGCGGTGAGTGTTATTCCAAGGAGCTCGTTGTTGTTCCTGAGGACTTCTTCTTTCTCTCTGCCCTTTTCCTGTCCTCGTCCTCTCCTTGTCGTCCTTCTCTGCGTGGCCCTCCCCGCCGTCTCCTCCTCCTCGCCCTCCCCCTCCCTCATCGCCATTTCCTTCCGATAGACCCCACACTCCTTCAACAGGGAACCATCCTCTTTCTCCTTGACCTGGCTAACGCTTACAGGCAAGTAGATCCTCAGCGGCACACTCACCCACTCTTCAACGACCCATGCATATAATCACAGATAATGATCAGTAGCAACGCCAGTGAATTCGCATCACGAGGACTCCAGTGCTGTGCGATTGCATCGCAATAGCCCCTGTCCTCACTTCTGTACACTACAATGCACACCGCACTAGCCCCCATTATTCAGTTTCTGCGCAACATGCGATATCAATATCCATCACAACCTCTTGATATCGTGCATCTCTCAATGACCAAAGTTCTCCCATAAACGATCGCCACTTCTTCAAGAGCCAATTAGCTCCGCGCACTCCGACTACCCTTTTCTCCACATATCCCACATGCTATGGGTTTTGATATTCACCAATGCAGCGCCAACCTTAAGATATGAAAGCAGCGTTCAGGCTCCATGTGCTAATGCGAGTGAACGGTTTTTTTTTTTTTTTTTTTTTTTTTTGGGGGGTGTGTAGGATCGCCATCCCAGTTCGAGGTGCCCATACCCTTCTTCCTCAACGCAAGCTTCTCATGACAACCTCCTCTCCCAGTAGAGGCCCCAAGATGAGGTCCCTATTGGCTATGATAGGAGTTGCCGGACTGGCCGTAATCGGATCCACGTTTATGCCCTCCGCTAATGCCACCGTGACCCTTGGAGACACCCATGACACCCCAGGTTCCATTATCCTGGGCGGTTTGTCTTCCATGGTGCCCAAACCCCCTAGCCTAATGGACCAATACCTTGTCCCCGGTACGGCCAACATCACCAACATCGGCGTCGAGGTCAATTCTCCTACTCGATTCATCGTCCATGCCGGCGCAAGCCTGAAGAACCCCTTTGGTCCAGTTGCACTCCCACTGGGCCAAGTTGGGTTAACCGTATCGCTAGATGGCAACAGCTTGGCCAATATCACCACCAGCGATTTGACTCTCCCAGCAGGAACTGGCCCCATCAACGTGACAGCCACGGTTGATATCGCTGATGGTTCTACAAACCCTGCGGTCCAGGCTTCGCTCAACAACCTTGTCACATCGCTTGTCGGTGGAACCACTCCCAGTGGTGAGCCCCCAAAGCTCGTTATCTCTGGTGTCAAATTGTCTGGTATCGACCTTGGTGTTGCCCCTATTACCGTTCCTACGCAGCTCAAGCCAAATGGTCCTATCCAGCCCACCAATGTTACCGCCGATACCGCGACCCCACCTGTTGTGGGGTTCAACGACATCATCAACCCTAATGTGACTTTTGCCTGGCCAGTATTGCAAAAGATTGTCGTCAAAGCCGTTTCTGGTGCTCAGCTGACAGCCGGTGTGGGATTCTCTTGGAACAACCCATTGAACATTGCTGTTGACATTCCCTATATTTCAATCGACATCGGTCTTAATGGCACACGTGTGGTCACTGTTGGAATCGAGGCCATTCACCTGGCACCTGGCAATATGACAGCCGATACGCTCGTTGACCTCAAATTCAACAATGACCCTCTCGCCTCTGCTCAACTCGGCGCTTTCGTGAACGACTTCCTTGCAGGTAATCTTGATAGCACGACGCGTAGTTCAAGTCCGTGCGCACTCACTGACGCTTGAACGCGTACTAACTTTTTTATTTTTATTGGGTTTAGGCCAGTTGAACCAGGTCGTCAACATTGGCAACCTCTCCTTTGGTACTCCTGGAGATGTCTCCGCTACCGGCCAAATGTTGAACACGCTGTTCAGCGGTGTCAACGTTGATTTGCCTCTGAATGGCGTCAGCACCGTCGCTATTCAGGAATTGGTGCTGAGTTACATCAAGCCTTACCTCCCCATCGATATCAGCAAGTTGGGCGGAACGGGCGCATCGTTGTTGAGTTATATCCAGAGCCTGGCCATCTCAACCGCCCCAGGACATACATTGTTGATCGATCCAAAGATTCAGCTCCCGTTCCCCTTCCTGTTGGATTTGAATATTCCTTACTTCGCACTTGACATCAACTTGGACAACAACCTGCTTGGTCAACTGTTCCTCGCGAACCTGGTCGGCACCGGTCAAGGTCAAATCTCTGTGTCTGTCGGCGTCGGGATCGTCTTCAAGGAGCCCAGCCCTCAGATTCCAGCTATTGTCGCCAAGTTGGTCAGCGGACTGACAACCGGTTCATCGCTCGACATCACGGCCGGCGTGTCTAACCTTGCTATCGGAGTGTCGCCTGCGGACGCCATCAACACGCTGAACAATGTGAACGTTGCGGTACCCATCTCATCCGTTATAACTGGCCATATTGAAACTGGAAATTTGATCCAGTCCATCATTGCTCAAACCAACGTGACGATCGCGTCGAATACGGTGGAGGTCAAGGTTGGAACTCTTGCCGCGTTGACCATTCGTCAGGCCAGCATCAGCGTCCTCCCTAGCAATATGGTTACTGCGGGGGTCACCCTTGACATGTTTCTCGGCATTCCCGTCGTGGCAAACATTGGCTACTTTGGCGTGCAGCTCTCGTTAGATGGGGCCCAATTGGCAGGTGTTTCCATGAACACTGGACTTAACTATGGCGGTGGAACGGTGCAGATGGATGCCGGCATCGCCATCTCTGTCGGCACTGGCCCAGCCATCAGCACCAATGTCGCCAATTTAGTGAACGCCATCATCGCCAAGAGTCCCGTTAACAGCAATATTGGCATCTCGGGTATTGTGATCGGTCAAAGCTCAACGGACCTGATCAACGCGCTTTCAGGCGTTTCTGTTTCGTTGCCCTTAGGTGGACTGGTTAGCGGAGTCAGTAAGTTCTTTTCTCTTTTCTCTTTTTCTACGCACTGATCTGCTTTGGTCCACAAACGCGTATTGATAATTGATAATCCTTTCTTCCTTTCCTGCGATCCCAATAGCTCCTCCTTCGCTCCCTTCTAACTTCCTTAACAGCACCCTTGCTCAACTCGGATTGTCCGTGTCCAATATTTCACTCGCCACAATTCCCAACGCTGGTCTCCGTGTTGGTGCCAAGGCGATGTTCTCAAATCCTATCCCCATCTCTCTCTCAGTTCCATACATCGGCATCAGCGGTGGCCTTGACAATATTGACATCCTCAACATCGGAGTTGACAATCTCGCGCTCCTTTCTGGCGCCAACGCTCTCCAGGCCCAAATCGACCTGAACTTTAACAACGCCGTGAATGCTCAGACTAAGGTCGCGACTCTCCTTGGAGAGCTTCTCGGTGGCCAACTTGGAAACACGCCTGAGGCATTGACGGTGCATAACCTGCGCATCGGTTCCTCACCGAGTGACTACTTTGACCTACTGTCTCAAGTCAACATCGCGGTTCCGTCGAAGGACATCCTGAGCAAGGCTAATGCTGATCTTTTGATTGGACAGCTGGGGGTCAACATCACGCAGTTGACCAACAACGTTCTCAGCGGTCTCCAAATCGGGGCCATCAACGCAGATCTCACTACGGCGCCTGTCATCCAGCTGGGCACCTCTGTCTCTGTGAGCAATGTTTCCTTGAGTGCCGCGGTCAACATTGGTTACTTTGGAATCGATCTTGCGCTCGATACCCACGCCTTGGCCCATGTCGATGTCCCCTCCATCTCCATCACCACCGCCAACAACAAGCTGACCCTCGCTATTCAGGCTGCTGTTACTATCCAGGATTCTCCTCAAATCCAGACCGACATCGCTAACTTGGTCGACTACTTCATGGCCAATACGACCACCTCGCCTGTCAACAACCTGGTGATCTCAAAGCCGCTTGTAGGAGCGTCTGTTGCGGACAACATCCAGACGTTTGCTTTGATTCAGTATCCTCTGGCATTATCTCCATTGCTCGCAAATGCCAGGGTCTTTGTGAACCAGCTTCTTGCCGGAGTTGCTGGTGGATTGAATCTCAACAACCTGGCAATCTCTGGCCTCACTCTCGATCTCAACGCTCCTCCTGTTATCAACGTCCAGGGAGGCGTTCAGATCAAGAACTTGACCTTGCCAGCCGACATCAAGATCAGCTACGTTGGTGTGTCTCTTGGACTGGATAACACACCTTTGGCCAGTCTCACGATCCCAACGCTTGCATTGACCTCTGCGAACAACACTCTTTCGCTCAACTTCCAGGCCCTGGTTAACCTCCAGCAGGGACCTGATCTCAGTGCTCAAATCGGAAATTTGGTCGGCTCGCTCCTGTATCCTGGCAAGGTCACTCCGCCTACGGCTTTGGTGATCTCGAACCCAGTCTTTGGAGGGGATGCCAACCATCTCTTCCACATTCTCTCGCAGATCAAGGTGAATGTTGCTCTTGCGCCTTACTTGCAGGCCATTAGCGGTATTGTTAACGGAACGGTGTCCAACAGTGGCAACCTGCTGGCTGGTCTCGACATTGGCTCCCTCGTCGTGGATCTCAACTCGCCACAGAACATTGGCATCGATGCTGCTATCTCTCTCAAGAACATCACTATCCCAGCTGAGATCAAACTCAATTACGTGGGTGTGAATGTTGCCATTGACACTGTTGGTTTGGCTCAGATCTCGGTTCCTTCGTTCACACTCAAGCCCGCTGACGGCGCCCTGGCTATCACTGCCCACGTCGACGTTGCTCTGCTGACCAGTGACGGGCTGACGACCGCTATCTCCAATCTTATCACTGGTGTGCTCAACAATCAAACGACCCCTGCCACCAATATTGTTATCTCAGGCGCTGTCTTTGGCGGATCGGCCAACAACGTCTTCACGATCCTGCAGGGCATCGCCATCCCGATCAATATTGCTCCTTATATCAACATGATCCCTGCCCTCCTCGCTGGCCAAGGATCGCTCCTAAGCCGTGTTGCTATTGGTGCTCTGGTCGTTGATCTGAACACACCTCAAACAATTGGCGTCGATACCTCTGTCTCAATCAAGAACGTTACGCTTCCTGCTCAGATCAAGTTGAACTACGTTAGCGCCAATGTTGCCATCGGTGAAGTGCCTCTGGTTCAGCTCGGCATCCCTCAGTTCACCATGACTCCCAACAACGGCAACCTGGACATTGCTCTCCATATCAACCTCGCCATGCAGGAGAGCACTGGCTTGACCCAGACCATCAATGGCCTCGCACAAGCGGTGTTGGCTGGTCAGCAATTGCCGAGCACCACACTTGTAATCTCGGGAGCAGCCTTTGGTGGGTCGCCTACCAGCGTCTTTACGTTCTTGCAGGGCGTCAAGATTCCGTTGGATGTCACTGCCTACTTGAATAAGGCCCTCGGCATGGTCAACGTCCCCGGTGCCTCTTCGTTGTTGAGCAGCATTGGCATCTCAGATTTGGTTGTCGATTTGAACTCGCCCCAAGTTATTGGCATTGATGCCTCAGTCCTCGTCAAGAACGTCACCTTGCCTGCTCAGATCAAATTGAACTATGTCGGTGCCAATGTCGCTATCAATTCCATTCCTTTGGCACAGGTTGCTATCCCCACGTTTACACTGGCTCCTCAAGGCAATGATTTGGCGCTGAAGGTCCACATTAACTTGGCCCTGTTGAGCAGCCCAGAGCTGTCGAGCGCTATCTCTGGATTAATCGGCGGCATCCTCGGAAACCAGACGCTACCCCAGACCAACTTGGTACTTTCTGGCGCGGCCTTTGGTGCTTCATCCACCAACTACTTCACATTCCTGCAGGGTGTTGTCATCCCCGTCAACATCTCGCCTTACATCACCCAGATTGCGGGTATGGCTGGCGGCGCTGGGTCGATCTTGAATGGCCTGGGTCTCTCTGGTTTGGCCATCAACCTCAACCAGGCTCCCGTCATCGGCATCGACGCCAACATTGCTGTTCGTAACCTTACTCTGCCTGCCAAGCTCAACGTTGGCTACTTTGGCCTCAATGTGGGCATCAACAATGTTCCACTGGTCAATGTCGCTATCCCCAAGCTCGAGCTTGGCTCAAGCGGCTCTGATCTTACTATCGGAACTCACATCGATGCCACCCTGCAGGAGACAGACGCCTCGCAGACTCTTGTCGCTGGACTGGTTAACGAAGTTGTTGCTGGTCGGGCTCCTCAGGGTACCATTGTGATCTCGGGTATCACGTTCGGTCCTAGTAAGAGCAGCGTCTTCACAATCCTCCAGGGCGTTCAGATCCCGATCCCTATTTCCAAGATCCTCTCTCTTGTGCCTGCAACCCCTGGCACCAATGCTACTTCGATCCTGAACAATCTAAGCCTTCAGAGCGCCGACATCAATATGAAGAACCCACCGAGCATCGGCGCTGATATTGCTATTGCTCTACTCGGTTACCAGTTCGATGCTCAGTTGTTGTTGTCGTACGTTAGCATTAGCGCATTCTTGGACACGACTCCCCTGGCCACGATCTCTGTCCCTGGAATCACTCTTTCGTCTGGCAACAATCAAGTGTCGTTGAGCGTTCGCTCTCTGGTCAACCTTGCCAGCGGTGATGCTATTCAGACCAAGGTTGCAGCCATCGCCGCACAGGTGATGGGCAACGGTGGTGCTCAGAACGCCAATCTCGTCGTCTCTAATATTGCATTCGGAGGCAACGCTGGCAACGTCTTCCACATCCTGGATAAGGTCCAGGTATCTGTCCCTCTTGCTCCTTACATCCAGCAGCTGACGGGCATTGTTGGCGGTATCACTGGCGGTAACTCTACGATCCCAGGCGGTGCCTCTGCTTTCAGCATCAGCCAGCTCGACATCAGTGCCACGGGACCTAACGATCTCTCGGTCGCAGTTGGTGCTGCGATTGGTGGTCTTGGGTCCAAGATCTCGGTCGAGATGCCCTACGTTGGACTCCAGATCTCGGCCAGTGGCAATGGTCTTGTTTACCCGACCATCAACAACTTTCAGCTCCAGAATGGAAAGGTCTCGCTTACCTTGGCGTTACCATTCCAGCCCGCAGCCCGCAACATTATCGCTGGTCTCTCGACCCCTGTCAGTCAGCTCATGTTCACGACTGTTGGCACGGTCCCTGGCTCAATTGTGGCGAACAGCATCAAGTTTGGCGCATCATCCAACCAGGCATTTGACATTGCTTCCAAGATTGGTCTCGAGATCCAGTTGAACTCGGTTTTCCAGGCGGCCCAGGCCTACATTAATGCCCACAACCCACTACATATTAATGACATGAACACGGTGCTGACAACCAGCGGTATCCAGGCTACTTTGGCCCTGCCTGGAATCCCATTGGGGTCGATACCACTTAAGATGAATTTCCCGATCTCGCTCTCAGGTTACTATCAAAGCAAGGCCTTTATTGCTATCCAAGTTACCGGTATGTCCTTGACTCAGTCGCCTTGGTCCCTTGGCGCAGGCATCACGGTCATCCAGCCTGCATTCGGCACGGCCATGAACGGTATTCTGCCTAATGCCCTCGAATGGAAGAACGCCCTCCAAGATGTCACCCTCGGTGGCGTCACTTTGGGCGAATTCACCGCTCTCCAGGGCTTGACGATTACGCCGCCGGCGGTGACTTTGTGGTCACCGATCACCGTCCCTCTGGGTCAGCTCAAGCCGCACTTAATTCCTCTGGGTATGGACTTTGCAGCGTCGTTCGTGAACCAGGGACCCCTGCAGGTGGACGTGGGCGCGATTGACATTATGATCAAGCAGGGTCCTAACACCAACGTTTTGGAGATCCAGAACTTGGGCGGACCAATCCATCTGAACAACGGCAAGCAGAACGGCGGCAATAATCAAATTGCACTGAACGCGTCGCTCAAGTTCAACTTCTTGCAGTTCTTCACGATCATTGCTGCGTTGCTGAACCCGAGCCAAAACTTCCAGTTTGTGTTTTCGATGAAGACGTCGAGTGGACAGCCGATGCCGTGGTTGCAGGATGCGTTGAACAGCGTTCCTGCTACGCTCTTTAACAACCTGCTGCCAATCCTGGCGCATGCTCTCCAGAACGTCAAATTTGGAATTTAGAGACGAGGACTATACGGTAGCCCAGGACGCGTGTAATGAATACTGTAGAAAAAAAAAAAGAAAAAAAAAGCTATTATTCAGCTTATAATATATTTTGCATTTTAATGTCGATCTGGACTCGCAAAATGATGCTGTTGAATATGTACGGAGTTGGATCCTGGATGCGATGAACTAGTGATGTGAGCAAGTGGCACTTTTTTGTCAACTATGGAATTTTTTGTTGGACAAAGGACGATACGATAATTGACAAGAAAAGCCCACTCGCTCATATCACTACGATGAACCACAGCGCTCACTTGGGGGGAAATGAATCCGTTTTCAAAGACCAATAGAGATGGGAGATTTCTAAAGCAAGACAAAAAAAAAAAAATCTCCGTCAGGATATCTTCCCAGGGTGCTCTTACACCCAAAATATCGATTCTTGTGGAGCGCACGACTGCATTGATTTTCTGATCGGGAAGCATTGGCGTTTCATTCTCGCACGTGTAGGTATCAAAGATTTTCCCTGGTTCGCCCAATGCAAACCCTCCCCCCTTTTGACCAAGCAAAATTTACGAGCACCGCAGCCATTTGTCCAATGGCGCTTTTCCTTTTTCACCAGAGAGAGAGAAAGAGAGAGAGAGAGAGAGAGATCTATGCTCTTCTTCATGTATAGTCTATGACGTTCCTTTATTTGCATGTATCACAGCCTTTTTCGTGAGCAAAATAGGAGTGGGAGAGAGATGGAGCTAGCTGGCTCGTGTGCAGGTCGTGTGGATGCCCTGATTTGGTCGCATAGGTGCTCCACGCATCCATTTCTGATGGATGTTGGCGACTAGGAAGTAGGTTAGTTAGTTGCTAGATATCTCTTCTCGATACGTGTACCGCTAGTGGCAGGTGTAGATGGAGAGCTATTCTTTTTCAAACACAGTATGACAGCTTGCTGTATCATGTCAGCAGTCGTGGGTGGACCAAGAACACATTGTACATGGATTGCTAGCCTGGCAGGGCACGATGGCCTGGATTGAGCAAGCGAGACCACTCAAAGAGGGACACAATTGCTGGTGGTCGGTAACGACTGCCCAAACGGAGGAGGTGAGTGGAACCCGATCGGGTTTCTAGGTCCGTTTGGTTTCTCTGAATAGGAGGGTGAGTCCTAAGCTTGGACGTGTCGGTAGCAAAGCAGCTCCAGTTCGATATATCTTGGTATATTTGGATGAGAGTCCGCAAATCGGTTTTTTTTTATGTTTTGGAACATCGAGAAGGGCTGGACCATCCAGTGGAAAACGAGATTTGCTTTTAGGTTTGGCTGCAGAAGGGGGCGATCGTGGCCAAACCGTTCAACACGCTCTTTGGGTATAGACGCTCATTGGCTGCAGCCACCCACACGTGCGGTTGTCCATTGGCTGCAGGGGTCGCACGCCCCTCGGCCCTGATTGGCGGGCGGTGGAGTTCGCAAGAGATATCGTTTGCCTCCCGCGTAGTCTAGGTCGCGTGTGGGTGGCACAGACGGCCGAAAAAGCGAAAAAGACAACTTGCGATCTGCCACCCAGGGTCCCCGGCCGTATAAATACCGTGTGGTCCCCCCCTCTCTCTTCATGCTCCTCACTACTCTCTCAAGCAGTCTTCTCCTCTCTCTCACATCTTGCTCGCTCTACCTCTAGCAAGGCCATCCTCGCTCGCTTTCTTTGGCACTTATACCTCCACTCATCTCCACTCGCCATCCCTCCCCCTTGCTACAATGTCTGGATCCTCCATCCCCATTGAAAAGAATGTCGATCTCGACTCCCCCGAGACCGGCTCCCTCGACCAGGTCCAGCCCAAGGTTGGTCTGGCCAACCTGGAGGAGCAGCAGTCCTGGAACTGGTTCACCATCCGCACCCTCATCACCTCCGGAACCGGCTTCTTCACTGACGCCTACGATGTCTTCATCATCAATCTGATCGTCCCCATGCTCGGCTATGTCTACTTCAAGGAATCCAATGGACACATCCCCACCGGCACCGAGGGTGCCCTCAAGGGTATGGCCTCCTTCGGTACCCTCGTCGGCCAGCTTGTCTTTGGTTATCTCGGTGACGCCTACGGTCGTCAAAAGATCTACGGTCTTGAGCTCATGATCATCATCCTCGGAACCTTCTGCTGTGCCATGGTCGGGTCCAACGCCAAGGGTGCCGATGTCATCTCGTACCTCACTTTCTGGCGCTTCATTCTCGGAATCGGTATCGGTGGTGATTACCCCATGTCTGCCACTGTCACCTCGGAGTGGGCCTCTGCCGGTCGTCGCGGTCAGCTCATGTCGATCATCTTCTCCATGCAGGGTATCGGTAACATGATGGCTTCCGTCGTCACCCTCATCGTCCTCGCCTGCTTCAAGACTGCCATCATCAACGACGTCGATAACCTCGATATTGTCTGGCGTATTTGCGTTGGTGTCGGATGCATCCCAGCCGTCTCTACCATCTACCTCCGTCTGACCATGCCCGAGTCCCCCCGTTATGCCATGGATGTCGAGAACGATGTCGAGAAGGCCAACCAGGCTGTCGCCCACGCCACTTCCAACAACGTTGAGACTGCCGCCTCTGCCGATGAGGTCCTTGCTCAGCAGAGCGCCGTCGCCGAGGCCAAGGCCAACCGTAACCACAACCGCGCCTTCATTGAGTACTTTTCTCGCTGGGAGAACCTTAAGATCTTGATCGGTACCTCGACCACCTGGTTCTTGCTCGACATTGCCTTCTACGGTATCTCGCTCAACCAGTCCTATGTCCTCAATGCCATGGGCTTCGTCGGTGATGGCACTGTCTTTGATAACCTTTGGAGAACCACCCTCGGCAATTTGACCGTCTCCCTCCTCGGTTTCGTCCCCGGCTACTGGTTCACTGTCTTCCTGATCGAGAAGATGGGTCGCAAGCGCATCCAGTTCATGGGTTTCGGCATGTTGACCATCCTCTTCATCATCTTGTCCACCGCCTTCCACCAGCTCAAGTCTATTGTCCCTCTCTTCGTTGCCGTCTTCACCTTGGCCCAGTTCTTCTTCAACTTTGGACCCAACACCACCACCTTTGTCGTCCCCGGTGAGGTTTTCCCCACCCGTGTTCGCGCCACCGCCCACGGTATCTCTGCCGCCTCCGGCAAGCTCGGTGCCATCTTGGCCACTTTCCTGTTCAACAAGCTTGCAGAGATCGGTGGCGCGCCCGGCGAGCATGCTTTCTTGCCCGAGTTGCTTGGTATCTTTGCCGCTATCATGGCTCTCGGTTTCCTGTGTACCTTCCTCATCCCCGAGACCAAGGGCATGTCCTTGGAGGAGATTGAGCAGCGTGGCGCTATCCAGTCAGGGGCGTCTGCTTAAAAAATCGATAACCAACAAACCAACACAACACTTTTTTTTTTTACCTAGCAAAAGGTTGTACATATATCCCCCATACCAAGTAATCTATAGAGTCTAGCAGCTCAAACCCGATCAGCATTGTATTATTATCGCTATTAAAAAATACCAAAGAACCATACACACTCGTCTGATCCTCCTCTTACCATCACATTTGTATTGATACCAATGACCGAAAAAAAAAAAAGAAAAAAAGAAAAAAAGGCGTTTGAACCGTTGAGTCTTTGGTAATTTTGCTCCGAAGAGGTCAATCTGATATACACGTTCGTTCTTGACGATAAAGAAAAAAAAGAAAAAGAAAAAAAGAACGCAATACCGAATGACTACACCTCTCCAATTGACGGCCTTGGACTCCAGCATTATTGATCAATATATGTCGTTGCGCGCTTGCTATTCAAACGCGCAAACATTGACCCGCACATCCAATAAAGAATGATATTCAATTACAAGATGCTCAATTAAGGAGGGTTACGCCTCCAGATGACGTATACAAGGACTGTTTGAGCCTTGCGCGTCGCTCTCTCAAAGGGCAGCTTTGCCCTGTCCTCCACCGCACTCCCTACATTCGCACTTCGACCATTCCATTCACACAAACCACCCACAACACATACATCCGCTAACCCGGCATACTTAAACTACGGCACCATGGCACCAATAAAGGAGAACTGGGAGAAGTGTATGTTTAAAACGGCCTCCCCCCACACCCACGAATGGTTCGGCGTTGGAGACGCGAAACCACACGCGCTGACAGTTGTCCCGTAATAACGACACTTTCACTGACAGTTCTATCGTTGTATCCATAAAAAAAAAAAAACAGATGACAAGCCTGCCGATGACAAGGAAATGGAGAATATCGTGGCCCTGGATGAGGGTGATATTGCCCTGCTCAAGACCTATGTAAGGGTGATGGAGCCGATCTAGCCAGGATGATATACCTAATCTGAATAGTTTCACTAAAACTTTACTCGGATATCTTTTTTATCTTTTCTTGAGTATAGGGCCAAGGACCGTATGCGAAGGACTTGAAGAAACTGGAGAACGATATCAAGGATGCACAGAAGCGTGTGAACGAAAAGATTGGTGTCAAGGAATCGGACACAGGATTGGCACCGCCTAGCTTGTGGGATATACCCGCGGACAAGCAGCGCATGGGCGAGGAACAGCCACTTCAGGCAAGTGATACGATTGACGTTCTTTTTTAGAAGCGGGGGAACACTCTTCGTGTCTGGCAGACGAAAAAAGAAAAAAAAAAGAAAAGAAAAACTGACAAATTTCAGGGATCTTCGGGTTTATGACAAATAGGTCGCGCGATGCACCAAGATCATTCAGGCAACAGGGGATGAGCAGGCGAAATATATCATCAACGTGAAGCAGATTGCCAAGTTTGTTGTCGGCCTGGGAGAGAAGGTATCGCCGACGGATATTGACGAGGGCATTCGCGTTGGGTAAGGAGAGCCTATTCAGGACTTGTAATGATTGGCAACATACCATTGCCCAAACCAGGATGCTGATGTAGTATGTTTGTCTCTCTAACCGCTTGTCGCTTGATGGTTCTTCGCCGCGATAGTGTCGATCGCACAAAATACCACATTCAGATCCCATTGCCACCCAAGATTGACGCATCTGTGACCATGATGCAGGTCGAGGAGAAGCCCGATGTCACATACAGCGACGTCGGAGGATGCAAAGAGCAGATTGAGAAGTTGCGGGAGGTCGTCGAATTGCCCTTGCTGCAGCCGGAGCGGTTCGTCAATTTGGGAATCGATCCACCAAAGGGAGTCTTGCTCTACGGACCACCTGGAACAGGAAAGACGCTTTGTGCCCGTGCCGCTGCGAATCGCACGGATGCTACATTTATTCGTGTTATTGGATCCGAGTTGGTCCAAAAGTAAGCAGCGCATTACTATTTAAATGGAACTCAAATATCATGGGATGCGGTTGGTCTAACATTCCAATCTTTTTTTGTTCTATAGATACATCGGAGAGGGTGCACGTATGGTCCGTGAATTGTTTGAGATGGCCAAGACCAAGAAGGCTTGCATCATCTTTTTCGATGAGGTCGATGCGATTGGAGGAGCGCGTTTCGATGATGGTGCAGGTGGTGACAATGAGGTCCAGCGTACCATGTTGGAGCTGATCAACCAGCTGGATGGATTCGATTCGAGAGGAAACATCAAGGTTCTGATGGCGACCAACCGACCAGATACACTGGACCCTGCCCTGCTGCGTCCTGGACGTCTGGATCGCAAAGTCGAGTTTTCATTGCCAGATTTGGAAGGACGTGCACATATTCTTAAGATCCATGCCCGATCGATGAGCGTGGAGCGTGATATCCGTTATGAGCTGATTGCGAGATTGTGTCCCAACAGCACAGGAGCCGAATTGAGATCTGTGTGCACAGAGGCGGGCATGTTTGCAATTCGTGCAAGGAGAAAGGTTGCGACAGAGAAAGATTTCTTGGAGGCCGTGAACAAGGTCATCAAGTCGTACGCAAAGTTCAGCAGTACGCCCAAGTACATGACTTACAACTAGGATCGAGCAACGCAGCTGTTAGAGTCCATACAGATTACAGAATGAATAAACATGTACAAATGGTATAAAAAAAGTGCCTTGTTCAATGATGAGTATGGACTTTTCTCTCCCGTCCACCGGGAACTATATGCATCATGTGTCTTCGTCTACAACTTGAACCCAGAATGGATCGCAGCGACACCAAAGGTCAAGTCCTCATATCCCTGACCCATGACGGTGAATCCAGCATCCTTGACCATCTTTGCAAACTCCTTCTGTGGGGGGAACTTGCGGATGGACTCGACCAGGTACTGATACGAATCCCTGTCATTGGCAACGATCTGGCCAATGGTAGGGATCACATCGAAAGAGAACACATCGTAGACCCTATTGTACACAAGATACGCAGTCAGTACTGGTGAGTATTGATAGAAAGCACTTCCCTCCTTCCCTCTTAGGAATAAAACGAAGAGGACATTTACTTGGAAATCACAGGGTTCTCGACTTTGCTGAATTCGAGGCACATGAAGCGTCCACCGGGCTTGAGGACTCTGTAGGCCTCCTTGAGAGCACGATCGATGTGTGTGACATTACGGATCCCGAAGGCGATCGTGTAGGCGTCCATAGAGTTGTCTGGGATGTGCTCCAAGTTCTCTGCATTACCCTCCATAAACGACACTTGTGAGGCTACGCAGAGATCATAGGGCGATAGAAAAGGTTCAGGTTTTTTTTTTTTTTTTTTTTTTTTTTTTTCGCTTAGTTGAAGTTAATCCCGGTAGGGGGGTCGTTTCCAACGATTATACTGTTCAGAACGTACTGTTATGATAAGGTGTCTTTGCGAAGCGCTCCTTGCCGACTTCCAGCATGTTGGGGTTGATATCAAAGACGGTGACCTGAGCAGTGTTGTCGCCGTGGGTTTCCTTGCAGTAGTCCAGGAAGCGCATAGCGATATCGCCTGTATCATATGAGCAAACAGATAAAAATCCGGGTTTAGAATCATGCAGAGAGAAAAGTACGCAATTTGGATCGATATGTTGATAAACAGCAAAGTGGTATATGACGTCCTTACCGGTGCCTCCAGCGACATCCAGTAATTTGGTTCCAGGGGTGGGGGCCAGTGTGCGCATGAAATGGTCTTTCCAGAGACGATGGACACCACCGCTCATGGCGTCGTTCATGATATCGTACTTTGAAGCGACGTTAGCAAACACTTGTCTGACTATTGAGGTGATCAATGTCCCCGCGCGTTTCTGTTAGTCTGGTTATCTAAGGCTCTGGTCTGGAAGTGAGGGATACAAGTGCAAGTCGCTGTCCGTACCAAGGGCTTCTTTCATGTTCTCAGGGACGTTCTGGAAGCCGAAATGCGTCTGTGTCTCAGCTGAGGTCTGGTTGCTGGTGTTGCTGGTGTTGCTACCGTTGCTGGCGGGAGTGTGTTGGTGGAGGACCTTGGTCATGGTTGAGAAGCCAGCGGTCCTAGAGGGCGCGACCGAGGCGACGGTGCGCCTTGCCAAAAGCTGCTTTAATGCTGTCCTGCTTGCCATTGCTTCTCAAACAGTGAATGAGGTGTGCGTGTTTGGTTTAGGAGAAAGGTTTGGCGGTAGACAGGGTATTATATTGAGCGTCGAACACAGGGGCAAGCAAGGCCACTCGGAAGAATCATGGCTGTGCAAGCCACTCTAACAACAAATTGCAGGCCGCCTGAACATGAACCTGAACTTTGATCCGCCTGGTTCTCCGCTCTGGGCGATATGCCTAGTTCATTTTCGTTTTATTCATCTTCAATGATAATGTACAAATACTGTTGTGGATTACAAGTTCGTAGAGGTGGTGCCGACGGCGCAAGATTAATGGGTTGTCTTTTCTTTTTGATCATAGCTCGTCCGGAGCTGGCCACAGGCACCCATCACATCCAATCCTCGAGGCCAACGGATCGTAGCAGGTACGCCCATGTTCTCGACGATCCGGGAGAATCCAATAATGTGGTCTCGTGGAGAGCTGGTGTATGGGCTTCCAGGCCATGGGTTGAACGGGATCAAGTTGACGTGCGAGGGAATATCCTTCAACATTTCTGCCAATGCTCTCGCTTCCTGGAAACTGTCGTTCACGTCTTTGAGCATTACATATCTAGTTGAATAAACAGTAGTTTAATAAGATTTTCCTCGATCTGTGGGCTATAACTTCAATTGTGCATTGTCCCAACTTACTCAAATGTAATCCTTTGACTGTCGCGGTTGCAGCTCTGCATCGCCCTTGCATAATCCGCGCATGCGTTCATAAGAGCACGAATCGGGAAGGTCCTAGAGAAATATCCAATTGCGGCAATGCGTGATGAGTGTCCTGGCATTTCAACAGCTCAAAATGTAGCGCTTATTCTTATTCCAGTCGCTTTCCTGTACCTGTTAATTGGTACGATCTCATCCCTAAGGCGATCATTCGTGGCATGTAGTGAGATGGCGAGACCAATTCCATCAAGTTCTGCAAGCTTCGGTAGTGCAGTGGCGACTCCGGAGGTTGACACTGTGATCTTGCTCTTTGGCAGCCCAATCCCGTCCTTGTCCGTCAGAATCTCGATTGCCTGCCTGACATTTCTGGGTTCCATAATGGAAGAAAAGAAAGGAGAGAAAAAAAATAATCTGTCGTGAGTGGGATCCTAAAGAGTTGAGGAAACAGCAAGTAGTTAAACATGTTCGGTATTTTACCTCCAATTGTAGAATGGTTCTCCTTGACCCATGAAAACGATGTTGTTGACATTGCGCTGAGCATTTTTGACCAGAGGTAAGTCGCCGTAGTCTTTAGCGGGAATCATGTATTGGCCGACAATTTCCCCCGCTGTCAGGTTGCGTAAAAGTTTTTGAGTTCCTGTATGGCAAAACGTGCACGCCAGCGAGCAGCCCACCTGACTGCTGATACACTGAGTCCCTCTTGAGCCATTCATGGGGATGAAAACAGATTCAACCATGGCTTTTGGGTCCTGAAATCCCACCAGCAGCTTCCTAGTCCCGTCCGTAGGCGAGACATGGTCCGACTATAAATTTTAAAGAAACGATAGATGGTGAGCATATCTCGGCCGTTAGCGACCAAGCTGATTGATGACAAGCCCGTACACTTTATTGGCGATGCCTACCACGATCCTTCCGTAGTCGATGGTGTACTTTTCTTTGAGCTCATCCCTGATAGCCATGGGGACATTGAGCATGTCGTCTATTGATGTAACCCCTCTCTGATAAAGAAATCGCCAGATCTGCGATGCCGTATAAGACTTCACACCAGGGATCGTCGTCAGCTCGTCCTTGAGTTGCTGCAAACTAAGTCCAATGAGGTTCTTCTTGTCCCAATCCCGAGTAGACGAAGGTGTGGACTGGGTCAAGTCCAGTCGTGGACTAACGGATACCGGCTTGTTCCTGTGGCTAGTCGAGTCAAACGTCCGAGGTCTCCTGAGAGCCGCTGTGGTTACTGTGCGGACAGAGACCGCTTTCTCAAAAGGGCTGCGACATAGCGTCCTTGGCGAGGAAATCCTGTTAAACGACTGTACAGTAATATGCGAGTGGGAGCATGTCCATCGCTTCCAGATCGAGCAAGACGACATTAGCGAAGAGGGTTGATGTAGGTGCCTGAGAAGAGTTGGTGGCAACAAGTCCGAAGTCTTTTTTTTTTTATTCTTTTCTGTAAATAAATATCCAGTCACCAATTTACCCCCACAATGTCAAGGGACCTCTTTATCGCTTTGCTTGCCTCTTCCTTCTTCCCTTCCCTTCACAATCCAATCGCAAACATCAGTTCACGCATCAACCACATAACATCTCTTGTTTTTGATCTTGCTTTTTATTTTTTTTTATTTTTTTTATTTTTTTCAAGCTTGAACCTGTTCCCCATCTACTCTTTTGTGAGTTATCCAACCTGGCGACCCCAACCATTCCAGTCTCCTCTGTCGATCAGGCAGAAGCAGCAAAACTATACGCGGAACAATACCAGCAATACGCGCAGCAATACCAAGCGTGGTAAGTGCACCAACCGAGGATTGCCACTGGCGATCGTTGTTGTTAAGCACTTTTCGATGACTGGATGCTGCAAAATTGAATGCAATACTGATCATGTACGACGGCTTGGCTTCATTATGACTCAGGCTGGCAGCTAATCCAGGATATCAGCAACCCCAAGGGCCACCAGGAGTAGCACCAGCAGCGCCTGCAGCACCTGCCACATCAGACTACTCTGCATACTACCAACAGTATCAGCAACAGCAGCCACAAGCCCAGTCTGCGTCCCAAGGACAGCCTCAGCAACCAGCTACTTCGGCGGAGGAGTACGCCCAGCAGTACGCAGCGTATTACGCGCAGTACGGTTATACAGTACCAACTACTTCAACCACTCCAGGTCCTGCTTCCGCTCCAGAGGGAGCCTCTGCTTCCACAGCACCTTACAGTCAGACTCAGCCTTATCAAGGCTACTACAGCCAGCAAGGAGCCCAGCAGCCCTATTCCTACCCGACTTCTTCCTCTGCCACTCAGGCTCCGGCATACGCCTACCCCGGTTATCAGGCATCAGCTCCCGGCACCCAGCCTCCGTATCAGCCAGTCCCTGGCACCTCACTAACCTCTTATCCTCCTTATTCTTATCAACAGCAGCAGCAGGCGCCGCAACAGCCTCAGCAGTCAGCTTATTCATCTTCTCCCTATAGCGCAAATCCACCTAACCAGCCCTCCTACTATCAGTCGTATCCTACGCAATCAGGTCCCTCTCATTCTAGCAACGGTCCAGGAAACCAAGGGTCCTACCCCAAGCCTTCGTTTGATTATCAGGCATTTCAAAAGCAAAAGCACCTGGAGGCAGAGCAGCGACAGCAGAGGCACCAGGAGGATTTGAATAATCAACAAACGTATCAAATTCGCGATAAGCTTCATAACACGCACCTGGGCGGACAGGAGACTACAGTCGGGTACGTCCATGATTCTTATTGCTACAACATCATCGAATTGGTTGTTTTTGCTAACATCTTGGTCTGTTCTTTAGAGGAGAAAACGGCATGGGAAAGACAAAGCTCGAGAGTAAGTTGCGCAGACATCTAAAATGCCTCACTTTTTATATTTTTATTCATTTTACAAATTGAGACTTGTCCTTGTTATGATATTGTTATGATATTAATTGCTTTCTCATCACCACTGTAGAGCCCGCGTACTTGTCGGTAAAGTCCAAAAAAGTGAAGCCATTAACGACCAACGTGTTAGACTCCAAGGAATCTGCACAATCAGCGAAAAAGTCGGACGAATGGCCTCAAACATTGAAGGATTACGTGCAGCGCTACTTTGCAACGGTAGTCGAGGAGGACCATGCCGAGGCACAGAACGAGTTGAAGGAACTTGTTGGCAAATTTCACAGCCAGGGAAAGCTTTGGGACGTGGACTGGGAGAATATGGAGGTGCCACGGTACGTATCCAGGCGATAATGTTTTGACGTTCGATATTGCGCCTTGATCTTGTGATTTATTTACTGATGTCTGCGATTCTCTGTCACATTGCCGCCTAATAGTAAGTTCCGGAGAAAAAGAAGGTAATCCTGTCATTTGCATCGTTGAATCCTATCAACATGTTGATTGATGATTCATTTTCTAATCTTTATAATCACGCTTTGGTATCTTTCAGCCTTAATAGCCCTTCTCCGGAATACGAGACCCTTGGTGATGAGGAGCGAGCTAGGCGCGAGAAAAGAATGCGTCGGTTCGAAAAGTCCAAGGATGATGTTCCTATGAAAAAACCTGCTCGCGTTGTGTATGCCCCACCTGTCAATAACAATGATGTTATTGACTGGGATGCTCAAACAATCGTCGGCACTTGCACCAAGCTGGAAAAGAACTATTTAAGATTGACTTCGGTAAGTATGCAGGACAAGTGGGTTGTGCTGACTTCGACTCAATATTGACAATACTACTTTTTCTCGCATAAACTAGGCACCTGATCCATCCACTGTCCGACCAGTCCCTGTACTCATGCAGACGCTTGAGCTCTTGAAGGACAAGTGGCGCCAGGATCAAAATTATGCTTACATTTGCAATCAGTTCAAGAGTGTTCGGCAAGATTTAACTGTAAATAAGACTGGTATTGCCAGAGAACGATGCGACTCGCATGTGGAAGCGATCCTAGAACATGCCAATACTCACTTTGTTGCTTTGTTTGTAATCCATAGGTTCAACGTATCAAGAATGACTTTACGGTGACAGTCTACGAGATCCACGCAAGAATTGCTCTTGAGAAGGGTGATCTCGGCGAGTACAACCAATGCCAGACTCAGTTGAAGCAGCTTTATCAGTACAACCTCAGGGGTCATATCATGGAGTTTACTGCTTATCGAATCTTGTACCTGCTCCACACTCGCAATCCTTCCGGTGAGCATTTTATCATGAATGTGCAAATGTTCATCTTGTGTTGAAGCCAGCGCTGATGAAATTATCTTGTGTCTTACTGATATATAGACATCATCGCAATGCTTGCTTCGTTGACGCCGGCTCAGAAGGAGGATCCAGCGGTAAAACACGCATTGCAAGTTCGCACTGCCTTGGCCACATCGAACTACTACTCTCTGTTCAAGCTGTACCTTACTGCACCGAATATGGGCGGGTATCTGATGGATCAATTTGTCGAGCGAGAGCGAGTCCAGGCCATGAAGGCGATTTGCAAAGCGTGAGTAGCTCTTTTGATCCTTAATCTCCCTCGGCGATTCTCCCCCTTTTATAACGCTTAGCACTCAATACTTTGCCTTTGAATCTGTCCTTAGATATCGACCGCACATTGAGGCGTCATTCTTGACTTCGACATTGGGATTTGTGAGTCAGGATGAGTGCAACAGTTTTCTAAAGTCGATTGGCGTTTCTCAGTGTTTGAATCAGGATGAAGACTCAGCAACGGGGAAGAAGCGACATCAGTATCTTGATACGAAGATGGCGCTGCCGTATGTGCTAGAGGCAGGAAAGAAGTACCAAATGATTGACATCAAGGGCCAGATCTAAGAGGCATGATGGATCGGACGAAGTGGAGCGAATCAAAACAAGAAAGGCGATACATCGAGTCAGGCAGGATCAAAGTCGAGGATCATTTTCCGGATCGCCTATCAATGCCATTTGCCTATAATATTTGTTCGGCGGAAGAAATCAGGGATCGATTTATTTTCAATCCAGCTTTGTTTTTGTCCAATGCGAACTGGATGAAGTGGCCTCAGGACTCCCAACATTGGAGCCTATGGCAATTCGATTCAACATCATCGGCTGGTTCCGAGAGAAAGGAAGGAACAGGGCAAAACTTGTTTTATTATATCCGTTTCGTTTTTGTTTATATAGGCTTTTATTACTACGGTAGTTTTTCTGTTTTTGCCTTTGTTGTTGTAAAAATAAAGCTGTGTCCATTGCATACCAAAATATATAATCCTACAACCCAAAGTTTGATGGTTAGACAAACATGTCGTTGTACATCGTAGGCAGGTGAATCAAATAGACAAGGCAAGACTTACACTAACGACCATAGTTAATATGTGCCGTTCCAGTCGGCGCTTTTTGGCTCTTGATGAGTTGTCGGTTCAGCGCGTCGAGCCACTTGAAGTCCTCTACCCATCGAAGGGCTGCGTTAGCTATGTTCTGGCCAGCGTTGTGGTCCCAATCGCGCTGAAGACCGGTAGTAGGGTTCAATTTGCGTGTTAAGTCATATTCCGACGGCTGACGATCTCCACATGCCGGGTCAGGGCACACGACCGAGCGGCCCTGAGTCTCGACTCTCTTGTAGAATCTGCAAAAAGATATCGACGTCCGGAGTTCGTCAACGCAGCACATCAGCATCCCCATCCCGGTAGCCTATATGCACAGCAGTGTTTGTAGCAGTAAAGTGTCAGCGACCACTATATATCGTTTGCCATCCTTCATCAATGCAAATAAAACGTTACTGCAGTTTCCACCTACCTGAGACTGCAGCCGCGATATGAACCTGTTCGACTTGACCAGCCCTCCGCCCTTGTCCCTGAAGTCGCCATCGCCAATAACGACCATAGGCCGTCGCTGATCAGTCTTTGCCCTCATGTACGCCGTCCTAAGCATCCCGCCGATTGCGCGTCCTACCTCGGACTTCTCCCGTTGTTCCATGCGATAACGAGCGACCTTCAGACCCTTCGATCCGTAAAAGCCCCTCAAATCTTGCTCAACCGCCGCGTTGGTCCAAGCACGCCCAGGTCCAGCAATAAAAGACTTCTGATACACGGCGAATAGCATACGCATTTAGTGAAACGGCATAGGGTCTATAATGGACTTTTAAGTGAATTCTGTACGCGACACTGGATTTGGGACATTATGTTTCTGCTTCTTCCCATGCTTGACACTTGTACACACACACATCCTTTCTCCCAACCCCCCAACCGATCAATAATCAACCATCCATCAAACCCTGCACTAGTTTTCAGGCACACCTGACCGCCAGTCATGCCTCATAATACCAGCAAAAGACCGGTACCACAGGAGCCAGAGCAACAGGGAGCTATCGCAGATTGCCTTTCAGGTTCAGCTCCATTCAGATATGCAGCCGTTCTCTCAGCAGAGGTGCCCAAGGAGATAGCGTTGTCTGTCAAACAAGGCTCCATCAGCACAAGCACCGGGAAAAGACCAAGGTGAACTACGCAGTGAATGCTGAATGAATAACGGACTTCTTGATAAACTACGTGTTCCAAAAAGAGGTAGCGAGGCACGTTAATGCGGACGTCGGTTAGATTGCACAAGTTGGTGTGTTGCCGCTGAATTCGTCAAACGTGTTGTGGACGCCACCCCCGCCCTGGGAAACGTCTATATCGCCGTCGAACGTGAATGCGACAGAGTGGGCAATCGCATAGGCCCCGGAAGCCACCTCGCCAGCGTCAGTCAGGGATAACGGTAGCGACGACGACGACCACACCAACAACAACAGTGATGATAATGGTGATAACGATGATAGCAGTGACGGCGGTGACGATGACAACGACCCTGCGGGACCCACAACCGGTGCCGTTGCCATTGCCGCTTCCAGGCACATCACCAAGATTTCCAGAGTCGAGAGAGCATCACAAGGTAGATCAACCCTCTGTGTATTATATATCCGTATCGTTTCCTGTTGGCTGTTTGTATGTTTATTTATTGTTCTTTCGTTCGCTCTAGTACTCATCCATTCTTCCTTTTGTGTGTTTTCATATAGTCGTCCAAAACGCACAGTTGGACAAGAATGGTCGCAATACGATCCACGTCCCACCTAGCCTTTCAACAATGGAGAACTATATGAAGGCTCTCACGTTCTTGTGGAAATAACAGAGTGCAGACTATCTGGCATATCTTAACCTGACTCCCAGCCATCGGAAGAACCTTGTATTACGGAACACCATAAAGCAATATGGCGAAAACTTGGTCTATACGAAAACAAAAAAGGACGAGACGCGTACAAGCACTTGCTCCGTACGCGACCCGTATACGGCGAAGCAGCTTATCCAGATGGCTTCATTCACATGTCGGAAGCTCCTGGTACTCAGGAGGGTGGGCAAGCGCGTATACGATCAAGCACGGTTTCCGCACATTCGCGAGCATTTGAGCATACTGGCACGACACCATATGCTGTTACGTGACGAGGATATGCGCAACCTGATGCTGTCCGACGTCTTTAGCGTTCAAACGCGGGCATAACGTCCCTAGATCGGCCCTGGCTTTAGGGATTGTCTTCTCTCTACCAAGAGGAAAGACCAACCAGCGCGGAGTCAATATGTACTCAATAGTATATTGCCACCGGAACTTTGTTCGCTGTACAGTTGCCGCCGCATTTGGATAGTGCATGCTTGAGCGTTTTCAAGTAAGCATCCGATTGTATCAGTCCAGTAAATGCCATGCTTTATTTCAAGCTTTGCGCCATGTTGCTAACTCATTCTGACCATTCCATGTTATTAATTTTCCCCGGGTAGAGAACGAGCTCGTTCCTAACTTCTCTGACGCAGATGATTGGCACTCTATCCAAGTCCTCAGGTCGGTCGGAACTCTACAGAAGATTCTCAATAACCGAACAAAGGCGATTACAAACCAAGCCTAGAACGATATCGCTGTGCGGGTCATGCGCGCCTGCTGAGTGTACTCTCTCAAAGTCACTCACGCCGGACGTCATGCTGGAACGTCAGAGGCATACCACCTCGGCTTGGACCTTGACCATATCCGTCACCTCGGCCGCTGGAGTACGGTCCAGATGAAGTCCTATTATGCTCCCAAGTTGCCTACGATCGGAGCGTTCTGCATGGCTCGTTTCAGGAAAGACGAACCATACTTTATTGAGCGCGATCTAGTGACGCCGCCATTACAGCTCCGGCGCCTTATCTTTCCATGGATCGAGGATACCTTTGTGAATGACGAGGGTCTATCGTGGAAGACGCCGTCCTGGATCGAAGAGTGCGACAAGGAGATGTTGGGAGCAGACCCAGATGTTAGTACAGAGCGACGCCCGTTTTGTTCCTGCCGAGCAAACGATCTTGAACAAGAGCATGTCAACCAAATCTGACAATAGCGCGCTGGTCGACCGCGTTGGGTTCCTTAAGGTACTTGTTCGCTTGCGGCGTGTTATCCTTCAGGATACTGGCTTGTATTTGAAGCCGAACGCGAATGATCAAACTACAAACGAACAAACAAACGAACAAGCAAACGAACAAACAAATGAACAAACAAACGAGCAAAGAGAGGAGGACAAGTGAGAGACGCATAGATTAGGAGGGAGGAGGCAACGAGGGAAGAAAGGAAAGGACTGTCGTGGGGACACGCGCGTCAGGGCATACAGCAACAGCACACTCAAACTAGACACAATGCCAAAAAGCGGAAAAGGCAAGGAAAGAGCATGGCGAGACGGTGGATTTCCTGCGCAGAAGCAATTCACTTGGCACAAACTAAGGTTTGACTGTAATTTCGTAAGGTCGCGCACCAAGGGTCCGGCATAACAAACAATGACAGGGTCTGAGCATCAAAGTGGCTGTGCTGCAGTGTCCCGCTTATGGCCCAGCGCCTAGACTTCAGGGACAACTGGGCATTAAAAAACGCCTTCCCGCCGTGGAGAAGGCGGGGAAGGAACGCGTCTTGGCGTCATAAGCGACAATGGCTCATTCTGCACAGATGATATGCGACAGACGGGGTTCTGTATACATAAGTCTCGCCTGCCTCTGGAGCTCGTATATCTCTCTTCTTGTCTCTGCTCTACTCTTTTTTCTTCCGGACATTCTCCTTGCATCTTTTCCTCTTTCCCTTCTCTCCTCCCCTCATATCTTCAACATCGTTCAACTCTAAGCATTTTTTTTTTCATCCCACTCGTAGCTCGTCTTTTTTACATCCCATACTTCAGCATCAACTCTGGGGCACAAAAGATATTAATCACAGCACACAATGGCATTCCGATCCCGTACATCTCTCTACTTCTTGCTCCTCGCCATCCTCGCCCTCTTCGTCCTCGTGGACACTCACTCGCACGTCGAAGCCCTCCCGACCTGAAAGCGCGCCGCTCCGCAGGACATCGCCTCTGCTCCTGCCTCGACATCGTCATCGTCGACAAATCTCCACAACGGAACCGCCACCGCCCCACGAAAGAGCCCACGAAATCAGCGTCAAGAAGAAAAAAGAACGCGGTGGTGAGGAGGAACCCGTTCTTGATCCAGAACCTCGAAGGGGCGGGCATGATGCGACACATTCGGATTTGGTGCGAGCATTGGGAGTCGTGTCTCAACCTGTCGTGGCGGAGAGACGGAAGAGAAGGCGCGAGGCCAAGGCGAGGAAGGTCTAGGAACTAGAAACGATGTACGCGGAGGCGGAGTACGTATATAAAATGCGTAATGCGCACTGTAGATCTTGAGCGCAAAAGATTGTCTTGTATATGTGTATATGTATATAAATGGATTGCATAGCCAGGTTTTCGTGCTGTTGCTAAAAGAAAGGATGCCCAACGACCCTCCTCTCCTCACTTTGTCCAAAAGGCAAAGTAATGTATATATATTTTTACATATGGGCTTTTTCATATCTTCAAACGTCTTCCATGTCCTGGACTGGATTATGTTGTGACACACAACACTTGTGGGACATCCACTCGCGATTCCGGAATAAATGAAGCAAATTAGTTCAGGGTGCATGTCCCATCCTTAATTAACGGAGGATGAGAAGGGCAGAAAAGGATGTTGTTCTTCCGAAAAGATCTAAAGAACAATGAGCTTAATCTCAGCGGATCGTAGCAGCAAGTTTACTCTACTGCTTACAATATTCCGTTCAATAAAAGTCGTCTGCACTGGATTTATTTCTTCCAGCATTTGAAATTAACATTAGCAGGCACCTCATGAAGCATTTCCGCTCCACAAGACGACCCCACATAGTATGATTCAGGACTCGAGGGTCTATTCGTATTTAACTAATTAACTAAAAGTCGGAAAAGGCGGTATTCGTTGCCTCTGGCACGGATTCTGACTTTGAGACGTTCAGCCATAGTCAACATTTATGGGCCCACAATACTCCGTGACCCTAGTTTGATCTCTCCATTGTTCATCGCTTTCGCTCCCACTCTTTGGTTTTTCGAACCTATTGAGTGCTATAATTTGTGCTCTTGGCCATCACTTTTTAAATTTATGAACTTGCCATGGACAAAGACTGCTCTGTATATTGTCTTCAGAAAACGCAATCCATGCACTAAAAGATTGGCAATGAATAAAAGACAAGACACCGTCGCTAATCTCCTATTTGCTCCACCTCCGCGTTTCCAGCAAGCGAAAAGACATTCGCCGAATCGACCGGCTTTGCTGACTGTACAGCGAGAGGATCAGTCGTGGCGAAGATATCGATCATACTGTGGTTTGTTGGTACCTTGAGTTTACGCGCCGCGGACGCCATACTAACTAGCTTTTTGCTTGCCTCGCGGAAGCTCAAAGGCGGAACCGGCTTGACCACAGCGCCGCGCTGCTCTAATAGACGCATATATTTCCTGCTTAAGCCTTGCACGTTCTGGATAGAGGTATTTGACACGATAAGTCTGTCATGCATCGAACTCCAATGCAGGCGCACCTGATAGCGATCCTCCCCTTCTATGACCTGCCATATGCGAACAGACATATCCTCACAGCCGGTTGCGAAATAGGTACCGTTTGGATTAGCGTTCCAGGTGATGCTTGTGATGAATCCATGGAAATCATCAACAACTGCCAAACAATGACCCGAATCCACATCCCACAGCCGCACCGTCCCGTCCCGACTTCCCGAGGCGATCTGCTGGCCGCTAGGCGAATACATCACGCTCGTAACATAGTCGATATGGCCGCTTAAGATGGGACCGGGTGCACCGGTTTGCGCATCCCATAGTCGCACCGTGTTGTCGCTACTGCCCGAGGCGATCTGCTGGCCGCTGGGTGAATACACCACGCTCGTAACACCGCCGGTATGGCCGCTTAAGATGGGACCCGGTTCACCGGTTTGCGCGTCCCACAGTCGCACCGTCGTGTCCCAACTGCCCGAGGCGATTTGCTGGCCGCTAGGCGAATACACCACGCTCGTAACCCATTCGGTATGACCACTCAAGGTGTGGGCTTTTGCCCAAGTCGAAGTGTCATACACGCTGATCGTACCGTCGTCGAGACCTGCCACACAGAACGTCCCATCTGGCGAATACGCGCAGGAAAGCACCCCGCAATCTTCTGAGAGATACGGCCATTCCCTAAACTGCACACCCGCCATCTGTGCATGGCTCAATTTGGCCTGACGCAGCCAAATATTGCGGATATTGACTTTTCTCAAATCTGCCCCTTGTAGCTGAGCAGAATCGAATTGGCCGCCACTCAGGTCTGCTCCTGGAATCTGGATGCCTTTCAGATCTGCACCGTTAAACAGCATCCCAGCTCTGACCAATATTGTGATCGCATTGGCCGCCGCCTTACGTGCCTCTTTGTCGATTTTGGAGCACTCAATCGCTGCGAGCAGCTGTTGCTTGAAGAGAGGTTCCTGTTGGACACGCTCTGCTAAAAAGTGCAGAATTGACGGCTCGTCCACAAAGCATCTCCGTGCCAAGGGCGAATCGAGCACGACCTTTTCAATGGCTGCCGCCGGTTCTTCTACAGCAGTCCGGTTTTCAAAGCTCATCACGGAATGGACGCTCCCTCGACGTTGCAGGGCTTGAGGTAAGGCCGCGCGACTTGCGTTCTCTCCGTCTCGCGGCTCAAACACCGCTCGGGCCAAGCAGTATTCCAGCAGTGATTTATGGATAAACCGGTACTGATTGCCGCTACGCGTCAGAGGACAGGCTTCCAGCAGGAGCTGATTCTCGTCTTCTCGGGAGAAAAACTGTTCCTTCCACGTCTCTTTATCTCGTTTGCGCGAATAGGCCGCCACCGGATTACCTGCCTGATGTTCGTAAATTGCACTGGCCAAGTCCTTGAGAAAATCCATGCCATCCTGAGTAAAGCCTTCGTCGTTCAGCTTCTCAAAGTTTGCCCTCGCTTGAGGGCTCAAGTCTTTGTTCCCAAGCCGCTTCTTGCCGCGCTCTAGCCACTGCTCCACAAACTGGTCATACAATGCGACTCTAGTGACCCAGACGGCCGAGAGATCTTGTCGTTGATCCACTATGCGCGGCAATACCTCCATGGACAGCGTCAACATAAACGGGTTCTTGACCAGATCCTGCAGGCTGGGAATCAGATTGAGAGCCTTCAAGTAGTCCGCCACCTGCCAGAGCGGGCTCGTCGTGGACACATATTTCATTATGTATTCTTGAATTTGATCCATAGAGAATGGTGCAATGACCGCTTCTTGAAACGCTGGCTCTGCTTGGTGATTGCGATCTGCTGGCTGGAACCGATCCCGATAATCGAGCCCAAGGTACTCGCTGCGGCAGCTAATGACCATCTGAGCGCTCCATTCTCCCACCTGGTTCAGTTGGTTGCTCGTGTACAGGTTGTGTGTCTGCTGACTCTCATCATATCCGTCACAAATCAAGATGAATTTGCGGTGGTCTTTCAGCTCTCGGATCTGGGGCTCGGTAAACTCTGCCTTCCGTAGATGTTTGGCGATCAGATCCTGTTCTGGCTTGTCAATTGCGGGTAAGCTGATAAAGAGCGGAATTATGCCTTCCTTTTTCTTATAGGCATCCCACAGGTCACACTCGAGTTGCCGGTTAAAGGTCGACTTGCCTCCACCCGAATCGCCTAGCAGGAGCATCACCTTACGGCAACTGCTCAGGAAGCCTTTAACTTCTTTTGTCAGGTCGAACAGGTTGTCATCGGACGCCTACAAGTTAGCCTTGGCTTGAGGGGGGATGTAAACGGCTCCGCCTCGTTCCTCCAATCCTTGCTTTCTCAGTCGTCTCAGGTCGGCTTCAACATCGGGTTTGTTCTGAACAAGATCAAGCAATGATGACGACGCGATGGTTGATAAGGCAACCTGCAGTCGATGCAAGCTTCGATTTTCCTTTTGGCAATCCTGATAAAGAATCCTTTTCGTCTCATCGCCATCCAATTCCAGCTCTTGCAACAAAGATTCGACACCTACACCATGTATCGCATAGACGAGAATAGAATATAGTACAGCTATTAGTCTCTGCTCGGTGGTGAACTCCATACTTCATGATAAAGCAAGAGCCACTCACGCATCCGTTCATCATACATACTTGGCATAGCTGAGCCAGATGTCGAAGCCAACTGCATAAGAATGTGAAGGATCCATTGCTTGACGAGGGCCTGCTGGCCCCACACTACATCGTTTCGGTATATCTCGCCCAGAAACGCAACAGCACCTTGGCGAGACTCGATGTTCCATAGTGAATTGGCGGCAAGGTCCCCCAGCCGCTGGCATACTCCTAGTTGAAAGGCTAGGTCACGCCGGCAAGGCGCTTCACAGACAAGAGTCTTGAACTTGGCGAGTTGACCGTCTCGAAGCAGTGTGTCTGTCCCGCGCAGTGCTGTATATCAGGCATGTTTCTTGTTGAAGCTGAGACTGACCTTGAGAGATTCCAACAGTCCTTGTCCACTTTCGGCCAGTGCGCTCACACCTTCATAGCCGATTTTCGCCACCTGGATCACCTCTCCCAGTCCCTCCTGAAGATGTCCGAGCCCTGTGATGAAGCCGTTGACGTCCAGGCCTTTTACGGCGCTAACTATCCCCGAGACGCCCTTCAAAACAATTTCAGTGCGCTGCATCGTTGCTTGCCAAGGTGATTCGTTGTCTGGGACACACTGCAGCGCTTGAAAAGCATAGGCAGCCTGGTACACCAAGTAAGGGTCGTTGCTGCTTTGCAGCCCATTCAAATAGACAGAGAGTGGCTCTTGGAGCTCTACACGCTTTAAGTCTGAGATCTTGGTATCGGCCATGGCATCCAGGACATTGGACACTGCAAGCGTGAGACGGCAGATGTGATCTGAAGACTGAGTATGAGTATCCTGTAGGCGGGTGTTGAGGTTGTGCAGGATCGCGACTAGGTCATCCGAGTCGAGGTAGCCCTTGGGAGCGCTTTGGACCAACTGTGCCAGCCCTTCGAGGGACTGCACATCCAGCAGGCTGGACTTGTCAACGCCATCGACAAATAGCATGAGTAGAGAGTGGAAGTATTCCTTTTCAAGAACTGGGGCCAGACACACGACTTCTGCGACAGCCTTAGCATCCTTGAGCTCATCGCGAGCGAATGCCCGGATCACATCTGTCGCCAGCGTCCTGAGTCTCTCTTTCTCCTCTGCATTCCCCTCTGTGAATTTCACCCAATTTCCTGCAGCTGGTTCAAAGACCTCTTCAGGTGACAGCGTCACTTGCAGAAGGCCAAGGCAGTAAGCGAGCTGGGAAGTATTACTGAGTCGCTTATCTGCCTCTGGTAACGCGATCTTGATGGTGGACTGACAGATGTTATCAGGAAAGATATTCTCAGGGACCCGTGCCATGTCGCGGCAGGCACTGTCGGTGGCAGAGAAACTTACAGGACCTGAATCTTTTGTAGGACGCACATGGCTGTTGAAATCAGAGGACAGTCAATAAAGCGAGAGATGCGTTAGGTGCGACGTACGGTATAGCCGGCTAATGCGAACAGGTACAGAGCAAGTTCCTGTTACTTACCCCCACTTTTCTGCCCTGTTGTAGCTGACCTGTGCCATTTCATTATATCCTAAGCTCTCCAGTAGTCTGGCATGCTCGAGACAGGCCCCGACGAATCCATCGCGTAGGGCTTGATCCTCGACGGACAGGGGAGTTGTAAGAGTCTTTTTCGCTGCTCTTTTCATTCGGGATAAAGCAATTTCCCGATCCTTGGTTTTGCGCGCATTCTCCACGTAGATGTTGGTGAGCTCCAGTTCCTTTTGTGGTGAAAGAGTCTTTCGCGAGGACGAAAAAGTTCTGTCAAACATGTTATTTCTCTGAGGGCGTCTCTCCTGTTATCATAGAGCGGATGGCGGCGATATTAGTGACCTTGTGGTTGATCGATATACTTGTGCGAGTAGCCAGTATGCCAGTATACGTACTTACTTGACAGACACCTCAGTAACGCGATGCGAGTCATTAAGTCGCAGTGGACCGGTATATTACAGACGTAGAGGCAGCAGAATGAGCTGTCGTCGTAAATCAAAACATTAATATCCATAGCAGCTGCATGAACCAGATCATATGTGGCTACTCTGTCAAGCGATGGCGCCCTACCTTGGAAGTGTCTATTCGACTCTTGTTTCCTTTGACTGGATGCAGAGGTAGTCCTGAAGATTTATCCTCCTCGTGCCTCCTAGCAGCGATACCAACTGCCCGTTGTGAAGCATGCAGGGTTAATAATCTTATGACATGCCTATAGGCTACTATCGACTGACAAGAAACAGTGCCTCACCTCAACAGGAGTCTGTTTCTCGAGTTCTTTCACCAGCCGAGGAGATGGTCCGTCCCTGTCCAATGTTCTCTACAATTATTTGTTTAAGGCGGTCTGCACACGAACAAGGCAGTCGAGTGGAGTGATATTCGCTTCCCTCGTCAGTTCTAGCAGATTCCTGTGAGCATGAAAGAAGGGATTATTATCCATTGCACATGAATGGCTGTTCTCGTGATCTCGGCCATTCTAGCATTAACACTCTTGGCTCGACTGTGGTTGTTCAGGTACATTCAGGGATGGGACTTTGACAGATAAACTGTGTCTTTGTTACCAATGAGTCGCCGCTGGGCTGTGCTTATTGAGATCGAACAGAAACGTACGGGAGACAGACAGAAGAGCGAGAAAGCAGAGACGTGCGAGAGGCAGACAGAAGAGCGTGAAAAGTTGAGAAAGCTAAGAGGCGGTTCCTGATGGATTAAGGGAGGGAGAATCTGGGAAGAAGGGAAAGTGGGAAAGAGAGGAAAAGAGTGCAAAGACACACATCCATCGTTGCAGCATCCGCCAAACGGAGCCATGTTTGGGGCCCTCGCCCTCGTGTAACGTGTGAGCTCTCGGATGCAAAGGAAAGAAGGAAAACAAACTGAGAATTGTGCAATTAGCCACCGCAATGTTCCTTGCTCATCCTTTCCCGCCGCTTCAGCATCATTCTGACTTTGAGGCGTTCAGCCATAATCCAACAGATGATAGCTTCGGACCATTGCCTGCTCAGGCAGGCACAAATACCAATTATCCGAAGGAGCGGTTCCTCTCGTACTAAGTTCACTTACTATTGCAACAACACCATCAGTGGGGCGAACCTAACCTGTCCTACGACGGTCTAAACCCAGCTCACGCTGCCTATTAGTGGGTGCACAATCCAACGCTTACTGAATTCTGCTTCAGTATGATAGGAAGAGCTGACATCGAAGGATCAAGAAGCAACGTCGCCATGAACGCGTGGCTGCTCTAGTCTGTGTTCCTTCGGTGCTCAGAATTATTTCTTGCATAGACCTCTGCAAGTGTGCTATATTGTAACAGTAGTAGAGCTCCAGCTCAACTCGTGGAGATACAACTTCTTGCACAGTTCATATCTCCTGTAACCGCTGCTGCATTATATATTTTGTAACATGGCCCTCTAAGTGTGCGACATATGCACATATGCCTCTACAGACATGCGACTTACTACACTGACTGGTTGATGCATCCTCAACAGCTGCTTAAAGCTCGACGCTCGATTCAATATATCCTCTTTATCATAGATGTATTAGTAAACGTCGTCCCCCTGAGCAGCGGTTGTTGAGCTCTGGTACTGATGCCGACCCTGACTGGCCATGGTCAACCAGTTGATGCTGCTTAGTAAATACTGGAAGGACTGGTGTCATTCTTGGCAAGCGAGGATGTAGTGAAGATCTTGCTTGCTCAGGAAGAAGGCGATGTGTTCCCTGGTCTCTGGGGGGTCGAGTGGTCAGAGGGACACCTTGGGATGGATCTGGACAGAAGAGGGCGCGGGGGAGGAGGGTAGAAGTGGGGGAGAGACATATGAGAGAGTGCGCGCTTTATACACGGTGGAATAGAAAGCTGGCCACATTAAGATGAGGTTTGCCCTCCATAGGCGCCGCGCAACAGTATCTTTAGGCTTCCTACCGCCCTAAAAGCACTGTCTTGTCCTTATTCTTGCCTCCTCTGTTACATACTTCTCAGCGGGAGCCTACTTTAGGTTCTGCTTTCCTTATGTATCTTCTTCCATGATTGTCTTTTTCATGACTTCCGCTACTTGTTCTAAGGCATTCAAACGACTGGCTCCCTCCTCCAAGGCAGTCGCCCTCAAGGTATAAATACCAACCATTCAAGAAGCTCTCTCGTCAAAAAGTAAATATCTCTTTATTCCCAGGGTATGGTGGCTGTATTCGAGCTTGGAGGCGCTGCTCATGGTGTCGATGCCTTTAACAAATCGGGTTGGCAGGACAGGGATATCAGGATTGAACAATAGACAGCTGCAGTAGAAGCTATGCGGCAGCCTGCCGTTCAGTGCCGCTAGCCTTTTGGGACGACGCGCGGGTAGAGTCCTGGGCTTTGTCGTTTTGCTTTAATGGTGCGTCCATGAGCATCCTTGCTTTATTGCTCGACCTGCTATCACCGATGTCGGTGAATGCTGACAGACTCCTCACAGTCCAAATGATCTTTCACAACTGGTTATGGCCCATCAAGAGAAAATGCATGACCTGTGTACGCAGTTCTTGTCGATCAAAGGCTTTCTTCTCCCTCCCCCACCAGCGCTTTCCTTTTCTTCTGGTCAAACCATCCCCACACACTCTGCTATTCTTTATCAGAATGTAAGTTCCCCATCCATTCAGCTTGTTCGAGTCCAGCAAGCCATAAATGACACCACCCAATAACCAATCTCTGCATTGCCGACCAAGGATCGGAGCAGCTCACGACGTTGGGGGCGAGCAACACTCGCGCGACCGCGCTTTCGCGGCCGACTCTGCAGGGTACGAAGAGTCCAGTGCCTGGTGCAGTGCCGGGGCCTGCAGAAAAAGGCGTTTAATATCTAACAGAACTATGCACTGAACTAAGGATGAGGGCATCTATCAGCAAGAAGACGTTGTTTCTGTCGTCCGTGATCAGCAAGACGTCCTGGTCCCATCAGACGAGCCTCCCTCTTTTTCAGAGGGTACGAGATCAAGACTTGATGTCCCATCCTCAGACGATGGTCTGAAGGATCCTGACCTGTAGGTCGCTCTTTATATCCGGCTCTAAATGACGAGCAATACTTGACTGAACCTATGTTCATCACATGTTAGCACGCATAAACCCGCCCTTGAGGTGGCGAACGAGCCTCGACTGGCGCAAGCACCTCAGACGTGAGTGTATACCGGAGCTTGTTCGCCCGTTTATTTCTTTATTTGTCGTTACGGTTGCTGGGAACTCATTGAACGGCATATGGCCGTCGCTTTTTGCTGCAGGAATGAAATAGTCCAGCCTACTTATAAGCGCGATCCAACGAGTGTGGACGAGCAAGGCGCCGAGCAGACTGCCTCAGACCAGACGCAAGGGCGGGTGACAAACCGGGTTACTCGCAGGGACTTGGTTGCTCATGATCGCAAAAACAGATGCCCTAGCCGCGTCTTCATTTATTCGATCCGAATTAGAGCGGCTCCTCTCTCATACACCACAGCGGCTCCTTACTTTTTCAATGCAGGCCCAATCCACACCACGCCTACTTACAACGTCCTCCTGCTCGGCCAGACGCAAGTCGGGAAGAGCACCTTTGTTCAAGCGGTCAGAAAATATGCAGACCCAAACTGCAAGATCGATTTCCAGACTACACCACGCGATCCGGTTTCTTATGCTCAAAGATCCTTGAAATAAGTCCCCGATAAATACACATTGCTTTAGCACGTTGGGTGCAGGTTTACTTGAATCCTTGAATTTTTCTTTTTTAATTGTGATATGGTAAATAAAGGGTATGTTACAAATCTAAAAGCGCTATTTGTTGTTGTTGTTGTTGTTGTTGTTGTTGTGAGCATAGATGCAAGGTATCGTTCTATATGTGTAGTATTGGCAGCAATTTTGATGGTCCGCAGCTACACAAACCGTTCCATCTCGGCCTCCTCGATCTCGTCCATCGATCCCACGGGTACATATCCATTTGTAGTGCCACCGACGACAGCTCCAAAGAACTCACCGGCCTTTGCAGCGACACCCGAGCCCGTGGACGAGTTTCCGCCAAACTTCATCTTCCAATGCTCACGGATCATGGCCTGCTTCTTCTCCATCAACTGTTCCCGAATCTTGCGCTCCTGTTCCAACTCGGATTCGTCTACGACACGAGGCTTCTTCCAGCGCTTGAGCATCAAACTAGAGAATACGACACTGACGCTCGAGAAGGCCATCATGAGACCTGCAAGCATCGGGTGGAGATGGTAACCCCATGGCAAGAATACGCCCATCGCAACGGGGACTCCCAAGACGTTGTAGATGCAGGCCCATGCAAAGTTCATCCGGATCCTCTTGAAAATCGTCCGGCACAGATCGATCGCTGCGACCACATCCGTCAGATCCCCACGCATCAGCACCATATCTGCAGCCTCCATCGCAATATCCGTTCCCGAGACCAGCGCAATACCGAGATCACTCTGGGCCAACGCAGGTGAATCATTAATACCGTCTCCGATCATGGCCACATGGTGGCCCTGAGACTGCATCTTGGTCACAATCGAGGTCTTGCCGTTAGGGGAGACTCCCGCATGGACGTCCTGAATACCACACTCGGCAGCGATCACCTGAGCAACCAGAGGCTGATCTCCTGTAACCATGGCAACCTGGATGCCCATTTGCTGCAGCTTGGCGACAGTCTTGGCGGCTTCAGGCTTGATGGTATCTGAGAGCGAGATGAATCCGACAAAGATTCCATTCAAGGCGACAAGGACCGTCGTACGACCGGCGCGTTCCTGATGCTGTTGGTCCGCAGCCAGGCTGGCAGGCAAGTGGATCTGGCATTCGTTCAGCCACGACTTATTTCCGATCACGACCCGGTAGTCCCGCGCAGATGGCGAAGGCAGTGTCACAGTGCACTCAATTCCTTTACCAGTGCTCGACGCAAAGTCCTTGGTCGTCGCATTGAATGTCGACACATTCAATTTGCTCTGGGCATGATGGGCGATAGCGCGACCCAGAGGATGCTCCGACGATGATTCAGCGGTACCAATGATCGTAAACAGATCGTTCTCAGTCAGAGAGTCCAAGGATGAGCTTGATGATGTTCCTGAGGATGGGATGGCAGCGATCGGCTTCTGGACGCTCCAACTTGCGACTTCCAGCTTTCCAAGGGTCAGTGTTCCGGTCTTGTCGAACACAACCTTCGTAATCCTGTGTGCAGCCTCCAAGGCGATACCGCTCTTGATCAGAATACCCTGTTGAGCGCCGACTCCGGTACCGACCATAACAGCTGTTGGTGTCGAGAGACCAAGAGCACAGGGGCAAGCTACCACGATAACCGAGATGCATAGCTTCAAGCACGCCACAAACTTGGATGGCTCCATCGAAAACATCCGAGGCAAGTTGTCGGGCATGACCGTATGCGAAACCACCATCCAGACCACGAACGTCAAAACAGCCAAGAAGATGACCGCAGGAACGAAATATCCCGCGACCATATCCGCATATGCCTGAATGGGTGCCTTAGATGTCTGAGCGTCCTCGACCAGCTGCACAATCTGAGCCAACGCCGTCTCGGCTCCAACTCGCACGGCCTCCATGTCGATTGTTCCTAATCCATTGACGGTGCCCCCAATGACGTTCGATCCCACAGTCTTGGTGATCGGTTCCACCTCTCCTGTGACCATGCTCTCGTCCACAGTCGACTGTCCGCTGACAACGACACCGTCCGTTGGGATCTTGTCTCCGGGCAAAACCTTGATTAAATCGCCCTTCTGGACCAGTTCGGATGGGATCTGCTTCTCCGACACGCGTTCGCCAGTCTTGGGATCCAGAACATAAATAGTGCAAGTCGAGGGAGTCAAACACATGAGCTTCGAGAGCGCAACCGACGTCTTGCCCTTGGCCATATTCTCGAGATATCGACCGAAGGTGACAAAGGCGATCAACATGCTGGATGTGTCAAAGAATACGGATGCCTTGTGGGCCTGGTCAAACATGGAGTAGAGCATCGAGAAACTTGAGAACGCAAATGCCGACAATGTACCCAACGAGATCAACACATCCATCGTCGCCACGCCGTGCTTGATCGACTTGTAAGCGCTGACCATAAACCGACGTCCGACTCCAAACTGCACGGGGATGGTCAGCATGCAGGCCAAGACGTCGCCGACGACCAAATTGAAAACGACCGGAAGGTTGTAGATGGACTGACCCCAGGCGAACATGGGCAAGATCATCGAGATAACAAAGACCGGCACTGCAAATACGAGACTCGTAAACAGAGCTCGTCGCCATTCCTGGATCTCCTTGGTTCGCCCCAGTGACTCGAGCTGCGCATTATGAGACCGCTCCGACAGCAGAGCGTCGAATCCCATGTCTTCGATCCTCTCCACAATATCACGGACCCCGAGCACTGCATTGTCGTACTCGACCTTGGCGGCCTGGAGGGTCAAGCTAACGGAGGCCGAGACGATGCCTGGCATCTTGCGAAGTTCACCCTCGATGGAGTTGACGCAGCTGGCACAGGTCATGCCAAAGATTTGGAGGTCGACTGTATCCTTGCGCCGTTCAATAATGGGTGAAGCCTCGAACCCGATATCATCAATCTTGTCTGCAATTTCCCGGGGAGTGGTCTCGCCTTCGATGTATTCGATGGTCGCCCTCTCAGCCAGGAGTGCGACCTTGATGGAAATCAAGCCAGGCGCACCCTTGAGGGACCGTTCGATCGATGCGACACAGGAGGCACAGGTCATGCCCTGAATCGATAGTTGGGCGGTTTTGATCGATGGATTAGAGGATTGATCGATCGCTCTTGATAACGTCGCATGGGACGCTTGAAGAGGGTGTGACGAAGACAAAGCTGGCGAAGAGGAGCTGTTGTTATTGTTGTTGATGCTTTTTTTGGAGGAGGGGATGGGCGTCTTGGGCGAGGGGGCATACTGGACGTTGTTATTATTGAGGGGGGCGACATCCAGGAGGGCGCCTTCGTTAGGGTGGGCAGCGAAGATAGTGTTGGTATCGAAGGGCACGTCAAAACCACAGTCCTCGATGGCCTCTTTGATTTGCGCAGGTGAGACGAGGGCAGGATCGTATTGGACAACGGCCTGGTGCTGTTTGAGCGAGACCTGGACGTCGTTGATACCCGGAGCAGATGAGAGGACGGAGGTGATAGCGTTGACGCAGGACATGCAGGTCATGCCAACGACAGGGAGGGTGATGGCGCCAGGCTGTTGGTCTTGTTTCTCTGCGACAATGGATTGCTCGACTCGCTGTTCAAACTCGTCCCAGTCGTTGGCGCCGTCGAACAGCAGCAGGTGCTGGTTCTCTGCAGCCATGGTTGTGGTGTCGTTATGGTTGTTGTTAAAGGGTGCGAGGTGTCGTGCTACAGGCGGATCAGTAAGAGAAGGAGAGAAAGGTGAGAACGATGGCAGTATGACCCACAGGCGAGATTCCTGCCATGTCTGTACTTACATAGATGTCAATGAGTATTGTCAGCAAATGAGTGGTTGAGTGGTGTTGATTAATAAGGGCGGATGCGAATGATGCGAAAGGTCAGTGGGGATGTAGGTGAGAAAAGAATACAGGACAGTAGAGGGGGGCAGGAGAGGAGAGAGTGGGAGAGTGGGAGAGTGGGAGAGTGGGAGAGTGGAGGGAGAGAAGGAGGAGTAGCGGGTTCTTTTGTTCGAGGGCTAGAATGAGCCGGTCTGTTGAGTTCTGTCTGCTCGCTGGTTTGTTCAGTTGGCTGGCTGGGCGTGAAATTAGTTGCAGGGAAAGTTTCCATCGGCGCATAATCCTTTTTCGCATACCCTCGTATCCAGCACACACACGCACACACACACGCAGATCCGCCTTCTCTTCCCGCGGATCCTTTTTTCAGTATTACTCTCTTGCGACAAAATACTAAGGAGAATTTTCCTAATCCATCCTTGTCCTTCATAAAATAGCGCTATACCGGTAGACTCCACATGCCCTTCCAATGTGCCCTATCGATTACCTGTCCAGTCGTCCATGCAATTTTCTCCTAGGCCCAAATAATCTCTTTTACGATTGCCCCCTTCACAAATTAATGCTAATTTAATGCCCTTTACGAAATTGGGTTTCAAATATAAAAACCAACAAGGACCTGTCAGATCAATTTGACAGCAGGAGAGTGCATTGAGCAGCTCTTTGCTTGCTGTCGAGACATCAATAACACTTAGGTCCATCCTCGACTGTTCTCCAAGGGAAGACTGAGAGGCGCTTCCTCTTTCTTCCTCTCTCTTTCTTCCTTCCCGGGTCGGGGTGCACAAAACACTCATGCTGGCGGGCGTCCAATAGTAAATAAAAAGATCTGATAAACATGTCAACTGAGAAGGGAAAAAAAATATGCGGGGTGGACCTGGGTCGCGCCCTTATCAGATGCGAAAAAAAAAAAAAAAAAAAAAAAAAAAAAAGATGGCGGGCGGCTGGGTTCACAAGCGGTGTTGCTTCTTTCCAGGGCGCGACCTGTTCTGAGTTTTCTTTGTCATGGTTTGTTGAGGGACACGGATACTCACTTTAAGGCATTAAGGCACCCGTTTCTTCTCATCGCTTACTTTCACTAGACTATCAGTCCTCCCACTTGCGCTTCCAGCCAGGACTCGATCATCCATTCTTCTTTTCGCAACAGACTAGACATGGGGTTATAGTCACAAAGTGTATCCGCACAGGCCTAACTGGAGAGACGCGTGGGTCTCCGCAGTTGTCTGCATACTGCAGCAAGGCATTTTGAGTTCAGGCCGGTCAACATATAGCAAGCCACCATGATACAGCATCTTGACTTCCTGGAAACAACGCTCTTTTTGGCACCAAGCACCAACTGCATTATGTCGCCCTTGGACTTTGATATCTATGCCTCATCGCCACAGTCTGCTGCAGCACGTCTGGGAAAGCTCTCAATATCAAACAAGGCTGAACAGGATGGCATCACGACCAAGCGGGTGATTCAGACACCGGGCTGCTTCATGTACTCGATCAAAGGATCCGTGCCACACCTCACTCCAGACAATATGCGCCTGCAAGACTTTGGCGGTGTCATTGTCTCTCTGGAGGAGATCCTGTAAGCTACTTGGAATGTCAGCTCTAATATCAAGGAGGATCGTTGTCAATTGTTCGCCCTGGACTAAATGTTTTGTCTTTATAATGGGTTAGGCAAACGGATCAACCTACCTCTTTCTCAAACTGGCCTTCGATCTCTTCGGCGCCCTTCAAGTTCACCTTGGCGGACTACCTGCATCTGTGCGACCTCATCCTCCTTTGCGACCTCCGCAACAACGCCTCACCGACCACCGACTCTACAAAACTGGGCTCCAACACAGATCGTCATGTCCTGCTGTCAACACCTAAGGGCGTTCGTCAATTGACTTTGGACGATTACCTTCAGATCGCTCGGCAATATCGTCCCGATATCATAGCCTCCCTGGCGGACAACATTGCAGAGACTCAGGTACCATCTCAGAAACGCGTCCGCAAGAGCATAGAGCGGACACTGAAATGGTTGGATCAGATCCTGTTGGAGAGACAAGGTGGAGATGGTAGGATCGCGGATCGTCGATTGGAAGAGGAAAAGAGACGCAAGAAGGAAGAGAAGGAGAGGAGACGTAACATGACCAAGGAGCAGCAGCAACAGCAGGAAGATGCCGATCAGCAACCAGAGGTGCCAGCGGAAGTTCAGCCCATTGCGACGGACCCATGGATGGATGTCGCTGTATTTGCACATGTGCAGGGGTCGCAGTTCGAGGAGGAGAGGATTTTGAGTGCGAAAGAAACTGCGCAGAGAAGCGCCGTCGATGGGTTCATAATGGATGCAAAATCACTGGCAGGTGCATGCACGAAAGCAGAGATCTTGAAGCATATCGAGACCTCGATCGAGCACTTGCCTCCTCAAAAGCCAAGGCTTCTCTATGGCGTCAACACACCAGGTAAACAGTGGAGATCTATGCTAATTATGATTGAAGTAGCACCTGCTCTAATGCTGACATCTTTTGTTACTGTCCACAACTAGAGGACGTGCTGAAGGCGATTCCGTTGGGCGTGGACTTGTTCGACACCTCATACCCTTATCAACTGACCGAGGATGGAAAGGCATCCTTGTATTGTTTTGGACACAATTTACATCCTTCGTCATCGCCGTTATCGTCCTACTCAACCAGTAACGGCAACAAACGTTGGATTAATCTGTGGGATGAGGAACATGGAGACAAGTTCATCCCTCTTCTTGAAGGGTGCGAGTGTTATGCCTGTAAGGGAGGCAGGCATACAAGAGCGTATATCAACCATCTCTTGAAGGCGCACGAGATGCTCGCCACTGTTCTGCTCATGAGGTACAGGCTGTTCTCATCAAAGCACATCTCGTTCGATAATGAAGTCCTCGTGTGATGCTGGTGCAGCGCTGTATCTTGACCTTGTTCCTAATTACAACAACTACATCTCTAGCCATAACATGTACCAATACTCAAAGTTCTTTGCTGCTGTTCGAGAGGCGATCAAGGAAGGAACTCTGGAACAGCACTCAAAGGTCTTTGACGAAACATTCGGCGCCGAACCCGTTCGGACAAGCGAGAAACACGCAGCGCAGATTGTAGTTGAGGCAGCGCTCTCAAAACGCAATCAGCGACTTGAGGCCCCAGAATCTGGAGCTGTCGATGCCATCGGCATGGGTGACGATAAGACCACGAAGAAGCGGCCAGACGACGAAGATGCCAGCAACGAGAATAAGAAGGTCAAGAAGGCCGAGGAAGAGGAAATAACAAACAGAGATATAGCATAGATCCGGCGTAGACAAACGCTCGCTCAGCATAGGACAGTAATAGTAATTGTAATAATAATGCTTTGGAGCAGCAAAATTGGTAATGATCATCAAATGGTTTTATTTCACTTGTCATTACATATCCTTAAGAAGTTGACGTTCCCAGAAGGAGTGATCAAATTTCAGCTGCAATCCAGTGCAGCATACAATAGGCTGTCTTCTAATGAAGCCAAACAGCTCTTTACAGCTCCTTCTTCGCCGAGCCAGCCGTGCGTTGGAGTCGACGTGTCTGAACTGTTGAGAGAACTGAGCGTCCTGAGAAAATAGCCACCAGGGACAGGACACCAAGGTACTGCAAGACAGGGAACAGAGTGACATGGGTCCAGTACGAGTAAAAGACGTACTCAATTCCTGCCAATGATCCAAAAAATGTAACTGCGGCAACGAGATCCAGGGGTTTCGAAACCAAAGACTTGAGCGGCTCAAACTTAATATCCAGTTTGCTCCACTATTTGATCCATAGATTGCGATCAAAAGCGCATCGTAAGTAAGAGTGCGGGATATTAGGTTATATTCGAAACAGAACAGCTCATTGATGAAGCCCTGACTTACAAGAGAGAAGAGGACTGCGAATGGTGTGAGGACAAGGAGCGTGAATGCGCCAGAGATAGCGATGTTGATCAGCTTCTGGTCAGGACGGAATTGATGGTGGATCTCGGGCTGAGCCTTGTACTCGACATGGCTGGGGCGAGAAAGAGGGTTGGTGGCGGGCCCCTTGATCTCAATCTGGCCAAGCTCATACTTGAAGGGCTCGTCGACCTTGAGACCACCGACAAGGAAGGTCATAGAGTACTTGCGAGTGCCATATTTGAACTTGGGATCGGCCTTGGCAAAGTTCTATGTAGCGAATAGTCGTAGCATGTCAGTGACAACTGAATCCAATAGCAGGTCGCCGATAACGTAAGGGTCATAGATATTTGAGTGATATTGTTGAAGTTCCTTACAAGACTAAGGCGTCCTTTTCCTGAAGACTTGACAGAGGCAGCAACCAAGATCTCATCCTGGAACTCATCCTGACTCTGAAAGAGAACCATGGCCTGATGAGGTCGTGCGCTGTTCTCGACCTTGAAGGAGAACTTGAGCGAATCTGTTGGTTCAGCTGACAAGTTATCAACTACATTTGGGTAATCCAGCCTACAGCGGATAAAACACAGGAGACATGATCATCAATATCCCATCGTCGGAACAATTGAAAGGTGACGATATATGAGATGCAACCACAACCACACGTAGCCTTCTCATCACAAAGTGCTAAATGCACTATGACTGTGTCAGATGAGTACCAGCTAGATGAAAGTCAAAGTCGATTCCATGTTTCCATACTTGTGGTCCGCCTTCTTGGAGCCGTCCTTGGATATGAGCTGGAGGTTGATGTCGTTAAGCTTCCATGATTCTGCAAAGACTGTTGAGAGGGACGCCAGCAGGGTGACGAGCAACAAGGACCGGAACTTTGCCATGATGATGAAGATGCAATGTGAGCTGGTGGGATGAAGGATGGGAGGAGAGAAGATGAGGATGCTCAAGTCGCGTATATTCAGCGCGTCTCTTGCCTGTGTTCTTTTTGGGGCCAACTGCCACTCAACGGACTCTAATTTGCCGGTACAAATTGATCTGCCCCGTAACTGGTGTCGAGGTATTTCCAGAGGTTGCACGCCCTGTACGTTCTTTCTCTCTTCGCTTTTTACATTTCCATTCAGTTGACCATTCCATTACGCTCGAACATCATGCAGACCCGCCGAAGAACCATAACCCTCACTACCGAGGTTACTAAAACCGCCTCTCTCAAGCCAAACCTCACCTCTGCCTTCAAACACACCAAGTCCAGGTATTTTCTCTATTTATCACTGTGCTCTTTTTTTTTTTCACTTCAAACTTTTGTGCACATGTCAACTGACGACAAACGCCACCAATTTTTAACATCGATTTAGGATGAGCACCAGAACGCTAGTCACTGTAAGGACTCATTTTAATTTCCCTATGCGGTCTGAAGAGCCACATCTTGACTTCGTCGCGACCATTAATTGTTACGTAGAAATCCGGTATCAGGTCCACGGAGAGCAATGTTCTTGAGTCACAGGTAATGCCCAATAGATACAAGCGGGGTAGTAATGTTCGATCGGCTGGCGATCTTTGCGCTAACTCGACTGGTTGCATGCTCCAAATAGACGTCGGCCCTTTCAATTGAAAATGATATCACCATCGCATCCACTTCGGCCAAAAAGGCGATGCGTCGAACCCGCAAGACGGTCTCTCCATCCACTGCCACTATTGTGACAACGACAAGCACGACAGGCACCACTGAGGTGATAAAGGAGAAGGTCGCAAAGACATCTGAGGAACAACCTTGGACCAAGAGACCCGCGCATGTACCTTCCTATGCCAAAGATGCGCTGGACCATCTCTGCAAGATGGATCCAGCTCTTGCGCCTCTGATTGCCAAACACCCCTATAGAATTTACACTGACCACGACACTAATTACTTTCGGTAGACGACTGCACCTACATGTCTTAATATTACATCTATCGCGTTACCGATGGTCACGACGCTGATCTAATTCGAAATTACTCTAACATCACTCAACGTAGCGTGCTTACACGAACAATCCTCGGTCAACAAATACACTGGAAGGCCGCGAGGTCAATCATCTACAAGTTTGTGTCGTACTACTTTCCCGACAAGGTTACCGTCGAGTCCCTGGACTCGGGGGACAAGACGTTTCCGACGCCACATCAGGTTTTGTCCACGTCTATGGATCAATTGCGACATTGCGGTCTCTCTGAGCGCAAGGCATCGTATGTGCAGGATCTAGCCAAACATTTTGTAGAGGGCAAAATTACGTTTACGGACAAGACCATGCTTCAATCCATGCTGGACAAGGACATCGCGTCGCAACTGCTATGTGTCCGAGGAATTGGACCTTGGACTGTAGATATGTTTATGATGGATTCGCTTGAGCGTCTGGATGTTCTACCAACTCTTGATCTGGGTGTCCGCAGAGGGATGGAAAAGCATTTCGCGGGCGAGTACAAGAACGGCTTGTGGGGTACGATTGTCGAAGACACGGAGGTGGATGGAAACGGTGTGCTGGTCAAGAAGATCAAAAAGAAGGCTGGGGTCAAGGCTAAAGGCAAGGCCAAGAACGGTGAGATGACTTGCGAGGATATGGAGCGGATGGCCGAGCGATGGAGGCCATATCGTAGTATCGCCTCTTGGTACATGTGGAGAAACGCGGGTCCGGAGGGTGTTATCGCCGCGCCAATTTGAGCGCGTTTGGAATTTTTGCAGCTCAAAAAAAATAAAATTATTGTATTGTGCCCCGCTTTTGGCCTGCACAAACCAATTCACGACCTGCTCGACAAACACACCCTGAACATCGCTGCTATGGAGACAATCATTACCCCAGGAGTTAGGAACGGTGGCAGGGTTAGCCCCACAGAACTAGACGCATCACATAGCAACGGCCAGGTCTTTTCCGAGAGCATTCAGTTTGAGACATCCATCTCTGATGCCATCGTAAAGGATGATGGCAGCATTGCAGCAACTACTGCAACAGTGATCACGACAAGTGTTTTTGAGAACGGGCTCCTTGCAGGAACTATTCAGCAGGACCCTAGCGTTCTCTCCAGCGGCGGGGCTAATATGAGGCATCTCACAAATCCACTCGACCTTGCCAGTTCGATCCTCTCAGAGTCAGGAAACTCATCAAAGTCAACTTCGCCCAATCTACCTTCTAATGGAGAGCAGCCGCCACCAGCACAACAACAGCAGCAGGCGCAGCAGCAACAGCAACAGCGACAGAGGGAGCTACATTATGAGAGCGCAAATGCTGTGTTGGTACCCCCATTAAACTTCGCCATGGTGGCCCCAGGTGTATATCGCTCAGGACATCCCAACAAACACAACTTTCCGTTCATGAGAAAATTGGGGCTCAAAGTGATTGTGTAAAGCAGGATTGCGATTGAACAAAGATTAAGCGAAGCGACGCGGTATACATGTCGCTGCACTTCGAGACATTAACGGCCCTTAACCCACGTCAATTGCTGCTGTAGACAGATGAGCGAGGAACCATATGCGCCAGATCTGAAAGAGTTCCTGCAACGCGAAAACATCAGGAGGATTCACTACAAGATTGAAGGCAACAAGGTGCACAGCAGAGTCGCTTTCGAGACTAAGGATCATTTGCATTATGTACTTTTTGGTTTAACCTTCGATCTGTTCAATTGCTTCAGGAACCGTTCATTGAGATCGACGAGGGTGTAATAAGCAGCGCACTGGTCAACATTCTTGGTAATGTCAGGATTGCTATTCTTTCTTCGAATAAAGTCGAACAATGTCACAAAGCTATATCGGGTTCACTCATGCCTGTTTGACCTTTATTGTCTGGGATCAATAGACGCGCGGAATCATCCACTACTGATTCACTGTGCCAAAGGAAAAGTAATCACCTGGGCTTTCTCTCTTGCAACAGAAATTGCGTTCGGGTCTATACCAGTGCAATTGATTCTCAAAACATTTTATCCGCACTTGTATTTCTACTTTAGCATCGCATCGGATGTTTGATCGGATGTCTACGGAAGATACAGAACTGGTCTATGACATCGATCTTTGACGAATATCGAAGGTTTGCAGGAAGCAAAGTGCTGGCAGATCAAGAGGTAAACTAGTGGAGTGAAAATAGGTCTCGAGGAATCATAAAGTCATGTTTGCGACTGATATCTAATTCGATATTCCTTCAATGCCTTAGTTTATCGAGATTTTCTCTGCAAAGGTGCCGTATTCATTGGAACATAAACCGTTCTGGCTGTGATCTTTGCAAGAAATGCACGGCCCAGCGATGTAGTATTACACGTGACTTAAAAAAAGTATAAAGAGGCTCTTAAACACTGCGCGGTTTTTTTCATTACTACTTGAATCGATTCTTACTCTGTCCAATACTGTTAATCTCCTTTCCATCCTGAAGATCGTGCCATCGGGATCGCAACAGACTTAGAGGAGCGTAAGGACACATCAGGAGTCACCATGTCTTTAGCCAACTATTTCTTTGGAAATGTTGACAAATCGGGCAAAGTGGAAGGCCTGCCTGAGGTAACAACTCGTTTGCATCAACACAACTCGACAGCGGGACAAGTGCCCTTGACCTGTTCACTCATTCAAACCTTTTCATGCTTATTGCATTTTGATGTAGGAATTTCGCGAAGCATTGGAGAGTCTTGGAAATGACGAACGATTGAAAAGTATCTTCTCTGCAAAAACGCTTGGCGTCGAAGACAATGAGGTGCAGGCACCGGCATCAGGCGCTGGCGACAATGACGAAGACGAAGACGAGGACCAGGACGGCGAGGTGAACTTTGCAACCATCACATCCAACTTTGAGCGGGCCAAGGATGCTGTCGACTTTTCAGGAATCGACGACCTCGCTGCTGACAACACTGAGCAGGAGATGTTCAAGAGTCGATATATGCAAAGGGGCCTTTCCGCCGTCAAAGCGACCGCCACTACAGCCATGCGAAGCAGTTCTGGCAGCAAGGGAAGGCTAAATGGCATGGACGAAGACTATGACGAGGACACGGACGAAGAAGAAACGCCCAAGTCCGGCTCTCGGCGGCAATCACCATCCGCATCAGTAGCCTCAACAACGCAGAGCTCGACCAAACCCACCTTATCCTTACTGGAGCAGCAAAACCTTTATCTTATGGAGGAGCAACAAAAACTACAACTGCAAGCTGGAAGCGGATTTAAACCAGTACTACCGCCATCGTCACTACCCGCACTTCCAGGACTTACTACTTCACCCACGCCGGCAGAACCTGTGGATGTACATGCAATATACCCCGCATTCGAGGAGAACAAGATCTTAAAGTTTTCGGACCTCTTCAACACCAAACGACCAAAACGACTTCCACACTCGAGAGCCAAGCCTGCTGAGTTTCCAACTAGCGCCAAGTTCAGTCGAGAACATGATGACCGAAGACTATTTGAACAACCAGAGGATCCTTCTACCGACGAAGGACAGTACGCCGATTATTATGATGACATGGAGGTGAGTTATCAGTCATGGCGCATTAGATTCATAAGCTCTGTGTGGGCATTTTGACTAAAGCTCATTTTTATGATGCTTTCTTTGATCTAGGAAATGGTGGACAAGGAATGGGCTAACAGTTTGCAATGGAAAGTCCCGAGTACGAAGGATTTTTATTCTGTGCAACTTGAGTTGTGGGAAGACAAAATCATCTGGGACGATGCTGTGGTTCCATCCCAAAACATGGAAATGAACGGGTGAGGCTACAAAGACAGCTAATATGGTGATGCTTCCCAACAGTGAAATATCGAGTTTAAATGTTGTTAACATGAGTTGTCTCAATGCATTGCTAACTAGGAGTGAGAGCTCATTTATTAAAAATTCGTCTGAGCTGTTTGCAGTCCGGAATTACGAGCTGGAGAATGGTGATTGGGAGGAATCGATTATCTGGGACGAGAATAAACCATACAAGCCATTTGCCCATATCAGCCTCAACATGAACGACGCAAACGTTCTGTTCGATCTTACATCAATGGATACCAAGGCAATGGGAGAAGGGTTTAGAGGTGAGGACATACGACATTTTCAAGCAGAGCTATGATGTGCTAGGCGTTGTCCTCATTTACTAACAACGCACGCGTTTGTATTATGTGGTCCGCTCTAGGAAAACGTGGAAAGAAGGTGCAGCTGCCGGCTTACCGTGTGGTGACCAACAAGAACGACCCCTCTGAAGCCGAGACACACAGGAAACTGCACATTGATCGGTTCAACCTGTCGAACGACCGATTTTACGAAACGCACAAAGAGGGCCGGTTCCACAGAGTGCGTCAGACATTCGGACAGCTGGTTGTACAGCATGCTCTCCCTGCGGTCAAGCTGATGAAGCCCTGGTACAAGAACAAGCTGACGAAGTCAGAACTCCGGTCATTCCACCGACCACAGCTTCAGCTGTCCCCCAACGCCGACATTACATTCTCGCGTGTGAAAGGCAGCAAGAAGAAGAAGCAAAAACGCAAGGAATTGGGCGAGGTTATGAGGAGCTCCAAGGATCTCACACTGCGCGATCACACCAACTTTGTGCTACTGGAGTATTCGGAGGAGCACCCGGCCATTGTTCAGAACGTCGGCATGGGAAGTTTCTTGATCAACTACTATCGCAAGGAGTCGATCGACGATACGCATGTACCGCAATCGGACATCGGAGAGCCCTTCGTTCTGGACGTCGCGGATGCATCGCCATTCTTGAATTTTGGAAACGTCGAATCTGGACAAACCATCAGCGCACTTTACAACAACCTTATAAGGGCACCAGTTTTTGAGCAGCCAGCTCGGAATACAGACTTTTTGGTCATTAGGAATACCTATAAGGGTGAAACAAAATATTACATCCGTCATATCCCTCACCTTTACGTTGTCGGTCAAACGTACCCAGTTCAGGATGTTCCTGGACCTCACTCGCGAAAGATCACGACTATGATCAAGAATCGTCTTCAGATCTCTGCCTTCAGATTCATCCGCAAGGATCCACACAGTCGACTGCGATTCGTCAAACTTGTAAAGGCGTATCCTGAATACTCTGAGATCCAGATTCGACAGAGGCTGAAGGAGTTTGCGGAATTTCAGCGGAAGGGCAACAACACTGGTTTCTGGAAACTGAAGGCGAGCACGCCTTTGCCAAGCGAGGAGGAGATCCGGAAGCTGGTTACGCCTGAGATGGTCTGCTTGTATGAGAGTATGCTTGTTGGACAGCGACATCTCTTGGATGCCGGTTATGGAAAAGCAGCTGATGGAGAGGACGATGCGAATGAGGACAATGAGGCCAACATGGACATCGAGGAGCAACTTGCACCATGGATCACTACCCGAAATTTCATCAATGCTACACAGGGCAAGGCCATGTTGAAGCTGTGGGGCGCCGGTGACCCCACTGGTCGTGGCGAGGGTTTCAGTTTTGTCCGCATCAGCATGAAAGATATTTTTCTGAGGCAAGGAGAGTCGCTCGAGGAGAGATTAGCGCAGATCGAGCTATTGCCCAAGAGCACGCATCGTTACAATGTCGCGGAGCAGCAACAGGTGTACAAGGAGGAAATCACCCGCATCTGGAACGCACAACGTGAGGCCTTGAGCAAGATCGAGGAGATTAACGGCAACGATGACGAAATCGCTGGTAGTGACGATGATGAAGAAGAGAGCTATAACCGACAGAGAAGGGAAATGTCGGCTGTTGATAGGAACCGCGTTTCGCCTTCACCGTCGTTGTTTGGCCGATACCGTGACAGTGGCGACCGAGATCGCGATCGAGACCGCGATCATGACATGGACGACGATAATATTTCTGTGGCTGGCAGCATCAGCTCACGCACCAGTGCAGGAAACTTTGGATCATCTAGAAACAAATATTTGATTATCAAGCGACTTGTCCGTCAGCCTAACGGTGAGGCCATCTGGAAATCTGAAACGATCCGGGACCCAGCTGTGATGAACAACTATATCCGGCACCGTCAGCTGATTGAGGAGAGCTCAATCAGTACAGAAGCATTGGAACCGACGGACGATGAAGCCAAGAACGAGAGAATGAGGAAGCGTATCTTGGAGGAGATTGCCAGATTGAACAGAAATCAGGAGCGTAGGATGGCTCGAGCTGCAGCCAAGGCAGGCACTGCCCCACCAGACCTCCCAATCAATCCGGTGACGGCGTCACTCAAGAAGAAAGTTGTAGTAAGTGGACGAGACTTTGTTGACAAGTCTTTTATGTCTAGCTTGCATTTGTACAATGCGCCCTAACATTGCCACTGTGGTCCTTGTTTCGATTATGTGTTGATAGCGTCAATGCAGTAATTGCGGTGCCTTGGGCCATATGAAAACGAACAAGAAGTGTCCAAAATACGTCGATCCATCAGGGGCGCTCCCTAACTTGGGTGTCACTGGAACGGCGTATGTCACTTCTGGAGGCGTTGGAAGCAGCATGATGTCGCCGCCGCATGCGCCCTTGCGCCAGCCTTCCATTCCACCTGGAACGCCTGCAGCTATGGCTCGAGGAGGCTCAGTCACTGGCGAGTACTTTAGACAGATGTCACCTCAATCTTCAAATGCTGGCGGCAACAAGATTTCAATCCCCAAGGCAGTGATCGATCGTGTGGTGGAATCAGAGAAGGAGCGCGAAAGAGAGGATAAGGAAGCTCTTGTCGTCCGGTTGCCTTCAAAGATGCTTCGTAAGTACTACTGTATGATCGCGGGGACATGAATCTTCTGGAAAGAAAACTCTATTAAACGTCTGTTTTGTACATTGTGGGGTATCGCAATAGAAGCGGCACCAAAGCGGAAGCGAAGCGAGTCGGCTAGCCAGCAAAACAACGATCTGGACGACTTTATGGATTATTTGCACCCTCCTATCAAATCCTATGGTCGCCGCAAGAAGCCGGATGTTGAGCTCGCCAATATTATTGAAAATGTCCTCGCAACCATTCTTGCGATGCAAGAGGCGACTGATTTTATGAATCCGGTCTCCTCCAAATATGCACCTGGCTACGACATTGTCATCAAGCAGCCACGCGACCTCTCTGGTATGCGCGATGCGAACAAGAATTACTATGCCTATCGTACGGTGGACGCGTTCTTGACGGATATGAGGATCATGGTCAATAACTCATGGATTTACAACGGGGAAAACTCGCCCTGGACCAAGGCCGCGATGGTGTTGTTGCAGAAAGCCGAGGAGATTTTGAGCCCTCAAATGGAGAACATCCGTCAGCTCGAACAAGAGATTCTGGAGGCAGACATCAAAGCGAACATCTATGGTGCAGCCGGCACCCCAGGAGGAATACCCGGTGCGACGGGAACACCACCTCCACCGGCCTTACCAAGCATTCATCCTGCAGGATACGGAGTTTACACGAGCGCAACTTTCCCGGGCATTGGTAAACCGTTCCTCGGATTCCAGGCCCCTCCAACCAAGAACGGTGGCCAGTCTACAGCTGCGTCTGCAGCTGCAGCTTCTGCCCCTGTTCCTATCACTGACCCTGCAGATGTGCAGCCCAAGACCGAGACTATGGAATGGGAGTAAATCAGTGCAGCTACCTTGTGTATGTTTAGTGCCTTAGTGCTTTCTAGACAATAAAACCTGAACATGACCATAATCACGAATATGAAGGCGCATGGTTTTCTCAGGCAGACTGGTTGTAAATATGTACTTCGCAAAAACGGGGCAAAAGAACGCTATTCTCACTCGCAATTGATCGATAATCAAAACGCGCTCCTGCACTCCAAAAACTCAGGCATACAAAAATCAAGGATGCAGAGTACGATTTGAAGATTAAGGCCTTGCTGCGAACGAGTTGACAAACGAAAATGATGAAGCAAAGGGGGAATGATGGTTACTAGCCGTATTCTTCTGTTATGAACCTGCAAGGACTTTTTTCATAGGAAGTATCGCCTGCGGACGCGTCCAAGACTGTATCTACTCTTCCGTTGGCGACATTGTCTGCAACAATATGCGCCTTACAGCTCCTCAAACTGGTCGAGCACATCCTTTATCCGTCGAAAGCTCCTTTCATGCGACTAGTCCAGTCGTCTCTGGAATCATGCCGCGTTCAGGATTATATGACAGCACTCCACTTTGAGATCCTACAAACTGGATATTGTCATCAAGCGTCCTGCTAGGCGCGACCAAGACCTCGACGTTACAGCTTCTGCCGCCCCATATCTGTTGTATCCTTAGACAGCGGACCCAAGGATCCCCAAATGGGAAAAGATCGTCAACTTGATCACAGAGAGCTCTGCCCGAACGTCGGTTCCCGTGTGTACTTGAAAACCGCAGGAGTCGAAGTCTACGACATCCGGAACTCAAGCTGAACTTGTAGAATGAATGTCATAAATACCCACTGCAAAAACGGCGGCACGTGTCAAGTACTTTTTTCAGGTATGAAGATGTTCCTACGAGAGAGCGTGATGCCGTGATACGGAACTTTAAGAACTCGGTATTATTTTAGCCGTAGGTTCCTTACGGGCCTTACCCTCAAATGCACAAATGCTACAGTATTTTTTTTTTTTTTTTTTGCGTTGCAAGATGCCTAGGCTGGCTAGGTTACTATCTCGGTCGTGTTTTGAATTTTTGTAGAACCGACGCCGACATCGCAGACTCCAAGTTGTCATGCGATATGACGAACCTGTACTCGATATCTCAGAGCTAGAGCATCTGAGATGAGGAGAAGCAGTATATGCGTTTGAGGAATAAGCTATCGCTCGCGGTGTTTCTTGCAGCCCGACAGCAATTACGCAAGCTTGAGGCTGGATGATAGCCGAGTGGGTATGTATCCGGGATACAGGACCGTTGTTGCTTTTCGTACGCTCGTATAGTCTCTCCCCAATATGCCTGTACCGCGTAATCGACCTGATTGCGCTTGTGGATGTTGTGGAATCTTTGCTGCAGTATCTGATTGTTGATAGGAACACTCTTCTGATGGAACGGTCTATTTGACATGTACAGTATTCATGAGCTGCCCAAAGTCGAGGGAGCCTTCGGCTGCGAATCTCGATCTAACCGTTGTAGTCTTTAAGGACATAGATGATGTGCCTGTTGAGGATAAGGATCCCATCTGCCACAACGGCGGCAGAGTCGGAAGTGTCAAAAGACTTTCACCAACGAAAAGCGGCGCGTGTAGAGGCACTCGAGTTGTTGAGCTTGTTCTTTTATACAGGTAAAGGACCAGGTCGTGTATGGCCTTCTACAGAAGGCGAGAATCCATCCAAGCTGTGTAAGGCATTAGACCAGAATCTACTCTCTCTTCCAGCAGTGAGGGCAGCGACGAGGGTCGAACGTCAGGCTTAAGGTTCCGCCTGATGTTTGGAATGTATTGGTGTATCGAGGCCATCTATGAGCGATACCAAGTCCTCTTGAACCTGAAGATCCTGCAGTGGCATGGATCACTGATTCTTTGGACCTTGGAGAGTTGCGAATATCCAGGACTTGACAAGTCACAATGACAAAACAAAGAGAAACGGTTCGTCGTGCCATAGTTTTTTTTTACACCTTGACGATATTCTCAGAGGCACTGAGCGACGATAGAAGGTATAGAAATAGGGTCACGCTATGGTGGAGAGTTTTGATTATACATAGACAAAGGCAAGTAAAGTTTCAATAATAACCCAGACTTAGACATCGACTCGTTGATTCTGAGGTAGCTAGATCGATAGTACTCGTCGCCGGTATTGTCACCGGTGTTGTTACCAAATCACAGAAACCCAGAGAGCTGACAGAGACAATAGGTGGCGTCCGAGGATACAGTTGGTGATGATGATGTTGATGATGACATGAATCTGCAGATAAAGCAGCCCCGGTTTTCTCATATCATGTAATGTTTATAAAAGCGTACCCTCGATTAACGACCATTGTAGACAATCTACCACGGCGCAAAGAGAAAACTTGTTAAGCCCGTTACAGGGGGAGTACGGAGGAGACGCGCTAGAGCTTCATCAAGAACTATGTTTTGGACGGTATGAAGATACCTAATGAATACACGGCTGTTCGAGAGAGGTGTAGATGGATTGGTCGCAACATTGACGCGTGAGAAGGCAATGCAGCGGCCATAGAGGACACGCATTCCTACTAATCTATGCCTTCAAAAGTAATAGGCACAGCGAATCGAAACGCTGAAATAGAACGTTGTATGAATATCATAGGTAATATAGCATCCATCTAAAAATACATTTTTGTGCCATCTCACCCTACGGTTTCACAGTTTTTTCGCGTCTTACATATTGGCTTCTACACCTTACATGAACGCGTTCTTCTACAAATACACGCGAGCGAACATCTCCTAGATTCTAATCATCTCTCTCTTTCCTTACAACACAGACTCTCGCTATAGAATGATCTTACAGAAATGTAACACTCTTGCAGCTCTAGCCTGCGTGGTCCTCCTTGCCTTCCCTACCGGCATTCATTCGGTTCCCACTGCCGCTGTAGCTACGGTCCCCGATCCCGCCTCGGTTGCTTATAACAGTCCCAGCAACGGAAAACACGATGAACACGGCGGACAACCATCTCCGAGCAAGAATCATGACATGCTCAAGGAGTGTGTCGCCCTATGCCAGCGACATGTCGAGATCGTTTGGCCAAAATGTAAACAGCCCGGCGAAAATTCAGACGATTTGATGGACATGAGCATGACCAGGGAGGATCCGTGTCTGCTTGCGATCCGGATGTGTGCCAGGGGATGCAAGGCCATGGGAATGGTCTACAACAAGCTTGGTACAGGTGATGGTAACAATAATGGGAGGGAGAAGGATCTGGAGGAGTGGAAGGATTGGACGGAGACGGATTGGAAAGCATGGACAGAGTCCGTCGAGGATGCGGCGATCTCATCGCATGACGAAGCACAGAGCGATGTTCAGCCATTATAGTAGAGTACCTTTATTCTTTAAGCGTCCACAACCTCGCACCTCGCACCTCTCGCAAAGGAGGGTCTTTTTCTATTCTAAATAAAAAAATGGAAAGTATGGACTACTACTTAGTGTCGCTCGTACTCGTAGTTTCGGTTGTCCTCCGTACTTTCGCTGGACTCCCTCCGTCATGTTCCCCTATTACCTCAACCTCATTGTTCAATGTTCCCTCTCGTTTCCGCTTCTTATACTCCTGAGCCTTGAAGTACCACCAATTGGATCCGTCGCGCTCCATCTCTGCCTTATTGGTTCTCATCTTCCGATGCTGCTTGGATCGAAGATGCTGTTCCCATCCTGTTGGTCCATGGATAATCACGGGTGGGAGGGATTCTATGGAGCCAGAGGCGTATTTTTCATGCATAATTCTTTGCATCCCAGTGCAGATGTCACACTCTTTCTTTTCCCATGATTCCAGAGCAGCTACAGTGCTGTAAATAGAACACAAGACGATAATTAGTATACCAACATCCCGATAAGTGTCGGCTTCAGCGGAGTCGTATGTAAGATTTTTAGGGTACATACTCAAGATCGCGTTGTGCAGTCAGCATCTCTCTGGCGTACGGGTTCAAGTCTTCCGGATTTGGGAGTGCGTTTCCAGCAAAGAAATCTACCGGAGATTGTCATGTTAGTTTTCTGAGGCTGCATGCGGATCAGAAAGTATGGTCCGTCATCGGACCCTACCTTTTGCAATCTTGACAGCGGCGTTTCCAACGTTTTCCTTCCAAGTATCAAGCGCTGTAAGTCAGAACAGACACATTTCTCAGGTCAGATTATGACTGTTATCATGACAAGAAAGCGCTCTGGCCTAAGCAAGAAGATGGTTGTCTTACATGTCGCGTCCAGCAAAAAGACTTTGACTTCTTTCTCTCGACATAGCGGCAACAGTTTGTTGCGGATCCAGAGTACCTGTCTCTTGGCGTACTGTCGGGTTCTGACCTTCATGGTTTCTGTGCACTCGGCTTTTAGGTCTTCCAGTTCCTTGGTGTCTATGGTGAATGAGGAGGAAAATGAGTCAGCTTGTCGCTTTATCGGTTACCAAGGCGTAGCATAATTAAGCCAGGCAGAAAAAAATCATGCTCACCAGTAGGCTGTTTGTCTTTGATAGCCTCCTCGAAGGCTGTGAAGTACGGATCGAACTCTTTGTATCCTACATTGCAAACCATATTGGAGATACGTAAGCATCAGTCGACCCTTATAGTTTTCCTTAGTGGAAGTGTTCATATGCTGAGTAAAGATTCTTACCGATTGCTTGCCAGATTCCGCGCTCATAGTCAGTATTCGATCCAACACTTTTCCGCATCCCTTTGATTTCATCAAAAAGACCTCCCTGCGTTCAAGAGTCAAGGGCATTTCAAATTGTTAGTGTATGCTGAGGCTACGAACAAGAAAAAAAAATTCTGAGCTATTGACGCACCTTGATCATTGTGTCGACTCTTGCATCCAAGCGTGCGTTCAATACGTCCGGTGCTGAGTAGATCCAGAATATACACGATGGCATCCTGCAAAACGCAAAAGATCCGACTTTGTGAGTATAAGTCCTCACTCTACGAGTCGCGCTCGGGAAATAAGACACTGTATAGCCCAAGCCCTACCGTAATCTTTCGTTGTCTGGTAAGGCGTGCTGTTTCTTGATCAAGTCACTCTGACATTCGCCCGTTTCAAAAAAGACCTGATGTTCCGAATGATGGATGGTTTTATCAGTGCTTGTCCAATATCGTCTTTGGTTTTGCAGCGAACGCGAAAAAGCGACTGACAGATCAGATCGCGTACCTGCAGGGACCGCGTGATCTTTCTTCTGTCGTTTTCGTGCCATTTGTTGGCCATGATTGGGTCTACCTCCTGCAGTTTCCTGTATAATGTAGAAGTATCGGATTCCCGCAAAAACTTTTCGTTGGAATCATTCTGTTCTTGTACTTGTCTTTCGGTCGAAGAGCCCACATTCTTTTTTGTGTCGAGTAGCGTGTCGCGCCATAAAAGCGATTGAATGTAGTAATGGGTGCCTCCGACGACAATAGGCATATGCTTTCGATCGTGAATCTGTTTGATCTACGTGGACGCAACGTCGGAGCAAATTATCTTAGTACTTTCTAAAAGTGCCTTTGGCACTTTACTGCGGTAGATCAATGCAAAGGTCACTCACCAGTTCTAGTGCATCCGCTTTGAAGTCGAGAACAGAGTACTCTTGGTCCATAGGGAGAAAGTCCATAAGATGGTGGGTGATACCTTCACGTTCGTCCATTGGCATTTTGTTGGTGATAATGTCCAGCCCTTTATAGACCTGTCAAGAACGATTTGGACACAACTGACGAGAGTTAGGTTTGATCTGCCTTTTTTTTGCGTGTGTGTGTGTGTGGACAATGCAGGCAAACCGTCCTTAAACTCGAATCGATTGACGTAGTACCTGCAGTGCATCCGCGTTGATAACTTCACCATCCAGTTCTTTGGCAAGCTGGATCGATAGGTTGGACTTCCCGACTCCTGTCGTGCCAATAACCGCTATCACGCCTGGATCCATGGCTCTGTTGAGTGTGCTGTACATAAAACGGGCGCTCTGCTGTGGCTTCCAAGAAGCCTGCGTACTGAGGTAGATCAACCTTGGTGATCGCAGTGATGTCCACGAAGATTCAAGTCTGGAACTGAAGGTCAGGGTCTTCCGTGCGACTGCCAGACAATTTCTATGCATGAGTTCCGCTTTTGTGCATGGTGCTCCTTCTTCTTCTCCACGCTCTGCAAACCTTTTTTTATTGGATGCTTCAATGCAGCAGGTTGGGAAACCCTTAAGATTGAGCAAGTGACGTCTACTGTCGACCCAAGAAGTGGGTCATGCGGCCTGGTCAAGCGCGTTCATGAGCAACCCCTTTCTCGGATTCCATTCCTTGCTCACGACTCTCCCTTCGCCAATCCATCAACACTCACCATAGCCTGTATATTCTGCCAGACAGAATCTAGGGCCCCTCTCTATTCCGCCAGTATCGCTATAACCGCCCATCTATTTGGTCCCTGAATCACCTTAACGACATTCCCATCTCAACCAGGCCAAACCCCTGAGAGCAGCCATGGCCGAGTCCACCTTCTTCCGTTCGGAAGAAATGTCGCTGATCCAGCTGTACATTCCAGCTGAGGTTGCGCAGCCCACCGTCTCTGAGCTAGGAGAGCTAGGCCTTGTTCAGTTTCGCGATGTACGTCAAGGAATCACGCCAGTTTCTTGCGATCTCAATTGATATGCCAAATCTGCGGAAAGAGACATCGCCCTGTGCCTAATACTATGACTTTGTCGTCTCTTTTGATCTTTTGACAGCTCAACCCAGACGTGAATGCCTTTCAGCGTGCCTTTGTCGGCGAGATTAGACGCTTTGACGAGATGGAAAGACAGCTTCGTAAGTAGACGGCAACAGGCGTGCCATGCCAAGTCGATACATATTCCACGGTCAGGAGGGTGCTATGGATGCATTGTACTCACTAATATTGATGTTATTTAATTCATAGGTTTCTTCACCACGCAGATTGAAAAGGCTGAAATCCCTATTCGCCCCTCCATCCCTTCGTCATATATGACACGCGCCCGTTCGCGCCAGGAGTTGGATGATCTCGAAGAGCGTCTCTCTGAGCATGAGAACCGTCTGCTCCAGATGAACAACTCGCACGAGACTATGCAGCGCCGATTCCTGGAGCTCACCGAGTTGAAGCATGTCCTTCGCGAGACTGCCGAGTTTTTTGAAGAGGTGCGTTGAACCGCACCTCATGCTGTGCTAATGCTTTGTGTTGAGAGCAATTGAACAAGGACTCATGTATTGGCTGAAATCACTAATATGGATTCAATTTGTTTTTGATAGGCTGCTTCACACCAGGAAGATATTCGCCATTCGTTCGACGAACCTAGCGCCCCACTTCTAGACGATCTAGAGACTGGTCCCTCGCAAGAGGCTCATAGCGCCGGCCTTCAGCTTGGCAACGTCACCGGTGTCATTCCTCGGAGCAAAATGCAGACATTCGAGCGCATCCTCTGGAGATCACTTCGCGGCAACTTGTACATGAACACTGCTGAGATCGAGGAGCCCATCATCGACCCCTCGACGGACGTGGTTGTTGAGAAGAACGTCTTCATTATCTTTGCTCATGGACGCGAGATTCTCGCTAAAATCAAAAAGATTGCTGAGTCCCTGGGTGCGACTTTGTACCCCATTGATCCATCCATGGACCGTCGCAGGGAGGCCCTAATCGATGTCATCCGTCACATTGAGGAGTTCAACTCTGTCCTCGTCAACACGACCCAAACCCGTCGCCAGGAATTGATGCGTATCTCTGAGAACCTGACTGCATGGATGACGATCGTCAAGAAGGAAAAGGCGACCTATCACACGATGAACCACTTCAATTACGACATCAACCGCAAGTGTTTGATTGCTGAGGGATGGTGCCCCACGAATGAGATTAACACTATTCAGACCGCTCTTCGCGGTGTCACGGAGCGTTCAGGATCCATGGTACCTTCAATCTTGAACGAATTACGGACGCACAGGGAGCCTCCCACCTTCCACAAGACGAACAAGTTCACTGCAGGATTCCAGGCCATTGTTGACGCTTATGGTATGGCCCGTTACCGCGAGGTCAACCCCGGTCTCTTCACCGTCATCTCCTTCCCCTTCCTATTCGCTGTCATGTTCGGTGATGTTGGTCACGGCATTCTGGTCTTGCTTGCGGGTATCTATTTGGTTTGGAATGAGCGCAAGCTGGCTCATATTGACAGTGAGGTAAGAACAAAGCAACTACAAAGATGCTTGAGCACTGGATTGCCGATAGCCAATATGGGATCACTGATCATGTAATTACGCGATACTTTTTATAGATGTTCCAAATGGTCTATGGTGGTCGCTACATCGTTCTGCTCATGGGAGCCTTCTCCATCTTTACGGGAATGATGTACAACGATATTTTCTCGCGTGCTCTGCCTTGGTTCCAGACTGGCTGGCATTTCAACGTTCCTGATGACTATGACGGCAAGACTGTGATTGTTGCCGAGCCCACGGGTCACACCTACCCCTTCGGTATCGATTATGCCTGGCACGGCACAGAGAACTATCTTCTGTTCACCAACTCATACAAGATGAAAATGTCTGTGGTTCTTGGAGTTATCCACATGTCGTTCGGTATCTGCATGGTCTACTACAATGCTAAGTTCTTCCGCAAGCGCATCGACATCATCGGAGGCTTCATCCCCCAGATCCTGTTCATGCAGTGCCTGTTTGGATACCTAGTCATGATGATTATCTACAAGTGGACCGTTGACTGGTTTGAGACCGATGCTGCAGGACACGCTGTACGCAACACTCCTCCAAGCTTGCTCAACACCATGATCTACATGTTTCTGAGTCCTGGGTCTGTCAATGAGTCCGACAAGTTGTATGCAGGACAGAGCTTCATTCAAGGATTGTTGGTGCTTGTGGCGTTCATTTGCATTCCCTGGATGCTGTTCTTGAAGCCGTATTACCTCAAGCATGAGCACAACAAGGCCCGATCGATGGGATACCATCAGCCATCGGAGAACCATGTTCGTATCAGTACCGACAGCAATCACTCGGACGAGGCTGGCGGTGCTGTTGTCGCCGATGATGTTGAGCATGAGGAGGAATTCGAGTTTTCGGAGGAGCTGATCCACCAAGTCATTCACACGATCGATTTCTGTTTGGGATGTATCTCCAACACGGCTTCGTACCTTCGACTCTGGGCCCTTTCTCTGGCACACGCACAGCTCTCGGAGGTGCTCTGGTCCATGACCTTGGGCTTGGCTTGGTCGATCACTGGCCCCGTGGGAACGTTTATGACGATCGTTATGTTCGCGCTCTGGTTCTCGTTGACGATCTTTATCCTGGTCGGTATGGAGGGTCTGTCTGCGTTCTTGCACGCCCTTCGTCTGCACTGGGTCGAATTTAACAACAAGTTCTACATGGTAAGGCAAATTGTTATTTTTTATTTTATTTTTCTTACTATTGTTCTAGGAGTTGCAGACCCAACTTACACTCTTTTTTTTGTTCTCATGTATAGGGCGATGGATATGCCTTCGAGCCCTTCTCGTTTGCAGCCGTTCTTTCCGAGAAGGATGCTTGAACAATATACACCAATTGAGTAGTTTCCCATTTTTTTGTTTGCGATGGTGACGGCCACCGTAAAAAAAAAGAAAAAAAGAAAAAAAGGCCTATGATATGCGATATTCTGGGCCATGTACCCATTAAAATAAAGATAAGATGACTTTGATGAAAACTTAGTGAATCATTTAATCTATTGATGTTTTGACGAGTGAGGATCAAAGGATTGGCAAAAGGAGAGACCGAGGATTGCATTAAACCCAAATTTGAACGCGTTTTTTATCCCTCACACACAAAAGGATGTACCGTCATAGGACCAAACTGGGAAAGACCGGTTACTAGAGCTCTATCAAACTCCCGGGTCCACTTTCAATTATGATCGATGCGAATACTGGACTGAAAAAGGTGCAGGATGAAATATCAAAGAGAAGCGAACGTGTGCAAAGGAAGGGACAAATATAGTACCCTCCTCTCTTCCAACTCCTGCAGCAGTACATGCGACTGTACAATTATGATCAGGCGTTATTTTTCTTTCATGCAAGGAAAAGGTGAGAGCAAGGGCGGGGGCCCAGAACAATTGCATGCGGGATAGTTCTCCAAGAAACGCTCGTTACCATGACTATTCGTCTCAGACGAATTCAAACTAATTAGATCGCTCTAAGCAACTAGCCCATCTTTTGCGAGAAGGAAGACGTTCCCGCAGCTTCAAAGTGGCCCACAAAAAAAAGATGTTCTAGGCGGCGGATTAAGGATACAGAGTAATCATAAGCGATGTTCTCGTAGACAAATGAATGCGTACGAAATTTTACACTTCCTCCTCGGACGCTGCTTTGTATACAACCAGGCAACATCGCCTTGAAGAAGAGACGAAAAAATATAAAAAAAATCGACCGCTCCTTTTTATAATTGCCTTCGTCTGCTTCTTTCGAAGTAGTAGGCAAAATGCACTCTCTAAACTACATTCCGTTATCTATAGAGGATGAATTGGAGAGAAAACGATAACGATAGACGATAACAAGTACAATTTCCAGCATGCGGCGATGGGTCGGCTTGAGAAACTCCTCTTATCAGGACTGCTTTTGCCACCATAACCAACCACAAATCCTCTTATCAGAACCATTTGATCGTGCCAAGGCTCCTTCGAAACATAAAAGACGAGCAAAGAAATGTGTGTCAAGATCAGAGATGTGTCTTAACATTGACGGATTGTTGAGGTGAGTACTAGATGAGCCTAAATCTTGTAAGTCCTTAGTTGAACATAAGACAAATATTACACAAAGACACGATATATTGCGTCCGGCTCATCGGGAGCAACTTCGGCACGATTTTTGCTAGCGATCGCAAATAGATCACCCGAGAATCGTTTTTTGACTGGCAACGGTTTTCTTTTCTTTTTTTTTTTTTCTGAAGTACGGCCGTGGAAAGTTGGATGGAAGAGAGGGAGATAGAGGAACAGAAAGAGAAGGCCTGGGAGAAAATTCGCGGACTAAATTCAAGACAAATGGCAATAATACATCTGAAAGCTTTCGAGAGAAATATTTTGCTCAGATAGATCATTATTAAAAGGTCTATGATATGCACCAAATGCAAGCAGCTAAACAACGATGTGGGGTAACGTATGTACCTTCAGATGATGATTATGATATGCGGAGCAAATTGTAGAGGGAAACATACTGAGGACGCGTGGTTTGTAGGGAAATGATCGGCTTTCAACTTCAGTGACCAATGGCCAAAATGGGCACGCGTTTTGTGTTGCCTACTTTTTCAGCATCATGGATGCCATGGAGTAATATAGCTCTACCCTGTACATGTACAGTACCCTAAACACAATTAATGCCACACCGATCTCTTAAGGAACTTAGGGATAGGGTGCCCCTCTGTTTTCGCAATAGCATGGCGTGTTGTACCAACATATATTGCAGACTTCCATGGAGCACTTGAACCTAAAACATTGACCGTATCCAAAGCCGTTGATGATTGGTGTGCCTTGGTTTTTATGGATATGTTAAGAAAGGATGGCTTCTCTGGTCAGACGCCAGTAAAACAATAGAATGCATAGTTGAAGAATCAGCAAAGGTGCTTGCTGGGAGTGGCTGTAAAAAAAACCTGGGGTTTTCTAAATAGGTCTCTCTCTACCTAGAGCTACCTTTAGAGCTATTTCTAAAAACGCTCTATAGCGCTGGACCTCTTCTTATCTCTAAACAATTCCCTAGCACTCAATGAGAGCTCGGATTAATATAAACCTCCATTGCCTAGACAAAAGCTTGAGACGCATCAAGTCCAAGTCAGGCTAATTCTCATCAGCGTTGTTCGGTTTACAGAACACGGGCGAATGTGCTCGCTATAACAGTTGGAGAAGCTATAGCTACCATTACATGCACAATATTGACTACCGGTCCTACAGTTCTTTTTAAACATCGCAGCGTTCTTTAATGAAAGATGGTTTGGTTTCCCGCTTTCAAAATATAGGGCTTATCAAGATAATATCATGCTGTAAACTTAGGTTAAGCATTGGCGCAATATTCCATGGGAACAAGAAAACTACAATCCGCGGCGCGTCGTTGTTGCCGTTGTTGTTACTTATTTCTTGGGCAAGTAATGTTTGTCAGTTATTGGGGTTTCACTAGCAAGTTTTGTGCTTAAATGCAAGAGCGCTGCAACAGAAACAACATACATGACGCTTGCTATCCCGCTTGCCTAGGACGATATATATTGTGTAATTAGGGAGGTCGCTTCTCTTATCTATTGGCCTTGTTTATATTTTTTTAGGCCAGACGGCGAAAGACATAGAGTCTATCCACTATCAGTCGCATATAGAGTTTCAAAATTTTATTGTCTGGGCGTTCATGAACCCAAAGTTGTTCACGGATGCATTTTTCATTTGAAATAGTCCGTCTCGGTCGTCATGTAGATGTAAACAGCAATGAGCGGGCTTCAGTTGTGCAACCGCGGAGAACTGTTCGTGCAACAACGAAGCCAAAAGCAGACAACAACAAACAATGCGATAACACAAAACGAGGAAGCAGTAAACAACGCAAACCAGCGCCGGTTCAAGAGGTGCTGCGAGATGGACTTTCTATCTAATTGGAATGAAGCGGGTAATCCTTCAAACAACTAATAATCAACAGCCTGCACAAATAACTTCCACACGCTGACGTGAGACATGAGAATAGATTATCTCTGTCAGTTCTTACTCGCCCTCTCGCCCTTTATCCTTCGTGGATAGATCGAAATCCGCCAGTCCTATAAACTCTTGGGCTACACGATGAACAACATATCATAGGGTCGTACCTGCATAATCTCTTCCCGGCTCCACAAGCCTCGCGTTTGGTACAGCTTTGTAAATGCCAATACTTTCGTTATGCAACAAGAAGGCCTTACTGTAGATTAGTCATTTGCGTCATCCTTCGCCTTTTTAGTGAAGTCTACTGTGCCTCTCTTCTTTTACTTGTGTCTTTGTATCACAGTACCCCTTTAACCCAGCTGCATGGCTCGTTTACCTATTTTTTTTACAATATGTTTTAATCATGCTACTCTACTTTCTCGTTGTACAATTGCATGTTCTTCTCTGTTCGATCAGCCTCCTTCCATGTGAAATAGCAGCTCCTTCTATCAAGTCTGGTCCATGCCAGGCTGGCTCTAGGAAGATTTGTCTGCAACCTTGTACAGCGGAGCTTCGTAGCCGTCCTCCCTTATTGGCTGAAGATGTCTCCGGTTAAGCAAAGAATACCCAATCAACTGACATAACTGAGGTTATAATTATTCCGCCTCCAGTAGAGCGGTACATTTTCAAGGTGCAAATGGGCCCCAATGAGTCCAGCCCCAGCGTGTTTTTGGGCATTTGCTTTCAGTATGGGGTCCAGTTCTGGCCCTAGCCCATGGTACCATTCCATTGCGCTGTTTAGAAAGAGGTATGTATTTGCATGTAAACTAAGACACTTAGATGTTAAAGCAGACTGAAGATGGCATTCCCGAGCAAAGACAGACGTAGGAGAATTTGGAACAACTGGTGGTACATGAGCCCTGCTATCCCCGCATTCCTGAGATATACTGGCCGATTGTGGAAATACCAAGCACGCAGTATTGAGTTCTCTCAACTGTCAACATCGCCCTCTGAGCGAAATGCTGATACTTATTAAAGATTACAATTGTCCTTAAGATAACACAGACAAACGGCTTCCTGGCGGTTTACCGGTTCATGTGAGTACAAATGGCTCCTCATGGACAATGTACTCGAAAAGAGGTACTTTTGTGGCTTCTGGATTTATCGAACTGGTACATACGGTTTCTTATCTTCTTTTGGCCCCTCTATCTGTTTCTAGGTTTATCAAAACTAGTCTCCTATTGCCCTAGGGACGCCCTCACCTTCAAGTTCCAAGTTGGATTTTAAAGCAGAGATTATCCGTATGGCTTTTATTATGAGCGGATGGTTACCCACTCCTATATTCCTGTTATGGCTACCGTCTGCAGGAGCAAGAAAGCATACATACACGTCTCGTTTAGTTTATGGACCCTTGCTGTCGGTGTCTCTCACGAGTCGACCGATTGTCGTCGAGAACTCGAACCTTAATCGAATGTCGACTTGATGATTTTGCTGCTAAGTATTTTCTTATTCTATTGTATTCAAATGAATATCGGGCTGGGTTACACGAAAGAAGAGCGGACCATCTTATCCTGGCTCTCAATAACAAACTTCTTTTAGCCCTCCTTAATCGGAAAGCTACGACACCAACCATTGGCCAAAATAAAAAAACAAAAAAGATCCCTAATTTGAAATCCAGCTCGATGATAGCCCGTGGACAAGGTTGATATGTTATCCGTAGATTTTTTTTGAAAACAAATAAAGCTTAGCGAGATAGCGATAAAAGAAATGTAAATAAACAAGCCTTTATCCAGGGATGAAGCTGTGTCCGTGGACACGATGTGATCTCTTGTACCGCATCACAGAGCAGAAACAGGCTGTGGGAACTTTTCGACTAGTTGCACTTCCAGTAACGCGTGCGACCCATGGATTGACTCCTTGTGCGAAGAATCCAGAATCCACACCCTTAGCTGGGTTCAGACGCAAATATGTCTTCAGAACAGGCTAAGCTATCGATTTGTGTGCCAGACAGCCTTCGCGCAATTGGTAATCCATAGTGAAAGTGGCTTGCTACGAGGGCTTGTCTTGTGCAGGGTGGAGCCTAGATAAATTACTAATATCATGCTTTTCTGAAGCGGTCTCCAATAGTCCTGTGCAAAGGTATAGTCAATTTTCTAAACAAAGAGGTTAACTACCATTCAAATACAAGAACGTAAGATAGATTTGATTGAGAACTCAAAGAAGATTCGCCGTGTCTAAATCAAGACATAGGCTATCTCAAATGCAGATGATGCCTCGTCTGCAAAGCCCTTGCCACTCGTGTACCTTTTTTACCCCATATTTCCCGTCTCGCCATACTTTTACTGATTGATGTTCGTTATCAAGCGCATGTGCAAGTAGTCGGCGCACCCAATGAGCGCTCCGCAATGACTGTGGCCTAAGAGGGTTCATATAAAATCGCGTGTATGATCATGATTTTAATGTCCTCCCATTTACTAGATGCTTGCGCGTCTCGCAGTGTGACCAGGTTGAAGATAAGAGTATAACAAAAACAGGGTCTAAAAAAAAAAGACTGAGATTCGATTGTTGTGGAGAAAGAGCCGACAAGATACGCTAAGAAACGTGGAGAGGTAAAGATGCTTGTGGAGTCGAGAGGGTGATGTTTCGACCGATATCAATTGACTCCTTCAGTCGCGACCAAAGAACGCCCCCTCCCTTTTTTTTACCTACTTGCATGAATTTGTGAGATATGGATGTTTACAGGCAATGGCTGCGTTGCTAAATAGTACACCTTTATTAATATACAAAGATAGCGATACCGTTATTCCTTGTCCGCTGTAAATGCGCTTCTAGATGCCGTCTCCATATGAAGAGTAAAGAACAAGCGCAATGTCGTTTGTTGAACGCAACCTGTTTTAGTAGATAAGAACAGCCTTCTGTCCCCAACCCTTTTAAGTGATGGACCATACACAAAGCTGCACGCGAAGACTTGGAGGCGACATATCCTGCCCTCAAAAAGATAACGCCCTGGAATCACATTGACAAGCACAGAATAGTATTACATCCACTTCTCGTCGTGGATCGTTCTACGAACAGAGTCTTTATTTTTCTCCGCATGCATTTGGTATACACCAAGACCATAGTTTGTTCTCCAGATGAAGAGAGAGGCCTCTGCGCTAAATGCTGTCGCCATAGGCCGAATGCATTAAAAAATACGACGTACGGGATAGAACAGACATGTATGACGGCGAGGAGACGCCCTAGTGTGGTCTTTTACTTCTGCATATTGGGAGTTGTTTACCCCACACCCGGTGTTTTGAGCCACTGTATGTACCCTTGTATATGTAACCTGGCCTGTTGAGTTTGGCCGCTTTGAGTCGGCGTCTCCACTAAATCATGGTCTGTAAAGCAAACCTTAAAAGAATAAGATGTGAGACAATTCATTCACCGCCTATTCATTCCAGTTGGATAGAGGAAAACGCGTTGAGGTGGACAGGTACACCAACAATACAACAAAAACCTTAACGGGGACATCCTACTACCTATTCAATCGCCGATTCATTCTTCATCCTTGTCCCCCCATTGACCAACCGCTCGCGCTCGATCCTTCCTTCTCCACTCATCTTTTATGTCGGCATGGCCTGACGAGGTCTACATGTTTGTACAGAGTACGTCCGTGTTCGTAAGCCAATAGCGTACGCTAGTCTATTATTCCTCCCCGCACTCTCTCCCCTTTTCATATGGCCCCTTTTTCTCCTGCGTTGCACTAACTGTACTCTGTGCGGCCGAAAGGAAGCCAGAACCTGGTCCTCGCATATAAAGAGCGTCCATCCCCCACTCCCTCTTTTTGTTCCTCACTGTCTGACAGCCATCCTTCTTTCCCTCCGCCTTCCTCCTCTTCCCCCTCTTGTATCTCTTGTATATTTATTCACACCTTGCCTTTGTATATTTCACCTTTATATATAATATAATATCCCTTCGTTTGCCATCATGTCCGGCAAGTACTCTCTTTTGAACAACGTCTACTTCCTGGGCGGGTTCGCGACCATGGGCGGGTAAGTCATCCAAAGACTATTCCAACAATCAAGCCGAAACAAATACAGCCTCTATAGCTCTACCCGAACTCCATACCGTGCACAGATCATCAAATGCTTCACATATATAACCAATAATTTCATTCATGAATACCAAATAGAATGCTCTTCGGTTTCGACATCTCGTCCATGTCCGGAGTCGTCGGTACTGAGCGTTACCAGGAGTACTTCAAACACCCCTCGTCCTCGCTCCAAGGTGGTATCGTTGCTGCCATGGCTGCAGGCTCCTTCCTCGGCGCCTTGATGGCCGGTTCCCTCGGTGACAGGATCTCGCGCAAGCGCACTATCATGTTGGCCGCCTGCATTTGGATCGTCGGCTCTATCATCCAGTGCGCCTCTGTGAACGCTGGAATGCTCATTGTCGGCCGTATCATCAACGGTGTCGCCGTCGGTTTGGCCTCTATGATCGTCCCTGTCTACCAGTCTGAGATTGCTCCCAAAAACATTCGTGGTCGTATTGTCTCGCTTCAGCAATGGGCCATTACCTGGGGTATCTTGATTCAGTACTTCATTCAATATGGGTGCTCTTTCATTCAGTCCAACGCTGCCTTCCGTATCCCCTGGGGTATCCAAGTTGTCCCTGGCTTGATTCTTCTCGCTGGTATCTCTGTCTTCCCTTACTCTCCTCGTTGGTTGGCTGACCAGGATCGCCCTGAAGAAGCCCTCGAAGTTCTCGCCAACCTGCGCGCCAACGGAAACAAGAACGATCCCGCTGTCCTCGCAGAGTTCAAGGAGATTCAGGATGCCATCACCTTTGACCGTACCCTTGCTGCCCGCTCTTATGCTGAGCTGTTCCGCTACCCTAATGCCAAGCGTGTCTTCCTCGGCATGACTCTCCAGTCCTGGTCGCAACTCACTGGTATGAATGTCGCCATGTACTACATCGTCTTCATCTTCCAGGGAGCCGGTATCACTGGCCAGAACGCCAACTTGCAGGCCTCGTCCATCCAGTATGTCTTGAACGTCGTCATGACCATCCCCGCCATTCTGTTCATTGACAAGTGGGGTCGTCGCCCAGTCCTCTTGGTTGGCTCCACCTTCATGGCTCTCTGGCTCTTCCTCATCGGTGGTTTGATGGGCCGCTTCGGTTCTGCCACCAGCTTCGACGGCAACTCGACCACCACTTGGGCTATCAGCAATAACAGCTCCGCTTCGCATGCCGTCATTGCCTGCTCCTATCTCTTTGTCTGCTCTTTCGCCATCTCCTGGGGTCCCGTCTCTTGGACCTACCCTGCCGAGATCTACCCTCTCCGCATCCGCTCCAAGGCTGTCTCGCTCTCGACTGCTTCCAACTGGGCTTTCAACTTCATCCTGGCCTATGCTGTTCCTCCAGCTCTCCAGAACATCCAGTACCGCACGTACTACATCTTCGGTGGTTTCTGTGTCGCCATGACCATTCATGTCTTCTTTATGTTCCCTGAGACCAAGGGTCGCACTCTGGAGGAGATGGATGAACTCTTCAATTCGGACATCCCCGCCTGGAAGACTCGCGCGCTCCCTGCCTCGAAGCTCGAGCACGATATTGAGGAGATCAAGGCAAGCCAGGCTGACGAGAAAGCCGAGGTCAAGTAAAATCCAGGTGTTCCAGCCATCCGACACTTCCTTCCTTAGTGTCCGTAGTGTATCCTGAATCCCATATTCAATACCCATCATTAGCGTAATAAAAAAAATGGTTGAGAGCTTAAATTTTATTCTTACTCGACGAACAGAAATGTAGGCGGGTTTGCGCAGGGAGGTTGCTGTAAGCAATAGTAATGCAGCTGTAGTGCAGCTTGAGCAATAAACGAGTAATAATCTAAGAGGTACAATTTCCTGCATAAGAATAAGGTTATATTCACACTCGCGATCGTGATCCCAACCGTGGAAGCATCGTGCGGAGCACTCGGTAGAGGACCACGCAACTGGACTGCATGTCCAGTCCCCAGAGCCACAGGCGATGAGCATGTCGATAATCCAGGAACTCGACTTGCTGCTCCAGTGCCCTCACGTATCCACTGTGCTGGCCTCGATTATTCATTGCTGCGCGCTCTCGCTCGATTTTGAGCAGTAGTCCAGACCGCACGGCATGATACTTGGTGATTGCGCTGAAAATTTCATTCGCCCCTTTTGCCAATAAAGCGACTTCGGCTATATGAAGGGCAAAGGATAGTCAGAGGTTGTCCGTATATTTGCGACAACCGCAATCGGTGCTCGCTTACCTGCCACCTTTGAACGGAGCTGCTGGGCGCGCTGCTGTGCTTGAGATGGACCCGTGGGAGTATTACTTAGTGTTCCTTGTGCGTGTGGTCGCTCATATGAGGATAATACTGAACCCTGAGAAGAAGGAAGTGTGTTTGCTGTCTGCTCCATGCCCATGAAGACTCGCGGGGTGTCTAACTGCACATACATCCTTGCGTAATTGCTGCACTCAAGCAAACAATGGATGTGGTCTGACAGAACAATATTCCAGTTTGAGATCATGACTCCCCGTGTGAAAGATTCCTTTGTCTCTGGCGTGTCCTGCTCGTGTTGCTGCACCATAGTCTGTTCCTTAAAGGCACTCTTGGCAGTCTTGGCAGCCTTCGAATGGCTGGCTTGATTCTCAGAAATTGAGGAAGTAGATTGATATGCAGATGTAGCACGCTGCAAGTTATTTGGATCGATCGTGTTTGTCTGTTGTGTAGCTGACTGAGAAGTAACATTTCCTGAGAGATAATTCTGGGATTTCAAGGGCGAAGAGGATGTAAGGTCACTCTCGTCGCTCCTCTTGTGCTTCCTGACATTCACATTATCGGTTTCCATGGAGACTGCCGCTGAGCAAGGGCCCATGGCTTGCTGGTGACTTCCCGCGATGCATGAGGATGTCCATATCTCCTGCGTGATCAGATAATCAGATAACTCGAAGTGCTGGTCTGCTTGGCTTTGTTCAGTGCCTCCATAATCGTCTTGTTGACTGCGAACTCCACTATCGTCCTGATCAAGGCGCGCCTTTTTTCTCAGGGGGTTGGTGGTAGTCGAGACTCGTGCATCGATATCCAACCCTTGGGAGGTAAACTCACTCAGCTGGGAGACCTCTAAGTTGGCGAAATACTCCTCATCCTTGTATTTGTGCTGGTGCTCTTGTCCTGTCCTCTTCTCTTCCTCGCTTTCGACTTTATTGGGATGAGGGTCTTGAGGAGTGCTTTCTACGGCTTCTGGAATGTCGCTGAACTTCGCACGCAGACCTGACAGCCTCTCACTCAGCCGCGCTTGATCCCTGCTCGCCATGCCGGAGATATCATGTTGCAGATCGTTCATGGCCAAGGAGTGATCCCTGAACAGCTGCGGTAGCGTCTGCTCCGTGATCATCTTTGCCATACAATTCAAATGGTTCGCATAGTCCTCCAGACGCGTCATAGTCATTAAGTGGGGCCTCATGGCGGTGAAGGATCGGGAACTGAATGCCGGAAATGGAGGGGGGGTAACCTGAGGATGTGCTTGCGGTTGCGAAAAGGTGGTGTCTTGAGGTAGCGAAGACGTCGTATCCTGAGACCCGTGCTCAACTTCGTCCTCGTCGCCTGATGACGGTAGGCTGTGTTCCGAGTTCGGAGATGACGCCAAGAAGCTCATGGGTTGTCTCAACCTCAGAAGGCTGTGCTTCCCCCTCCCCTTACCGCGGTCTGTGCTTTCAAATGCAGACCACGTGGGATGCACAGGGCTCACAGGCGGATGAGGCGACGCTCCCGACCAACCGGGATTGAGCATGCATTTCCCTTTGCCCACGCTTGAAGTACTGCTCTTCAATGAAGACGTCGCTACGTGATGGGGGTCGGGGGTGCTTGTGAGGGAACGATATGACTCTTGTGTAAGAGTGGTGGCCACCGGCGACGAGACTGGGTTCTCGGGAGGCGAAGATGACAAAGGTCTTGGACAATACGCAGATGGCGTAAGATACGGAAACCATGACTGTGAGGACATAATGGGCGTAAACGAGAATCCTAGCATCGTTGACGGCGGGCTCGACGCGTTATCACGAGTGACCGTGGTTGACGACCTCTCTGAAGCAGAACCTTTAAATATGGAAAATATAGATGAACGCGAGGATTAATTACAGCGCATACAATGATTCCTGTTTCATCCAGACCGTTTTACACTTTACCTGTCTCTACCGGATTGGGACTAGTTGACAGGCTTAGTTTCTGCTGCTGGGGTAGTCTGCTCAGTGGCGTTCTTGGTGAACTAGGCTCGACTGATCGCGTAATAGTCCTGTTTTGTGGGCGGAAGGTGGGGCTGAACGTGGCGGGGGCGATGGATGGATTCCACTGCGGTTTGGGTGCTTTCCCATCCGACATCTTGAGTGGGCGAGTGGACGGGAGGACTTACGGTCAGGTCAGGTATGTGTTGAAAGAAAAGAGAGGAGAGGAAAAGTAAAGGAGAATAGGCAACACGCATGATCTGTTCTCCTACGCGCCATTAAAAATGCACCAGTACACAGTCCCCTTTACGACTCACGGTGTTGCTACCGTTGACTACCCGTGCCAGTTATCTATTTATCGCTTTGATCTATCAACATATTACGGCCGATGGCATATGCTGAGCACCTTCAGCGTTGTGCCTGAAAGTTAGATACTGGTGTCTGTCACGAGCCGAGGGCACGGTGACTGCGCTTAGATCGGCCACAATGGCTGTCTCTGTTGAGCGCTCGCCCTTTTCTCATCTTGAACGACCTATACACACTCCTCACCCCATGCCTGTAAGACCTGTGCATTCTTTTGAAAGACAGAAATATGAAATCATGATCGCAAGGCTGAATCAGGAGCGCAGGATGAAGGATGGAGCAATATTATTAGATGAGCAGGGACAAAAGGCATCTCTCGCGCCAAAAGCGACGCGCACCACTAGCTTTCAGTCTGGCACTGCACTGAGACAAGGGAACAGTAGAGCAGGGTATGGCGGCACACGTTCCAGCACTAAAAAGGATGGGGCGCATGTTGATTACTGCAGGAGAGCTTGATATTCGCGACACCTTTTACAGGATTCGCTCGACAGTGCATTCTTTTTAAGCACAGGGTTGCTTCAGGCGACACCTATGACATGGTACCTGGAAGAACCAGGATGATTTTCTCGATAACTGTCAGCTGTCGGCCTCACGCCATTTTGTCGATATTTTCCTTGGATAGATCAATTACGTACTTCTTGTTAGTCGCCAGGGCAAGACCCGCCTCGCAAAATGGTTCACAACCATGAGTCCCAAAGAGAAATCCAAGATCGTCAAGGATGTCACTCAGCTCGTTCTTTCAAGGCGGACTAAAATGTGCAACTTTTTGGAATACAAAGGTACTACGGGCCATCGCCATGCATACAGTTCATTGACCTTGCGGAGGACATTGGTGGCTAATCGACCGGATAATGATTTAATATAGACACAAAAGTCATCTATCGGAGGTAAACACGCAGGAACTCATACCGTTTGAATGGTACAATGGAATCGAGACAGTCTCTTACAAGTCTCTGCCTCCTTTATTGTGTTCATGGTAGATACGCAAGTCTGTTCTTCATTACAGGAGTTGATCCGCAGGACAATGAGCTCATCACGCTCGAGATTATTCATCGATATGTCGAAGTGCTGGATCGGTATTTTGGAAACGTACGCTTGCTTCGCCACAGCTTGCAGCCGTGTGCTAATGGTCCTGGTACAGAGTTATAACGTCGATCTTTGTTTCATTGATAGGTATGTGAGCTAGATCTCATTTTTAACTTTCAAAGGGCATATTTCATTCTCGACGAACTTCTAATCGCTGGAGAGATGCAGGAGTCAAGTAAAAAGACCGTGCTCCGTGTCATCACCCAAATGGATGCCATGGAGGAAGAGGAAGCCAATGAAGAAAAGAAATAAACCCTTCGATATATCGAAAGTCATTCGATATCTTTTGCGAATAAAAAAATACATACCCACAAGTGCGATAACGACGTGTGGAGGACTTTTTGAGTGTGTTATTATTGTTATTATTATTGGATAGAGTGAACAAAGGATTCTACAGCTTCCTATAAATACGGACAAAGTGTCGCATATTCTCTAGCTTGAGTGGATAAGTAACGCTGGGTGGACACCGATACCATGTGGCGTCGTCCTGGTAGACGGTCTCTAGATCTTTAAGATGGTCGAGGAGCATATATACCATGTAGGTCCTCTCTCCGACTCTGAGATTCGAAAACGATCCCGCGCTATCCACGACCTAACAGGATATAAAATGGTACTGATGGATGAGTGATGTTGAACATTACAACCGAAGGGACCCTGCCGCTTAAAGTGCTCGTGTTCATACCAGCATATGGGCTCCCGTAGGCATCGCTGCGACCATCTTAGCAACTAACAACATGGTTTTTTTCTTGTCCTGGAACAACTCATTCAACACAAACATGAATGTGATCAAATTTGCCTTGGCTACTCGTTCCAATAATCCATCCGAGAGATCCAGTACGTTTCCGACCTCGGTTTCGCATTGAAGTCGCTCTGGTCCCAGCTGCATCCTTGCACGGACCACGGTCTCCATGGGGTCGAGAATCGATGACCAGTCAACATAATCTTGCATGACAATTGTGACCTGGTGCTTGTTTGTTTTTGACTTTTTAGCCTTTGTAGCCTTTGAACAGGTGGCGGTCGCTTCCTCTGCTGTTGTTGAATCCGCTATTGCCGTATCAGAAGTGGTGGATAATGCGAGATTATTGAGGCCAAATGTTGCAGTATCGTCAGATGTTTCTACACTCGCTTCTTCCTTGAGTGCCACTTCTGAGTCAGCCTCAGAGCTATCCTTTCCCTTGGCCTTTTTCTCCTCCGAGATCGCTGTGGTGGATTTCTTCTTCTTCTTTATCTTTGGGACTGGGTTGGCGTGAACCATGGCAGCTGAAATTCCGACCAGCTCGCTTCCTGCCCCTGATCCGATGCATAGAATGGTTGATGGCCCACCCTCCAGTGTCCTCATCAGAACAGGATGATCCAGAAACATGTGGTAGTAGCATAATGCACGGCTTGGGGCATATCGAGCACTGTAAACCGGAAGGTGGGCCGGGTTCTGGAAGACGGCGTCGTAATTACGATCATAGAAATACGACTTGATTGTCTGGAGAGTAGTTGTGAAGGATGGAAGGTTGAAGGCGTCCTGGCAGGACTCCTTGACTACGTTCAGGATATCTATTCCAGGGACAGTTGACCATCGAAATATCAGTTATTGCTTGCTTCGCCCTGTTGGCAAGTTGTTCACAATATTTGATTTGAGCTCAATCTCTAGCGTTATTTTGAGTTCTTACGTTGGTCTGGACTATGCCCAAAGACTTTCTTCGTGTCGGATGCTGCTGCTGCCTTCTTCCTGTCGTCCATACTCATGTTGTTGATGAGGAAAGACCTTCCTAAGCATAAGGTGTGCTATATTGAAAGTATTGGTTGGTATAGCCAGTCACGGGTAAATAAACATCAAGGCATTTTTTTTTTTCCTGCGTTTGTGCTCTGTCGAGTAGAAGTGCATCACCATCACCACCTTTACTCCATCGGAGTAAACAGCACCACTCAGTACTACAGCTTTAATTTCATTCCCCCTCTGACAACGTTCCATATTAAATGGCTAAAGGCGGCAAGAAACTTGGTGGTGGAAGCGGAGGCGCTGGACGCGCAGGAAAGGGCAGCGGCAAGAAGGCCCGAGTATCTGGAAGAGGCACATCCACAGCATCTACCGACAGCAAGACACCAAAGAAGTTTGGGCAGTTCAGTCGCAAAGAGCGTGATATGATGGAGGAATATGGCGAATTGGTTCCCCAGGACTTTGAGGAGGACGAGAGTGATCGCGTGAGGTATGTTCCTTTGTTTCGTCTGATAACAATCTGTAGTTTTGAAATGGATTCTAATGTTAAACCTTGTTGAAATCCAACATGATAGCTCTTTCCGCAAAGTTGTCAAGGAGTCAGATCTCGATTATCAGTCGGCAGCAAAGAGAGAACGCGACATGGAATCGGATGGCGAGGTAGAGGAAGACGAATATAAATTAGGTCGTCCCTCGGCATTCAACAAGCTGGTCGGTATACTGAAAAAGAGCTCTAAGCGTCAGGACGAATGGAAAAAGAGGAAACTTGAGGAGGAGGGTCTGGAAGATCTTGAGGAGGAAGATGAGGCGCCAGAGGTCGAGGAAGAAGGTGCGAAAAAGTCGTTTTGATGCATATTTTTAGAAACAATCACGATCTCCTTCCATTACTAATTAATCTTCTCGCTGTTTACGCAGTCGTAATATTGACCGAAGCAGAAAGGAAAGCGTTGATCAAGAAGCACGGCAAGAGCTACCTCAAGGCTCTTGATGGAGAGGACATGGACGATGAGGTCGAAAGCCCTGACGAAGAGGACATCGAGGATGAAGAAGGTGACGCAACTGCAGAAGAGGAAGGTAGTGCTGACGAGGAGGACATGGAGGCAATCGCTAAGGAGCGGGAAGACTTGGATGACTCTGACGAAGAAGGGCACTATTTGAAGTCAAGTAAGTGTTTAATCTCATGCTAGTCCTATAAATTGCCAGTACAACGATACATTTGCTGACGAACCGTTCTTGTTCCGGCTTTATAGAGGACAACTTTGATCGCCACTTCAGTGATATGGTTACTCCACTACTGGCACCCAAGGTGGCCGTCGTGGAATTAGCAGGAAACAAGTGGAAGAGTGTCTCATACGAGGATCCTGTTTTGAAGCGAGTCGAAATCTTCGATCCGGAGAACGTGGAGGGATATCGCAAGGACGAAAAACCAAAAAAGACCAAAAAAATGGACCTGGAGTCACTCATGGTAACTCTCATTCTGGGCAATTTTGAACGCAAGCATATTTTCGCTTTTAATATGTATAGTGCTGATTGTCCAGTTACTATTCAAATGTTTAGGTCAAGCAACGTATTCAAGTCCACTGGTCGGAAGTTAACAAGTCTACCTTGGAGCCATCGCCACTAACGACCTCGAAACTCTTTACGACATTGCAGGGGGCGCTTATTGAGCCGGTCAACGAATACAAGGATATCCTCTTTACCAACCGCAGTACGCAAAATGCCAAGGAGATCCGGAATCTGTACTCCCTGCACGCACTCAACCACGTCTTCAAAACCCGTGATCGCATCTTGAAAAACACGGGCAAGCTCCAGCGCTATCAGCAGAACCCGGACTCATCTGCCGTTGTGCCAGAATTCAGAGATCAAGGATTCACTAGACCCAAGGTCCTCATTATCCTGCCATTCAAGAACACCGTAGTCGATGTTGTGGAGACATTAATCGCACTCAGTGGATCAACGCAGCAGGATAACAAGAAGCGTTTCTTTGACGAATTCGGCGCGGGTGAGGAGGTAGAGGATGATTCCAAAAACCAAGACCGTCCCGCTGACTTTTTGGAGACATTCAGAGGCAACATTGACGACCACTTTCGGGTGGGCATCAAGTTTACGCGCAAGACCCTGAAGCTGTATTCTGACTTCTATTCAGCGGATCTGATCTTGGCGTCGCCACTGGGTCTGAAGACCGTCATTGGGGCCGAAGGAGACAAGAAGAGGGATTTCGATTTTCTGGCGTCGATCGAGGTGGTGATTGTTGACCAGGCCGACGACATGCTGATGCAGAACTGGGATCACTTGGAAACAGTGTTCGATCACATGAATCTGATCCCGAAGAATGCACATGGCTGCGATTTTTCCAGAGTCCGTAACTGGTCTCTTGACGGCCGTGCCAAATACGTCCGCCAGACTCTCCTGTTTTCCAATTATCTCACTCCAGAGATCAATGCGCTCTTCAAGAAGTTCTCGCGCAATGTCGCAGGCAAGCTGAAGATCACGCAGGCCTATGAGCATGGGTCTATCGTTGATGTTGTCCCTCTGGTCCAGCAGAGCTTTAATCGCATCGAAACCCGGACGCTGGCGCAGGTTGACGACAGCCGGTTCCAGTATTTTATCGACAACACGTTGCCGCAACTCCGCCGATCCGCTGTTACACAGACACATACCATGATTTTTGTGCCCTCCTACTTTGATTTCGTTCGGCTGAGGAATTATTTCACTGAGAACAAGTATTCGTTCGCTGCTATCTGCGAGTACACGACCAACGCTAATGTTTCAAGAGCCCGCTCGAGTTTTTTCCACGGCGAGGTGTCGTTCTTGCTCTACACGGAGCGTTTCCACTACTTCAGGCGGTACAATATTCGAGGAACGTTCCATCTTACATTCTATGGCTTGCCCGATCATCCACAGTTCTATCCAGAGATGCTCAACCTTTTGGCATTGCCTGCAGGAGGCGAGAAGTCGCGGTCCAAGCATGTAGGAGCGACAGGATTGGAGGACCGTGCCATGTCATGCACAGCATTGTTTACCAAGTACGATCTGCTGAAATTACAGAGGATCGTTGGTACGGAAAGAGCGAACAGCATGTGTAAACAGGAAGGACGCGACCTCTTTGTGTTTACGTAGACAATCACCTCTTGCACTTCACAATAACAATAAATACAGCATGCACATATCCAACATTGATTTTTCCATACGCATATAATGTATGCAAAAGAGTAAGCAAGTATATGCCATGCTCCTGTGTCCATTGTGGGCCTTCAAGCTGGCCGTGAATGTAGCAAAAGGTACTTCCATGCGAAGCAGAAATAGGTGTGAGGACTACAGTTTCTCTCACCTCCCTATGAAGCTCGAATGGGTCTGAAGCCCTGTGCCCCTACATTCTCTTGACTAGGCGGGAACCCGTCCAGCACTTGCTCACCCTCTCTCCCTCGCAAAGCTGAGCTAGGCGAGGCGTCTGAGATCCCTTCGGTTTCTTCGATCCCTTGTATGTGGAGAAAAAGTCGAGTGTTCCTTTTCATCTCCTGCAAAGGCCATCAGAGGCTCCTTCTAGCTTGATTCGGCAATCCATTCCAAAATTGGTGGCGCAAGAAGACCCTTTCGCCCAGCTCAGGGGGTGACTGCATGAAAGTAAAAGTGTCAACAACAGAAACCTTTTTCTCTCCTCTCCGCCCATTCCACCCATTCCACCACGGCAGCCATGTCTTCCAAAGAGCTGAATGCCTTCCTCACTTGGGCCGAAGAGAACGAGATCCTCTGGGATAAGAGCGCTATCGAAATTAAGGAGGGCAAATATGGCCTTGGTGTCTACGCTAAGAAGCGCCTGGAAGCTGGATATGAAGGTTAGAAAGCATGTCGCATATCTTTTTCTCTTCTTCTGTCGCCATATCACGTCGTCGTGACATTCAGATTATTCAGGACATTCATGGAAACGTTGTTTTTCTAAATCGTCCATAATCTTCATTCTGATTGCCGTAGTCGTCCAGGTCCCAAAGGCAATCGTTCTGTCTGTGGAAACCACGGGCATTGCCAACTTGCTCGCTGACGATGAGGTCGAGGGTTACATCGGACTGACCCTTGGGTGTATGTACGAGATGTCTCGCGGACCCCAGTCACCCTGGTCTGCTTACCTCGCTCTTCTGGAGAAGCGCCCTCCTCATATGGCGACCTCTTTGTCCAAGGACGCTCGGGAGATGATGAAGTACTGTGAGGCGTACAATGACATTGAGTCCGACATTGTAAGTGTTACGAAGCCATTGTACTCGGTTTTATGAGGTAGAGTGTGAGTCACCCATTCACGAGCCTTCATCTATCCCCCTCAATTCTGATTTATTAGAAAGATATGGAAGATGATTACAAGTCAATCGTGGGCCCGTTCATTGACAAGCATCCCGAGGTCTTTACAGAGGAGATCAAGAATAAGTTCTTCAGCTTTGAGGCTTTCAAGGTTATGACAGGACATGTCTCTTCCCGTTCAATGGACGTTGATAACTTTCACGTCACTGCCCTTGTACCTTTTGCAGACTTGTAAGTTCGATATTCAGTCGACCGCTATCCAGGGTCAGGCGCTTGCTCGATATCTGATGTTTTTCGCCTTTGGAGTTAATCAGAGTCATTTCTCCTCAAAAAAAAAAAAAAAAAAAAAAACTTAAGTGTCAACCATAGTCCAACACCTAACTCGGACTACTTGACTCATGAAGATGTTTGCGAGATCTGTGGCGCATTGGTCTGTGAGCACCGCGAGGCAGACGAGGATGAAGACGAGGATATCGAATCTGATAGCGACCAGGCACCAGAGTTGGCAGATGGCGATGAAGAAAATGATGACGATGATGACGAGTTGCCTCAGCTCACCGGTGAGGATGCATCTTACAAAAAGGACGCCACGGGGACTGACAACGAAGATGAAGAGCGAGAGGGCGAGGAGTGGGAGGACGACGATACTGAGGACGGTGCAGAGGAGCAGGAGATCAATGACACCTGCGATATCATCCTAGATTGCGATATCAAGAAAGGCGAAGAGATCACGCGCCACTACGGCCCTTATCCCAACAAGGTCATCCTGAGCAAGTATGGTTTTGCAGTGGAAGATAACCCGCACGATACGGTCACTATTCAACTGGAGATGGTCCGTCAGGCAGCTGAGCAATTTATCAACGACAAGGAATTGGTGGGGGAAAGGATTCAGTGGTTCTTGGAATCAGAGGATGCGTTCATTGGCGCAGAGGATGAAGATGACCATGAACACGAACACGAAAGTGGATGCTGCGGCGGCGGCGATCATGATCATGACGAGGATACGGAGAAGCATGAATATGAAGCAGATGGCGAATGCTGCGACGACAAAGGCACCAAGGCGCTGCAGAAGGCGAGCTCCAAAGATGCGACCAGGGGCGACGACGACAAAAACACCAAAGAAGATAAGGATGGGGAGCAAGAGGAGGAGGAGGAGGAGGAAGAGGAAGATGACGAAGAGGACGATTTCCCTAGAGATATCATGTACATGATGCACGATGGATCAGTGGACGACCGACTTCTGCTGCTCCTGAACGTCCTGTTCATGGAGAAGGACCAGTTCCAAGAGGTCAAGGAGGATATGGACGTGGCGATGGAGTACTTTAACGAGATTTTCACGCGTCGTCAGCAGGAGGAACAAGGCGACGAAGACGAAGATATGGATGGGGATGAAGATGAGGCCGAGGAGGAGAAGGAAAAGATCAGCAAGTATGAACTGAAGCCCCGCGACGCAAAGAGTAAGAAAGTCCGTATGGCAGTTCTGCAGGCCACTCTGGCGCTGGTCCGTATTCGTGCGGATGCCTTTGGAGTCACAGACAAGACGACTGCTGAGCAGGACTTGGCGTCGCTGAAGAAGGTAAGAGCCAGCATCACTTTGACCTTGATTACAGTCGTAGAGACAATTAAGGATGTGGCTGCAACTGAAACTAACGTTTATTATGATGCGCCTTTAGGCCAAGCTGTCAGGTCCACTCTACTACGGGGGTCTCTGCGTTCAGGGCGAAAAGCAGATTCTTCAGAATGCTCTTCAGGGCTACACCCAGTTTCTCTCCGAGCTTTAACAATCCGTTGTTTCCTCTTTACATAAAGGGTACGCCCTCAAGACATAATAAACGAATGTTGCTTTTTTTTTTTTTTGGTTACTTCTTTTATTATGTATGTATATGAGTAGAATATATGTTTCTAGATCAAGAACTTGACGATTCTCTTCCAGAGAGGTCCGCGAACCTCCATGTCCTTCAAGTCGGACTCGGTGGGAATGAAGCGGCCGGTATCGAGGTCAGCCTCCTCAGCCTTAATCAACTTTGTCTTTTTCACAAACTTGTATCCGAAGAACAAGCAAGCCGAGCACAACCATGGGAACCAGGCGCCCAAGAGACCCTGGGCATAGCCATCACGCGCACTCTTGAAGTCCGCGAGCGCCTCTGGGGTAGCGTCAGCGCCTGGATGATGGGGAGGATTGATGACAGAGAGGTAGCAGGTGGCAACGATACAGCAGATACCAATGATGGTGGCCAAGATGTTGCCGTAAGGGTAGCCCCAGGAGACGTAAGGGAGCTCGTTGACGGCACGTCCCTGCTTCTTCCAGCAGTAGCGGAAACGGAAGTGGAGGAAGAGAATCAAGATCCAGGACTGGAAGATGATGGAGCCGATGATGGAGACGAACCACGAGAAGACAACTCCTGAACCGACAAAGATGGTGATCAACGACAAACAGGAGCAGGCAGTGACGATGGCCAAGGCAACCATGGGGACACCGCGCGCGTTGGTGTAACCGATCGACTTATGGGCCCAGCCGTTACGGGACAAGGAGAGAAGCATACGGGTGGCGACGTAGAAATCAGAGTTGATGGCCGAGAAGACCGAGGTGAAGACGACGGCGTTCATGTAGTTGGCAGCAGCGCTGATTCCAGCCTTGGCAAAGACGATGGTGAAGGGGGCAGTAGCAGCAGAGTGAGAAGTGTTCTTGAGCTGAGGGTCGTCGTTGCGGATGATGGAACCGAGCAAGAAGACGGAGATGATGTAGAAGAAAGCGATGCGGACCAAGACAGTGTTGACGGCCTTGGGGACATGCTTGTGGGGGTTGCGAGACTCGGCAGCAGTGACACCAGTCATCTCGGAACCACCATAGGCGTAACCGACAGAGACCAGGACTGTGACGAAGGCCATGAAACCGCCCTTGAAGGGTGCACCATCGATGTGCCAGGCATCCATGCCGTACTTGACGCCTCCGATGGCGCCAGCATCAACCAAGATACCGCAGATGATGAACATGATGATGGTGCAGACCTTCAAGATCGAAAGCCAGTACTCGATCTCACCGTATGCCTTGACACCAGAAACATTGATGATGACCATGATGACAATGATGATGAGAGGAACGATCCATGGAGGGAACTTCGAGTCCTCGGGAAGCCAGAAAGAGATAATGACAGCAGCAGCAGACAATTCGGCGGGAATAGTCAAGGCCCAGTTGATGAAGTACATCCAGGTCATCTGGAAAGAGAAGGCCTCGTCAAAGATACGTCCACCCCAGGCGTTAAAGGCGCCGGGCAAAGGGAGCAAGGTCGCGATCTCACCAATTGCTTGGCAGACGAAGACCAACCAAACACCAATAAGAGAGTATGCAAGCACTAAGGAGATTACAAAAAGTTGTTAATGACGGGTGCTTTTCTGAGATTCTTTTCCGATATTCTCAGATCCTGAAAGAATTGATCACTTACAAGCACCTCCAGGTCCGGCAGTGGCGATCGTGTTTCCGGAGGTCAAGAAAAGACCTGTACCGATGGTACCGGAGACAGCGATCATGATCATGTGTCGCAGACGGAGGTCGCGCTTCAAACCTTCCTGTTCAGGTGCCAAGTTGTTGTCGGTGTGGGCAACATCCTGCATGTGATCGATCTCGTATTTTTCGGCATCGTGGCCGTGTTCGAATTTTGACATGGTGCTTCTATAAGGATATCTATATTATAAGGAAAAGGGTATAGGTGCGTTGACGGGGTGAAAGTGAGAGGGGCGCAAGCGAGAAAGAGGATGAAGGTGGAAGGAGGGGGTATGAGAGGGAGGAGCGAAGGGTTAGGTATGGATTTGTAGCTGCAACAAAGTCGAGGGAAAAAAAGAAAGCAGGAATAGCGTGGATACCCCTGAGTATTTATGCGAAGTGGGTGTTTCTTTACTGATGGGAAAGAAACCGTTAGGGGGAAAGGAAGATGACGGGGGCTAGGCTCAGGAACGAAGTCTGAAGATTTTAATTTGCGTGCCTTTACTATCAGACAACTACAGCAGCTACCTAGTAGATAAGCATCTCAACTGCGTCCGTCTAGTAGCGCTCTAACCGGAGGACCCCTCTGAAATTCCCAAAGGGAGCATTCGCCTTTATGCCCTTCCCTGTGTTTGTACACAATTTGTCCAGCACACCTCAATGCGTACAGCACTTGTCTTGCCTGCAGGTAAACACAAGACAGCGGCCCAACTCTCTCACACTAGAGAAGAACGACCGATTCAAGAGCTCGGTAATGAATATATTGGAATAATTAACAAACTACAATGGGAAGGCTAGTCTAAATAATAAACTAGACTATAGATATAGACTATCTAGCGTCGCCTTATTCGTCCTTATTTTTGCATGGATTGTACACAAAACAAACCACTATGCAGCACACAAGGAATTCTGTAGTAAATTAGCATATGAGCCAATAAATGGATGTACTCTCGGGAAATGCGCAAACTGGTAGACATCTCCCTTCGGTTGTCTGCGTGTATATGAATGAGCGAGTGTGTATGCGTAATAAACACTTACAGCGTGCGTAGAAATAGTATACCTTCCTGAATTGGAGAAATGTATGCTCTTTTGTGGCCACCTGAGCTGTTTTTACTGTCGTTGCTAATGCCCTTTTGCCAGGTCTCGGTAAAGCCAACCAAACGTTACGGACGAAACTGCTTCCACTTCAAATCAGCAGTAGATATGTTAGACACGATCGAGAAAGCAAGTGATATATGAGATAGATCAGGACAGCTGAGTCCCGTGCTTCTGCTTGTCCACTACAGACCTTACGTTCTGGCCCTTCTTTGTGGATTTTGAGTTCCTAACTATAACCGCTATCGTGCCCTAGCCTCATTCTCGGTCTACCTGCAACGAGATACAAGGCATCTGTCCTAAAAAAGCCGACGAGGCCGTAGTCCAGTAGAAAGGTGAGCTAAATAGGGTTTAGATGAGCACATGATCCAATTGGGCAAACGGCACAACAGAAAACGATATACCAAACCGGGAAACAGGAATAAGAGCATCAAAGAAGGATCATTGCTCTCGCATGGTTTTCTACGAGTTCAAGGATCGATCGCTTCGAGCAACAGAAGTTCCAGCCTCGAAAAATGGCTCTTTTTGTGGGCAGACTAATGCTGCCTGTGTGAGAAAAAATAATGCAGCGACAGGGTCGCTGGAGAAGAGTTATATCTAGTGTGTGTTAGTGTGTAACAACAAAATTCTACTGCCAGAATTCAACGCGACGGGACATGGACGCTTTGGAAATGCATAACACCTTTCCCCTTCCAAAAATGGCACTCTTCTGTCGTCTGCTGGTACACACATCACTTTAAAACCATAAAAAAGGCGACATCTGTCAGCACATGGATCGGCCACAGCATGCGCTAATGCTACTTCAACCGTTACTGTCATCCTCAGTTGCTGAAGTCGAGGGCCGCTGCACTACAGTGCCTCAGTGCTAAGGCGAGACAAAGACCCACGGAAAATTAAATACTAGGCTAGATATAAGGTACCTGTAGGCGAATGCTGCTCAACAGCGCAAGATTATTCGTTATTCGGCTCTTGTGGCTGTTCATTAAAGCCATGTACCTCGGACAATAGGTTAGTAACTCGGAAACGTATCAGTACTACCTGGATTCAGGTACCCGATGTCTCGATCTGGATGAAACAACATGTGGATCTTTTAATGCGAACAAATAGTAGTCAGCCTTCAAAAATAGTGTTTACTCGGCGATTTCGCTGCCGGCGAGAATACCGAGTGTTTTTACTCTTTTGCATCGCTCTTGTCCATTCGCCATCAGTTGTGCTTATGGTCCTTCTTGGGCTTCCATTCTTACATATGCTTTGAGGCTCGATTAGTTAAATGCCTGAACTAAATTGTAAAGAAGATTTGAGTGTCTGGTCCATGGACATCTCTTTATCCCAGGGAAATGGTACCGCAGACTCGAATTCTATTTGTCCCTTTACTTTCGCGTGACACAGCATCTGTTCTAGCCAATCGCAGTTTGAGCAAAGAAGGATTGTGTGTCACCATGGTCCGGTATTTTTTCTTTAACGCTGGATTTCTACTGGATGACAGCTTCATCTTCTTATACGCGAGCCTTGGTCCGAGCGGCCAAACGGCCAAAATGAGCATGTCTCTCTCCGCCTACTGCTGCACCTCGATCACAGCGGGAAAGAGATGAGGCTTGGCAAGATATCATGGGTAAAAAGTAAGAAATGAAAGCCGGACACAGGGCTATTGCTGCATTGAATGCGATATTTTGATGCGCACGCTCAATAGGATATGCCGAATACGATTGAGATGATGCCTGAGTTTTCTCGTGCCTTATCTCTTCGTTTGCTCTTCAAGTTAAACTTTCCGTAGTCAGGTACTGCACTCTTTTGAAACTTTTAAACTGCTGTATCTAGCATACGTACGCGGAACGATTCCGTGATTTCTCCAACCCGCAGAACCAAAGAAGCTAAAGGAAACATCTACTTGCATGTAGCTTCACTGGCATCGCTACGATCAACATCGAATGCCAATTTCCCTCGGTAAAGAGAGAAACGGCCGAAACACCCACCGATCGACCAAAGCTCCTGTATCTGCAAATCGGCCAAAAAAACAAGTTTGTAAACAGCTGACCATAGAACGAACTGAACTTGTCCACACGCACAACAAATTGCCATCAGGTGCAAGTTAGTGAGAAAATAGGCATTTGGGCGATTTGTTGTTTAACTGCAATGCGTTTCATTTTATTGACAACGCTCATGTAGCTGTAATCTAGTGAGAGCGCTCCATGGCAATCGAGACCACTGAATGGGCCAACTTTGATCTAACTTATCCAATCAGAAGCCTCTCCCATAACCGCGCTCTTAGAGCTGACCTGGACTAAACACGGCCTTCTCGGTCATTAGAAACCTTTCGGGCCATCGTCTACATAGACTTCTGCAAGCTCCTATGAGCCACGAAGTTCAGAGATCCCCAGATAAGCAAATGAACTCTGACCATGCGGTTTATGCATCTGCAAGACTCTTTGTCATCTGAGGCCATGCTTCTAAGGAGCGGGGTTTACTAAGGAATCGAAAGAGCTTTAGAGTAAGAATTTTGACGGCAACACCCTTAAAGACTCGTGTGGACGTTTCGTGGCATGGTCGAACATAGCACTGCATTACTCACACCATTATTCCCATTATACATCGCGTATTGAATGTTACAGTATACTTTTGGCGGCAAAGTGCATGCCAATTCAGGCAGATACTCCTTGATGTAGAGGAGTCAGACCCACAAATAGTCATTACCACCAACCACTGGGACACTTAGTTCCTTTTTCGGGAAGCAAAGGGTGCTGGAAAAGAGCAGTGTTTATTCAGGATGTTACAAGTTGTACAAAAGATGCAAAGTGGATGTAGATGCGATTGGGGGCGGGGGGACAGTGAAAGGGCAGGGGGTGGCTATGCAGTTGAGCGCGAACCATAGACGCGTGCCTAATTTAATTTCTAGGACAACGCACAGACAAGATTTCACCCGTTTCGACAACATAGCCCGTCAACCTGCGGCCATAGATACATCCGGAATCGATGCCAATGGACCAGGCCATCACATTGAGTGAGCGTCCTGCATCATGTCCATACACCACCAAGAAATCGCGCTTCGAGGGCGATCGTCGATTGTGCATTTCATTGAACTCCTTGGCCCAACCTCGACCACTCTTCTTCTTGCGTGTTGGAGTCCCATCCTTGAGAAGGTTCCTGACATTAATGAGGACCCAGGGCTTCTGCTTGAGAATGCCACGGTGTGGGTCAATGCCAGCATGGACGACATGAACTGGGATGTTGTGGATAGAAAGCTCCTTCGGCAGGGTAAAGATTAGGGGGCAGTTACGAAGGTAGTCGTATTGGGCCTTGGTCATAGTACGAGCAAGACGGTAGTGTTCCGATTTTCTATCGAGGTCCGAGGGGATGCTGGAGCGCGGTCGTCGTGTTCGTCGTCGCTTGCGGACTGTCCAATCATCCTCTAAGCCCCAATTGCCCTGATCCTCCTCCGTTTCATCGTCCTCCTCAGCCTCTAGCACACTTTGCTCCCGTGAACTGAGGCTATCGAGGTATCCCCTCCATCGGATGACCTTGTCGTCGTGGTTCCCTCGGACACACTTTGCATCTAGCTCTCTCGCTCTATCGATGACCTGGAGCGAGTGCGGCCCTTTTGCCACCAAATCACCTGCCAAGATCAACACGTCCTTATTGCGGTCATAGTCGACTTTTTTTAGGAACGTGTTGAATCCTTGTAGACTGCCGTGGATATCGCCAACAACAATGGTCCGTCGAATCTTAGGTTGCATACCGTGATCGCCATTGAGCTGGAGCTCCTTGTGGTAGATGTATTGAGCATAAGGGTCTGAGGGTAGGGAGTCTGGTGGTGTAGCGGGCTCCTTCATCGCAATAGAAACTCCGTCACCCAGGTTGTACTGGTTCGCATCGAAAGAGGGAGGGTCATTGAGAGGACGGGTGGAGGTGTGGTGGGCTTGCACGATGTATGCTGGCGACGCGGTGTGGTCGATGTGGGGGTTGGTGGGTGGGTGCTGCAGGGCGTAGAGCAACAGTGTGGCTGTGCTGAGGAGTAGTAGGACAGTGCCAAGAGTTACAGCGCCCTGTTGTGCAGATGGGACCGACATATTGGGCTTGTGCCGCCTTGTCTTGGGTGGGAGTGGTCTGAACCGTCTTGGTCGTGGAATGGTGGGAATCGAAAGTAGATTCGGATGAGTCTAGGGTGCTGAAGGAGAGAAATGAGTGTGCGGAAAACCAGGTGAATGAGGAGGAGTAGTGAGGGGATGGAGGAAGAGTATGTGTTCTTTTTTATATACAAGTGTGTTGTCCTTGTGGTTTTTGTTTGAGGTAAATTCTGGCCATTGAACGTTGCCGGTCCAATGGAATTGAACAACCGCACAGTGAGCGCGATAGAAATGTAAAGTAGATAGCAGGTATTGCAGAGACTGATGAGATGGGAGCCAGGAGAAGAGGCGCCAAGGAGGTCGTCTTCTGCTCCAGCTCGTAAATAGATCCTGGCAGTAGCAGTAGTAGTGGTAGTCGGCAGTAAGTGGACGAAGGTGAAAGTAACTGCAGAAGAAGAACGAAAGGAGGAGAAAAGAAAGACCGTGCCCCTTCATTGGCCAAGAGCGCGCTGTTCCTGTCCACATCCTTGAGCATGCCCTGGGTCTATAGGCTGTGCGTGCATTACACACATCCTCTCCAAGGTCCACCGAAAGCGACTATAAACTATTGTCCTACAGATCATCTCATCAATTTTTAGCGTGGTCTATAGTAAGTATTTGGCGATGATCTCATGCGCAATCCGGTCTATCTTTCGTAGAAAGTATACCAATATGCTGCCCTGTCCGAGTGCATACGTACGACGCCTTGGTGTCCCTCAACCCTGTGTGTATTGAACATGTAGGCATGTGCTTGTACTGCATCATTTGCTCTTCAGTGTCGACGGTTGTTTGCAGAGTCGGGAAGATGTCAGCAGCGTAAAAAAAATACTCTGTTCGATGGCACTCCTCGGAGTCTATCGTCGTTTGCATGTCAAGGGGTGCGAACAGAATTGCAAACAAAGATCGAAATTCGGTGACGTAGTGCGCAACCGTAGCCACGTGCCTATTCTTTTTTTTAGCTGACCCGAAGCGCGTTGGTGCGCATAGATCGTGCCACACCAGCACTGTTGATAGGGCTGTTATTCAACACACAGTAAGATATATGAAGTAATCAATCATTTACGCTAGGAGAACTAGTCATTTTGCCGCGGATTTTAGAAACACGAAAGCACAGCCAAGTCAACAATACTATTTGTACATGGAATATCTTTGAGACGTAGGGGATTCATGTGGAATAAAGATGGGCGAAGTGAGCAGAGGTGAAATGGAAAAGCGCAACAGCAAGTCTGGTGAACAAGAACAAGGATAAGAAAGGGTGTATCTGCATAGGATTACCGATGATCAGCCAAGTGCTGTTCAGGTACAGCGCAGTGGACTGACGATCGCACACAGGAGCCCCTGCTCAATAAGATGCAGCCATGCATACAAACAATCAACATGTCGAAATCTTCCTTAATCACTTAATCAGATCAAGCGCTTTTGCCTAAAGATCAAAAGCTTAAAAGCTTAAAAGATGCCAAGGACTCCTCTGTCTTGCTAGATTCCTCACACAACTCTCCTTCACTGCTCATACACTCTCCTGCTCCTTCATTGCCCATATACTCTTCTGCTCCTTCACTGCTGATACATTCTCGCGATCCTTCACTGCTCCCACACTTTCCTTCACCGTCATTGTTCGAAAAATGCTCCATATTTTCATCATCGCTCAAGCTACCATGGCATTGAAGGCCTGTGGCCCTTTCTGGAAAAGAAAGGGTATGAGTCCGTCCTTCACCATCCTTCCACCCAACTGCTCCACCTCCCCGACTCGTTTGATCACAATTCAGTAATACGCGTCGACGTCCTCAGATCTTTAACATCACCATCCGCAACGCGTACTCCTTGAGAAATATGACTGTCTAGAGAATCAATGAGAACAAGAGAGGGATCTTTAATTACAGCGACCGAGCAATTACTTATTGCTCAGTGGCTTAAGTTAAGTGGGTGGTCCAGATCCTGATTGGATGTGGGCATGCCGTGCAACCTTACAGATCCCTGGCGTTTTTTTAAAAGCAATTGTGGCATAAAGTCTTCTCACAGCATGCTATAGCATTCCATGGCTGTCTACCATATCAATGGACTTTGTTTCTCAGTAGTGGCGATGTCACATCTAGGAAGAGTGTAATGGGTAATCATGCATTGTTTTTTGAAAAATTATCATGAGTTTCTGGGGATGCTGCTTACCTTGAAGACTGCTTATAGCTAAGAGGACAGTGATCATCTCCTAGTACTACAGCAAACGCAGGAAGTAGGTTGACTGCAGTTTGCAGTTAGCTCTCCTGGAGGTTGGTAAACAATCCAGCACACAGGTTATAGGTGTTGCTGATATGCCACGTTGGACAGCATGGCAGACAGTTAAGCATATGCGATGCTAATGCATGCTCAATAAAGCAACGTGATGACCATCGCACTGACTTTTGGATTGTGGATAGCTTGCTGGATCCAGGCATCCGCCTTGGTGTTAGAAAATGGTGGCCACCGGTCCAACCCTCTCTTATTTCCCAACCCTCTCTACTTGGACAGTGGCCAGAGTCCCATCTTCTTTCTTAGAGAGTAAAAATATGAAAATGCATGTCTGGCCACCGGCCAAATGTTCAGCTGGCAGGTTGCAGAGCAGGGTGGAAATCAATCGCCTTATTGCGTGTATGAGTGAGGATGTGTTGATCGACAAGCTTTTGATTCAGGCATTGTGGTAGTCAGAGTTCCATTTATTAGAGACAAGTGATGTCAATACCATGGTTACTTTTTAAAAACGCATGCTCGGAATCTGTCCAGTTACATCTGAGCTTTGAAGGATAATTCCTCCAGCAAAACCACACTTGAGTAATGCTTCAGCTCCGCGCAAGCACGCCCATCTCGGATGATGTCGTTGAAGCACCGCTCGGTCTCCGGGATTCTGCTGTATGCCTGGAGAAACGCTGGCAGGTCGCGGTAGCTTGCGAACTCACATTACGTCTTACCCTTGTGCGAGATGTTGTATGCCACAAAGAAACCGTGCCGATTCAAATCAGCCTGGTCAAACGCCCTTGCCTGTGGACTTCCATTCTTCTGGACCGCCGAAAAGTAAGTAGACTCGAATTTGGTGGAATGTTTATTGGAATCTGATTGGGTTATGGGCATTCAACAAGCGTTCAACAAGCCATAAACATCGATTTCTTGCTTATTTTTTCTGTTAAACAAAAATATATTCAACAAACACATTTGATTGGCCGTATCAATCGAGATGACAATTCAACATGCATTAAACAACGATTCAACGTGGCCAATAGCAGTCTTCAACATCCATTCAACAACGCATTCAACAAGCGATAAACAAGAAAGGAGTAGGGCTATTCTTCTGAGATGAGGTGTTGGATGATGCTTTGTGCATATAACCAGGCGGCTACCCAGTTTTATTTTTATTTTTGGAATGAGAGAAGAACCAGAGATGGAGTGCATTTTGTTTCTCCAGCTGAATTATGACTGGCATGTCCGGACGCGTCACCATCAACAATAGGAGCTCGCTCTTTTTACTCTTTACTCCCTCCATCCGCACACACAAAGGCTCACTACTTCTCCATTCACAGGCACGACCTTTCTCCGCTACCAACAGGCACCCATCCATGGCGACGAACGCACTCACCCTATTCTGTCTCGTCGACGGCGAGTCCACAGCTAACGCGTTCCCTGTCAAGGCCACATCTGCAGCCTCTGTTGGCGAGCTCAAGGAGCTCATCAAGGCCAAGAAGTCACCAGAGTATGACGGCATTGCTGCGGACAGGCTCACGCTCTGGCGAGCCACAATCCTCGTTGACGAGAATGCCGGGGACGAGAACATCATCACGCTCGATGATCTGGACGACAAGACGAAGCTAGGCAACCCAAGGACATGCCTTTCCAAGCTGTTCCCTGAGAGCCCTGACGACAACACATACATCATTGTGCAGCCACCCCCGCCAGGTATGTCTCCAGCTCTCTGCAGACTGATGATTGATATTCTGGCGCGTGTTATTTACGTTATGTTATTCTTTTTTTTTTTCTTCCGGTAGCTCCTAAAAGAGACCGTGAAGAGGATGTGGGTGAGTATTATTGATCTTTTCTAACCACCTCTTGTCTTTTACTCAGTCATGAACACAGCTGACGTTACTTATGACATTTGTCGCCTTGATGCAATGTTTAACCCGTGTAAAAAATATATGATATATAGACCTAAAGTTTATGCCGAAGAACAAGAGAGTCCGTATTATCGAAGGCTGGAAGCCATATAAGGCTTCCGACGGAAAGTCAGTAGATTTGCCTCGCTCTTGGATTGAGTTTCTTCAAAGCGCGAATTTTGAACCCGAACCGCGCAAGGCATTCGATCACCTCAAGAGCGATCTTCAAGCTGGCGACGCAATCGATATTCCAAGTCTGGGCCAAACCCCTAAGGAATTTGGACGTCATAGCCCAGGTCAAAATTTTTTCGTTACGGAACAAATGCTGGAGCTTTGGAAGGACATTTGCGGTGAAAAGGATCGTACATACAGACGGGTCCTGTCCGGTCCGATGGGCGTTGGCAAGTCGTACCTCTCCTATTTTCTCGCAGCAAGAGCGTATGCCGAAGGATGGCCCACCCTCTACATATCGGATGCGGGAAAGCTGGACACAAACACGCAGGAAGAATCAACAATAGAAATAGTCAGGCGCTTTCTGGCTATCAACAAAGACATTTTGACTGCCGCTGAGCTGGAGAAGCTTGTAGACAACTACAACGGGGAAAACGACATTTCCAATAGCGCTACTTCAGTAATCTTCGGTGATCTACTCCAGCAGAAGGGACGAAAAGCCTTATTGATTGTTGATGAACATGGAAAATTGTTCGAAAAAGTTCCCGACTTGCCAACAAAATTCAGGTCATTGAATCCTCTGTCATCCTATCACTGGTGGGGTGAAGACGCCCCATGGTCTCGAGTGATTTTTACGGGGACTGCACATGCAAAATATGAGATGACTGTCATGGATGATAGTTATAGACCTACGTCGGTGCTATTTGTGGGCCCGCTATCGGATACAGTATTCCTCAAGCTGCTGGACACATACCCTCGCCTGAATCTACCGGATATCAAGGACGAGGTGAAAGCGATTACAAACTGTGTGCCACGGGAGCTTGTGCATCTGTCGGCCTTCCTCAAGTACTTCCAGGATCCGATATCTGCAGGCGACCTTCAAAAATTTACAAAAAGTCGATCAGCGTTTTTTCTGAAAGTCGCCAACAAATACTACAGCGGTCTCCAAGATACCGATAAGAAGCGTTTTTACGATACCCTCCTTCAAACGTTCCTGTACAGCACCACCAATTTCGATTTCCAATGGGAGTTTGTGGACCTAGGATTAATATATCGGTGCAGGGAAGCCACCTATCAAACAGTCGTATACCACATTCTATGCCGTCCCGCCCACCAAGCTCTTTTGGACCTCTTCAAGTCGTTTGCGCTACCCGACGACATCAAACAACGGATTCATCTTGGCCAGCTCAGTGGTGACGAGTTTGAGCAAGCACTATTTCATCAGCT